CCCCCCTTCCCCCTGGATTATTTACTATCAAGAAAGATGATCCAGAGAAGTAGAACGAACGAAACCCCTTCATATATAACGTTGTTTGTTCATCCGTTCTAGCTTTCTTGATCCAGACAGAGACAGCAAAAACCCACCCAATACAGCAGAGAGAGAGAGGAGAGCGAAGACCAAAGCTCAGGTCAAATCGAGACACACACACACTCTCTCTCTCACGATATGTTTTGTTTGTTTGATATTAGAATTTTTGTTGTTGAGAGATTTTTGTTGAGAGATTTTTGGAGATTTGGAGATCTGCTGCTCGGTTTGGTGAATATGTATGTGAACAACCATCTTACCTTGAGGTACTATACCTTCTTTACTTCTTCTCCTCAACGCGATAGGGGGGTGGCCCGGTCATGTGATAGAGATATCAAAATCCTACCTTACCCATCTATTCTCTAGGGAGTTGACTGAACAGCTCTTGCTTGTTCTGAAGCCAAAGCTGAGACAATAGGGGAATGCTCTGGACAATGGACCACCATGCAGCACACGTGACTTCCCCTGACACCGCACTCGGCAATATCTCGCTAAGGTACCTCAGGAGTCAAGGTACCAACGGCTGCACTTCGGTAGACGCACGACGCACGACGCACAACAGACACACGACACAATTCTGGTAACCGTAAATCAATTCATCGAGCTCATCTAGAGCTATTTCTCGCTCATTCCTGAGCATTGGTATACTAACTCCAGACCCATGAATATGAAAGCACCTCGCATCTATAGCTGTCCATCATCTATCCATCTATCCAATCCTGATCCTTCTATCTCAGATTCAAAAGAAATTCGTGTATGTGCAGCCGCTTATTCAATCGCTGACACCGAGTACTGTCCAGTGACAGGGTTCATCGAATCGCTCCAGTTAAACTTGAAATCGTCACCTAGCTCCTTTCTCAGAGCGGCCTGCACCGCCTCCAGCACATTGTTGAACACGCCAAAGCTGGCTGGGTTCTCCTTGTCGTTGCCCTCGCCTTGGTACACACCAGTGCGGACCAGGCAGGTATTCCAGCCGTACATGTTCCCTCCGATGATGTCGGATTGCGGGTTGTCACCGATCATGTAGATATTCTTGGGCAGGCGCTCGTCATTGTGGATCACCTCCATCCACGAGGCCATCACCTCATCAGCATACTTGTATGTTGCCAACTCGGGCTTGCCATAGACGACACGCTCCAGCTCCACCCCGGTAATCTGCTTGTAGATGGCCTCGAGGGCGATCCTGAAGGTTCCCTGCGACATACGGGGGAAGGGGTGCTCGGTAGGGCAGAGGAGATCTCCCTGGGAGAAGTAGATGGGGATGCGCTGCGAGACGGGATCCTTGGCGCGCGTGCCGAGGACACCATTCTCGGACTGGAGGAGATCCATGATGATCTGGAGATCAGTGGCGTAGTCACGCGAGTCGGAGAAGACCAGGATGGCATCGATCTTGACCTTGTGGAAGTCGCGGGGGTTGGACGTGGCGCGTTGCTCGGCGGTGAAGAACTCCTTCAGGGGGGAGATGGTGGGGTCCCAGGCGTAGATGTCGTTGGGCACGACGATATCCTTGAAGCCGTACTGCTTGGCGACCTCGCGGCACTGGTACTTCTCGCCACCGACGACCAGGACAGTGTCGTAGTACTCAGCCAGCGCAGACATGGGGGTGTGCGACTGGATGAACTGCTCGGTGGAGATGGGCGAGCCGAGGATCTTGGAGAGCTGGGCGCAGCGAGCCGCTTCTGGCTTGCCGGATCCGTTGGTGAGGAAGATGTGGGGGATCTTGATGCCGAGCTCATTGTCCCCGTTCAGGATCTCGAGGGCGCGGCGGCCTTCGGGGATCAGGCGGTCACCGTGGACGAGGACACCATCAATGTCGAAGGCAAAGGCCATGTCCTTGGCGGCGCTCGTCTTGACAGCCGACATGTCCTGGACCTGGGACGAAAGGATCTCCCGGCTGGGCTGGATGGCCGGCATCCCAGGTCTCGCGGGGCGGCCATCTGCCAGGGTGACGGAGGAGAGGCGCGACTGGCGCGACTGGCGTCTTGATCGGGGGATGGGGAGGGAAGCCCCGAAGCTGTTTCTGGAACTCCGTCGCTCGACCTGCGAGGGAGACATGCTCAGAGAGTGCATGAGATGCTCGCTCTCGGCGATGGAGGATCGCGAGGCGGGCACTTCGATTGGGCCTTCATCGTCGGCACCCGGCACAGCCAGGGTGGGATTGGAGTGCTTGGGGGCAGAGCCTCCATTGGCGGTGGCTGCCTGCACCTTATCGGAGGAATCGGCCGCTTGATCTTTATCTTCGTAGGCGGGCATGTTGGAGATCGGGGGGGATTGTCGTTGGGGGGGGGTCAATTGGATTTCGTCAGAGGTCTCGATAGTTCGTGAGGGGAGGGAGATGAGGAGGCCGTCCCAGACGTATATAAAAAGTATATATGTGAAAGAGAGGAGGCAACCGAGGAGGAGGATGGCGATGGAGGAGGAGTAGCTGGAGTAGTGATATGAAGATGTAGATGAAGATGGAAGGAGTGAGAGAGAGAGAGTGCGAGACTGAGAAGCGAGAAGCGAGAGAGAACAGTGACGAGGTGGCGGGGGAAGATGAGATGACGATGATGTCGAAGGGCCAAGAGAGGTCAGGGAAGAGGGAAGAACAAAGTGAGACCGGCGTTGGACAAGCGCGGCGGCCGGATCGTATATATATTTCCCAGGGACGGCGGGGGTGGGCGCAGTGAGATGACATGAAACCAGGCTAGAGAATGTGCAGGAGGGAAGGGGAAGGCGCGAAGGGATTCAAGGAGGGAAGGAACAAGAGAGGAGGATACGGATACCTTGGATACCTGAGGAAGGAAGGGGGGTGTGGAGGATAGGACAGCAGTTGGGAAGGAAGGCGCGATGGGGCGATGGGGCGTCATTGGCGTGTGCATTATGTGTGGGGGGAGGCCTGAGGCAATTAGAATTAGCACTGTTGATTTATTAGAGAACTCCCTATAGGACTATAGGTACTCTGGAGAGGAGAGAGCGGATAAGTGAGAGATTGGAGGATCAGAGCGGTTTTGGCGGGGCCCGCTATCAAAAGCGGATCCGGAAGGGGCGTCCATCGAGTTACTGTCCGAGTAGTAAGTAGTAACAGCTTCAATCGAATCGACGGAACGGGAAACCACGCGGCGGCGCACGAGAGAGAGTCCGGGTCCCGTTGCAAGTAGTCCTAGTAGTAGTATTTGCTGGCACAATAATCTCACAGGGCAAGAAACATCGCATCGCAGGATCGACACACGCCATGGCCACTGGCCGGTGCGATACCATCATCGTGCCGCCGAGGTGGATTCCCTGGACGGGGCAAAGCGGGTAATTGTTTCCCAGGCGGAATGGGCGGGACGGGGGGGGATCTGTCAGGATGGTCCTATTGTCTCTCTCTCTCTCGGAAAGCTGACCGTGGGAAACAGGACAGATAGACGGAAACGGAAACGGAAACGGAAACGGAAGCGCAGTTTTGTCGAGAAAGCCTCTGAGAGATTCGGAGAGTCAGAGCGAGATGAGATGCGGTAGAAGCGAAACGATGCCGTCGAACCATGTGGGAACCGCCATCATCGCCGGTCCCAAAGGCGTGAAGCCACCTCCAGCCGCCAGCGCAGGGACCGCCGTGACGCCGTGCCACTCGCTGCAACGAGCTGCAACTCCCGCCCCGGTGCGGGAGCCTCAGGAGTCAGGCAGCCCCCGGCTAAGGCCACTCGAGCCCCATTATGACGTCACGCCCACCCCTCGGCGCCTTAGCCTGACGCCTATGCCGCATCCGGCACCGCACGAACCAGGAGCCCACGGTGCGCCACCAAGCCCACCCGCCCACAGATGCTGCCGACGTGGTGCAGCCCAGCGGGCCCCACTTGTGCCCCCAGTGCCCCACCAGCTGCAGACCTTTGCCGGCCCGGCTTGCCCACTTCAGGAACACGCCTCACCAGATGCCGCAACGCGCAGATGCCCAGCCCGCGCTAACGGGAAGCGAATAAGCGATGCGCCCCACGCGGCGGGTCCCCCAGGAGCGAAATATGCGTGCACGGCGTCACCGCGCAGCAGTAGTCGTGGCCCGTAATATGCCCGCCCGTAACGGTGTTATGCATCCCGCACGCCGTACCGACGTACCGTCCACACGTTACCTTCGCTGCGTCGCACTACACGACGCAACTCGGCGTGCCCTGCAGTGCTCCGTAATCTGATCCTCCTCCGTCCACGTCGCTCCTGGAGTCCTGCCCGGCTGGGCGTTGCTGGATACAGCAGGTTCCCCGAGTCGATCACAGGAGTCGGGCAATCCCGCTATGCGACGTTCCGATGTCGTGGCGAGCGAGAGGGTGCTCGCTTGATAAATGGCTGTGTGTGTGTGTGTGCGACTTGCTGCCTTGTTGCCTTCCCCCCTTCCCCCAACCCATCCAACCCCACCCATCAACTCTGCCCCTCCAAACGAATCTCAACAGCCCCGCGTCATCGTCTTCAAAACACCACACCCAACACAGCTTCACATCGTTGCAAGAGACCTTTCTTCCCCATCTTCCCAATCCTTCATCTACACTTTCACTTCCCCCAACATGGCCGCCCCCGCTGTCACCGGCCCCCTCCTCACCCTCAACAATGGCCGCAAGATGCCCGCCCTGGGCTTCGGCACCTTCGCCAACGAGGGCAGCAAGGGCGAGACCCACGTCGCTGTCGTCGCTGCGCTGAATGCCGGATACCGCCATCTCGACTGTGCCTGGTTCTACCAGAACGAGGACGAGGTCGGCTCCGGCATCCGCGAGTTCATGGCTGCCAATCCCTCCGTCACCCGCGAGGACCTCTTCATCACCACCAAGGTCTGGAACCACCTGCACAAGCCCGAGGACGTTGCCTGGAGCATCAAGAGCTCGCTCGAGCGCCTGCAGACCCCCTACGTCGATGCCTTCCTCGTGCACTGGCCCATTGCCGCCGAGAAGAACGACGACTACACCGTAAAGATCGGTCCTGATGGGAAATACGTCATTGATCATGAGTTGACCAACAACCCGGAGCCTACATGGCGGGCCATGGAGGCGGCATACGAGGCCGGCCAGGCGAAGTCAATTGGCGTGTCCAACTGGACCAAGAAGGGCCTGGAGTCTCTGCTGTCATACGCCAAGATCAAGCCCGCCATCAACCAGATCGAGATCCATCCCTTCCTCCCTCAGAAAGAGCTCGTCGAGTACTGTGCCTCCAAAAACATTGTGCTGGTCGCTTACTCGCCGCTTGGTTCCCAGGACCAGGTTCCTGGCACGGGCGAGAAGGTATCGACAAACCCTGAGCTGAACGCCATCGCGAAGAAGAAGGGCGTGACCCTGGCGCAGGTCCTGATCGCCTGGGGCATCAAGAGAGGATACGCCGTGGTGCCGAAGAGCAGCAACCCGGGCCGTATCAAGAGCAATGCGGAGCTGATCACCCTGACTGACGAGGAGTTCGAGGCCGTGAACAAGGTTGCGGAGGGGCGGAACAGTAGGTTCGTGAACATGAAGGACACCTTCGGATACAATGTGTGGCCTGAGGAGGCATAGATAAGTGGGTAGCTAGCTAGCTGAAGCGGGGTAAAATCGTCTTCCTAGAGCAATGGCGGATGGAGATGTCCAAAAAGCCGGCGGGCAGATGTTGGCAGGTAGCCCTCGTCGCTCGGTCGTAAGAAATCAAAGAAATCAAAAAAGAAGTTGTCTCGTAAACATTTCACGCCGCATTTCGCCTTCGTTCACCGCATTTCATTCGAGTCTCCTGAGCGTCCTCACACTATCCAAGAAGTCCATCAGCTCCAGCATGCTCCCACAGCCCACCAGCCCCATCCTCTCCTCCTTATTCAGTAGCGGTCCCTTCCCCACCCCTCCGGTGCCGCCCGCTCTATCACTCCCACACATCTCCGTCAGGTGATGCACCACCAGCTTGAATGGGATCGGTCGCTTCACCACCTTCGCCATGAAGCTCTCCACTGCCTCCCACGGACAGCCCTCATCGCCCCGGAACAGCGCCGGGTTCTCCAGGAGGCCCCTCGCCGCCATCACCCCATCCGTCCCCGTCTCCCGCGCCCGCTCCTCCGCATCCCGCCGCGTGAACACATCCCCGTTCGCCAGCACGGGCATCCTCGTCGCGTGCTCCGCCGCCAGCTTGATGGCCTGCACGTCCACCGGCTGGCTCGACCGCGTACTGCGCGTCCGCCCATGAACCGTGAGGAAATCCGCCCCGGCGTCCTCGACCGCCCGCACGAAGTCCGCCGTGCGCCGCGGGTCCGCCAGCACGCGCATCTTGACGCTCACGCTGCGTCGCCCGCCGTAACCGGCGTCGTGGAGCGCGCGCTGAGCGGCACGCACCATGGAGACGACTCGTTCGGGCTGCTGCATCAGCGCGGCGCCGAGGGAGTCGGCGCACGCCCACGATTGCGGACAGCCGCAGTTGAGATCGACGCCATTGACGTGAGGAGCGAGGAGGGTGGTGGCGCGAGCGACCTCGAGGGGGCAGTTGGCGCCGAGTTGGGCGATCGTCGGGGGTGCGGTGGGTGAGGTGGTGAAATCTGAGATGCCGTGGTGGTTTCGTGTTAGCTGGGTTGTTTGCTCCTAATGTAGGGAATCCCGGGAAGCGCACGGGAGGGGTGGAATAGGGGGCGGGGTATGAGGGGTGCGGGGCGGGCATACCGCTGTCACGTGCTACGGCACTGCGGTTGAACTCCTTTGCGAGAATCTTTTGCCGTGTAATAGATAGAGATCAGCCAACTACTCCCTTGCTCCGGTAGATAGAAGACGGGGAGGAAGGGGAAGGGAGAGTAAAGTGCCGCACTTCACATACCATAGGCGTCCATGTCAGATCCACGCCGTATTCCGCAACAGTTTCCCGGAATGCCAGCTATAGAAATCTCAGCATCTGCCGCAAGGATTGGCCCGGAAAGGGAAGGAGAGCGCACCTTGCTGTATCTCACCATGGGAGCAGCGGCGAATAGAGGCCTCCCTTCAGATTTCGCAATGTCGAAGAGTTTGAGCGGGCTTGGAGCGGCTTAGCTTGGTTGATCAAGGTGGGGAGGCAGAAGAGGGGCAAACGCACTGGATGTCTAATGAGGATGGTGAGGAGCGCTCATCTTCGTCGGGATCTACGATGGAGTACATCGCGGGTTGTTTTCGCGGGGATATCAAGCATCCTTAGGAGAGATGTTGGGGTTGGACGAATGAAGAGATGTCAATACCCGAGCAGTCGTTCCCTCGCTTGACTTGCCAGAAAAACTACTCGAACGTTCGATTTCACATGTGCTGTAGTATCATCGTTCATCATGTAGGATGTAGGATCTGGACAATTCCGCTGATCTGATCCACGTAGCTTCTGTCGACCTTGCGTATCTATCACACTGAACTAGGGGAAAACGCTTGCATGGAATGAAGGGTAGAAACTGCCCGAGGTTCCTCGAGAGAGGGAGGAGGTTGATTCGGTACTGAAAATCTGGACATTCGAGGGGTATATATCGAGTCCGGCTTTCCGTCGTAGGTGGTAAATCAGGCATAAAGTCCCGGGATTTTTAGGAGCGAGGGGCCTCCTCCTGTGATTCTTCTATACAATTGGATCGAGAACATTCGATCGAGTATATCTTCAGATGTGATGCCAAGGTTCTGTCATGCCTGAGGCAACTACATTAGAACCCCTTCGACCTTTAGCTATAACCTGAAGAGGCCCTAGAACTTCCCAAATCGTCCTCTGCACTGGAAGTCTCGTCATTCTTAAAACAAGGCATTAAAACAACTTCGAATTTGTTCACATGCGCAATACAGTGGAGAGGGACGGTTCCATGATCAATTGAACATTGACAAGCCCCAAGAACAGCCCCAAGAACTCACCAAGCCCAATTCTCCTTTGCCTTCCCTCTCCAGGTGCCGAAAGCAAAGCCAGATAAAAATCCATGCTGAGAAGAGTAATGAAGGTATCAAGCACAACGACAGAAATTTGGACTGCCGCTGACATTGGCTGCAGTCATGATAAAAAAAGGTCTACTTGCGTTTTTGTTGAAGGCTGCGAGGAACACCTCGATGTGTTATGTTCTTATCCATTCCCTTGGTTTCCTGGATTCAACCGATGGAATTCATCGATTGATGTCGTCGATTGAATTCGTCGATTGGATTCATCATCGCATTCTGGCAGTTGCTCATAACCTCGTCTAGAGGTTCTCAGGTGCCTGTGAGCCCAAGTCTTTGAAGTCATGGATTCAAGGACAAGGACGGCGTAGCTGTACCTACCTACCTTCCACAGGGCCACAAGCTAATTGTTTCGACTTTAGAGCTTCAAATTTGGAGGCATCAGTTCTAGAGCATCGTTTGCAGTTCTAGAACATCGACCGAAAATGTTTCGAAAGTGCAAGGCTGCGTGTTCCCCACCCGCGTTTCTCCATACTCGCGTTTCAGGAACACCGACCGGGGTGACATGGACTCGTCACCACGTGGACTTCCTGGTAAAAGATTTTGACAGCTAAGGCCTGGCCAGACATCTGATGAGACCCAGAACCAAGCGTCGCACTGTCATTTACCCACGTTTTTGATGGGGAGTGGAGCAGGCTGGGGATCCATCTAGGCCATGCTATCTTACAGATGACTGCAGTCAGGAATGAGCACCATGTGACCCCGTCCCCTGAACACTTTTGTACCTTTCCGACACTGATACAAATGATTCTGTCGGTCTTATATTACTAAGAGGTGATGGTTTCAAGAGGTAGACTAGCAAGAAGTGTTTAAGGGAGCGGATATGTAGTCGTTTTGGCCATCTATTTCAAGGTCACGTGGAAGGTGGGAGCCAAAAGGGGACGCCTGATGAGATTGTGTTCCAAACATATAGATAGATTCCATTAAATCTCTAGCCTTTAGCCTGCGTCAGAGAAATCCTCTCCTGCCTTCGTTATATTTTCATTTCTTAATTCTTTAGTAGATCTTTTTTTAGCATATTATTCCATCTCCCTTTCTCTACTGATTTTGGAACTCCAGTACAACAATCAGTACAAGACCTGGTCGCTTAGCTCAGTTGGTTAGAGCGTGGTGCTAATAACGCCAAGGTCGCGAGTTCGACCCTCGTAGTGACCACAAGAAAATTAACCTTTTGCATTTTTGACATTTTCTATTTTCTTTTATTTCGCTATACCCCCCTCATGTTTCCTGCACCTTTTTGTTGCCTTGCTATGGGTTTTTATATTTTTTTTATCAGCCTACTGAGGCATACCTGATAAGTACTAACTGCAGGCACGTGCACAAGCAGCACGTGAAATGACTCTACACCACACCACTGCCCACCTTCCGCATAAGGACCAGTGCTTACCAGCCAAGTATACCAAGAGAAGAGACTTTCCCTACTGCAGTATATATCCCACGTAAATACCATCCCTCAGTCCCCAGCTAAAGTTAAAAGAAGACATCTATAAAACCCCCTTCCCAAGCTCCCCCCTATCTCCATCTCCTCGCTTCCCCCCCTTTTTTTAATTCAAATATCCCAAAATGGCCCCCTCAATGACAACCCGTCTGGCACTCCCCGCTGACACACCTACCCTCGCCCACATAATGACCCGCGCCTTCTCTAGCACTGACACCGCATACCCCCTGATCTGGGGTTCTGCAGGGGATGAGATGCATGAACAACTCGCTGTTAATGGGTTGTTCACGCCGCTGCAGCGAGAGGATAGAGTTACGTACGTCGCGGTCGATTCTGACGGGAAGATCTTGGGGTTCGCGACGTGGACACTGCTGGGGATGAAAGGAGATGGGGGGAAGAAGAAAGAGCAAAAGAAGGAGGGAGGGGGGATGAAGTTGGAAGGTGTGAATTTGAGACTGTTGGGTGAGAAGATGGAGGGGCTCAGTGGGGCGAAGGAGAGGGATGTGGATGGGGGGAAAGACTTGGGTAATCCGCCCTTTTTTTTCTCTTTTTGCTCTCCGCTCTATTTGAAAATATCCTGCTTGTATTCTTTTCCAATTTAGTGAGTTTTTGATTCCCCTATCATTTCCATCTTCGATAATTCGGGAGTGAAGGCAGAAGTTAACGCAGGGTCAGTGCTCTCGTTCTGCTTCGTGCTGCCAGAGTATCAGCGCCAAGGCATCGGCTCCCTGCTTCTGGAATGGGGTAAGCGGAAAGCGGATGAGCTGCAAGCCAAAGTCTGGATCACGAGTACGCCGCAGGGTGTGAAGGCGTATGAGAAGAATGGGTGGGTGGTTAAAGAGAAATATGACATTGATTTGGGGAAGTATGGAGGTGAGGGGCTCTATAGTCGAGCTTGGATGGTAAGGCTCCCTGCTGAATCTAGCTCTGGGACAGCATAGTTTGGATGACATTAGGCAAGCGAGATTTATGTCAAGACGCGGAGTTTGTAAAGGTGTTGGAAGGGGTGAGACTGTTCACGGTATGGTGGATTAAGGGATCAATCAGTATGTACCTGATGAGCCAAATGTCGTTCGAGCATCGATTTCAACGGCCCACCAACACATCAAACCAACTCACGTTTGCCCATCCGATGGCCTCATGGCCATATTTTGACAAATCCGGCTCCATATCAGTCTAGAATTACAAGTCATTGAATTAGCTTTCCTCCTTATATCATGCCTGCACTGCAACAAAAGTCGTCTACTCACTGCTTTCAGCTGGACACTCTTCTCATTTCTCCCTCCAAAGTATTCCGGCTTCGTACCATCGGCTTCTAAATCGAGCTTGACGCCCTGGGCTGAACGGCGACTTGGATCCCTATCATGGAAGTTGAATGGTGTGAACATTACTGATGAGGAAGCTGTGTGCATCAGCGTATTTGGAATATCCCCCGAATTAGGGACGTGGTGAGAGCCTATGTTGAAATATATAACCCTAGACCAAGAATCAGTATTATTCCCTCGAGTTCCTGAGATGTCCAAGCACAGCCAAGAAGATGCAAATCCTTACAAATCTTCCTGCAGAATCTCTTCATCATCGAGAAATTTACTAAAGTCGACTAGCGGATGCAAAGGATCGAAGTAATTCAGATGGCTGGCGCTCCTGGGCTCCGTGTCTTTCTGCTTCACCACCCAAAGATCGCGAGACGACCACTCGGCCGATTTCCCTAATGACGTTGAGTTTAGGATTGAGAGATGCATTGGCGTGCCCATTCCTGTGCCCGGCTGGATGCGATATCCTCTCTTCTCGCCCCAGATATTTGTCGAGTTTTCGCTGGTGACAATGTACATCTCCCCCGAGTTACGTGGCCAGTCGATTCCGGCCTCCATATCGACAGGATGTTGTACGAGATGCATGGTATTTCGAGGCGTCGTTTGTTTGTCATCCCAAGGGTATTCAAGTGAGACAGGTTCAATTGCAACTCGCGTGAGCGTGTTGGAAGTCCCGTCAACATCGAGGTCGGCCTTGAAATTTAGCACGTGGTCGTGCATACTAGTTGCAACTGCATCGTGAACCCTGTATCCGTACTCATTCTTCTTCTCCCCCTTGGAAGGCCAAAAGGCGCCAAAGATATAACCACTTGCGCGATATTTAACTTCAATTGATCCATCAAGATAAAATATGTACTCGATCGTGTAGTCATAGTTGCCCACCGTTGACACAGATCTGACAACAAGGTAGGTATTTCTCGAGACAGAGACTTGGGAGTCCGCGGTGTGGCGTTGCAGAGGGTAATCAGCTGTATATTCAAAAATACAGATGCTGTTTGGAATAGTTATCGATGACCCTTGTTGGTTGAAAGTTGTGGAGATGAAGGTCGCATAGGCAGGGCAGTCGTACCCTGGCACAAGCTCGAACGTTCTCAAACCCATTAAGAAAACAGTATCTAGAAACTCCAAGCCACCTTGAGCTGGGTCATCTCCTGCATAGTGGGATAATGCCTCTTGAAGGCCGAGTTCATAGATGACACTATCTCCGTTGAATCGAATGTCGTGTAGAGTTACTCCAGTATCCGCTGAGGTTGAAATGAAGAACTCAAAACCCATCCAGCTAAAGAAATTCTGCTGCTTGTCTACAGAGAATCTTGAGCCCTGAGGCTGCACCATCAAAGGTGGAGGTTTCTGTCTTCCAGGATCTCCTTTTGTCAAATCTACCGTATCAGTCCAATCACCGTCTCGATTGAGTGGGCATATTTCAAATCCAGGGGATTTCATTGCCCCCTTAAGATCATATATGGAGTCGTAGAGGATGTTGTTGTAGTACCACTGCAACATCCTCCAAGTTGAGGGATTTACTGTGGGGATCTCTGGAGAATAATCAGTATGATTTCAACGTCGGATGTGGCCAGAGTAAGCTCACCGATTTTGACGTAAAGACCTTGTGGCAGTAGTGAGGAGGCACTTGACTTGCCACCCGGTTGGCGAAATTGTAACCAGAGACTAAAAGTTCCATTTTCTGTAAAGGAAGCCCTGCCTGTAGCATTCAGAGTCAATGGATCAATCGAGCCGGCTTCCTGAACTTTAATCAGCGAGATAGTTCACAAGAGAAGATATGCACATACATCTGATAGCAATCTCCGCACGACATCCGAGTTATTGCCAAGAGAGGAGAGAACCCATTCATTAAGAAGCGTCGGAGATGGAACTGGACTGGCGATATAATTCCTGTCTGAGTTGTAGCAGAACTCTAATGGTAGCGCCTTAGTATTCTCACTCGGCGGTAATGGGCCAACCTGTTGGATGCGTCAACCAGAATTTGCCAGACAACCAAACTGGCAAAAATACCATGTAGTAAACAGCCTGCTCAACGTCTCCGGGTGCACCTTCACCTTCGACTACAATAACCCGTGCCCACCGTTCTGGAGGGCCAGAGGTGCCATTGATATATGCCAGGGCATCTGTTTTATTAGGCTTCAATGCCTCTATGAGCATTAAACGGTTGCTGCGGCTGGCATCTTGTCAGCCAATAATACAAACAAGCATTTAAATCGGTGCCCACTGTGTAGCTTGCGAGGTTTCAGTCAGGTTCAGACCCGACTTTGAGTATAAGAAATTCAAGACTTCGTCAGTTTCATTTTCACTCAAATCAGCCCAGATATTCTGCCTGGAAGCTTGGATTTGGTTGGTGTCGAAGATCGGCGGCGACCTGAAGAGAACCAACTTGACAGTCTGACCCAAGGGAACCGAGGCAAAGAATGCAAAGAAAAGAAACGCGACGCAAGCAGAGGCTGTTAGCCAAACTTTATTGAGAGATGCCATTGTTGTATAATGTCTGTCGAACTTTGCAGACAAGAGTCATTCAACTATTTTACAGGACGGCACGAAGAGTTGCCGTCTTATCATCTTAAGAGATAAGGCGGGCGACGCGGGATGCGGAGCATGGAGTACGGGGTACGATGGCGCTATTAATAGTATTCAATCCCGGGATGGTGCTGGCCGCTGATCAGATGAATTATATTCTCCCTCAACACCAACGAACCGTTCTCTTCCCTTGTTCCTCCTGCAGCCATATTTCCCTTACAGAGACTGCGAAAAGTACTTGCTAAAAGTTATCAAAGCACCAGGCATATCAAGAAAATGGCTCAATCTCGATAAATAAGCAAGGTATGCCGCCCATCTATGCTCCACCAAGGCTCCAGGCACAGATCTAGGTTTAACGGCTCGGGAGAGACTCAATGGCAATACCCGAGATCTGGGCAATAACTTTCCTGCTCAAAATATCTTCTTGGGAAGCCACAACGGTGACAATCGGGGGTTTCCAATCAGGCCACTTTTCCCTCTTGATCCGTTCAAGAACCCTCTCCGCATCATCCGGGAGGGTCCAAACTGGCTTTTGATCACCTCCAAGCCAACTCTCTCTCTGACCCGGCTCATAAAAATGGCCATGGCCCCGAGTAACATTGCCCAAAACGATTATCACCTCCTTCAATTTTTCGAAAACATGCAGAGTCGCAAGAACGTCAGTCCTAGAAAACACTGTTGATGATATCCTCCCAGGCAGAGCGATGGTCTCCATGCAACTTGTCTCCACCGGGTATTGGGCCGCAAAGTCCTGCAGAACCAAAGGATTGATATGATGAGAGAAGTAGACCACATCACGGTTTGGATCATAATGCGTGCCTAAACAATTCTTTCGGATGTCCCAAACTCCCAACTCCATGTATCGTCGTCGGCAAAAGAGCTTTGATTCGGCGCATACGCGTTGAATCACATCGAGAGAAGGGTGGCAGGTCGTTAATGTCATAAACAAGGGTATCTTGATAGTAACTGCATTGAATGGGAAGTAATACCGTCCTCTATTTCGATCAGTATTGCGATGCAAGGTAATAACGCATGGTTCCAGAGCCAGCGCCCATATCTGGAGCCGCAGCTCTTTCGGTAGAGACGAAAACAGCGTAAACGTGGCTATAGAGTTGGCCATGGTGCGACTGGCGGGATGGGTTGCAAGTAAGGGGGCCCGGCCTTGCTAGCTCAAAGATGGATTCAGAACATATACTTGATGAAACAACACACGCGCTTCTGGAGAGGAAACGGGAAAAGAGCCCACCTCGGTCGAGCTTTGCACTTGCAGCCAATGCGGGATTCCAGGAATCCGGCGTAGGGTTGGTTTCCTATCAGCAAAGGGACGCTCGTCGTATCTGAGTACCCTCGTGGCGAGACTTCGAGCTCGAAATGTACTTGATGTGCGATTGTTTGGCGTCGTCTGGAGAGAGGGGGTTTGGAAGGTCAGCTTTGTCGCGCCCGAGGTTCGGGTGTGTCAATAGCCAGATCCACTAGCGTGGATAAATTCACCATTGAATGCGGCTCAACTGTCGACAATAGCAACTGCTTCCATTCTTCAGCGCCGTCACAATCAACATTTTTACCATTGTTAACCCTCTTGGCGCCATCAATGACAACTGTTGAGCGATATCCACCAACTCAACTCCAAATACCTTCAGATGTACCGTCAAACGTTCCACGATCACATTCCCCATCCAACACCATAGCAAGGAACAACTACATACCACCTGCGGTACCTTCCCCGCCCCGACTTTCAGCTCGAAGTTCACCACCCCGAAGGCCTCATATTCAAGCAAAGCACGAACATACCATCGGCATGGCGTCCGAAGCCTCAAACCAGTGGCTCTTTACTGATGCCGAACTTGTCAGCACACCCTCCGTCCTTGACGGACTACCCATTGCAGAAGAGAGATGCCGCAGAGCAAAGGGCGTGAACTTCATCTTCCAAGCGGGCATTCTTCTCAAGTTGCCGCAGCTTACCCTTGCAACTGCCAGCGTATTCTTCCATCGTTTCTATATGCGCGCAAGCATGGTGCCCGAAAAAGGCGGCCTGCACCATTATGTATGTCCACCCATCTCTTCTCCATTACTCCCCTTCCAGCTCAAGCCAGAACCGCAAAACCTACTTGCTCGAGATCCCGAGCAGATTTTGAAGCTCATGCTTTTGCGCAGATTTACTGACGTTTGAATATCTGGAACAGAATATCGCGGCCACGTCCCTCTTCCTTGCAACTAAGACAGAAGAAAACTGCCGCAAAACTAAGGAAATAGTCATCGCCGTTGCGAAAGTCGCTCAAAAGAATGCATCTCTCATAATTGATGAGCAATCGAAAGAATACTGGCGATGGCGTGACAACATTCTTCTCTACGAGGAGCTCATGCTCGAATACCTTACCTTCGATGTCGTCCTTCAATCGCCGTACAGCTTCCTTTACAGTTTTCTACAGAAACTGCGAATTGAAGACAATAAACAGCTTAGAAATGTGGCGTGGGCTTTCTTAAATGACAGTTGCTTGACAATGCTATGTCTGGCTATGTCTCCCAAAGATATCGCGATAGCAGCACTCTACTTCGCCGCCAAATTCACTGGAGAAAGGATTCCGGATGCTGAGAATGGACAGGCGTGGTGGGAGCGATTAGGTGGAAAACCAGATTTAATAATCAAGGCCGTTGGAATCATATATGAGTTCTACACGGAAAATCCGCTGAAGAGAAGCGATAACCCTTACGCGCAATCTCCATCCTCGATTGGCAATGAGGAGGATCTTGAAAGGACGAGGGCTAGGAACAGTTCCTCTAGCCAGGATATACCGAGCCCAGGGGAGATCGCACCTTCTCAACGTTCGCAGAATGGAAATATCGAGCACGCTAATGGTTCCGAAAATTCAGCCGCTGTGTTGAATGGCAACAAAACCCCTGCCGAACCTTCAACGCAACCAAACGGGAACGCTAAACCAGAATCACCCCAGGTTCATGGTGTTCCCGAAATCTCAGCCCCAGCAACCGCTGCCGGCACGTCGTCCAAAGCCGCGGATGAATCTGGGTCGTCGGACGCGGCTCTTAAAGAAGCAGCTAATGACCCAGCGACACACGGGGATAATGGTCATTCCAATGGAATGGCAGAGCTTCTCCCGACTGCAAACCCGACTGCTCCCGAACTGGCGAAAGCCAGCTCTAAACGCAAGGAAATTGAAGACGCAGAAGAACCACCTGCGAAGAAGAAGGCGCCTAGCACTGATGATGTAGATACAACTGTGGCGACTATCCTGACCTCAGAGCCCACAGAAGAAGGCGAGGAGGGAGAACTAGAAGAATAGGCACAGATTACGCGTCGGAAATAGATGGAGCAAAGACCACGCAGGATATATGATTTACAGCGCGGCGTTCGGGGTTCAACCTTTCATCCTAGAGATGAATGATTCAAGACACTTATGTATTAAAATGAATGGCTGGCGTCCTGGAATAGGAGGTACATACATGTATTGTACGATCTCTGCAAAAGCTGATAAATTGGGGGTAGGGAAAGGATTGGGAAAGGATCATCAAGATTCAATTCATGAATGCAGAGTATGCTATCCTACTCTGTCGCTGGCATGGTCGTATGTACAATTTGTAACCGGTGTCCTCTATCTGCTGCTCGCGTCGATCCATCCATTACCTCCATATTCATACCCATTATCTTTCCCACATGCTGCGCCATAGCGTAAATAATCGACCATGAAAGAGAAAGAGCAAAAAGAGGGGAGAAAAGAAAGGAAGGGAATCCTCTGTGCATAAATGGGTGACGCGCAAGTCTGAGATAGCGACAGTAACGTAAAAGTGTGCTGGGGCTCATGACCGCTGGATTTTAGACACGAGCTGATAGGGTGTGATTGGCTAAGTCCAGTGGTTCAGACAAGTGGCGGAGTTCGAAGAGGAGATAAGAGTCAGAGCCTAGAGATTGGGTAGTGTGATGTTGCTTCTAGACATCTGTAGCTAGCTAGCTGGTTGGTACTGTAGAGGACATCTATAGATGAGGTGGGAAAAGGACTTCGGGAGGGGTCTCAGAAGCGTTACGCAGCTAGTAAGGACACAGTCAGTCGGTGCGTGATGTAAGAAGTAGAGGAGGGATGCTACATCTGATTGTTTCTTCTCGTTCTCTGCTTATATCAATAGCGCTGTTCTTGCTCTTCCTCTTCTCTAGGACAGCTGCAGGATCAACCATGAGATCATGCTGCAGAAGAGAATCCCTCAGCCTTATAAACTCGTGCTCGATAGTTTCCAGGAAGGCATCTAAGTTCTGGGACTCGGTCTCGATGGCATCCAGATGTTGTGCGATAATAGGGAACCCTGCCTCCATCTCGGCCGTCACCTGTATGGCAGTGTCGTTCAGAAACTGGTAGAGGCTTTTGACTAATTTCTCTCTCGTCTCCTTGGTCATGTCGTGTAGTAGGTCCCCGAAGGCTAACGGATGATATAGTAACGCATCCACTGTTTCTGAAAGAGATGAGAGTGTGGTTGCGATGATTCCCATGTGTATTGTCATGGCTATGTTATATTGTGTCATTCGGATTGAGACCTGGGAGTTGAGATCGTGGAATTGCGTAAGGTAATTATGGTAGTCGGTCTCGCTCAGTGGCTTTTGGTTTGGTGTAAGGGAGGAGGAGGAGATTGGGAAGGCGACAAACAAGCAGAGTAGCACGAGGAGCCGTGAGAGTGTCGCAGAATACATTTTGCCGACTTTGATAGCACGCTATAGTGATTGTTTGGGAAGGCTACTTAGAGTTGATAATCGGGAGGCCAGGGAATGGCGGAAGCTTTGTTGTGTTGTTGTGTACAGATCGTAAGCCGATGAGCAGTGGAGTTGGGTTGTATCTCTGCTGGGCGAAGAGATCTTGCTGGTCGCTACAGATTTGACGGTGACGATCGATCGAACGGAACTCCTTGTTGTTTGTTGTTTCTTTCCTGCTGCTCGTACTGACAAGGTAAGGGCTAAGGGAAGGAGTAGACAGTCTGATGTACTGGTCGATAAAAAGCAGTCCAAGATAGATCGAAAATAGGCTTGCGAAGCTTACCACGTTCGCATATCTTGAAAAAACAAAAGTGAATAGGCACCAAGGTGCAATATGCGATAAGGCTGAATTCTGAACAAAATGTACTTTGGATCAATTGATCAAAGAGAGCAAGCGCATCGAACAAGATATCTTGGGAAGGCGGGAACAAACGCAGCTTCGGTATTCCTAGTCTTACCCAACTGAATGTATCAACTAAGGCCTTTTGCAGACGATGATATTATCTCAACAAAGGGTAGCAGCAACATGTGCACTTAGTGACAGATCATCAAACGTCAAGATGGGCCTGCATCAGTGATTGAGGGTAAATGAAAGGAAAGCAGACTGGCATTGGATAAGAGAATAGGCAAGGTCCTCTTTCCCACAGACCTTGGTCTACCTTACCTTCAGTAAGGCTCGAATTCTTTCGGTAGTAGCCAGGCAAGGGTCCCAGCAGCACTTCTGTAAGACAATTATAGAGATTTGTCTTATTGCTTCATTTGAACCAGACCGTCTCTTGGTCCTGGTGAACACTATCCTAAGTGACGATATGACAGTGAAGAGACAAACGCAATGATTTGAGCGTAAATATTATACTTATTGGGATCTCGATAATCCGTTTCTCAGTGAAATATGAGCCCAAGAATTGTGAAAGCATTGCGTAAACTTCATACTTTATGCGAAGCCTTGCTTCGAGGCGTTTGTGGCCTCTCTTACTAATAAAGGTCTGAACATTCTGGCCAGCATGACAGAAACCCAGGCAGCTTCGGAACATCGTTCCTTCAGGAGAATATATTCTTTTTGTCCTGAAGCCTCACTCCTAGAATCAAGGACGCAGCGTCTGACGTTTTAACGGGACTGATGACGAGACACAAAGCTATTGGTGTGATTGGATTCCTGACAACCCGTGGATTCGTGGTCTCCTTGTCAGCTTCACGTTGAACGCCTTCTGTCCAGTGGTACACAGCCTCGAATAGATCTGAAGCACTACAATTGGATGGCCCGTTCGGTATGCGATCTTGTGTTGGAGGTTGGAGGTTGTCGAGCCCTTTATGATCCCGTGCATTTTTGACCAATGGGAGGAGGCATGAGACGAGGCAGCCCGCCAGCGAGGATTTGCAGAGAGCGGAAAATACAAGTCCAAGTCCAACATCCAAATCCGAAACAAAGACCACAAATCAGATAAAAATCAAGTAAAATAAAGGCAAAATCCAAGAAGAGAAGAATCACCTCCAGTGCCTGCGCCCGTTCACGAGAACCAAGAAATAGTAATCATTGATCCCTCAGGAATTCTCCTGCGCCCTTCTTGCGCCTCGAGACCGACAAAGCGCAGCACTCCAGCCTCTTGAGCAGGGAGAGGTCGATCGATTTATGGCGGTAAGAGGCGTATAAGGCGGTATGAACACTGAACTGGCTCTCCCGCATGACGGGGGGCCCTCACAGTGACAGTTTGATAGTCAAAACGAACGGTCGGAGAATATGCCGTGTGCAGCATAGTAAGGAACATGCGGCGCATCGAGTGGTTCACACGCTGATCCCCAGCCTTCGCCTCCAAGACAGCGTAATTTCACAACGGCCCTAAACCTCCTGATACGACGACGCCCAGCGATGGCCTCTTTTTACCGCAACAGCACTAACCTCTTAGGACCACTCGAGGATGCGCAGGGCACGCAAGAGGGACGTGAACGCTGATCAGGGCTTCTTGTGTGGAGCCTTTCCCCCAGCCAGGGGACCTTAAGATAGCGATGTTCGTTTTTAGGCCTGGCTGACGAAATGGCGTGTAGGGGCTTTGGAGGTCCTGGCTTTGCTCTTCCACCGTTTCTCTTTGCTCTGTCTACAACTACGGAGTCTGCAACCTTCTCTACGACACGATTCCCGGACGCTGGATAGTCTGGAGTAGCAGCGAGGACAGGTGTTGAACCGGGCCAGGAAGAAGCGGATATTCAAGACCCGGCAATCCGACAGCCTCAGACCCAATTATTACCTATCCGAGATCAAAACCACAGGGTCCTCTACCTCGTATCCCATATACACATCTGCATTTCCATTTTCGCCGAAAGGAGGAAGCAAGATGGAGCGTCCTCGATCGTCTCCTCGTCCGGTGTCATCCGCAAGCTCTCAATCCAGCTTCGAATCGAGATACAAAAGTCCTCTGAGCACCAGCTCTTCAGTCGACTACGAATCCAGTCGGACGAGCGAGGACTCTTCATTGTTCGATGCCGACGCCGGAAGTGTGTCCTTCGTGTCGCCGACATCGACCCCTCATACTCTATATAAAGACGGAAAGCGTTCATTCACGGAGCCTATCGTTCCTGTGCGCAGGCATGGGGCAGGTGGTATAGAAAGGAGCACGTTGATCACACCACAGAGATTATCTAGGGCTCCATCAAGTCCAGTCACCCGAGACTTCGGGATGATGCTTCAAATACCAAGGGCACCCGGAGAGAGCTTCAAAAGGTTGCCGGAAGAGATATTGCTGGTTATACTGGGAGAGTTGAAGAAGTCGCACTTGGCAGTGGGCAGTACGAGCTGTGCCACTTGCTGGATGAGGGATTTAGCCAACTTGGGTCTGTCCTCGCGGAAATGGTGGTGTGCTGCGAGGTGTATGCTGTACGAGGATATTCAACTAAACGGTGTTGATTCGGTCCACCACACCAGGAAGTTTAAGATAAAGTACGGGGTTAGGCTCAAGCTTCTCAGGCGGACTTTACGCGCTCGGCCAGAGCTTGCGGAATACGTCAAATCATTGAAAGTGCCATCAATGCCGGATGGAGCCAAAGGAAAGAAGGAGCAGGAAGAGTATCTCGATCTGGTTGCCTCTGTGATAATGGCATGCCCAAATCTGGAACGTCTGCCAGGCTTCTATCCAGCATACAACCACACGTTCTCCCGTCTTGTCCATGCTTTATCAACAAGACAAAAACTAAAGGAGGCGGTGTGGGTAATAAGCTCAAGTCCTTCTCAACGTCAGCATCGATACACATCCACGGACGATGCCCAATATTTTCCTTCTATCATGGCACCAGCTCGTCTTCTTCCAGAGCAGTGCGTCGACTTCCTGACCTACCATTCAAATTGGACACACCTTAAAACCCTCTTCCTCCACTGTAATCCAGGTGGGAACATCGACTCCCTACTGTTTGCCGACGTATGCAATCTTCTTCCATCACTTGAGAATTTACATGTTTCCTCTTTTCCAACTCCAGCTTTTAACGACTCAACCCTAACCTCCCTTCCGCCTCTCAAGTCACTGCGACTTGAAAATCTTTCTGGCATCACCGCTAATGGACTGTCGGCTTATGCATGTTCGCCTGGTAGTAATACCTTGACATCACTCTCATTGATATCTCTTCCAGATGTCTCACTTCCCGTGCTCGCACGATTGTTCTCATATCTCAAAAGCATGACACGTTTCACTCTTTCACAAGCTTCATCACCTGGTCTGCCGGTTGGTACCGACATCTACCTGCATCCATATCTCGCATCCCCAAGTCTCGAATACCTACATTGGGAGATTACAAATCCAAGCGATGAGGAAGCCACGGATATTCTCGCGAAGTCGATCCTGTATTCCGGGTTTCCATCCCTACGAACCATCCGTGCACCCACAGATTCCGAGGGGACATTACAGAAGCTCTGCAAACCAAGAGAGAAGATCGAGCTTCCTGGCGATCGACATCGTGACAAAGGCGGCAGCAGCGCGGCGCCTAGCCACGTCTTGTCAAGTTCCAGCCTACCTTCCCCTACCTGGTCAACGTTCTCTCTCGGCCACAACTACTCCGGCTCCAGCTTCCTCAAATCCCCGACCCGCTCCACCTTCTCCCTGAAAATGGACTCACCAATATGCAACGACCGTTCCGCCGAACCAGGGACCAGTCTCCTGGCCGCGCGCCGCACCGCCCAGCAGCGCATCGACGCCGCGCAGACAACACCCCAGTTCCACATCATCATCTGGAACGAGTGGGGGCTGCTCGTGGAGCGCCAGACAGCCGGCGGCTTCATAGGCATGGTCCAGAGCCGCATCACCTACAGCCTGAAGCCGGATATCGATGGCGCGGACCAGGCGCTGGTGACGGTGGATGGCCCGGGTGGGTTGCTGGACGGCGCGGCGGAGACACACTCCCGTGATGGATGCACGGGAGGCTGGAACCGTGGCCGGTCGGGCAAGAGCGGGAGTTCGAAGGAGAAGTGGTCCCATACGGAGCGTGGAAGGTGGAGGGAGATTGCGCTGGAGAAATTCTTTTAGTGGGCAAGGAGGGGGGAGAATCCGTGTATATATAAAATACTTTTTCGTGATGTAGTTGGATATCTGGATGTATTATAGCACTTTTAGTACTCAAACGAGGGATATGGCGATAGGCTTGCAAATGCTAAATGTGAACTGTCGTCCTGCTGCTGAATTTAAGGCTTTATATGAGGCTGTAGATCTGAGTACAGAGAGCCAGTTTCCTGAGAGGGCTTGAGAATTGAGTCAGAGATTTTAGTTGTGGATTGAAGGGGGGAGGAGAGAGGTATATATCGTGTTGTTGAGAGAGGAGTGGTAGTGTTGTAGTTCGTTTACTGGTTTGGGAGTGAACTTTGGCATTTCAGCCCGGCGAAGACACAAGTTGCAAGGTCTGGGGAGACACCTACCGCACCATAGAGCATCAGAGCTATTATTCCTACTCCAAGCTCTGCCCTCCCGGCCATTCACAATGCTCTAAAGTATCTAACCCACCACTCCTCCCAAATCCCCGCGACCCGCGCCAATTACTCTGTAGCCAACCTCCAAAGCCCATCGCCCAAGTAATGCGCATCCTCAACCACCGGTCCCTTCCCCTTCTCCTTGACCTCCTTCGTACCCATGGCCAATAAGCCCACCGCACACGCCTCCTCCTTCCCCTCGGCACAAATCACGACCGGCTCGCCCGCCTCCAATTCTCGCCCACCATACCAGCCCTCGCGCTCCTCGCCCTCCGAAACCTTCGCCTCGCCATAAACTCCCTGCTCTTCCGGATTCCCGCTCGGTAGCCGACCCCCGGCCGACGTCAGTCCAGGCGCCATTAACGTCGCCCCGGATAACACGAAGCGGATCGCGCCGCGGTCGATGCGTATAGAGGGGAAGCAGGTCGGGAACCGATGCACCAGTTTTAGGTGCGGAAGGAGCGCGTCGGTCATGTGTTGGTAGAAAAGAGGGGTGGGACCGATGAGGTACAGCGTTACGCGGTCGGGTCTTCATCGTGCGAATTGTAAGTATGGGTATGTGTATTAATGAAGAGGGGGATGGGGGAGGGGTGGCGAGGGAGAGGAAAGTATTCGTTGGGAATGGTAAGAGAGAGCGCAGAGACGTACATCTTCATGGCATCTAATTGCTCCTTCTTTGGTATTATCTCATCGATATGTGGTGCCAGGAGGGGGTACGTGGTTACGAGTTGTGTTCTGAGGGCTCGCTGGATGGAGGACTTGACTTTTGATTTCGAGCCGGGGGAGATACTGTGGTTTGCCGTTAGCCTCTGGACACAGAACGGCAGTGGAATTGAGAAGGCCTCTTACTCTTTCTTGAACATCTTGATTGTAGTCGTGGGGTATCTTGCGATGTAGAGAGGATGGTGGTGTGTGGAGTATCAAGTATCGTGCCTTGAAAGGTTGGATGTGGAATTCTACCCCGCGATACGGGTGCGCGGGAAGACCAATAACGACGGGAATTAGAGTGGCATGGTCATGTGATTCTGAGGTTTTGGAAAGGGTGATATTTATCTTCTTTGACAATGGATTCTGGATGAATCAAGAGAGAGGACGTCAAGCAGAAAGAGGGGCTTGCATATTCACGAGGTCAGGATATCAGGAACTCAAGAGGTCAACGTATTTCATTCATTCGTTCTCCATCCTCGCCGTTACTGATGATTAACATGGGTCACCGTCCCGTCCTCAGCCAGATGCACATTCAGCCTACGAAGATCAGTCACTCTATCCCGGATGGCTTGATATCAGTCCTGCTCACCGCCTTGGGTTGAAGTCTTTTGTAACCATCATTCCTGGTTCGATGACCCGAGTATGTTCTGGGAGATCATTCTTTGCGAAAGTCTGGGCAAGGCTCAGTAAACTAAAGGAGAGATTCATCAGAGGATCTCAAACTTACAATCTCATCATGGGCATCACCTAGTTTCTTGCCAACTAATTTGTTCTGCCATTCCTTTGTCGGGTCGCCGCCAAGAGAGGTGGTTACGGGGTCGATAAGAGGCATGTTGAATATCTGCTTGGTGTTGAAAGGCTTGTATTGATACGGTGAAATGCGTTTTTGGATTGTCTGTTTTCGTATTGTTCTTATGAACATGAAAAGGGAAGATCTGACGATTTTGAAGATGGATATATAGAGACGTTGAGCCCGCCTTGCTTTTGTGTGTTGCCTTGTAGGTAATGGTGACGTATGTCGATCACGTGCTGCCCAAGAGGTGGTCTCCGTTGCGTGTTTCTCCCTTCTCTCTCCCCCACATCTCTTCTCTCCTCCCCATCTCCATCTTCACTTTTACCTTCGTCTTCATCCCTACGATGTACATTCTCTTCCTCTCCAACATGATACTCATTAATTCTAAACAGCACGGACCCCGTCCCTTATCTCAGATTGCCAAGGGCTGTCTGTGCCTGAACTCAAGCCACCAACAAGTTACCCCTTTTGCAGAAACCTTTCCGCCCTCCCTCAGCCCGCGCTTCGTCGCGTACTTTATTGGTACCAAGTGGATTGCAAGTCACCAGAAACTCCATATGCATTTCATGGGCTACTACTACTATATCTTCTGATGCGCATAGCGCGCGTTGTCTCGTCGCGTTGGCAGCTTTCTAGATCTTCCGCCTTATGCCCGTCCAGGTTCAAGCTTTCAGAAGACTCCGCAAAACGGGCCTACTGAAATTGATTGATTGATAGTAGTAGTACTACATCTCAAAGTGGGCAATACTCTGTAGGGGCACAGGGGGTAGGGCTGAGCGTTCTCTCCCGACTTTACGCCGCATTCTTGGCTTTTAATGGCGTTTTACCGCCTATCAAGAGCGTCAAAAGATAAGGCCAGACCCGAACCAGAATCTGAACCCATGGTTTATGATCTTACTGTTTATTAGCCTCGGAGGCGAGTACAACCATGCCTTTACGCTCATTTCTTTGGATTTTACTTGTTCTTCCGCAGCTGGGCGTGCCAAATCCTTCTGTTTGCTTACCCGATGGTCTACCCCTGGCTTTTTGGTTTTTAACCCGCCATTCTCCCACTGGAGTGGCATCACTCGTTGAGCCCTCTTGAAGGTAAAGCTCTGTACGCGCTTTCTGTCTTTTCAGTGTTTAATGTTGGGGTCATAATATCTCTTTATCACGTTCATTTCCAGATCACCATGCGATCCATCCTGATCGCCCTTTTGGTTGCCAAAGCCGTGTTTGTTTGTGCTACAGGAAACGGGTGTTCAGACAAAAACCTCGAAGAACTTGCTACAGGAAGACCTTGCGGCGACAAGGATACCATCTCGAAATGTCTCGGCGCTAGTCTCAGCCTTGGGCAATCTAATCGAATACAGCACTGCTTTGTTGCTGGCGGATGCGACGAGGCTGATGCCATGGTGGGAGCTGCCTGGTCTGAGGATAAATGCCCTGAATATGGAGATTCAGATATTCAGGAACTGCGGCGGAGGGAGATCCAATCAATAATCACCGAGACAAGAAAAGCAGAATCAACAGCGTCTATCCCTTCAAGGATAGATGCGAACACAACACCAAAACCATCATCACCCCGTACCGCTCAGACCATTTCCCTAAGAGCTGCATCCTCTACAACTAGTCAGTCGCGTGCTAGCCCGGCGATCTTAACGAGAGATGCCAGCACAACAACACCTCTAGTCTGCTTCACCACAACCATGATAACGACATCGTACTGCTCAGTGAGTGTGGGAAAGACCATCTGCCATTCGACAATCACAGCCTCCCCAACCTGCGCACCCGGAATTATCTGCCAGAAAGACTCAGAAGGACATGATATATGCATGCAAAGAGACGACCACGTCCCCCTGGCCGGCATCGTGATCATTGCCGTTTTCTCTGCCTGCATAATTGGGTTCACCATCTCGATGTTTATCTCAAGTGCGCTGGCACGCAGGGCCCGTAAACGACAGCAATTACAGAGGACGGCCATAGCTCCCGGAGTCTATGGGGGTGGAGGTGGGGGAGGTAGAGCGATGGCAGATGTAGAGGCAGTGAAGGGTTTTTTGAATAAGGGACAGTCCGAGGCGAATCTTCCTTTAATATCATCTGAAGGGAGGAGTAACGAGTACAATGAGCAATACGACAGACCGAGACAAACTACTGGAGGGTCGAATACAACGCCCTTGCCCCCTCTGCCCCCTCTACGGTTACATCAAGGGTTCGAAGCTCTACAATAGGATCTTGGACAATAATGTATCGAGGGTTGCAAATCGGAATTTACGACAAGTCTATGATACGATACCTATGGTGAATGGGAATTTGACGAAGCTATTTCAAACCATCTTTGGAGCTATTCTGGAATATTACGACTAATTCGCCACATGTTGAGAGTGTACATATAGTACGAGATTGTACCTGATTTGCTTCCTTGCAAGTTGCATCACTAATTGGCTGGAAAACTATATCCCCCAAATATATCTCTATCCCAAAATCTCAGGCGCAGATCTCAGGATACCCTTCTTCGTCACATCAATCATCTTCTTCCTCCTCTCTCCTTGCGAGGACTCCTTTTTCCAAAGAGTTGGACTTCTCATACTCGCTTTCTCACGTACTCCACTTCCTCACTCATCTCAAGACTCAGATAAGCTTAAAACAGCTGCACATCGCTAAATCTTAGCTCCGTACAGATACTGGCAGATTTGCGTCGTCCGCGTCGTCTATTATTTATTAGATAAGTTGATAATCTACAGTATCATGAATTCGGAAATGCCCCGTTCATTTTCTCGACTCCTCTCCCCTTCCCATCCCAAATCGTGATTGGCATGATAACGCCGCCATCTAGTGAAAGCGGGGTCAGGGGGGATCTAGAATAGCTCGGTCTTGGATTACAAAGATTTCTTGGGAGGGACACGGGCTGCTGCAAGAATATGAGTATCGATGACTTGTGTGTTGTTCTGGGGCCTTTAGAACGTGAGTCTCTATGTCAGGGACAATCAATAACTAAGGAACAGTCTCTTCATATCAATTATCGAACTGGAACCTGAAGAGAGCGGAGAAGAATGGAGTGGTATAATAACTCGAATAAGTACAGGTTTACCTCGTGCATTCCCGCCATGGTCGTGCCCTACGACACTACAAGATATAGAAGACAGTTGAATATATCTTCATGTAGCACCCGCTTTCAGAAGCTTTGTCTATTAGCCACTATCCTTTGGATTTATTCCCTCCTCCTGTTTCCTTCTTCCTCTCCTCTTCGAGATGCCTGCCCTCGGAGTCTCCCTGGACAACGGGCAACGTTGATAAAGGATCTTCAACACATCCTTCATAACTTGAAGCGACCTCCTTGCTATATGTTATAGCTTGAATACGGCGGCACAGGCGCTCTTACGAGAAAAAATCTGGAGAGGACGGCCTGTAGACGGTAACACAAGATATCAGCAAATAACTTGAACAACACGGAGTAGGAGGGTTCATCTCTTACTTCTCCTTAATGCATTCTGGGCTCGTAAGCGCTCCTGATAAATAGTGGCGGTTGATGATGAAGGATATCGGTCCGTGATGAAGACTTTTTGATATCGTATGTCGACTCATCCACCCCTTTCCACTTTCCCACCAATTCAAACAACCAACAACTCCCCCCTCCTCTCCCCTCCCCCTTCCCCATCCCCCCAATCCACCTCCTCCTCCTCACCACCCTCCAAACTCTCCAAATACCCAAAAAAGCAAACAATATAGATTCCCAACACCCCAAGATTTAACAACGGCATTCTTCTACCCCAAGGTAGCGTACCAAAAAATACCAAAAGCGGGATCAGAAGGAAGAGGAACGGCCAGCTTTTTTCTCGTATCGGATTTGGACCGAGGGATGAGAGGATTTGGTAGATTATGATGATGGAGAAGAGGAAGAGAAATGCGTCGAGGGGCGATTTGGGGGTGCTGATTATGTGGAAAATGTAGAGATTTGATGGATCGTAGAGTGATGCCATGTTTGGAATTTTGGGGTTTGGAGTTTTGTAAAGTAGACCGGAATGCAAGACGAGCGAGCGAGTAGAGTATAGCAAGTGAAGTGGAATGCTGGGTTTTGAGAGAAAATGTGAGTGATTGAAAGGTTTATATATATAAGTACCTGTTTACCTTGCTGGGCACTTCTCTAACGAATTCGCATTTCGACTGAGGATACTGTGCAGTACTAACTGTACCTACTACCGAAATTTAAGGTAACTCCCATTTTGCTACAATGACTATTAAATATACCTGTATAGTTAAATTTAGGAATGGGTAAGTAAGCTTGGTGAAGAGTTGTTGTTCTTTGGATTTTCCCTTCTTAACCTAGTAGGTACATCCTCGCTTAGGACATGATCCCCCCCTTTTTTTTACTTCCCCCCTTCGCAGAGCAAATACCAAGTAAAAAACCCCCCCTCCACTGACTCATCCCCTGAAAAGAAATAGATCATCCTAATTATAGCGAAGCTATTACTGGGAGACTCCCACCATTCGTAGCCTGCATTTCTCGGTTTTCTCTTGAAAGAAAGGTTTGGATAGCCTCAGCGGAGAGTCGAGGTTCAAGTGATCATCTTTCACTATGCAACATCCGATAATATTTATTCTTCGCTGTACTATTCCTATTCATCACGCATTGTTATCCTACGCCATACCCGCCCTTTTCTGCCCTTTCCAAATTAACAGCATACACGTTCAACAACGAGCACACTTTCGTGCATTCCCCCCCCCACTTTTTCTTTCTCCCCCTTCATGAAACATCCCCCACTCTGTCATGCGCTGCCCTACAACTCTTCCTTGGCCCTATCACTCGCCTTCTGGGCTGCCTCCTCCGCGCGATGCTTCGCATACGTTGCGCCCTCCTTGACTCTATCCGCGGCCTTTTCAGCTTGATAGTTGGCTTGCTTGCGGCCTGCTGCTGCACCGATGGAGAGTTGGTCCATGACCCATTGAGCTCCGTTTCGTCTGTGAAATCATATCATCAGCATCAATGCATTTCCCTAACTCTAACATCCCACAGGTGGCAGGGAAAAAGAAAAGGAAAACGTACAATTTAACCCATAAGGTTCCTTGGGGCGTTGTAGTCCCATATTTAAACCAGTTTCTCTGATTCCGCGCCCAGGCAATCAATTCATTCTTGGTTGAGCCCTGAGGGACTTGGAAGCCGTAAGAATCAAGATAGTTCTTGAGTTCCGATTCGGACCAGGTGTCGAAGACGGAATCTTTCGCGGCGTCGGTCTGCTTGGCTAGATAGGAGGTTACGGATGCAAATGCATTACCACCGGTGGCAGACGCAGAATTGTAAGCGTCCTGGGCGGCAGAGACAAGTTGTTCGCGGGTAGCGCTGGATTTCTTGCTCAATTCCTCGGCAGCCTTGTTGCCAGTGGAGGCAAGGTAAGCCCTAAAACCATTAATACAATTCCTCACGACAAGAGAGAAAGCGGGTGATCATACTTGAGATTATCAATGGTCCATGTATCAAATGTCCAGGCCGTCCATCCAGTCTCGGCTTTATGCTTGTTCAGCCTCACCGCAGCTATCAACTCGTCCCTCTTCCCTGACTGTGGTACTGGAACACCGCGTGAATCAAGGAATGCCTTCAGTCTTGAGTCAGACCAGGCTGAGATGGCACGGTTGAACGCATCCTCGGCCTTTAATTGCGCATCATCAGTAGCACGTGCGTACGCGTTGCCAGCAGAAGAGGTAGCTGCTCCAAAAGCAGATTCTCCTGATGCAGAAGCCTTGGAGGCAGCACTCTTCGCAGAGTAAGAGACGTTATCCCCAACCAACTGAGCGCGGTGCTTGCGTGCGATAGCGATCAGCTCATTGCGCTTGCTACCTTGGGGGACCTTGATTCCATTCTTGTCGGCCCACTCCTTGAGTTCTGTTTGCCATTTAGTATTGTAAGATAGGTGGTGGAGAAGGGATCTCACGTGAATCAGACCAAGAATCGAGAAGAGCATCACTGAGTGTCTCGATGGTGTCTGCAGCAGATTTGGACGCTGAAGCTTTCATGTCAGCCAGTCTTAGGCTGGCGATACGAGAATTGCGGCGGACGCTGGCGATAAGCTTGTCCCTGCTGGTTGGTTGCGGTACTGGAACTCCGTGGGTATCAAGCCATTCTTTGAGCTCTAAAGCAGGAGATTAGCCATCAAAAAGCAAGCATTTGTAGCGTGGTAACTCACCAGATTCAGACCACGTCTCGTAAAGCCAGTCTCCAGGGTAGCTAGCTGCATCGGCAGCTTTCTTTGCAATATTCTCATAGCTGGACCGAAGGTGCTGAAGAACAGTGTCACGCTTGCGTGGTTGCGGTACAGGGATGCCATGTCTATCAGCAAAAGCCTTGAGTTGTGAATCCGACCAGCTGCCAAGTCGTCAGTAAAACTCCCTTGAGACGTTATCGACAATAACTCACGTGTCAAAGATCCAGTCTTTGACATTGGCCCATGCCTGCTCAGCCTTTTCTTCCGTGTCATACCAATGAGCCTTAACCTGCTCAAGCAAATGATTGTGGTTCGCAGCAGCCGCATCCTTTGTCTCAACACCTTTCTGCTTCAAGAAAGAATGAAGCTGATGTGTATCCCACTCATGGTATGGGTAAACAGCCTTCGATTGCCAATTGTTCTTGACCAGGTTTTCAAGATCCTTGCGATCTGCGGGTGTGGGGTAGGGGACATTATGGTCTGAGAGCCAGCGCTCTAGCTCCGTTTCGTGCCATTTGTTATAGACTGACGCGGAGATGTTAGCTGGGTAGAAGAATAAAATATTGTATGCGTGATGGAGAAGAATGAGGATATCCCGGGAACTGAGAACGAGAGAGAGAGAATTTACCAGCCTTGCTGAACCAGTTACTCGCAAGTGCTCCTTCAGCCGCAAGGCCCAGCACCAGGAGCTGGGAAAAAAGTTTCATGGTGCTTGATGCCGCTCGGCTCTTTCTTTAACTCTAGTATTCAGTATTATCTCAATCACCGAGATTCAGATATATCTCCAGAACGTAAATGATTGCTGATGCTGTTCTTTCAAGTAGCAGCAACAGGATGGAGGAAATTGATGTTTGATGAGGATGGTGAAGTGAAGTGGTTTGACGCAAGAAGTAAGGAGAGTCTCTTGCGTATGATTACTTGGTGACGTCGAGTATTTTGCTTCTTGGTCTGTTCTGTTTACACTGCAAATGCGGAGAAACCACCAAGATGGTGATGTCATGATCACCTTCAGCCACAGTGCACCATGCGATATCCCCGCCACTATCGCGCCGCCTTGGCGGAATAGTGGCATGTGGCTGGTGCACTCTAGAGCGGCGGGAGTATGATGGAAAATGTGGGGATGGTGTTGAGCGGAACGAATCACCTCATGTAGGGTAATATAAAATACAGAGTACCTTATGCTTGTGAAGAGGCATGTATGTATGTATATATTTCTTTATCAAAGAGCGTATCTTCTCATCATGGCATTAAAAGCTCATCTCCCCATCTCCATATGAACGTAGATCTCCTCAAAATGTACACTATCCATCAATCCAAAATGAATGCCTCGCCGGAAAGCCCCAATCATGCCTCTATCCTTCTATGCTTCTATGTTTCCTGGCCCCCATTCCCATATTTCAGGGACGAAAATGTTAAAACCTTGCGCCAGTGCTATGCAGTCGTATCTCCAAACCGTCAAACCATGCTTCTTCCATGAATCTTGAAAAAGTACTCCTCTCCCTTTTCCACATTAAAACGAGTACGATAAATCTTAGTTGAACCGTCTGAATCCTTCCACCCCCAACGTGGGAACCTCAACCCATCTCAGCCCTGGCACACCCTCTGCCCGTCTCCTCTGAACGAAATTATTACACTCCCCTACAATGATTGCCCACTCCGCTAGAGCACGTCCTGCATACTTCGCTCTGGCAACGCCCTCGCTACCCGATCCTCCCTGTCCCGGATCCATGGGCAGCACATCCATGCTGACTCCTGGCACCTGAGCTTCGAGACATGACTGTGCAGGCGCTGGTAATTTGGGTGCAGATAGCTGACGTTCATGACCGATATTGTATCCCGCTCCTGGTGCATTTGACTGTTCCCATGAAACATTTTGGGCTCTCTCAAAATTTTGCGCCCATTCCAAGCTGAATTTGAACGAGTAGGCACGATGGTTCGAGGTGGATGGCGGGGTTTCGCTGTCGGAGCTTGGGTTCTTGGCGTGTCCTGTGCGTGAGAGGGCCATTTCCCTTCGAGCTTCTTCGAGCGTCTTGGCTGGGCCAGAGCCTCTTGGCGGGCTTGCGGTGTCCGAGGCGGAGCTGCCAGGGCGAATCTTGCCCATAAATGCCCACCTTCTTTTGGTTGGTGTAGTCGGTGCATCGCTTGTTAGTTTCGACGCAAAGCTATCAGTCGATTCGAGATTGGAAAGAGACGCCGGAGTGGAAAGGCGCTTATATGCGTTGGATTTGGTCGTACCTTTCAAGGACGCTGTCGTGACGCCGTCGAAACCGAGAAAGAGACTTGATGCGGGAGGTAGATTGTCATTACGGATGATGAGAAGGCGGCGGCCAGGGGCGGGGTGACATGGTACAGTCGAAGGAGGAAGGGTATAATCCTCTTCAGCAGCTTGTTTTAAGAACAGATACTGCGCCCAGTTTGATTGCAGACGTGCAGCAACAGCGCTGAAGATTTTACTGCATACAATTAGCAATTGAACGTCGGTGAAAAAGGTAGCTAACATACGTATCAAGCTCAGTCGGCTCTCCATCATCCCGACACAGCCGCCAGCACAAGAGGCGCATGTAATAAGCCCTGACCATCGGACACCAGTGGTTGAAGAACCGGCCAAAACTCTCTTCTGTTAACAACCAGTCCAAGCATACAACCTCTTTTCGACGCTCATTGCTCGTGAGGACACCCCACGTCCCATAAAGGAACGAGAAGAGTCGAATTTCGGACATGCTGTTCTGGCTCTCGAGCATTTTCTTGCAGACCTCCAGCCAAAAGTACCAATCGACAAAATCGGATGCCAAGGGACGGGAAAGATGGAAACGAACGAAGATGTACAAAGCCTCTTCCATGAAATCGCACAAGATAAAACACGCATTATGGTCAAATAATGAGGTTCTTCGAGCCGCCGCCTGCATTACTTTCTCGAAAGATTCAGCGAATGTCATCCGAGCCGCTTCATAATCAGAGGGTTTCTCAGATACGAAATCTCGCAGAAGCATAATCAACCGATTCTCCGCCATCAGTCGTGCAGAATTACTTGAAGGTAGAGGGAGAGCCGCGGCCGAAGCATCTGCTCCTGCAAGAACATCATCAAAAGTGATGGGCAATGGTTCAGGAGGAGGCGCCCGATGAATAGTTCCATCCAATGCTGTCAAAAGTTGAGCCTGGACAAGCACGAAACCTACAATCGTTAGCGGGTCCTCTTATATTCTTCCAAGGGTAACTACCTGGGGCGCGAGCTTTTGCCGAAAGGGGTAGGTCAGACGGCAGGAACTCCTCGGCGAGGATATGATAGTGCTTGGTAAAGACAAAGAATAGATCACTGTCTCTTCCACACCATCTAGAAACCCATGGGCCGGACCAAGGGACATTCCCTGCGAGAACAGGGAAGGGCGGCTTCTTTTGCAATTGGGCCGTCATCGATTTGGCAGACGTCCAGCCAAGTGATTGGATATGAGATGGAAATGTTGCAACCACGTCATCAGTGTCAAGCTTGTTGACACGCCTAGGCAAACCGAGCTCGTCCGCTGCCCGTCTCAACGTGTCGGCTTGTGGTCTCCATAGTCTGACCAACATATCTGCCACTCCAGGCACAAAAAAGAAGGCATACGCTGCGGCCTTCCCACAGAAAGTCACAAGACTTGCCGGGGCATGCCTCAACGACATCTTGTCAACTACAAATCTCATCTGTGCAAGCAAATTCTGGATAAACAGGATCCGAATGTTATGATAGATGGAATCAGTCAGAAATTGAGAGCTCGATGAGCTTAATGACCCACTGGACTTTTTATTTCGTAGCGGAGTACGTTCATTGAAGTGGTCTGGAGGCCGCTCAGATAATGGCGCAAACGCAGATGGGCTCATCCGCCATTCAGGCCTCATCATAATTGCAAGGGTGGCTTCAAGCAATACCGGCCTATCCACCCCCGAGACTACCTGATTCTGTCTGCCATCAAGCACCTCCAATAGTCCCAACCACCACTTGTTTAAAATCTTGACTCGCCTATCCAGGTCTTCTGGGCGGAGATTCCTGTTGGAAGGATGCGATGCATGATTTCGAAGGAAAGGTAGGAGTGATGCTCTGACAACATTGGTTTTCAAGGACCAGGACTTAGCTTGGAATTTCGAGAAATCATTTTCCAGTGAGCGGAAAGCCGACCATAGCTCGTCACGCCTGCGAGGTGTCTCGGGATGGAGATTTTGGAGCTTGTCGAGGGACGGAACCGGCGGTACTTTGTCAATTGAGGTTCTCGGGGTGGATCGGTGATCAGTAGAGCTCGTGGGCAAGCTGCTTGCGGAGGAATTGGCGGAATTGAAAGTGCTGAAATTCATGAGCACGCTTTGTGGCCTTTGTTTTATCTTCTGAAGGGTCGAGGTCCTCCGCGAGAAAGCTTTTGGAGGGCTGGTGGACAGTTTGGCCGGAGCAGGTTTTTCGATCTGTGGAGGGGCCTCCAAGGACTGGCTCGAAACGGAAGACGGAATGGAAGTTGAGATAGAAGTCGAGATAGAAGGCGAAGCGGAAGTCGAAGTGGAAGACGGTGCGCTACTGGCAGCGTCTTGCGAAGCATCTCCGGATTCCACATCCTGCTCTGTCTCTTTCTCCCTGTCACGCCTTGGGGATGGTGACCTTGACGTGTTGATCCATGACTTCCGGGCAAATGTTGCAAACGATTCTGACACCTTCTTGGGCTTTTCCCGGTAAGGTTTGGGAAGTGCGGGTACGGGTGGGATGACCTCGGGGGCAGTATCAACCACCTCGATGGGTTGGTTTCTTTCGGGAGATCCCCTTACCCGTTGTATCCAAGCTTTGGGTCCCGATACAAAGGATTTTCTCCTCCCTACTCGGTCGAGCTTTGGCTTCTCCTCCTTCACCAATGTGCCCTTCCCTTCCTTCCGGCTCTTCGGTTCATCGACTTCTTCGGGAGGTTTGGGCATAGCATGTGCAGAGACGATCCGCTGCACCTGGTCCTTTGAGCCATATGGGAGGTTCTCGAGGATGGGTAGGCCACCGAAACTCGCGGATCTCGGCAGTCCATCGTCATGCTGTGCTGGCTTTGATTTGTAGTCCACGCGGATGAGGTCAGGAAGGTCTGAAGAGGAGTGCGAGCGAAGGAGTGCCGAGTTCGCGTCGAGGGCAGCGGGCATCGTCAAGACGGGCCCATGCATAGCTGTTGTAGCTACGAGGCAGACGGCGGGGGAGCTAGTAGGCGGGCATTGCAAGCATTCGCGACGAACAATATCTAACTATTCATAAGATTAGGAAGCAGACTTCCCTGACCGGCAGAGCAGCTGAGTTGGAAGTAGAGCGAGCGTTTCGATTGAGATCCGGATAACGAAGGGCCGGACGAGGCTGGTTCGGGGGGGCGGGCGGGCAATAATGGATATAATAAGTATATCACGGATTAGAGGTGCCCCCGGACAGCAGCAGTTTCAGGCAAACGATGGTGGCTGTACGTTCCTTGCTTTTCCTGGTCGACGTGGGGAGGTGCGCAGCAGGTCCTCTCAGAAGAAAGTCGAGGAGGACCGGGTTGGTATTACAGACGCAGGACAGGACGACGAGTTTGATGAGGGACGAAAAACGAATGTCTGTTGGGGTGCCGGAGCTCGTGTAGCCGGGCGTTGTAGCATGTAGGAAGTCAATCGTCAATCGATGCGGCGACGAGGATGATGGGGGGGGGAGGACAGCGAGAGAAGAACCGGGGGCCTGTCGTAGACTCGTAGGGTACATGTACGCCCGGCTCGAGGGGTCTCGGAGGCTGGAGAAGAGGGCCCTGTGGGCGTTGATCCGCAGTTCAAGAATTCACAGCACGAAGACGGAAAGCTGCGAGAATCACGATGACGGGGGGGTCCTGGGACGATCGAAGCCATTCTATTGACGACTTGGGGCGAGGCTACCTGTGTCCCGGCGCGCGCTATGCTGGGGCGGGCAGGTTTCTGATATTTGCCGTTGGCTGAGACGGCCAAGGAGCGCCGCACCGTCCGAAGATGGCGTCGCAGCCAGGCCCGAGCTCTTACTCAACGGGCCCGTAATGCCTCGTAATGCCTCGTATCATGGATGTCTACTCGTGTTGTCGTCCATGCGGCAGCGTTGGAAGGTTGAAGGCAGCTGAGCGTGAGTGATTGGGGGTGGAGATGCGTATATATTGCGGTGTATGATCCTCTCTCTCTCTCTCTCTCGGGGGGGGAGGGGAGGTTGGATGATGGCACGATTAGCTGATCACGGCGACGGGCCTTCCTGCGGTATCTATCTCCCTTGGACTTTTATGATTGTTTGTGTTTTTATGGGTATTTTTTGACGATTAATCTCATAATTATTGCTCTCCCATATCTCCAATAATGTCTCCATCAATATTCCCAATCCCAATTCTTGTTGATCGGACGGCCAATACCCAGCCAGCGCCGATCCCCGGCCCACACGGACTTGGTCTGGTGGTGGTCGGTCGTACTCCGTATTATTGTATAATAAGGTAACCATCAACGCCGACTTTCTGCAACATATAGATTGAGGAGATTCGCACATTATTATTGCAGGATGGACGGTACATGTACATGGACTGTACCTGGGCGAGGATCCATGCAATCTACATGCAATCTACACGCAATCTACGCGCAATCTACCTTACAACATCCTCGACGAAGCAGCCTCTCTCTCGCAATCCCCACCTCGATATCCTCTACAGCCACACCTCTCTTAAAGCGCGCTCTCGCTCGCAGCCGAGTGCCGTGGGGCCGTCTTGACTCTGGACCGATGGGGCCAGTGACGCAACACGAGTCATTATCATTGGTCCCTGTGGCGTGGCATAATTATAAATATAGCATATGCACACATCATATATATAGCACAGGCACAGCATATGTGTACCTATGTACCTTTTTTTCCCTTTTCTTCTTTCTTCTCTCTTCTCGCTGTGGCGCGGGTGCTCTGTCAGGTACCTTACGCCCTGCCCACTCTTCCTGCCACCTTCTTTCGTTCTTCCTGTATAATGGCAATCAAATACAAACACGAAAACAATCCTGCAGCTCTTACCCGCTCGCGCTCTTGCCCGTTGAAATCCGTGATCCGGTTTTTGAGACATGTCTCTGCCAATAGAGGGATTTTGTAGCGCGGATTTAGTTATAGAATAACCTGAATTTAGTTAGCTTTTCCTACTAAGTGGGCCGGTAGATCTAAACCTCGATAACTTAACTCAAACTCACTCGATTTTTTAGTTATATATAACTAAAGGAAAAACAGAGCTTAAGCTTAGTTATAGAACCCTTTAAACCCGTATTAAGCCTAGTTTGATCTGTACGCCCTTTGTACTAGTGTTAGTAAAGCTATTCCTACATCTAAGGTAGACTCCTTACTTACTACGCTAGCACGCCTGATATAGGGCTCTATATTACTACTACTGTCTTATTACTCCTTCTGTTACACTATGATCTTTGACGGTAGCGGCGTATTCGAACCCTTAAACAGTAGCTCTCTACCGGCACTATTAAGGCCACTCGACTAGCTAGAGGCAGGCCCTTGATCTCTTAATATCGAACCCTAGTACCGTATTATAACCGGCCCTTTGATCTTAACGAATTCGACGAACTTAAGGCGATTAAATATATACGGTTCTTAAAGTTAGAGATCTGTACGATCCTCTTATACCTAGCTATTAAGACTATTATGTAGCGGCGCCGGTATAAACCTCTTACTAAGACGGCCTTTTGCCTTGTTCTATAGCGCCTATCCTTCCTAACCCGGTATAAGATAGAGATGCGTATATTCGGCCGTTTAAGATCCTAGTGTTCGTCTGTTTTTAACGATACGATCTACTACCTAGTCGATCGATTCGAGTACTTCCTTTAGTAGGACGAGTTTAGGTTAACGTAAGAGCGGATCCTAACGTACAGTAAGGCTATTACTAAAGAGAGCAAGGTTAGAAGGGTATAGGGCTTTGTAGACAGTACGATTAGATCGATCTGCCGCCCTAGGACTGTTCTATAGCGCCTATATTACACTAGATATAAGAAGACTTACGGGCTAAAGTTCTAAGCTATTACTACGCCTAACGGCCTTATATCCTTAATCGTAGGCCTGTTCGAAGCCTCCCTTAGCGATTAGGCTATGTGGTATAAGTCGGATATTAAAGACAAGCTCTGAACACTATTTAATCTTCCTAGTAAAGTGCCGTTCTATATATATAGGGATCCGGCGTATGTTAGCGCGTACGGCGTAATAAGAGCATATAAGAGTACTGTTAGGCATCGAATAACAGCTAAAGAGGAACGATTTAACGCTATAATAGCGTTAGTACAGATCTCGATCAAACAGATCTTTAGATTAGTGTTAAAGTACTAGTAATTTAACGGCTATCGGTATAACCTTAAGATTAGGGGCTCGCTAGTAAGGGAGATATACCTAGTAGCGGTACTATTAACGAATCTATTAACGTGTTTAAAGGGTAATTAAGTATCTAATTCCTTTAGATGTAAGCCTCCCTCTATAGAAGAGTATTTAGATTAGTTTAGTCCTAGACTTAGATAAGGAGAAGAATAGAGTAGCTGTTTGTATAGTAAATACAGTATAAGTTACTGCTGTTAGCTGTTTAACGCGTAGTACTGTGACCTAAGTTAATATAAGAAGAATAGAGCAGCTGTTTGTATAGTAAATACAGTCTAAGTTGCTTATCCTATTGCCTATATAACGAGTAACGGTATATACTTAGTTTTAAACGCCTATAGCGCTATAGTACGTGGTTCTATAGCCTAGGTCAACACAATAAGTATAGAACGGCCGTTTATATAGTAAACACAGTATAGATTACTTCCCTTACTGCCTACTTACTAAGCAACACTATATACACTAATTTAAACGCCTGTAACGCTAACTTAAAACCCTATATACTAGCACGCCAAGAGCCCTCTACCCCGCTACTACTATCCCCTTGTTGCCTACTACCTGTATCCCTTGTATCCTTATATATAGCGTACCTTGCCTCCTGTCGATTATTAGGCGTAATAAGGGCCGAAAGTAGCTCGAAAGAGGCCTGTAGACGTTAAGTTAACTGTATAACACCTATTAAGGTAGCTATTGCCGTTAGTAGGGTGTTATGCCTGTCTTACACAACTTTGTTATCCTACTTTTGATTCGTCTTAACGTTAGTTTAGAACGTATAGGATATAGATTAAAAGGCCACTTAATCTTGCTTAAGGGCCTGGTGATCCTCTTGTAGCTGTGCTAATTACCGTTTAATAGCCTCTAATCAAGTAAGATTAACAGGGTCAACAGTAGGGAAAAGGGTAGCGCTCCTTTTGATTAGAGAACAGATCTGATCGATCTACGCGGGCTCCTAATCCTCCCCTTTAAACCTTATAGTTATAGCCTAGGCCTTTTGCTTCTTTTGTAGACGTAGTAGCCCTTTAGTAGTAGCCCGTTAAGCGTGATCCTTATCGTTAAATTCGTCGATATTAGCTAAGGCGTCGCCTTCTTTGTCTAAATCCTAAATAGGCCCCTCTACGCGGTTTAATCCTACTATAGTAGCCCGGCGCTAGATCTTAGCCTCCTCCTTATCCTCTTGTTAGTTCCTTAATCTAGCCGCCTCGCGCTCTACCTGTTGTTTAACGCTATTCGTGATCTCGTACTACTCGTCGAGCCTCTAGTAGAAGTCGCTGTTAGTTTAAACGGTACTACTCTCTCTCTGTTCGGCTCTCTTACAAATAGCACGCTTTTTTAGCATAAGGTAGCTTACTTAATTAGGATAGGCCAACACTTTGCCTATTTCGTAGTAGACTTAAGCCTAAACTTCGCCCTAAAACGCCTTCTGTTTACCCTCTTTAAAGAGCTTGTTGTGATTAATACAGGCCTAAACGAAGGTAATCCTTTCTTTGTCTATTACTAACGTACTACGCTTCTTACGGCCCCCCTTACTGTTATTAGCGTCTTCGTTAGAGGGATCAGGTTTAGGTAGGCGTTTGATTTAAGAGGTACGTAATTCGAGCTCTTTAGAGCCTATTCGGGTAGTAACACTACGATTAGTTAACTTAACAGTAAGGGCCTTTCTCTTACGCGTTGATACTAAGCTACTACCTCTACCGCGCTCCCTCTCTTAAGTTCTACGCCTCTATAGATTCGGATCCTACGTGTTTAGAAGCCCGGCAGGTATTTCGCCTCTCTTGTAGCGTATCGGCGGTTGTAAAGACGGCAGAACTAACTAAGGAGGTTTTAAGGTAGAAGGAACTACCTCTTGAATAGAAGAGAGCGGCGGTAGCGTCTGTTACGTCTGTTGCGCGTACCTAGAGTAGGATCTAAACTAGGACTAACGAACGTCTTGATCGTCTATATTAATAGTGTAAAAGAAAGAGCTATAGAACACCTCGCTAGCGACGATATACAAGAGCTTAAGGGTAGGGAAGGTAGGTAGGGGATAAGGGTCCTACAGGGCTAACAGGCACTAGGCCCTAATCAACTATAACTACGCATATAACTATTTTACCTACAAAAGCTATTTTTTAGGAGTAGTTAAGTTATGCCGGTAAAATTAGATCTAAGCCAAATTTGGGTGTACTAACTATAACTCTGCATTAACTATTCTCCAGCTGCAAAATCCCTCTAATCCGTCCCAGCCTTGTTGCCCCGGAACCCCTGGGTTTTCCTGATTCAGTAGCCTGACCCTATATTCCGTAAAATTCTTCCGCTTTCCGGGCATTTCGGAGGTCCCGACCCAAAGTCCCAGACCGTCAGACGCCAGTACATGTATCCCCCGGCAATGACGGTGTTGCCATGCTTTGCCGACTAATAACTGAGACTTTAGGGATCTCGAGCCCAAAACCGGTTGAATGCTCCGTAGGGCGCACCGCGTAGGCCGCTTCAATTCTTCGAGGCCTCAGGCTCCAGCTGCGCACAAGAGTGGTCGTTCTTATTCTTCCTCCTCTGTCCTGTGGCCATACAGAGTCCCTCTGCTCCCTCCCTCCTCGAGAAGTTGAGGGAGGGGTGGATATTCACATCACGTGAGTTCAGATTGTTCCTTGGATCCCCCGGGCCGTCACGACAGACGGGAGATACTTGGTTATCGAAGAGGTACCATTCAGAGTAGGTATAGTGGAAGGAACCGTCTCTTTCAATTTCAATGACAGATGCCCAGACAGAAGAATGACGGGAACTTGGAATGCTTCCAGCTTTCCAAGCTTCTTCCACTGGGAGGCCCGGCACGTGTCTAGCCCGATTCTTACATAAGCCCTAGCTTATGTCAGCATTTATTTCAGCCCCATCGTGGTGTCCTGAGGCTGTCGCCCAGCTCCTTATCAGACATGTTGGCGAGTCCCATTACGGCTAGGCCCAACATCTCCTACTCCAAGCTCCCCTCAACTTGCTGACCTTCCCCATGGAACTATCCCATCGCAGAGCGCGCTCGTCCACCATGGATTCTCTGCCGCGCGAGCTCATCGAACTGATCCTCCTCTGGAATGTGCGCATGTGCGAATGCGAAAAGAACAGCATCTTCCCCTTGCGCCTGGTCTGCAAGGCCTTCGACATCGCCCTGAAGCCGTATATCTTCAAGACCATCCAGCTGGAGTTCTCAAAGTTCTTGCGCGCTGTGCCCACCCCAGATATGAGGGCTTTGGAGAGCGTGGGGAATCTTTGTCAGGCCGTGTATCTGGACATGATGGTTGTGAGGGATGAAGGTACGCTTGAACCCCTTAACTGGGTTGGGCCTTGATATTTGCGTTCAAGAACAGCTGAATTGACAGCGGCCATCATCTCTGAAGCTCCCTGCGTCCCTCACCAGGACCTGCGCCTATACTGACCCTCTTTGTCTGGCAGACGAAATCACCCGTTTGACGGAAGTCTTCAATGGCATTATCGTCAAAGTCCCAGAAATGGGGCCTCTCCTCCTATCTCTCCGGCGGTATTGCATGAACGAGAACACATTCGACGAGACCGATTTCCGAAGGGTTATAGAGCGCGTGTTGGCCGCTACACCAAATATGACTCGGCTCAAGCTCAACCTCCCCTTCCAGGTTGTAGGACGGACTAGTTCAACGGCTACACTTCTGTTAGCCACTACGTTCGCATGTGTTGCTGGCCGCCCGGCAGACGAATACAAGCCTCTCGAAACGATGGTATTAGACCACGTCAGCGATACTACACTCAGTAGCATTTGCAATAACCCCATTGATCTCAATAATGCTCTGGCCACTTTTGCTGGACTTAAGCATTTGGTACTGTCCCTCAAGAGGCAGGAAGCGAGACTCGACCGGCAAGGTACTTTTACCGTACAGCTTTGGTTCCTGATTCGGAAAGCCTTGAATTTGGAGAGCTTATGCATAATTGGCTGGAATGTAAAGAGAGACATCAATGTCCGGCTCCATCGACATTCTATGGCCTTCAATGGTTTGGTCTGGCACTCCTAATGAGTCAAACAACATACTGATAATATCCATCAGATTGGTCGATGCGGTCGCTACCGTATCACATTGATCCAAAACCCGTACCCCGAACGCTGCGCTACTTAGAACGTGAGTGCCCCGACCCATTGAAGATTATGTGCTGAACAAGTGCAGTCAAGCGTGTGGATATTAATCCTCGCTCGCTCCTTGGTTTAATTGAAGATAACTCAAAGACACTCAAAGAGGTCTATCTAAATGAAGTATATCTCAAGGTCTTCGGTTCCTCTGAGCAGGCCAATACCCCACTATGGATCGGCTATCCGGACGAGTCCAGGCCAGAGCAGGCTCTCTGGCTGGCTGAGAGCCTCAGAAATATGGAAAACCTTAGATTGGATGTCTTGAGGGCGACCGGTTTAGGATATGATGATTTCGATCCCGACACCCAGTCGGCACACCCAAGATACGATCTTCCTGATCCATCAGGTCTGAACAGATCATTTGACCAGCGATTTGTGGAGGCCGTTCTTGGTCACGACGATATTACTACAACTAATATAATTGCTCCTACATCCCATGATGGCTATGACACCCACAATCACCCTCTCTCAGGAGCCTCCGACGCTCGAAATTCAGAAACCTCTCTCCAAAGCAAAAGGGCCAACGACTACGATGTCGAGACCTACCAGCGCCACCATAACACAACCTCGCACTACAAGCACTCCATCGATGGCTACTTCCTGAACCACAACGAGCAAGCCCTCAAGGAGTTACAGCGCATCATCAACCTCGCCGACCGCGGCATGACCCTCATCTCCGAAGAGATTGTGCGCAATAACACGGCGCGCATCGTGACGGATATCGGCGATCTGGGTATGGAACCCGCGGCGCCGGACCTCGACCCTGCACCATGACTACATGGCCAGCTGCTTAGGGAAATGTGGATCTTCCTCGACCGCATCCCGGAGATCTGGAAGAATGTCGGGCCGTATATGTGTGGATGAATAGAAATCACCTGAGGTTCCGAGAGTAGAAGGGAAGGGGACGCGTCCTGTGTGTGTATGATATATTTGTGTGCGATACCCAGGTATTCATTCCTTGATGGAACGAACGGTCCGCAGGGCGGGCGGCTTGGTCGTCAATATCATCACGTGCTACTGCATATCCTGACTAGATACGCTGGTACTATTAGTATTACACTGTACAAATACAGAAAGCCAGGAGCGCTTTTGCGTCGCGAATTAAAGTTGATCGTTGCGTCCAAAATGCATATATATAAAATCATCTGTGATATTGACATCTCGCTCTCCTAGGTAACACAACACCCCCTTTTTCATTCTCCTCGCTTAATCCTCTACCTTCGGCATTATTCCCCCCTGAAGAAGAATTCTACATATACCTACCTAGCTTGACATTACAGCGTGTGCTAGGTAGCTTGGGGTATACATACATATATACTCTTATATAATCTTCACGCAGCCCATACTCCTAAGTCATTTCTCAAGACAAAGTTGGTTGGTTCTCTGACTCCAGTTCTAAGACTCGGAGGTCTAGTGGGTAGGTAGGAAAGGAGAGGATAGTAAAGGAAAGGATTTCCTATAATCAATTATACTTTTTCCTATAGAATAGATAGATAGATATCTATCTATACCCGTCAAAAAACATAAAAAGGTAAACAAATAAATAGGGAGGCGCGTGTGCCCAAGGTCTTGATGAATAGAACGCTCTCCTAAGCTGTAAAATATCATCCACATAACATACATACATTTCTTTTCTCATGAGGTAAAGCAAAGCAAACAAACCTCTTGCTCCCCCTACTTCTTCATTTTCTCTTTATTTTTCAGAGAAAGATAAAGATAAAGGACAGCTAGCTCAATTGCAAAGTTCCAGCGGGCACAAGGCTGGACGGTCAAGTCACGCTTCACCCGCTTGTCCTGTCTTGTCGCGAGGTAAACAAGAGGTAAACAACCAAGTTCGATAGATTTTCTCTAGAAATTCGAGAGGCTTACTGAAATTCAGAATACCACTGCGCGTATTCACAACAAGACAAACGCAATATCTACCTACTATTACTTGCCTTTTGCGCGAGTCTTCGCACTTCCATTCGCAACTCACAACTCGCAACTCTAACGACATCTTCCATTTGCAACAACAATAACTTTGCAATCATGGATTTGCCAAGAGGGACCCCGTTCGTCCCGCCTGGTCTGGAGAGGCCTGCTGGCTTCGACGTGTCAACAAGTGCGCAAGACAAGGGGAAAGGTCCAGAACGCGACGTTTCTTCGAGCGATACAAACAGTCAGTTGTTCCTGGGCAGTGAGGGAAGTCCTGGCCCGGTGATGTCCTACCGCGAGGCCATCGAGGATATCGTCAAGCAGACGGGTCCTTTCCTTTGGAAGGTTGAGTCCTTGCGCCCACGTCCTGTCTCTATTGTGCTCTATGACCCGCATGGCAACGCGCTTGGCGTTAGTGAGGGTGTGAGTGAGGGACTCTCGCTCAATGCAAATGTGTCGCTTTCCTATCTCATCACATGGCTCCAGATTTATCTTGACAAGTTCATGGCTAAGATGCGCAAGGAGGATGAGCTCATCATAAAGAGTGTCGGGATTCGCTTTCGTGCTAATAAGATGGCCGATAGCTATCCAGGTCTTGAAGGAGTGGTTTCTTATAGAGATACGGGCGGGACCGTGTCAGTCTCAGTTGAATGGCCTTGTCGCGACAGTGAGTTGGAGGTCTATTGGGGGGCCTATCGAGACATGATGCAGCTCGATATAGAGAACTGTGATCAGAAGCCGGTCTTGAAGATCAAGACTGTCAAGTTCTTCCCTGGATTGGCTGACGAGAAGCCTTTTGCGAGAGCTCCAGGACAGGGCCATGTGTTTGTTGTTGGTAACAAGAAGTTGGATATCAGCCAGGTTCTCTATCAACACGAGACAGAAATTTGCCATTCCTTTGCGCAGTTAGGCCTGATCTCAGCTGAGCAAAGACATCAACGCTTATCTCCTGGTGCCGCGGGGATAGCTCAATATGGAGGAGGGCATGGTTCTGGCCAGCAAGTTACAGGAGAAGTTGGAGAACGGGTCAGAGGAACAGGTCAAGGTCTTATGAGCTTTGGAGGATCAGGAGCCAGTATGTTTCACTAGAGACGCCATGGTCCAGAGCTTACCGTTGACATTTCTACAGCCCAGGCATACTCCGGAACAGAAATAGACAGCAAGGACGCAATTGCCAGTAACAAGATGGAGAATCGAGTCAAGGAAAATTCCACGCTACAAACGCAGACCTCGATTGAATTGAGCGGCACTGGCCAATTAGATGGATATGAAATGCTGCCAGTTGGATCATCGTCACTTGTTCCCTTCGCAGATGACACTATGCCGTCTCGACCACCCATCTATCTCGACCCCGAGAAGAACGGGTATAGATATCAGCATACAGGTGTCAACCCACAGATGCACAATGCCTTACCAGTCGATCATGACATGAGTGGCATGCTGCCAGGCACTCCTCTATCATTCAATGTCAGCTCTAGCAAAGAAAGCGCCGGCCACATAACTACTTTATACAACTCACAAGCGTTGAATAACTCGGGTAGAGGCGTCCTCGATCGCCAAACCGATGACCATGAGTTGGCGAGAGGCTTCAGCTCTGATGATGACGATGTTTTCTTTCCTGCTGGATCTAAGTCAGCAGCTGCTATATCCCAGAAGACCAATACTACCTCGAATGGCACGCAGAGCCACTACCCTAAATACAGCTTGAAAGCATTCAAGGGCAAGAATGCGGCGAACCCTGCAAACTTATACATGTCTAGCGCGTCATCCAACACTGGTTATCCACCTCCTAGCAGACACCCGGTGTCTAGCAAGACTGCATCCACCATGAATGTAAATGCTCCACCTTTCGTTAGCCCTACAAAGAGACACGTTCCGGTCCTGATGATGAACGCAAATATGCCTGGCTTTGCTGGCCCCGGTCTAATTGCACCCCCTAGCTTCGGCTTTGGTCCTATGGTAAACACTAATCCAGCACACTTTCCATTTCCTGATCCTGCGATCAGAAACAGTCCTTTTGGACCATTCCCTGGGTACCAGCCAATTCCACCCTTCGTGGCACTCCAGGGGATGGGTTATCATGCTGGCTTTGGCTACATGGGTCCTAATGTCAACCCGGTCTATAATCCACTAATGCACTCAATGGGACCACCTATCTCGCCATCACCGTACGTTGGTATACCAACTCATGGTTCACCTACCCGCCGGGGGAACACTGTTCGGAAGCGAGCCACAGGGACTGCCAATGTTCCGAACCACACTCGTTCCCGGTCAAGCCCATGTGGAAGCACTCTAACAACTGCTGCATCTACCCGTGAAGTAATTCGTTTGAGCGCGAGGCCCGGTTTCCACAAGCATAGGAAGAGCAAAGGTAGCAGAGGCAGCAAAAGCAGTATCGGCAATAAGTCTTTCACTTCGGCACCACTATCAAATGGAACAAAGCTGAAAGCTCCACAGACGGCGGAGGACGCACAGTTTTCAACTTCCTTCACAGGCTAGTGAAGTCAGATTTTGCTTCTTTAGGGGCTTTCTGCTGCCATATATTCTAGCATGATGCGTGGCCGACTATGCCACATCGCGAGATGATTCTTTAGGGGTTCTGCGACGTTCATGAGGAATTTTTCTGGCTTCATCGTTCGATGATTTCATTTTTTCTTTTCATTTGATTTGGAGCGTTAGACCTACATGCCACGAAACACTTCTGGACTTTGTGACACAAGGGCTTTCTTGAGATCCGGCAGTATTCCCTATGGACTCGCATTTTGAAAGCCTCCTGTTTATAGACGATGCTTTGGTTACGATACCCAACAGCAACTGCGTATTAATCAGAAAATGGATCTCTTTCATAAAAGAAAAGATTTGAGCGTGAGAGACTACATGTTTGATTGTGTCTGATTGTGTCTGCTTCCAATCTCCTTCCATGTGGACGCCTTTGGAAGGAATCGGTTTCAGTCCAAGGTTTATGTTTCTAGGCATTGTTGACTTCAAGGCTTCATTGCCGGAACCTGGCTAACAGACAATACAAGTCAAGTAGTCAATTTTAGGGGCTAAGCATGTGATCTTTCACCGCTCAGTGTCCTTCTAGTTGGAAGAAAAGTGTACAAATGCCATTGGTAGCGTTGGAAAGCTGACTTGCCCGGGCATAGAAAAAGCTTGTATGGAAATACGGATTGATAATGTGTTGTCGATCGGTTAATGAGATAAAAGTTGAATTGGTATGACTTGTTTATGCGGCATCAGAGACAATTGTCCAAATCAAGGTCCTAGACCATGAAACTCCCCGCATAACTTTAGCTCATACACAAGAGGAGATGTTCGCGATTTATTTCACTGTTCAGTGATGGTGTAGTATGGTGTGGGTGAACCCGTCATGCATCACAAAGGGGGTTTACCATGTCTGCGGGACAGAAAGGCTGTCTCTGCAGGGAAGTATTGATGCATGAGTATCCCTACCTATCTAGTCGGTCCAGAAGTCGATCGACTCAAGTACAGGTCTGGATCGGTGTGACGAAATATCAGCTTGCTCTGTAGGCGCGCATCAGTAAAGATGACAGCGTGCTATTAGGATACTTACCTCGTCCTGTAACCGCTGACCTTGACTATGTGGGAATTTCATTTTCAACGTGGATCCTTATGAAAGAAGTATTCGCACTGGTGAACACAACAAAGGTCTGAAGAAACGGATCCCTATGATCTTGGCTCTCCAATTGTCAATATGATACGGGGATAGAGACAGGCTTCTGCTCAGCAACAAAAACCTCTCTAAGCATCATGTAAAAAACGAGAATTGCTTCCTCCAGCTGCTCGAATATGGGCACGCAAGAGAATATACAAGCATCTAGGTATTTAGGGAATCCCAGCGTCCCGGTTCAGCGCTAAGTACCTAGTTTGACATCCTCAGCTCGAGGACGACTGCGATACAACACTAGTGTGAAAAGAGAACAGCGATGCAGAAGCTGTGCTTACATTAGGAACTCCATGAACCTCGTTCCCATGCTTCCGTTGAGGCTCGAAGCGATTGGATGGGCCAGGGTAGAATTTGCCCACAATAGAGGAGGGGAGAGGGCTTCTGATTCGTGCTTTATCGTAGCTGGACGTTGACTGTTGCACTCCTCCTGTATGCACGGCGGCACGGTCTGCAGGAATAGAACACATTTTCCTCTTTTGGGGACAGAGTCAAAGAAGAAAAGAAGGGATCAGAGATCAAAAGGCGGTGGAGAAGGTCTCAACTGGATCGAGATTCAAAATTAGAACAGAGGCAAGCTGGGATTAGTGCGGAAACGGCAGGATGCTGACAAAGAAAAGGTTTACGTTTCTGGTGGTTGGATATACGATATACAGTATTTGTTGATCGATATTGACCGTTGCAATGACGCGGTGCCTTGCTTGCTATAATAGGCATATCCAGATACCTTACGGACGCAACTATGTAAATACTAAGGTAATGTCCATCCTGTCACTATCCCGACCGTTCCTGTGGCTCTGTGGCTTTGTTGTGTCCTGTTACATCGTGGTGTCGTTTATTTTGATCCCTTACCAAATTACCGAGTTCCATGAGCTCCCATGCATCCTTGTGTGTATGATCAGCGCGAGGCGAGTAGGCCAGCAGCCCTGGATTCTGAAGAGAAACAAAGATGAGGCTTCCCTATGATCCATCCATTGTCCTCCTGTTGCCATCGCCTCCATGCGCCACCTGGGTATGCTAGACCAGCTGGGTTCAGCAGCTATGGGAGTCGCGGCCTGGCCATTTCTCTCTTCTTCGATGCATGCTTCGATACCTCATCTGGATTGACCAGCGGCCATTGGATACTTGACAAGTTACGAACCGATTCGAATGCTCAGGAAGCCAGTCACCGCAGTCTCCGGGGAGGAGGGAGAGGGAAAGAGAGTCGTACCAGAGAGAGCATTATCATGTGCGTGCAAATCGGTCTCAACCCTCAAGACCCTCCAGACTCCAGAGCTGAAGGGAGAATGGGGCGGGCAGGCTGACGATCCGCGGCAAATCTGAAAATATGATTCGAGAGCATCCCATCCCGGACAGGCCAGGGCAGAGCAGGGGGGAAGGCGAGGCTCGTGAACCGGTAAGCTCGTGTTTCTTAAAACCAACTTCCTCGCATTGCAGCCTATCTCCCGTGGCAAGGCGTGCGCCGGCAGTCAATCGACGTTGCAGCGGTTGAGAGGCTGTATTTTCCTTGTTCAGTGTCGTGTCGGCCTGTCGAGATAATCGTGCAGCAACCTGCACGCCATCCCGGCTGTGACAAAGGAACCATTGAAACGTGGGTTTGGCCTTGGTGGTGGATCTTGACCCTGTAAGTACCTAGATCCCAAGATGCATATATCCTCAAGAACGTGCCTTGCTTATCCTAAACTTTCGGTATGACCGCCAGAAAATAGAATTGAATAGTTTCATTCATGCTTTACTCCGACGGAAGTCACGAGGCATTTCTTCGCCCTCTTATTTCCTGCTCTCTCTTTCTTTCTTTCTATCTCTCTGCTGTGTTTTAATTGCCTTCACATCCCGTCGTTGCACGTCAGCTTGTCTGTCTCGTCACTGCTTCTTTGGTCAGTGACGACGACGACGGCCTGCTGCCTGAAGAGTATCTCAAAGACTATTATTGTTGCTTCTCTTCCCTAAACTGCCAGTATCCGTCTCTGCCTTTCTGAGATTCCTTTTATCTCGCAAGTGCTCATAGCTATTGAAGCTGACACCAGTCCATCTTGCAGCTTCTCCCTATGCACATGGAGTCTCCTTTTTCGGCATCCAGTACTATGACCGCAACAATGGATCTAGACCCCCTCGATCAGGCACGTACCCCTCCCGAGTGATCTGAATCCTTCCCCTTCATTACCATGTCGAACTTGTTTGGTGCTGACTATTCTCAGCCTTGGGTTACTGTTACTGTGCTTTATTACGCCTTCCCAACCCTGGTCTTTTTCTACTTTGCCATTTCCCAAGTGGTTACGGTCTGCACATTACAGACACAGTCACTTCGAGTCCAGCATCAGCGCGTTCGTCGTGATGTTATCCTTGCGCTGGTTTTAGTTGCTGCTGGAGCATACGTAAGTGGACCAACCGCTGCATATGGTGGTACCACCAAATTGCTTTCCCTGTATACTTTTAGTTGAGGCCGAAGCTTTCAATATTGACACTGGCCACTAGATTGCTGAAACGATAGCCGTCGCGATCAAGTTTAACAGGGTATCTGAGTGGCATCCAGGACAGGATCGAGTGGTAAGTTCTCAACCCATCTAGATGCTAAATCTAGTGCTCCACTCTAGCTTTCGGTTGCTGCTGTCTGTAGTTACACAACTAACCTGTGAACAGTTCTATCTTATGGCATCTGCTCTCGTCTTCGGAGTTGAGGCCCTTGCCCTTATAGAGACCAAGTATCCCGTATGGTATCCGTATTACGGTACTTGGTTGATTGCAATAGTGGTGGAACTCGCTTTGCTCATTCTACCAAACGTATTTCGATATCCGGAGTCCTTATACGATTTCGTTTTTGTTACTATCCGAGCCTTGAGAGCATCTGCTTTCATCGCCCTCAGCTCTCTGTATTTTGGACTGCGTAATGATAAGAAGCAATATGATAATAGCGACGCCGAACGGCAATCACTTCTCAGCAAAACACCGAAAGTATCCAGTTCTGAAGACACGGTAAGCGGCAGCAATGGATATGGCACGACCACGGCTATAGACACCCAGACATCGGACGCAGCAGATGAAAGTGACGCGGGATCTGAAGACTCATGGCTCGAAGAGCAGCGAAAGGTCAAAGAATTAATTTCAAAGCGCTTGAACCAGGATGGCAATTGGTTCACGTATGCGAAAGGCTTTTCTGTCAGCCACCAACAAGGCTCCTCGATGCAAGTATGTTTGCTGATATGTCTCAGATATTCTTCCCATATGTATGGCCTACACGTAGCAAGGCTCTTCAGTTCAGGGCTGTCCTAGTTGCCGCGTGTCTGCTGATATCGAATGCTTTGAATGTTCTGGTACCCCGACAGATGGGTGTGATGGTTGATAACCTGTCGGGGTACATCAAAGGAGGTGAGCTCTGTGTCCAAGGACTCTGAGGTACATTGACTAACTAATAAAGATGGCACTCGTAACATTTGGCTTCCGGGCCTTATATACGCTGTACTTCTCTTCATCAACGGCGGTGCAGGCATTGACTGGGTCCGGAAATGGCTTTGGCTGCCTTTAGAACAATACTCATACGCCGCAATCAGCACAGCCTCTCAAGCCCACATGATGAGTCTATCATCCGACTTCCATGATAGCAAGACCACTTCAGACCTTATGCAGGCGATAACTGGAGGCAGATCCGTCACAGATTTACTAGAAACGATCTGTTTCCAGGTTGTGCCGATGTTTATCGACTTGGCTATAGCTTTCGCCTATCTCTGGTCTCTTTTTGGGCCTTTTATGGGTTTAATCTTGGCAGCAACATTCGTTTCGTACCTATATATTACGACAAAGCTGGTAGCCATGAGAGCTGAAAACAGACGTCAATATGTCGCAGGGTTTCGGAAGGAGTGGACAATAGGGCATCAATCACTCGAGGGTTGGAACACTGCTAGTGTGGGTCTTTTCAATGTTGCTGACCATCCTTAGCTGACCGTGAAGTAGTTGTTCAACATGATCCCCTATGAGCGGCATAAATATGAACGTGGTAAGGATACCTGCATGAACCCCCCTCTTCCGAGACTGACAAATTGTCAAGCTGTCAAAGATCACATGGAGGCTAAGCGCATCTACGAACTATCTTCGCAGTCCATGAGTGCAGCTCAAGGGTTAGTGATGACTTGTGGCTTATTGGGAGCTCTCTATCTTGCTGTGTTCCAAGTGGCCAAGGAGGGAAAGTCCATTGGCCAATTGACCACGTTTCTGGTATATTGGGGAGCATTACAAGGTAGGATAGTATTCTCTTAATAGAGCCGATTATATGCTTATTTAGAAACAGGTCCTTTGACGTTCTTCAGTGGCGTCTATAGAAATATATCCTATAGTCTGATGGATGCCGAACGTCTTCTGGAACTTTTTCAGACGAAGCCCACTATCACTGACCTTCCGCATGCAAAACCATTGAAGCTGATCAAGGGAAATGTCAAGTTTGACCGTGTTTCTTTTGCCTACGATGAGCGGAATCCGACTCTAAAGAATGTCAACTTTGTTGTTCCGTCTGGGAAGACAGTCGCCCTTGTGGGAGAGACGGGGGGCGGCAAATCAACCATTCTCAAGTTGATTGGCCGTTTCTACGACGTCAAAAGCGGAAGCATTTCAATTGATGGACAGGATATTCGCGATGTCACCCTTGACAGGCAAGGCAATCCGTGCTAATCTGGATAAGGTGTTTGAAGGTCGCTGACAGGTAATTTAGTCTTCGCGAGAAAATAGGCGTTGTGCCTCAAGATCCAGTACTCTTTAACGACACCATCATGAGTAACGTCCGCTATGCAAGACTAACCGCGAATGATGAGGAAGTTTATGATGCCTGCAGAGCAGCTGCTATTCACGATAAAATTTTGTCCTTTCCAGATGGTGAGCCAGCCCTGCATCTCCACGACTTCCTGCTTGCGCTGACGGTATATTGTAGGATATGACTCCAAAGTGGGTGATCGGGGAGTGTAAGTGCTCACTGCCATTCAATATTTACTGATATGCTGATGCGGTATAAGGAAATTATCTGGAGGCGAAAAGCAACGCATCGCAATTGCTCGTGCCATCTTAAAACAGCCAGAGATTATCCTCTTAGATGAGGCTACCAGCGCAGTTGATACAGAAACAGAGTATCTTATCCAGGAAGGCTTCAAGGCTTTGTGTAAGGATCGAACCACCTTCGTTGTGGCGTAAGTCTATAAAGAGATATTTTTTGCTCGCAAACAACTGACGAACTTCAGGCATCGGTTGTCAACCGTCATGCGGGCTCACCGAATCCTGGTCGTACTTAATGGCGAAATTGTTGAAGAGGGCTCTCATGATGAGCTCATCCGTGCCAGAGGCAAATACCACAACCTCTGGTCAAAGCAAACCTTTGTTAAGTCTGAAGATGAGCAGTGCAGGTCCCGAAGCCCGCAGATGCGCAGTGCCAACCTTATCGATGATGTTGATCGTGATCGCGGCACCACTACAATGACTAAAGCCCTAAATATAGAGGAAAACTACGATCCTACGCAATCTGGAGTTGGAAAGAAGCCTGTCGAAGGGCAGGAAGTTGATAGTGGTCAAAGTCACAAACGTGAGGTGAGTGGTGGGCCAGAATAAACGCCAAATACCAGAGAATTGCCGCAGAAGCTTCCGCAGATATGAGGATCTACCATCTCGAAGCTATCAATAAGACACTACCATTTATTCCCTTTGCAAAGTTGCGTAATCAATTCCTCCAAAATTGCCTGTTATTCCTACCATACATCCACCATGTGGAAGTAAAGTTGACTCATTCGTGAAGTGAAAGGACAGTCATTCAATAACATATTGAGAACTCTAATAAAGCACGTCTCTAACTTGATAAAGGCATCTAAACTTAAACCAGACGCACCTGAATTCGTTCCACTGGCCGACTCTGGTTTTAAATCCAATTTTGTACATGTTTCAAGGGCTCACAAGAAGTCAGAAAGGAAGGAGCGTAAATCTGCAGCAGACCTCAGTAAAAAGAATGACAAGGTGGCTGGTAAACGTGTTGCCAATGCGGAGAGTATGCCACTGGCAAATCGAGAGGTCCTGCCAATATACTGACAAGAAGCAGGGAACAAAGACTCTACTGGTGATGAGTCGCAGCTCTTCTGGTCTTCGGCAGAACAGGACACTAGGACAGAAATTGAGAGGCCAAAGATCAGGTATCCTCGATCTTTGAGAAGGCAGATTGCAAAGACGGAGCCTGCGAGCCATGTGCAAGAGCCAATAGACGGTGTACAAGATCCTGAGACTACAACGTTCAGTTCTGGTGAAGGGCAACCTATGCCATCTTCTGTGATAAACTACCCTCACCTTCTATTGCTACGTGCTAACTATAGACAGCAACTGCGTCGGGTCTTGGAGCCAAGTGAACCCCCTAAAGGTCGTCACAAATCTCGCGCTACTCGAACCCGACGCAATCGTCATTGGAGAGAAATGAACCGCGCCGCGGACGCTGGCTCCAGCACCACTTCGAGCGCTATGATGTCTGGAGAAACTTCTGTTTATGATACGACACCTCCTGCTGTTCCAGCTGCATCTCCTGCTGAAGGTGTCCGGTCTTAAATTTCCATCAAATTGGGTCCTTACTGCTGCATTGGTCAGCCCAATTCGCGTTTGCATGTCTCATCACTCTTCTTCCTTAACATCTTGTCGCTTGAATTGATACTGACAACCCTCAATCAGCTCAAGGTATCCCGCAATTTCTTTGAATTATTCCAACATGCTGTCTCAGGAAGTGCTCATTTTACAAGCAGTCATGACTCTAATGAGCTTGCGTTTGAAGTTCCATTAATGCACTTCCTCTGTTATACTCTGTATATGGAACTCTAGGGATATCCAAGTGCTGTTATGGGATGAAAAGCATGGTTGAAGTACTTGGCCTGGGGGGTCTTTATCTTGCATTTTCTGTCGACTACTTCTTTCTAAGCATCTCGATATAGATGCTAATTGGGCCCGATATCATCGTGCGAGTGAGCTGAGGGGTTCTGTTGTGGTGGAGTAGTGGTGATAGTGGCGAGAGGGTGGGATATCGAGGAATGGGTATGTTCAGGGGAAACGGGAAACGAGAAACGGGGTACTGAAAAGAGATGCTTGTGGATTTTAGTGGAAAAGGAATAATGAATTAGTCGCTCGATTACGCTGTTATTTGATTCAAGCCTTTTGGTCCCTGCTATGCTATAAAAAGCTGCATATGAATGTGAGAGTGGTATCCTTGTGTTCGTGTATGGAGAAATCAAATTACTGGCCAGCGCCTCGTCCTCCACGTCCTGCACCCCCCATGATATTTCTTGCCCTACGAGGAATGTTAGTATTTGCTCGGAAGAGAAGAAAGGAAGTCATTACATCTCGGCAATGCTTGGGTCTTGCATCAGGCTTGCCAGATCAGGCATGCCTCTGCCGCCATTTCCACCACCCCCGCCGCCGCCAAACTGGCTGGCCATCTCACGCAGCCTTGGGTTGTTCATGATGCTAGACATCGCCTCCGGGTTGCTCATCAGGTTCTGCGCCATGTTTGCAAACATAGGATTGCTCATGATAGAGCTCAGATCGGGCATTCCACCACCACCGCCTCCAAACATCGACGCCAAATCTGGCAGGCCACCAGCACCACCAGCACCATTACCGGCGCCTCTCTCAGCAACATCGTCGTTCTCGGAGTCCCCTCCCTCCTCCAATTCGGCAACTCTCTTCTTCGCAGTCTCATAGCCCTTCTTCATCGCATCACTGCCTCCATTCCCCTCGTATTCGATACCCTTCTGGTAAGCCTCCATACTGCCCTTCGCATCACCCAGCGCAAATCTCGCCAGGCCCAATCGTGACCACGCCTTCGTGTAGTTCGGGTCCGCAGCCACAGCCGCCTCTGCGTCCGCCCTCGCAGACTCGTGGTCCTTGGATGCCGAGTAGGCCGCGGCACGATTCGACAGGAAGATGGGGTTGCCCGGAACGATGGCTAGCGCCTTGGAGTAAAGGTCAATGGCAGTGGGGTAATCCTTCTTCGCCATGGCGGCATTTCCTTGGCTCTTTAGAGTCTCGGCCTCTTTCTTCTGCGCCTCTGTTGGCTCCTTCTGCGCATCAGGCGTGCTCTTCTCGCCCGTGGCGGTGGTGCTTGGTCCAGCGGGAGTCTTTCCCTTCAGCTTCTCATAGACGCTGTAGATCTGTAGCAGGGTCTGCGAATCCTTGGGTGTCGCGTCCGTGGGGTCGACCTTGAAGGACTCGGATATGCATGATTGGGCGACTTCGATGCTCTCGCGGTCGTCTTCGGTGAGGGTGCCGTCGGTGAGGGAGGTGTTGAGGAAGTCGATGATGGAGAGAGCTAACCTTTGCTTTGTGGTCGCCATCTTGTGCTTATATGGTGGGTAGCAGGGGGGAATGTTGAGGTCAAGAGGGGTTCCGCGAAGAAAGGAAATCTGGAACGAGTCGACTTCGGATAGAACAAGCGTGGGGTTCCACTAGCGGCGTTTTCCCTTCGAGGAGTTTCTTCCTGACTTGTCATGTGATCCTGGGACAAACATCAACTCTTGAATAGCTTCATGAATTTGGGATTCCTCATTCGCTCTGTGGGCACAGAAAGTTCTAAGTCTACCATTGCTACACAGTACCTAGTTGGGCTGTCGAGCGTCCCTCCAGGCCCACAGAGCCTCCATCGCACTTAAAGGGTACTTTGACCTCTGCCTTAAAGAACCCCGAGTCCTGTCATTGTGTAATGCGTAAACCATCAGCTCATCATATCTTCCCTTGCAAAGAAGGTCGCACCACGCCTCCCACTCCTCGTCTCTCCAACGTCTCGGTATCCATTCACCTCCACTGAAGTCAAACATCGCCAGGTCCCCGAGGTGGGCTGATATGACGGGTATCCACTGCATCTCCTCGTCGTCATCTTCTTCCCCTTCTTCATAATATCCATCCTCGTGTAGGAGAACAAACATCTCCGCCATTCCCCGTCCAAAATCCTTCAATAATTTGTCCTTCTCCTCCTCCGAACTCTCTTCCATCACGGCCGTAAGCCACCTTATATGCTCGTCTTCAAACTCAAACCTTGGGGTCTCTATTATCGGCATTGTTAAGTGGGTGGGAGCTGTACCCACTGGTCCTGGGTTCTCATCTGCACCGTCAAAAGTAGCGGCGGATGCAGCACCAGTCGCATCACTCCCTCGACAATCATTGCACGTACAGTTTGCTGGATGTCTGATGTTGATAATTCTGGTTGCATATTCGATGAGTAACTCGTCCAATCTCGCACGCCTTTTTGCTTTGCTATCTGCTCTCACTGTCCCTTCGTACGTGTATACTTGGGATATTTCCTCGGGGTTGGTGGAGAGTGAGTATCGAAAGATGTGTTTACCCATAAGGTCATCGGATGGGAAGGGGCAAGCTTCGGAGGAGGGGTAAATGAGTATTTCAAGAGGATGGCCCTTTTTTGGTGAGATGCGAAGGCATTCGGTACTTTTTTCATCCTCCTCTACTTTGAAGACCGGAAGGGGCATTTTTATCCTGGCCTCGCGGATGTTTTCTCGCTTTCGTGGTATGCCTATGGGTCGAGAACGAAACCGATGTCGCCACGCTGCTTTGTCGATGGTGGACACAGGTCCGGAGCTCGAAGATGCCAATATAATATTTGATTTTTGTAAGATGATGTGTACCATATGCCAAGTGGCGTTTTCAGGGATAGTGATGCCGTCAGGGTTGCGGAATCTGAACCCCGAATGAAAGTTGTGATGTGAACTGGCTGAGTCGATCCATGGATCCGACCAAACTCTACCGTAAACACGGTTTATTATCAAAGCCACTTCCTCAATTGAAAATTACTTTTCACTTTCTGCTCAGCATAATCGCTAGACTACATTTTTACGTTTCAATTCCAATATCGTGCCATGTCGTTCCAAAAACAAGAATCAACCCCTCTCATATCGACGAAGTTTCCCACCTCATCAAAACTCACTATCTTCACAACGGAGCTATCTTTATCAGTATCAAAATGTCTAAACCTGATTCTAAACTTGTTAGACGTCGCTTTGCTATCCAAACAAGACAACAAAACCGTCTTTGCCATCTGCAAGGAACACGACGAGCTTGAGACTAGGATGAAGAGGGAGCATCGAAGAGAGCTCGTGGATTGGACAAGAAAGTTACACGGAGATTATCATTCCAATGCTGCCATCTCTGGCATCTTGCCTTTCCTGGAATACCTTGTAGGCAGCGACGAATACGAAGTGGGAGACGAAGACGGGAAGGAGCGGGGCGATGAAAGAGAAGGAGGGAAAGGAAAAGAGACGACATATATATACTCGCAGGCATTTTTGGAAGGCAAGATCTTCTGGCGTACCGTGAAGGATGAAGAGGGCTGGGCGGCTGACGGCAATACTTCTTCATATGATGAAGAGTGCTATGATGAAGAGTGCTATGATGAAGAGTGTTGGGCAGCTGACGGCAATACTTTTTCATATGATGAAGAGTGCTATGATGAAGGGTGTTGGGCAGCTGACGGCAATACCTTCTCATATAATGAAGAGGATACATGGGAGGTTTCTTGGTGAACACGGAAGGTGGTATGCAATTGGCTCCGCTGATAAGATCAAAGCTCCTGTATAGAAGGCATATATATACACCTCATCCATAGCCTACTACACTGAACAGCTCCTTCTCAAATCACAAAATAAACAGAACAAGAAGGGATTCTAATGCATGATTTATAGACTCCGTGCAGGAGCCATTGATTCAATATACAAATAGTCTGTTATACATAAACGTCCGTTCCCAGTACCAGAACACTTCATTATCTCACAGGAGCGGAGTTTCGGATCTCTTTCAATCCTCCATCTTACAGTCCTCTTTTTCTTTCTCGTGAAAAAGCTCCCCATTTTGCCAACCAATATCAAGGCCATAGGCACTCGATACCCGGAAAACTCCAAACACCGCTTGATGTACAATACGGACTCTCGAGATAGGGCCTAGTTCAACGCTATGCTACAAATTTGAATCATTCCAGAAGAAATAGGGGGGAGGGAGGGAGGGAAGGAGGGGGAAGAGTAGAATCAAATGTAATCCCTTCCACTCTTCTGCAATTCTATGAGTCTCCATCCTCTCGTCTCGGGATTGTTGACGTCCTCCGCTACTCTCGTAACACCGATGGCGTAGGTTACGAGCTGCACTTTATCTTCCATACCGGCAGCCAGCTGGTTCGTTTTCGCATTGCGGTATACGTGCACCTCTTGCGTTCTGCATGTTACGATAAAGACCGGGATATCCCCCGGGTCAAGGATCCTCGCGGACAGAATTTCGACGTTCCGAATATCAAGGATTCTGCCATCGGATTTCAGGCCCGCTGTTGTATATTGTTTCGACAGCGCATCGTAGACTTGGAATTGAGCTGCCGAGAGCCAGAGGCGTAACGTCTCGGTATCGCCTTTAACATAGGCATCGAGAACTTCAGGCAAGATGTATTCTCGCATTTCTTGGATGAAAGGCTCCATCTGGAAGCTGGGGTCCATTTCCCTAAACTTCTTGATCACCAGCGCTGTTTCGTTTTCAGCAAAGAATCCAGCGATCCGGTCTGAGATGCTACGTGCGGTCGAGATGAGAGGGTTTTCGGATTCATTGTAGGCTGATTTGAGGGAGAAGAGGGATTGCATCATTTTGCTCGAGTCGCGGAATTCTCGCCATGATTCTTTCCAGGCAGCGTCTTTGTGAACAGTTATATTTGTGCCGGCACTACACTTGTCAGTAAATGCCAAAACATGGGAAGAAAGAATGGCTTACTCTGGATTTTCCTTTGGAACCTCAGCACGTCTGCCATGACCGCTCGCTTGCGCCTCCTTCAGCTCTCGCAATTCTCTAGCCTTTCGTCGCTCCTCCTTCTCTACCCACCCACCATATCGCGAACTGCTACCATCATCGATAACGTTCTTGACATTCTTGTATGCCTCTGTTTCTCGAATTGGTCGCGTGCCCTTCTCGATAACGCTCGCAGTGGCGTTCACCGTAGACCGTACGCCCTTAACAACAGGTGTTTCCCAAGTCCAAGCAGCTCCCTTGCCCACAACGCCAGCCGTCGTCTTTAAAACCTTGGCAGTACTAGATGTCACTGCCCCCGTAGTCGACTCGTATGCCTGTCTGGCACGCCTCACAGATTCGTTCTCAGTGAATTGCTGGGCACCAGCAGCCAAAGCCTTGGTAGATTCATTCCACTCCTTAGAAGCTTTGAACTCGCTCTGTAGTGTCTCGGTGAACACTTGCCATGGTGATTTGTCACCGTGTGGTGGTGGTGGTGGAGCGGCCTCCTCTTTCTTGTCTTCCTTCTTGCCCTCCCCTTCACCCTCACTTGCGCCTTCGCTTTGGTCCTTGGCTTTCTCTTCACCACTTTCACCTGAGGCTTTTTTCGCACTCTCCCCCTCTGCAGCACTTTCCTTTGGTTCTTCGGTCTTGGCCTTGGTTTTCTCCTGCTGTCCTAGCCTCAAGCCCTGGTGGAAACCTCGGGATGAAGAAACTGGTCTCGCTATCTGGATTTCATCTGGGAGGAACTTGGATCGCAAAGGAGTGGTGTACGAAGTGATTGTCGATCTGGAGAGGTTTGATACAAAAGAGTGCAGATTCGATCTCTGGGTCTGCTGCTGTAACCGTCTGTAGACAGCCGTTCGCCCATATGGAAGCCTCGCGACTGGTCCGGACTGAACTGTAGAAGGCGCTCTTGTCGCCGCATGTCGAAGACCGTTCATGGCGAATGTGAAAAGACTGACTCTGTTGTCGAGCCGGTCAGTGAAGAGTGAACGAAAGGAATTATCAATTAATACCGTAGGAAATCAGGGCGTGCAAGTATTGTGAGACTTATTTACGCGGCGGCTGAAAATTATTATTCGCCGAGATCGTGGCGGAACTTGCCGCCTCAGGCACTTGCTTTCAATATTGCTTCACGGCTCTACGAAGTAAAAGCAAGAATTTCGGATTGGAAACGAGACAAGCCATGAGTAGGACCGTGTCGAGGCGCCTTTGGGCACAATCGCCTCTAGCAGCCCTTTCCGAGTCTGCACCCCGTCAGAGACTCTCGTTACAATGTCTACGACCGTTTTCAAATTCCTCATGCAAGAACGCTGAAGGAGACAGGTACGATATTTCTCCTATCTCTCCAGCCTTTTCAGACTCAAGTACTGACAGGTCAAGTAGCTCCAATCCTTTCCCCTCAGCTCCCAAGCCTTCTTCCTCATCAACACCAAGAAGCCATGTCTCCCCATCGCTCCATCCGAAAGCCTCCACAAATCCGCCATCGCAAGCAATGAAGATGCTTTCCAAATTGATGGTTACCAACAATCAAGACCGAAAAGCGCGCGAGGACAGGGCGGGCATTGACATGGAAAAGGTCTCTTCGGACGGTTTCCTCCTGACCTCCCAAAAGGAAAGGCATGAGGAGCCCCATCACTTCCACGTCTACGCTACGAGGCATAACACTCATATTACGGTCACTACACCCAATCGTGACCCGATCATCTCGAAATCAGCGGGTGACATAGGGTTCAGGAAAAGTGCCAGAAAGCATTATGATTCCGCATTCCAGTTGGCGTCGTATGTTATGGGGAGGTTACAGGAAAGTGGGAAGAACCGTGAAATTTCCAAGTTGGAGGTTGTGCTGAGAGGGTTCGGGCAAGGAAGAGAGGCTGTCACCAAGGCACTGTTGGGCAGTGAGGGCCGGTTTCTGAGGGGCAAGATTATCAGGGTTGCGGATGCTACGAGGTTGAAGTTTGGTGGGACGAGGAGCAAGAAGCCCAGACGTCTGGGTTAGAGGCACGGTGTTGTGGCTTGTACAGTACGTTGGTCTGAACATTGTATAATATTTCAATGGCATGAAGCTTGTGATGGTATCTTCCCTAAACCCAAGAACGCCACTCATAAAAACGGTCCGTCTACGCCTGTCATGTCGCTGAAAGCAAACTTTTAGAACCCTGATTTCCCTCTGCCGACTGGGGCTCTTTCCGCAGGTGGTACCACCCTTCCAGATGTATCTCTGATAGGAGCCTTTCCTTTCCCACTACCTCCCTGTCTTCGCTCCTCTTCACTATCCCACTCCTCATCGTTCGCCACCTCGTCTCTTATTCGATCATCAAGGCTATGTCTCTCGCGACTTGAATCCATATCGCTCAACATCCTAGAGCGTTCGTTTGAATCACTTCGATCGTCCTCATCCACTAATTCTCCGTCGGCCGTCTCGAAATCCGGAGGCGCGATCCATTCCTTAGGAACCACACACGGCAAGGCAACTCCAATACTCGCAGCGCGATTCAGCCATCCTGGCCCCGATCTTCCGGTAAGCTTCTCGCACAGGTACTGAGTGAAGTGATTGCAGTTCTTGTTGAGGAGGTTATATGAAGTTCCTTGGAAAGACTCGGAGGCTTCTCTGAGAATCGATTCTATTTCGTCGTGTGGTCGCAGTGTGAACCCATGAAGAATCTCACATTTGAAGGTCCCTCCTGGCGGCTCTATCCTTGGTTTCGTCCAATATACGCCAGTCATGCCCCTCCTGTCATGCCCTCCGTATGCATATTCTCTGCCGTTTATAACCACTCCAGAATGTAGAAGAGAGGCGCCAACCGCCCAAAGCACTGAAGCCAGTTTGCCGGGCTGAACCAGTTAGTCAAAAGTCAAGGTCAAAAGTCGCAGGTGACAGTCTGTCCGAGCAGACAGCAGAGAACGTACCGGGAGCAAGTCATAGACATTGATAACGATCTCGGTCTTCTGTAGGGAAAGCGTTGATCGGTGATTACCAGAAGATTTCCTTGAGGCTTTCTTCGACGGCATCGTAGCGGTTCGACGTTTTATCTGTATGGATTTTCAGACCTTGGGAATCCTGCGCAAAGAAGACCTTTGCTCGAGCAACAGTTGTAGAACGTTGGTCATGAAAAAGTTCCGCTGAAGGGTTCTGGATTTTGGAATGATATCAGAGCCTCGGGCGAAGAGGCGCCGATCAGCCTAGGCTGCACGTGACGGCAAGCAAAGCTGGAAAATCTCAGCACACTTGATTCGACGCACAAAAAATATCCGCGCCCGAGGAGAGAGTTGATACAACTCTCTCACCAGGCCGCTGACCACCACCACCACGACGTCGACTTCCGGTGCTCAACGCATCTTCTCTTCTCTTTCACTCACTTTTCAAAGGGCCGCGGCAAGAACTGCGACCCAAAACCAGAGCCTGCTTAGCTGCACGGTTTCCATAACTACAACTCGCAATTACGCAAAGAAAAGAGGGATGCCTCCAAAGAAAGCCGTCAAGGAGGAGAAGATCCTGCTGGGCAGGCCCGGGAACAACTTGAAGAGTGGAATTGTATGTGCGCCAACCTGCTCTGATCTTGATGGCTTGCTCATGAAATCCAGGTCGGTCTTGCAAACGTGGGGAAATCGACGCTCTTCCAAGCCATCACCAAATGTTCACTCGGAAACCCTGCTGTAAGTCTGGATTCCTACCCTAGCAATACCATTACTAACCCGCACGAGAATTTTCCTTTCGCTACGATTGATCCCGAAGAATCTCGGGTCATAGTGCCGGATGAAAGATTTGACTGGCTTTGCGAAAAATATCAACCCAAGTCCCGAGTTCCTGCCCACCTTACAATTTACGATATTGCTGGCTTGACTCGAGGAGCTTCAACCGGTGCTGGTCTCGGAAATGCCTTCCTGTCTCACATCCGCGCCGTCGATGCTATCTTCCAAGTCGTGCGTTGTTTCGACGATGCGGAGATTATTCACATCGAGGGAGATGTCGACCCAGTCCGAGACTTGACCATCATCAGTGAAGAGCTGCGGATCAAGGATATTGAGTTCACTGAAAAGGCGCTTGAGAACCTGAAGAAGCAAACTCGGAGAGGTGGCCAAAGTCTTGAGATGAAGAAGCTCAGGGAAGAAGAGGCCACTGTCGAGAAGATCCTTGCTTTACTAAAGGATGGTGGAGATGTCCGAAAAGGCGACTGGACTGCTAAGGAGGTACGTTTTAACATCTCATTCAAGTTACTCCATGATTTCATGATGACAAAAGGCCAAGAGGCCTGATACTTAACCCAGCTCGTCGAATGCCTCAATATAAACGCTGAGAGCATTGTGAGATAAGAAACACGTTCTGATACATTTATCCACTCTTGTTACTCTGTAATGTTTCTTGGAAAGAAAATTACTAACACACAAGGTGTACTAGGTTGAGGTCATCAATCCTCTGTTCCTCCTTACAGCCAAGCCAGTTGTCTACCTCGTCAACTTGAGCGAGAAAGACTACGTCCGGAAGAAGAACAAGTATCTTCCAAAGGTCATGGAGTGGATTAAACAGAACGCAGCCGGTGACCCAATTCTGCCTATCTCCGTCTCTCTTGAGGAGCGTCTATCACGCTTGGAGACTGAGGAGGAAGTCCAGAAGGAACTCAAGGAACTGGGAGTTGATTCCGCGTTACCTAAAGCCATCACCGCCATGCGGAAGGTCTTGAACCTGGGCAGCTTCTTCACAACAGGTCCAGATGAGGTCCGGCAATGGACAATTAGAAATGGAACCAAGGCGCCTCAAGCTGCCGGAGTTATCCATGGCGATTTTGAGAAGACCTTCATTCAGGTTATTGTGTACAATTACTCGGTTCTCAAAGAGTTGGGTGATGAGGCGGAGGTCAAGGCAAAGGGTAAGGTGCTAACCAAAGGGAAGGATTACGTTGTGGAAGATGGAGACATCATTTTGGTGAAGGCTGGCGCAGCCAAGTCATAAGCCCTCTAAATAATAATAAAGAAATGAAGTCATCGCTGGCACAGTACGTGAAAATCAATGTGCGTTTTCTGGTCGTTTAATCGTCGACTCGCTTATATTGTAGGTTTCAAGGTGAAAAGGCCAGCCACAGCCATAAGAAGCGAGCCGACGATTACCACGTCTGTTAAGCCCATTCTCAATTCCAATCAAAAGCTCCTTTGAGCCCTTGCGAGCTTCCTATATACCCTTGATCTTACTGTTATAATTGGATTTAAGGGAATGGCAACTGGAACAAATGGCTACCAGGTGATTTAGGTTCAAATGAGCAGTCGATTGTGTGTGTAGCTAAGATAAAGCGACGTACTGAAGCAGATTCTAGCTAGAGTAAAGAGAAGCTCGATTTCCACAAATTCTCCCCATTGATGTATGCATAGTATGTATGATACGCTTAAAATGGCATGCATTCGGCAGTCTTGGTGAACCTATGAGCCTTGTAGAGATGCCCTCGATAGGCCTTCCGGGTCTTTCACGTAGCCAGATTTACATCCATGGACAAGGCACTTGATGGGCACCCAGGGGGAGAAGGGGAGGAGGAGATAGGGTGGCTTTTAGAGGTGCGGCAAATAATAATAATAATTAGTTGGTCTATACCTACGTTGAAGGCTACTAAATCATCATGCTCAACTGATTAAATTCCATGCAACCGCTCATGGATCAGATTATTTCTTCCCTCCAGCTATGCCTTTATCCTGTTCCGCTGCTAAACATCCCTAGCCATGCGCTTCTATCTGAGGTACTCTGTTGATCAAGCTAGCCGTGGATATTCCAAGATTATTACTCTGCTTGCGCAGGACCCTCGCCATTACTACTGCTGCCATTGGTCTCGGCATCTAGATCCGTCTTTGCTGGTGGTATTATAGGCTGAACCTTCAACTTTCTAATTGCTCTCTTCATACCCTCGAGAGCCGCTCGTTCCTTGATGAGCATTCCCTTCGCCAACTCCCGGATTGCTCTTCGGCCCATCTTCTCATGGAGGTCTTGCCATCCGGCCAATTCTGCTGCGACAACCTGCTGCGTATACCGCAATTCTCGCCCCAGCTCCTCAACTTCATCTTTGGCTCTCCGAGCTTTATCTTCCTTTTCTTCATTCAACCGTTGTCGAGTCTCGTCAAGAAGACCGAGAGGCCAGCGGGTGGAGCGAGAAAGAGAATTATAAGACCGCTCGATTGCTTTTCGAGAGGTATTAATAGATGATATGAGGGACGTGGGGCGGGACAGTGCAAGTAACATGGCGATTATGGTGCTATGGATGGAAAGGGCTGTCGAGTGAAAAGCAGCGTACGGGGACGATGTGGATGGCGCTAGGGTCTGGACGTATGCTTCAAATGCTGAGATATGGGTTTGTGGGAGGAAAGAGATCGTGGCTAATGCGCGAGATGCGAGGCTTGCGGCATCGTAGAGATCTGACGGCATTAGTAGACTTCAGTTGAAAAGGATAGAGATGCATACCAGTGGTGACAACTCGTAACATATTCACCCTCCGCGCAACGGACTTGGTAGAGTAATTGACACTGCGAACTGTATCTCTAGCATGATCCACAAACTGCTCGACATCCCGAACATCCTCAACTGGCTCATATTCCTCCCTGACCGTTTCTACCCTCGCTTCAGCCTTAAGCTTGCTCCGTTGCTCCATCATATCGGGTTGGATATCAGGCACCAGAAAGAACTCCCATAACATTTCATGTGTAGAGAACGTGGAGTGGGCCAACAATGTCTTCAGAAAGCTATCCAAACGAACCTGAATATCTCGCAAGACTGCTCTCGAAGGCTTTGACGGCAGTTGGAATGGCCAACGCATCCCTGATATCGATGGCAACCACGAGGCCGGATTCTCAAGGGCAAGAAGCTTTGCCAGGTGCTCAAAGTCTCCCAGCGATCGCCGACACGTTGTGATAGTAAAGCTCTGGTTCTCTAATGGCGCTGCTGACTTGACTACAAGGCGTATAGTGGCATCTTCAACAAAGAAAGATCGTACAACAGCAGTAATTCGTCCGTCTGGGGCTGGCTGGCCAGAAAAGAGGATCAAATCATCGATTCGATTCCTAACATCATCGTCTTTAGCCAGCTCCACAGCCGTCAAACCGCGGAGCTCCTTCGCAAAAATGTCAACTCTTGGATCACCAAATAAGGCTCTAACCATTTCCAATCTACCATATTTGCTAGCTACCATCAGGGCAGTAAACTTCTTGTCGTTTGTTGCATTGACATCCGAATCACAATGAAGGAGGATCTTGTGTGCAATTTGAGGATCATTGACGATATGAAGTAGTGTATTGCCCTTCGAATCGATATGGTCATCTAGGTGCAATGGCTGGCCATCGCCTTGCGAGTTGGTTGCCGCCACAAGCCCGGCTTCAACCATTTCTCGATAATTAGCATGATCGTAAGACCTGCACAATGCGAAGAGCGGCGTTTGGCCGTTTTTATCTTTCTGCCGCCAAGGCAATAACCGACCAACCCGTGAGATCAGTACGGGAGCGTTGAATAAATAATGGGCAACACTTCTGCCTCTATTATCTTGCTTGGCCAGGTAATCAATCACGATTGATTGCGACTCCGCTCGATAGACAAAGTCCAAGATAATGTCGATAAGCTCTGTATGCCCAAGCTGAACAGCCGCACTCAAGAGCGTTGTGCCTTCATTATTGGTGTCCTCGAGAACCGACTGCAGAGGATAGTAATGACGCAATGATAGCAGATATCTGAGTGACTCGGGCCGTTCATGTTGAACGGCCATCATTGGGACAGACTCTCCTAATGAATCTTCTGTTTGTGCGAGACGCTCAATTGAAGTGTCGCCCTCAATACCACTACCTGTCGAATCAATTGTAGTTGCTATCGATCGGAACGATGTCTCAGAGCTGCTTGACATACTCCGCTCATCCATTTTCACGGACTTCGGTTTCCGTAAAGGCGGCAATTGTTCTTCCGCTTCTTCAGCATGCTGAATTTGGAACGGGAATACGTGATTGAGAGTGGAGGTCTGCGATGTTCTTTCAGTACTCGTTCCTGGCTGGTGTGGATCCGAATGTCCATTGACACCATTACAGGGTACTAGCTGCTCGTCCATAACTTCATCGCTATCGGGTTCATTGTTTTCGTCTTCCTCATCGGATTCTCTGTCTGGTTCCATTATCATCATCATCTCTTTGACCTCGCCCTTATTTGTGGCTTGCCAGAGCTTGTTGTTCCGTCTGCTGGCCTTCCGTAGACCCCCTGAGTCCCTCGCAAGGTAGGAGAGAACTGCCTCGAATGTGCTCAGAGCATAACCCATCTCTCCGCTCTCAACATCGTCAATGAAGATGAAATGACGCATGTACAGTAATCGTGCCTGAAGGTAACGAACCTGGGATCTGATGACGACGATCAAGAGCAGTGACACTAGAGTATCAGCATTGACTGTGAGAGCCGGCCCGGCTTTCTCGGACGACTGAGTCCCCTGCGCAACTCCTTTGGGTATGTCGGTGAGGTGTGTGACTGTCTTTAGGGTCATGAGCAAGATATCCATCATCTCCTGAGGACTTCCAGCAACATTAAGTTTTCGAAACTCCTCAACCGCACGGCCAAGACGTATAGTCAACTCATGCCTCTCCTTTTTTCCGCCATGAATATGTATTCCAACTTGTGAGATATCGACAAATTCCATCTGTCTAATTTTAAATTCCAGCTCAAGATCTTCAGGTCGCTTCATGGCGCACAATCTGGGATAGAGAACAGTATCATGGACTTGCTCGGCCACATAGCGCTCGATTAGACGTTCTACAACCGGGCCAGTAAGATCAGTTGTGGCTCCCAGGAGCGAAAGTTGCTGTTTGTCCACCATTTGAAAGAGATCGATAGCTGCCGTCACTGCAGTCTCCAATGCGCCTCGCATAATGTCCTCGTCATCTTCGGCATATAAATCACCAGCAGCACCGGGATCCGCACGGCCATTTAAGTGACTGATTGCAGCAGAATTCATACTGTGGTATCGCGCCTGTTTCATTGCCTTGGTGATTGGGCCTTCAGGTTCCGGATCAGGTATAACTTCGGCTGAAGGAGGGGGCGGCAATGGCTTCTCGAAGACAGTGTTAAACTCTTTGAATAGACGTTCAAGGCCAGGCTGCATCTGCCTGGCAATCATCGGGAAGTTATTGAGAAGGTCATTGAAGCTCTTGATATCTTTCTTGCGAGGAACAGGGCTCGAAGCACCTGAAGATTCCTCTTGAGTTAACCTAGCTGGAGAGACTAGTCTGCCATCCGGAGAACGTTGTGGAATGATGGCGGGTTCTATCTTGATCTCTTCGTATATTCCCACCAGCGGTCTCGAAATGTAGTACACAAGCCATTGCCTGGGTTCTAAGGAGTCGGGGTACCACAACGTGTCTGTCAAGATTTGGGCTTGATTAAGCGTCTTGAACCCTAGTATATAGTCAGCATCCAGCCTTTCTTACATTATGTCTACCAACCCTTATTGCTGTATACGAAGGCATCCTTGACGACTACCGTTCTGCCGTTGATGGTTGTGTATTGTTTTGCCTTTCCTCTATTCTCACGCATATTTGGTGCGTCCTTCCCTCCCGCCGCACCATTGTTTGTCGGTACTCGCAAGACATGACTGCCCAGGAATTCGTCTGACCCAGCAAGGTCTGAGTAGAGAGCGCCGGACTCGCGATCGCGGGAGGTAAGGAGAACTTCGGTAGTAGGTACTAGCAGAATCTAGGCGGACAGTCAGCCTCGATTCTGGACGGGACCTGGGGGGTTCCAGGGATCCTCACATGGTGATGGATGGGAGTACACTGTGCTGGCAGGGTGCTCTTGAAGAAGGCGGACAGGAAAGGGTTTAGAGGTTGCATTCATTCAACATTCGCGCGCCACATAGACGACTACACAGACTACACTGCAGGCGTGGGTCCTGCAATGCGGATGCCCAAATCCAAGGATTCCAGGATCGATCTTCCGGTATGTAGCACCTAGGCAGAGTGAAGGCGGCCGTCAAAGGGCGAGGCCTGATCTTATCTGATTGGGCGCAGAGATCGGAGGCGGCGGAGGTCGATAGGCTATGAAATAGGAACAGACAGGTCGAGCGGCTTGCGGAGGTTTCAAGGTTTGAATCTGCAACAAGTGGCCTGGATACGCGTAGCTGATGGTGATGCTGCTGTACAGTAGTGTCCGGGAGCACAACACCCCAGAGTTGCAATCCCAGCCAAATCGGCTTTAGGCGAGGGAATCACAAGCCAGAGCTTCTCCGCCCCGGGCGGAATGACTAAGCCTTATCGTCGGGATGTTGCTGACATAATGCTGACATAAGCCCCTGCATCGCCTGGTGGATAAGGTAATGATAAGGTACGGAGGTACATCTGTCACTGCCAGAACCCCTCCTCCCCACTATTGAGCTCCTCTGCAAGACCTCCTGCGTTTCTCCGTGTAGGTAAATGCCCGCTCTCAATCTGTCCCCACTGTTGGACCACCGCCCACTTTACACCAGCGCTCTTCTCCGTGGCTAGAGCGGAGCTTCGAGCTGTCGGGAATACTATATAGCGGCCTACCCCCTCCTCAGCTCCCAGGATGATTTCTCCTTTTCACCTTTCGCATCCTCTGTGTTTCTCTGTTCTATATTTCACTATTCTCGTGGCCTAGTAGAGTCCTAGTCAATTGAATCTTGTGCAACCTTACTGCTGTCTAGGGTCATAATGGGCAAGAAGCGTGTTCTCTGCGGTTACGGGGTCGACATCGACGCCGTGGCGGGCTGGCTTGGATCCTATGGAGGAGAAGATTCATCGAATGACATTAGTAGAGGTATGAGGCGGCCATCGTTGATCAAAGAGCCCTGCTAAACAGCCTCCAGGACTCTGGGCCGGAACGATTGGAACCCGCCGTCTCCTCCAACTCTTCGAAAAGAACAACATCAAGGCAACCTGGTTTATCCCCGGTCACTCACTCGAAACCTTCCCTGAAGAGTGCGCCATGGTTCGCGATGCAGGACATGAGATTGGTCTTCACGGATACTCCCACGAGAACCCAACCGACATGACCCTTGAACAGCAACGGGACGTTCTCGACAAGACATACAGACTTCTTACCGACTTCTGTGGGAAGCCACCCAAGGGAAGTGTGGCACCCTGGTGGGAGACTAGCAAGGAAGGAGCTGAGCTGCTACTGAGTTATGGCCTTGAGTATGACCACAGTATGAGCCATCACGATTGCCAGATGTACTGGTTAAGGATTGGGGATACCTGGACCAAGATCGATTACACAAAGAAAGCAGAGGAATGGATGAAGCCACTGGTGAAAGGTAAGCCTACTGGGCTTGTGGAGATCCCAGCTTCCTGGTATATCGATGATCTGCCTCCGATGATGTTCATCAAGAATTCCCCGAACAGTCACGGCTGGGTGAACCCCAGGGATGTGGAGGATCTCTGGAGGGATCATTTTGATTACTTCTATGCAAATTATGACGAATTCGTCTTCCCCATGACAATCCACCCTGATGTTTCTGGCCGGCCACACGTCCTTCTGATGCACCAAAGGTAAGGTCTAATCTATCCCTGAAGTTATATGTCAGTTGCTTACTGTCTAGGATAATCGATTATATCAACAAGCATGAAGGCGTTGAATGGGTCACGTTTGAGCAAATGTCGGACATTTTCAAGAGTCAGAACACTCCAGAAGCTGGTGCGATCATGCCTGCACCTGCAGGAGAGATGCTCAAGAAGCCACCCACTACTAAATAGGGTTAATGTCACTGTTATGATGAACAATCCAAAGCGTAAAAAAAATATTCTTCATTATTGGAGTCGTCGTCGTGATGTGGACTGAGAAAATCATCCATACATCATCTTTCCTCGAATAATATCAGGGCCGTCCCACTGTTCTATTTATTAATTCGTGCAGACTAACATCGTGACCGTCTATACCCCGTTCTCTGTGTTAGTCTAGGCAATACCATAAAGTATTATCCTTTTGTTAACATTGAGTAAAGGTCAGAAGAGTTGTCCAGGTAGCACTTGAGTAATTGATCACGAGTATTCAGAATTGTATTAATGGTTTCTGCAATAAAATGATGTTTTCTGCAGGCTTGGAGAGAAGCCTTAAGAAGCGGCACTACCATCATGCATTACATACCTATCAATGAACATTATTCAGAAATACAAGAAAAGTATACATATATGTGTTTATGTGTATTCGCATGTAGAGAAATTCAAGGAGGGGGGTCGGTTGTAAAATCCTGTCGCACATATTGTCTGGTCGTATGTAATAAAATAATGTCATTCGACATAACAATCTGGTGGCCTGGTGGCCTAATGGTAAGGCGTTGCTTTCCGGTAGAGTCTTTTAAGAGACTTGGTGCTTGGCAAAGATTGCGGGTTCGAGTCCCGTCTGGGTCGATTGTTTTTTGGGCTTTTTCTTGAAGCCTGGATTATTTTTTGTGTTGGGGTCTGTGACTTTTTTTTCTTATTCTTCTGCTCGCTCGCTACGATAAGATATGAACTTTCTAAAGCAATTCCTAACAAACCAGTTGGTGGCCTGGGTAAGTTAAGATTCACAATCGCCTTCACATTTCACATCTTCTAACATCTTCAATAGTGGCCTAATGGTAAGGCGTTGCTTTCCGGTTGTGCGATTGGCAAAGATTGCGGGTTCGAGTCCCGTCTGGGTCGATTTATTTTTTGCTATTTTTCAAGCTTGGGTTTTGCGACGGGCGAGTGTTTGTGTGTGATTGCCTTTTTGTGCCTTCTTGTGATGCGAGGGGCTTTGAGTCTGAATAGCACCATTTTTGCCCCTTTTTGTTTAGCGATCCTGGGCATCCTCAAGCCCCTGACATGGAGAGCTTCAACCCCAAGCCGGGGGACAAGAGCAATCATATTGCTAAAGAGTGCATAGATGTGAATATGCCCCAAGCTGATAGTTGGTAACTGGAGACAGTGCCAGGATTAGCCAATGCGCGGATTTTACCCCCCGTAAGGTATACATACCACAGGTCCCCCAGATCTCAATCCACACAGGCTTACCTAGGTAGGGTAAAGTATAATAAGGTTATCATTCTACTATTTTCGAATAATTAGAGGTACACAGACAATACCTTACTGTGATGTGCCAATAATGGAACACTGTGCAAGAGACCCGGGCCAATGCGATGCCTGAGGCCTGCAGGCCACACCGTAATTGCAATAGGATCAATGTGAGTGGTGGGCAACGTTACATCCTGGACCACACCGATACGCGATAACGACCCCGCGGTGTGGTTATCAACAACCACGATTCTTGAGGCTGAAAGTCGCATCCTCATGAACATCCTGGGCATCAGCAACCCGCTCTGATCCCAACCCAAGAGCATCTGCTGTCCACAAGCGCCAACAGGATGGCTCCACACGCAGATTCCCCCACAGTCGACGATGTCGACCGCCTCCCCGCCCCGGTCAGGCCTCCCATGTCAGCAAACCCTCCTCGAATCCTGATTATAGGGGCTGGCTCCCGAGGCAATGCGTATGCGCGGGCTACAGGCGAGTCATCAAACGGTATTGTTGTGGCCGTGGCCGAGCCAATCGCATACAAGAGACAACGGCTCGGATCGAAGTACATATGGGGGAAGGCTGGGCCATCCGAGGGCCAGGAGTTCGAGGACTGGAAACATTTCCTGGCATGGGAGCAAGAGAGACGGGCTAAAGCCTCGAGGGGCGAGGTCGTGCCGGAAGGGGTTGATGCTGTGTTTATTTGCGTGCTCGATGAAATGCACAAGGAGGTCATTGTTGGACTCGCCCCGCTGGGTTTGCATACCATGTGCGAGAAGCCATTGACTACAAGCTTGGATGATTGTATCTCAATATATAGGGCGCTGCTTCCAGATCTTCCCCATACGACTGCTCCGTCAAAGATCTTCTCCATTGGCCACGTCCTGAGATATAGCCAACACAATATAGTCCTTAGGAAGCTGTTGCTGGAAGAACAAGTTATTGGAGAGGTCCTCTCTGTCAACCATACGGAACCAGTTGGATGGTGGCACTTTGCACACAGCTATGTCAGGTAGGCATTCTAAATACCATCTCCTCATTATCAACCACTAACCTTCCAGGGGAAACTGGCGCAAAGAATCCACCACCGCGCCCTCCCTCCTCACCAAATCATGCCACGACATCGACCTCCTCCTGTGGTTACTCTCCTCACCACCACCAAACTCCAACAAGCCGCCTCATATCCCCGTGACCGTGAGCTCCTCCGGCTCTCTCCAATTCTTTAATAAGACCCGGAAACCAACCGCTGCCGGAAATGCCACAAACTGTCTTTCCTGCCCCATTGAAGAGTCTTGTCAGTATTCTGCCAAAAAGATATATGTCGGCAAGGATCTCAAGGGTCTCGGCTCAGGAAACACAAACTGGCCCGTCGACATTGTCCTGCCCGAAATCGAAGAGTGCATTTCCCAGGGAGGTCCGGCCGGCGGTGAACGCGCCCTCCTCTCCAAACTCTCCGAGGACTACACAAGCACGACGCCAGCCTCCGAAGTCTCGGCCCGGAACTGGTACGGCCGCTGCGTCTGGGAGGCCGACAACGATGTCTGCGACAACCAAGTGGTGACGATGACCTGGGACAACGACCCGCTCCCAAGCACCAGCGACGACCCCGAGCAAGCGCTCGCTGGCCGCGGTGCCAAAACCGCCGTCTTCCACATGGTCGCGCACACCAAGAAGATCTGCGACCGCTACACGCACATCTACGGCTCGCGCGGCGAGATCTACGCCGACGGCGAGACCATCACGGTGCAAGACTTCACGACCGGCACCCGCAAGGTGTACCGGCCGCACGTCGCAGGCGGCGGTCACGGCGGCGGCGATGACGGGCTGGCGCGCCAGTTCATCCTCGCGGTCGACAGGGTCAAGAACCATGGGGCGCGCGTGACCGACGCGCAGGAGGAGTTCGTCGGCTGCACGCTCGAAGATGTCATCCGGAGCCACGCGCTTGTGTTTGCGGCTGAGGAGGCGCGCAGAGACCGGAAGGTCCTGGATTTCCCGGAGTGGTGGGAGCGTGTGGTGCAGGGTGGTTTGAGGGGGGAGAGGACGGTTTGAGCGGATTGGGATGGGAAGGGAGGCGTAATGAAGTAATGTCACCTGTTTAAGGTACCTATCTAATGAATATCATCAATATCTTCTTCCGCACGGGGATCAGAAATCAGGAATGGGAAATTCGTCACGACGGAGTACACCTGATGCAACAGGACCAGTTGTCAAAAACGAAAGGGTCCTACCCTGCAGCAGGTGTATAGCCCAGGATGTAGCTTCAATATTAGTTCACCATAACTCTACTTGGTCCTTGAGAAATCCCATGATTTTGGTTTTCTTAATTCATCGAATCGGTCTATGCTAGGAGATCCGCTCATAAACTAACAATCGTCGTATCGTGTAACTCATGAACTTATACACAGATCCAGTGTGCCTTGCGTGTTAACGTAACTATCCATAACTCATCATCATCATCATCATTGTCATTGTCATCATGGATCTCCATCCCATATTCATTCCAAAAGGCCAAGTTTCGAGGATCCAAATCTCGGTCACCATCGTCTTCAAAGTCTGGCCTACACTGTAGCCCGCTAGTACTTGACCCGAAACGCCATATATGCAATGGATAGCGCCAAAAAAACGCAAGAGAGAGAATCACTCAAGCTCACCCGGTAACCCTCCTTACCCACAGCCCCGTCGGCTCGTACACGGCATCTTTATCTTGCCTCTTCCATGCTCGATGTAACTTGAGACCAAGCTCATGTTCCTGCTGCCTGATATCCGCTTCCTCCTCTCTGAGGTGCTCCACTTTTCGCTTCTCCTCGTCCCGCTTCCGCCGTACTTCTGTAGTCTCCACGATGCGATCTTTTGGCATCAACTCTGTCATCTGACGGATACTTCTCGTGATATTATTCCGACGGTTCGCGAGGTTGTCGAGCTGCGCTTGCAGGGACGAGATGAGATCGCGGGATTCGGTTTCGGCAGGTGACTGTGGGAGCGTCTTGGCAGTATCCGATGCACGTTTGGTGGTTATGCTGCTGGTCATGCTGATCAAGACAGGAGAAGTCGGATTGACCGCTTTGCGTGTAGTAACTTTGGGACTCTCGCCAACTTTTGGACGCTTGCGGTTGAGTATTGGTGTCTTAGGGGTAGGAGAATCTTGGGTGGTTCCTGATGAGGTCGGTATTGGTGGCATTGGTGGCCGGTTGCTATCGGTGGAGGGGCGGGACGAATTGTCTCCTATTGAAGTTGCATATGTCGTTATACTGAATCGAGATGGAGGCTGCACGTAAGGTTCCGAAGGGTCTGGATTAAATGACTTTTGTAAAGCTTCTCTGAAATTGCGTTCAATAGTCCCAGCCGAATCTTTTCTTTGATGCGTGGTCACTGCTGGGGGAAACGCATCCACACGAGCTTTCATATTGTTATCTGCAGGTGTGAGGGGTTCGGGGACGGGGATTCTAGGACTTTGTTCACTACTAGGTGAGAGCACGGTCCTGGCGAACGGTTCGGCATGTCGCGCTGATGCGATATCTGTTTCATCACCACCACTTCGGATGGCAGAGACAGGGGTCATCAATCGAGGACTGGGCGAAGTAACACGTTTGCTACTCTTCCGGGGAATTCTGATAGGTGGCATGTCAGGCTGATCCGCAACTGGAGAGACTATTGTCGTCCGGCCAGTTGCACCTTTCCATGCCGGTTTCTCCATAGGAGCAATATGGGGTTTCAATTTTCGAACGCGATCTCTAATTGTCGTATGAGGATTTGGAGGACCGCTGATGATGGATTGGTTTCCAAGAACAATGCCAGTCGGTTCGTGAATAAATTGAGATCCTGGCGGCGAAAATTCTCCTGGCTCCACTGACTGTGGCCTGTCTTTATTGCTTGTGGTAACATTCCCTGAGTAAGGGTCCCATCGAACGTCGGCTGTCTGTCCTACACGTGCGCCATCTCCGACTGCCTTGCGTTGAACCAGATTCGCAGCGGTGGTTGCGGCTTGGTTACGCCGCTTCTCTCTTCGAAGCAGCGGAATGCTACTCGGGGGTGGTTTTGAATTCGTACCTAGTTTCGAGGGAGGCCTCGCACTGGAAGCTTGCCTACTGCTTGGTATATCAAAACCAAGCTTTGAAGCGTCGGGAGTATCATCAATAGGAGATACTTCTTCGTCAATGATTTGAGTTCGACTAGGTTTCATTTGTCAGTCTTTCTCTCTCAAAGCGTGTTAGGAGCAGAAATTGGAAGAACAAAAGAGGGTATGCTTGTAGCTGATTACACTAGAAAAATGTAAGGGAAAAAATGTAGAGACATCTGAACATTTATATCATTGCCTGAGACTAATTCTTAGGAATGAAAGTATGATTGATTGGTATAGCAGCTCTAGAGCATGCTTACGGTATATTTGTAAAAGCTTCGACATACTTTCTGCCATACTCCGGTGAAGATGGAGGAGAGACCTCGTCATCTGGATACACTGTTTGGTATGTTTTTTGGGGAAATTGAGTTGAGATAGGTGGAGGCGAGGGTCGGGAATAGATAGAGGACACCGGTCTGAATTTCGATTCTTGATGATCTAGGGCAGTTTGTAGAACCGGCCCGCTGCACTTGAGTTAGCTTGTGTCCCTGATTTATACCTAAAGTAGGTAGCACTGAAGTAATAATCCAAGCTCGTTTGAAGCACCAACTAGGCATATGATACTTCACGTCCAGTCCCCAGACAGACCGCAGCATGATCTCCTCTGTATCATGAGAATAATGCAAATACTTACAAAGGGAGCTCGGGAAGTCCTTTGCGCATCCCATCGTCCCGCGGGGGCCTCGACGATGGTCTATTTTTCTCCAGAGGAGATTGGGATCGGGTATAATCTACTCCGCCACCTGCGGGTCTATTCTCATCATATACTGGCTGGCGTGCGCCTTTCTGGTTATTGTTGAGCCTCTTCCACATTATGGCGGCTTGTCTGTGAAGCGTCCGATGCTCGCTGGGAGGAAGTTGGAGGGGAGTTCTCTGGATATTTGTTGCAAACGCGAGTAATTTGAATCAGATACGACTGCGCATTGAATGGTGCCTCTGTAGATTTGGCAGAGGTCGAGGATCCCGAGTGGAACGTGTACAGTATCGTAGTCCCGGGCTTTCGTGATGTCACCGAACGCCGAGAAGAGGCGGCGCGCTGCCAAAAAGAGGATGTAGAATGGGATGCCAAAAGACGAGAGAAAGACCACTGGCAAAGGAATGGATAGCGAGGAGGACAGCAGGGAGAAGGTCGAGAGCTGGACAAAGAGCGTCGTGGTTTGCGACTTACCGGCTGGGCCAATAAGAGCAGCATGCGCCGCAGCAGAAAGAATGGGAGAAAAGTGGCCTGGACGAAGTGGTGGGAAGTGGAACTTGAACTTGCAGTTGAACTTGAGGCTTTTCAGACGAATCGATGCTTACCAACGAGTTTGACGTCTCAGAGCACGGTTCATGCCCGCGAATTGCAGGAGGGCACGGCGAGTGTTTCAAGTATTTGCGGTCTCAAAATCCCGATGGTGAGTTTCCCTCGTGCGCGGTGCAGAGTGTACAGCCACAATTTGACCAGACGCCGACAGTTCGAACGAGCCCCAGCAGGAGCGGTAAACCGACGACGAATAAGAATAAAGGGAGGGAAAGAGAATGAACACCTACGTGGATCTGGATGGTTTGGATGGAGTCAAGAAGCGCCTGATTGATGTGAAGAGGGAGAGGACTCAGAGAAGAGAGACTGTCGTGCAGTTGGTGGTGGTTGGGGTCTTGGTCTTGGTCTACTTTAGTCTGTCTCGTTTGAAAGGGATGGCCTGAGGACCCTTATTGATTAGATCACGTGATTTGCTCGAACCCCCTTTTAAATCCACTGTCAAATGATGGATGGTCATTGGATGGTTATTTTACATATCAATTCATATTAATCGAAGATGAACCATTACAAGGTTGGATTGTAGGATGACATCGACCGTTCACTTATATTGTACTCTTCAAACCTAGACTATCATACATAGGTATTTTCCAGTATAAGGAAGAATAGACAGTCGACTTCGAGTACTTTATTGACAGTCAAAAGCATCTTAGCCATCCATCATATAAGATGATCTAGATACGGTAGTGAAGGAAAATGACCATTAATATATTTCTTACCAATCCATAAAAAAAAGTGATGGTCAACTGGGTACCTTACCTACTTACTAGGTAGCTACTACCTAGGTATGTATCACAATGGTCATGTCAAAGCTTAACCATCCCTTTTAACTATCCACAGATCATCCAATCGCATCTTGACCATCCAAACAAGTTAATCATCAGTCAATCCTCAGCTACCTATTCTCAGCCACCAGCCCACCCACCAGATCATCCGCTAGACCGTCTACCAATCAATTACTCCGCAGTATACTCAGGACGCGTCCCGATCTCCTGTCGACCGACGTGATTATCGTGATTGAGAGATAAAGCCGATAAAGTAAGGTAGGGATGGAGGGCCGGCCCGACACTAAAATATGTAGCTACGGAGGATATCGTGGTCCAATACAAGTTGCTTTTGGCTTTACCTCCGTACGGACCATTGAAGAACCTTACGGCTTAACCTGCTTAGAAGCGACGAGAGATGTACCACGCTAGGAGCTACTTCTAGGTACTTAACAGGATCTGCCTTAAGTGTGACTCCAGCGTGAACAATGTGTATATATACTTTTCTATGAGCAATTGGAGGCAATCGTAGAACTCAACGGCGGTGTCACAGCATAGCTAGCCACAACTAGATAGGAACGGAGGGTTCCCTAGTGGCTTAGACTAAGGTAGATCCCGCATAAGCCTTTTCGGCTGAGAACGGGCGTATCGATCAATCGATCGATCAATCAACCAATACAGTAGTTCGAAAAGATAGAACTCATGTAAGGTAGCTATTTGACTATTGAGCGGCCAACAACAGGGATCAAGAGCACCTCATGTAGATCTGACTTTCTATCTCTCTCCCAAGCTAAGTATCTATTTATTGATCCCTCTCTCTCACAATCTGTTTCTTGATCTCTCTCTTAATCTATTAATCTTCTTAACACCAAGAATCTCCAGATCTCTCTAACTACATCAATGGAAACTGCCGGCGTTCCAGGTCCCCCTTCTGTCCCTATCGTCCCTCCCTCGGAAGAGACCAAGGCACATTTTTGCTCGACTCCTTGGGCATGGAAACTATTCTCAGACCCCACCTTGCGACCCTTCTCAAACCCCTCTCGCATTCCCAACAACAGCACCACATCATGCTCTTTCATTGGGAAAACGTTGGCAACACAAGATACCATCGTTGCCTGGCAGTCATTCTATAAGCCTCCCGACTCCACCAGCAAGTACGGACAAGTCCTGTGCCTGGCATTGCTTGGTTCCGGGGTCAATGGCCACGTGGATACAAGCCATGGAGGATTCGTCGCCGTGCTCTTTGACGAAGGGTTCGGTCTCGTGGCAGGGAACCAGAGACCGGATGACAGGGCTGTCATGACCGTGTCATTGAAGATCGATTACAAGAAGCCTGTCCCCACGCCGGGTGTGGTGTTGTGTCGATGCTGGCTGGAAAAGGAGGAGCGGAGAAAGATGTGGATAAGGGGCGCCATTGAGGATGGAGATGGGACGGTGCTTGCAACGGCACAGTCGTTGTTCCTTGTGGTGGAAGGATTGAAGCCGCTGGAGAGGTTATAGACTTATTATAACTTTACAGAGTGTGAGGCTTTGGCTGAGGGTGATTGTGGAGATCTCCCGCGAGCTACCTGGCGATCTGGGTTTTTACCGAGGGAACTCAGATAAATATTGGCCAAGCTCTGCGAACAAACACAATGATGATAACGATAAGGGGAGAGAGCATGGCATGGAATCTATCAACGCAGTATTCGGTCTTTTGGCTGGGGGTTCAATTAGCTAGAGTATGGGGAAGGTTTCAAGGGAACGGCTCGGACAGGGTTTCTCAGAGGATCAAGGCACGTGATACAACAGCATACCTACCTCGCGGGAGACGGAACAATAGACATTTGGGATTGTTATATAGAAATAGACTATCTTATTTATAGACCATAGACAAATCCCATAGACATGCCTAATAGGGACAGCAAAGACACATCCATTTTCATCAAACGGATATATCACGTGTGCGGGGATCGGCAGACTTCGCTCCCATTCCATCCTATCGACTCCGCATCACATATACCTCGGAGTATCTACCTCAGTGTCAGTTCACAGCACAACACCACGCAAATTACCTACAGCTCTAATTGAGACCAAGACGCTTTCTCGCTTTCTCTCGAGCTTCGAGGAACTTCAGTCTTTAACCCAAAGCTACAATCTAAATACGAGGGACTGTTGCGCCCCGGATAAAGTATCTACAGGAGGTTACCCGCTCTACAAGACAGCTCCGGCAGGCCCGACACACTCCCAATGGATTACGTTGAGAACAGGATGAATCAGGGTCAGCCTTCCCATTTCCAAACCTGAGCTGCATCGATTCTCTAACCTAGCCCAGAGGCCTCCAAGCCCGCCGCCGCCGAAGTGTATGCCGCCGCTCCCCTCCTCCCCAACCATCACTAACCCTCCACGCAGGCAAAGCGTCGCCACGCCCGTAAACGCAATCCTCTTTGCGCTCGCCCTCCTAATCGCCTACTACAGCCTCCGACCCAAGTCCAAGCCCACACTGCCACCTGCCCCCGCCCCGACCGTCTTCCAGACCTTCACGCCGCCGACGCTTCTCCCCTACAACGGCACGAACAACATGCCCGTGTACCTCGCAGTGCGCGGGCGTGTCTTCGATGTTACGCCGGGCCGCAACTTCTACGGACCAGGAGGGCCCTACGAGAACTTTGCGGGCCGGGATGCGAGCCGTGGGCTGGCGTTCGGAAGCTTTGACAAGGAGATGCTGACGGAGGATCTGCAGGGCCCTCTAGACAAGCTCGAGGATCTGGGGCCGGAGGAGTGGGAGGCGCTCAAGGGCTGGGAGGAGAGGTTCGAGGAAAAGTACTTGGTGGTTGGGAAGCTGGTGGCGGTGGGTGAGGAGGGCACGAAGGCGAGCCAATGAGGAAATGAGGTAGGGGGTTAGGGAGGGGAAACTAAGGGAGGAGATGAGGGCTTGATATGGGCTTTTGATGGAGTTCATGGGCCACCAGTTCACATGCCAATGCGGAAATAGGATCAAGCTGTGACCAGCAATCAAAAAATTATCGATATGGTATTATGCATAGCTGTGTGTGCGTGGATATAACTTTTTGATATCTGTTGTTGATGTATGAACTCAGCCTCCCAACATCCCCAGGGTCGTGGTAGCCCTTTTTGATCCCTAGGAGGTCCAACTTCTCAATTACTGAGCAGGAAGGAAGCACCGTAAATGCCATGAAGACTGAAGTGCCTACCGAAACCTTATTCCTACCTACAGCGCATAATATTCCCAGAATCCTCCTCTTGCAAAATCCAACACTCTTAATGACTGGAACAAGAGAACTCGCATCAACTCAGACATCTCGGCATATAGCTTTCAATGGTAGAGCGCGTCACTAGTAACGCGAGGTTGCCGTTTCAATTCCGTCTAAGGGTTTTCGTTCTATGCCTACTTTTTTTGAACACTTTATTTATTTTTTGATTCTTTCCTTTGCCGCTCGATAAGATGTGTGCCTGCGGAAAATACCATCTACTCCGTACTGTACCTACAGTTCAGTACGGTACAGTACCTACCGATGTAGGTGGACAACTATTGGTGGAAAATTCAACTCCGTCCTTGCAGCATAGCAGTCCCTCACCAACCAGTCCACTTTTGAGAGGTAGTATGGAAGATTCTGACACCAAAATCCCTCGTGGCGCAATTGGCTAGCGCGTTCGACTGTTATGAATACTATCGGATTCAGCACGGTGATCGAGAGGTTGGTGGTTCGAGCCCACCCGAGGGAGGATTGGATTTTTTTTTTCTTTTTTCTTTTTCTTTTTTTGCTAATTTTGTTGTTTGTTTTTAAGAGACGTTTTGGTTTGATGAAACTGCGAGTGGCCCTGGGGAAGATAAGGGGTGCACTGATCGAAAACGCAGGTACGGCGGTGGTATACATGAGGTAAGTAAGGTAAGGTACCCAACATGTATGATGATATATTGACTGTGATGTGTTACAGAGATTAATAAATCCTTCCCACGATCTGTTTCTACCTTTTGTCCCGTCTATCTACCTCCCTACCTAAGGTATCTTATCATCATCCTCCCCCTTTTCATCCCCAAATCCCCACCACGTGACCCTCGCTCTCCCTCCCAACTCTCCCAACCCAGCCATCAATGCGCAGTCTCTCCATTCCACCTCCTCGCCCGCCCCCAAGAGCTCCAAACCCACCCTTCTCAGCCCCTTCATCTCCTGCTCCAGATACGCACACAGCCTGGCCCACCGCGCATCAACGCCGGCGCCCATATCCCCGACATGGGGCATCTCACGCGCGATCCGTATCTCCCTGACATGTTTCCGCGCTGCTGCTGAGCGATCCTTCCAAAACGCCAAGCACGCATCGGCATAGACGCCGAAATCAAACACGGTTCCCGGCGCTGCATACAGGACCTCCTCCGCCTCCGTGCATATCTGTCGGCTCACGCCCAAGATTTCAGGATGCAGTCTCTGGCCCGGAGGCGTCTCTGAATGCACCTGATACGTCGTGAGCCGATCCGGCGCGGGGCCGGGATAGAAACTCTGCGTCGCGTACGCTGGTACCGCATCACGGCGGTAGAACAGCCCGTTGTGCGGGAGCTGCGTGCTGATTTTGTGCACTCCGGCGGGGAGCAACAGTGCGTAAATGGCCCGTCGGATCTCGAGCGGGAGATGCACGAACGGGAAGGAATCCCTGGATGCGGCGGTAGGGAGCGCAGCACGTGATGCGGACTCGTAAGGCTGAGGATCGGCGGTCCCTGCAGCCCGGGGGTCCGAAACTAGCGGGTCTTCGGGGTCGGAGTGCGGATCATCGTCACACGGGCCAGACCAGGGATGCAGGATGCTGACTTCGATGCGGGCGCAGTTGGTCTTGCATAGTTTGCGGGGCTGCTGCTTGGAAAAGATGTTGAGTGAGAAGGAGCCGGACGGGAGCTGGTCTTGCGCGGCTGTATTTGACGAAGTCATGCTTGAGAAGTGGTGATGGCACTTATGGGCATCATAAGACGGTTTGAAGAGGTGACGTCGCGACGCGATTTGGTTCTTGGATGGAAGTGGTCGGATCCAGCGCTTTTAAAACGCACGCAAAGTTGGCCAAGACTCAAGATGAGAGAAGATCAAGACTACAGAAGCTGCGGGACTGCAACCTTCTTAAGAATGCCCAAGTGTGTGAGGCTGAAAGCTATCCCGTCTGGGGGAATTTCGCGTGTCTGACATGAGTAATCATATAAGCTGACGACCTACCCACCTAGCATACGTCGTATTTTTATATGCTGGGAATTGGGCCATTATCGAGAATCTAGGACGCTATTAAAGGTCTGGATAGACACATGCTCCGCTTAGCAAAGCAAAGGCTTGGAGAGAGATGCCTGCTATCACGGTAATGTCCTCTTCTGTCAAACTCTCTCGCTATAGTCATTTACCTAGGCGAGATACTGTGCGCCCAATTCATCTCCTATATCCTCCCGTTCATGCTTTGTTTCCTCGATCGTAGGAAGTGGGCAGACCGGCCCAAGATCTCGCACGGGAGGGTCGAAGCCTTCATTCACGTCGGCTGCACCTGCCATTACCATAACCCTCTGAGGAAACCACTGCATTTGAAGCAGTGCGAGACTTGGCAGTGGTCTCTGTAGAGGGTCACCAGTTGTTAACACAAACATCTCCCTTGATTTGAGGCGTTCCCCCTCTGTATGGCATTTGATGAGAAGATTGTCAGGGCAGCCTGAGTAATCTCTTGTTGACATTGGTATGGTAAGCAGATCTATGTTTGGTTGTATTGTCTCATGTTTGGCCTGCAAAAAGAACTGGATTGTCAAACAGGTGTCGGACTCGAAAATCAGTTTGAGCGCATATTCCCCTTGATTCCAAATATGGCGCGCGTATATTCCAAGGGTATTTGAAGCACTTTCAGTTCCATGGTCATATAAGTCATTGGGAAGTAGTGATTGTATCTTGCGGCCGAAAGTATTTTAGCATGTGCCAAAAGCTGTCTTGCGTACCATACTTTTTCTCACGGCCGTAAGGAGGGGATTGTATATATATGAGCTACTTCAAGCACAGTAGCGCCTGTAAGAACACAGCGATAGTGGTCTCGTTCAAGAGCCACTGTCTTAGCAAAGAGTTTACAGATGCACCAAGAAACGTGTTTTAGACTTACAGCGGTTGGTGCAGGCGTAGAGCGAGACAACTTGCGCCGTTTTGCTGGCAGGGAGTCTTCTGAAGTACCTTCTGCCGGTCCTGATAGGAAACATGACTCTGATAGCAGGGAGCGCTCTCGCGACATACATTGTTTCCTTGTAAAGTGTAAGCTACAGTGGATTAAAAAGAGGGAGATTTGGTAGGATTCAACTTACAATCTTTGTCATTTTTCTCCGACAATCACAAGCAAATCAAGCAATCAGAAAAAGATGATCCAGCTCTTTCCCTGCCAATCGTTCTAGCGCCCCCAAATTGCAAACATGAAAGGCTTCCCAAAAGCGTACTGGCATGATGGAGTCTGCACCAAACAATATATCCTTGATACGGTCTGGACTCGGCCGATTACAGTCGTCTAGTGGCGCCGGCTGGGATGATAACTTATAAGCCCATTCTGTCACTAGGGTACGTGGAGTGTACTGTATCGAGAACAGTTGTTGAAGGAGTTCAGTATTTTGAAGAGGTCAAATACTTGAGATATCTCGAGAATGGTCGTGAGAAGGTTAACAAAAGGAGCCTTCTGATTATCTCTTCCATATGGGATGATGGGAAGGTGTTGCTATAAGGGTAGCGAGGTATACAATTACTTCGAGGGGTCATAATTTCAGCCTCATATGTTAGGGATGAACTTTTATCGCAACGCCATGGCAACCTGAAGGCATCGCAAAGCAAACATCTCGAGGGTAGCGCAATTCATCGTCTACCAGATATTGTTCTGAAATACAGTGAGTCTTAATAACTGATATTTATTTGAACTAATTGATGGAGCATCATACGCGGCTATATAAATTTGTCTCATTTCCTGCATCTAGGCCCTGGTTTGTTCGAGGCGCATTCCCAGCCCTCGATTTTTGATGCAAAACACCAGCCATCTACGAGCCTCCCAACCTCGCAGCACGGGGTTTCCTTCAGATAGCTGCGCATTTATTATGGATCTCATTCTCCCTTGTAAGGCTTCGTTTTCTTTTTCTGTTGATCATCGATTTGCAATCCTCGCAGATATCGAGACTTGACTTTCAAGTGCCTCTCTATCACTCCATCACTATGCGACTTAATACTTCAAGCTCAACAGTGTTTGCTTTATCGCTGTTTTCCTTGTCGACGCTCGCACTTCCATTTGTTCCCCCAAAGGCTGCGTTGCTGGAACCCCTGGTTGAGAGGGCAACATATTCAGTCGTTCCGGTGGATGGTGGTTCAGCAGCCTCAACCGGAACAGTTGGATCACCAGCGGCGACGACAATAGTGGAAACAACCATAGCGACCCCTTCACCAACAACAAAGACGGTCACTGAGACTCATACTCTTCCACCAATCACCACTGATATCGTCTCGACGACAACCATTGAGGGGCCAGAAATTTCCAAGACTGTGGTTGTATCCATCACACCATCTCCAGCAACAGTGACAACCACTGCATACTCAACTGTCGATGTCGACTCTCCTCCTGTCACTATCGAAGTACCAGGACTATCATCTAGTCTTCCGACCTCGTCTTTGAGTTCGACCACGATTAATACCTTGAACCCGACGCCCACAAAACCAACATCTCTTCCAACGCCCTCAAGCCCCATAATAGTGCCGACAACTACGACATCAATATTGCCCCCCACCTCCTTATCAACAAGTTTCGCGACATATGGCAACGCAACTAGCACCCCAGCGCTCTCGAGCGGTGCAGGTGCAGTGATCACTCCAGCTTCTTCTATTTCGCAGCTTTTGACGTCCACCACTGCGTCTATTTCGACCTCGACGAAAACATATGATAATGGCCAATGGCATACAAGCTATCCTTCCTGGTCAAACTCTACTTGGGCCACATCTGCTGTCGTATAAGCTTTTCAGCAACCCGGACCAGGTTGACAGTTTCAGCCCCTTGAATGATTGCGAGTCCCCTGGATAGCATGCCTGAGATAGATCTCAAATACGTCTTCGGATGAGGGGCCCTCCAAAATACACCTAAGTCAGGTGTGACGAGAATCACAGAAGCAGAGATCAAGGTCAGGAAGAGGAAATCTGGCTAAGATGATGAGAACGATTGAATGCCCGTCAAATGAAATTTTGTGTTATGTACATATTTGGATTGTACGATTGTACTTCAGGAGGAGTTTAGAAACAGCATACCAAGAGCTGGGAATGCAGCATCACAAATATTCATTGGAAGGAATTCGGTATACGTGGGCTCGGACCCACGTATACAAGAGTAAAGTAATGTTTGAATGCGGGTAGATGAATCAACGAGTGGAAAAGAATAGTTATCAAGATACATATACATTCTTCGATCTTTTCTAACATGCGGTCTCTACTTGCTGAAACCAATGTCCTATTAGCTTAATCCCAGAGTGTAGAAGAATCATCGAAGCATGCTCAGGTTATCCAGGAAGCCAGGTTCCCCTATTCAAGCTTGACAGTAGCCTTGCCGCTCTGCTATTCGTGCAACTCCGGGCGACCGTACTCCGCAGGTGAATACAACTTCATCTATAGCCTCCGCCTCCCCTCGTGTTTCCCCATTCTACCACGACGTCAATGATTATTCCGTGAGCTCAAAAGGCCATAGTGCACCAATTCGCAACTCGTTATTATGGCCACTCCTCCAGCAGTGGAAGACCAGGCCCGACTGTTGGAAGATGCCCTGACGGTAGTAAGGCAGCAGACGCATCTGATGCGCAAATGCTTGGAGACACCGGGAAAGCTTATGGATGCTTTGAAATGCAGGTCAGTTGGCTCCTGGGTTATCGCTGGTTGTGTTCCATAGCATGCGCAAGCTGCGCAGCCATTCAAGCTTGATCTCATGCTGACTGACCGTTCTGATTTACAGTTCAACCTTGGTATCGGAGCTTCGAACAAGCAGTCTAGGACCCAAGCAATACTATGAATTGTACATGGCAGTATTCGATGCTCTACGACACCTGTCCGCCTACCTCAAAGACTCACATCCTGTCAATCATCTCGCCGACTTATATGAGCTTGTCCAATATGCAGGCAACATCATACCTCGATTATACCTAATGATCACGGTGGGCACTGTATACATGTCGATTGAGGATGCGCCAGTCAAGGAGATCATGAAGGATATGATGGAAATGAGCAGAGGCGTTCAACACCCGATACGAGGTCTATTTTTGCGATACTATCTTTCGGGACAAGCTCGAGACAACTTGCCAACAGGAAATGGCGATGGGCCGGAGGGGAATCTGCAGGACTCGATCAGCTTCATCTTGACCAATTTCGTAGAGATGAATAAGCTATGGGTGCGATTACAACATCAAGGTCATTCGCGGGAAAGAGACTTGAGAACACAAGAACGAAAAGAACTCCAGTTACTCGTGGGCAACAACCTTGTTCGATTGAGCCAGCTGGTGGACCTAGACACATACAAGAACGTCATATTACAGCCTTTGTTAGAACAGGTTGTACAATGTCGGGATGTACTGGCTCAAGAGTATCTATTAGAAGTCATAACCCAGGTCTTTCCGGATGAATTTCATCTTCATACCCTGGACCAATTCCTTGCAGCCGTCTCTCGCCTCAACCCGCATGTCAACGTTAAGGTTATCGTCATTGCTCTGATGGACCGGCTATCATCTTATGCAGCACGGGAGTCAGAAGCTCTTCCAGTAGAGGATCGCCAGAAGATGGAAGAGGACGCGATCACCAAGCTACTTGAGAAGGTACGGCTCGGTCAAGAAAAGAAGCCCGAAGAACCAGCGCCGGCGGAAAATAAAGACGGTGAATCTACTACGATAGACGGGACAGCTGAGAGCTCAACCAAAGAGCCTGACGTTGAATCAACACTCAGCACCGCGGAGACCCAAGTGGAATCAGAGCCTGTCAATGGAACAGATGCCGTGGCCGAAAAGAAGAGCAGAGGTATTCCAGAAAACATCAGGCTCTATGAGATCTTCTTCGAGCAAGTTATAAATTTGGTCAATGCCCAGCACCTCCAAATACAAGATACAACAGCGTTGTTGGTCTCATTGGCCAACCTTGCACTCAATATTTATCCCGACCGTCTGGACTACGTTGATCAAGTCCTCGAATATGCAAGTCAAAAGGTCAAACAACATGCAAACAGTGCAGACCTGCATTCACAGGAGACGCAAACCAACCTACTTAACCTTCTCCTGGCTCCAATGAAATCTTACGTTTCCATGTTTACGGCGCTTTCTCTACCAACTTATATTCCTTTACTCCATTCCCAAACCTACCCCACACGAAGAGCTGTCGCTGGCGAAGTAGCCCGCAGTTTACAAAGGAATCAAACCAAGATCTCAACACTTTCCGCCCTCGAGGGTGTGCTTGAGATTCTGAAGGTGCTCATCAAAGAGGGCACACAACAACCTGCCGGCTACCCGGGAGTGCAACAAAGGAAGGCCGTCGAGACGGATGAGACCATAGAAGAGCAAGGATGGCTGGCACGGATTGTACATCTGATCCACAGTGACGATAATGATACCCAGTTCAAACTCCTCCAGATGACAAGGAAAGCATACGCAGAGGGCAATGAGCGGATTAAATTTACAACTCCAGCATTAATCACATCGGCGATGAAGTTGGCAAGAAGGTACAAGTCAAGGGAGCACTATGATGATAACTGGGAGTCTCAATCGTCAGCCCTTTACAAGTTCATGCACTCGTCCCTCTCTCAGCTCTACACGCGCGTTCCTGGCTCTGCCGAGCTTTGTCTTCGTCTTTTCGTTGCCTGTGGGCAGATTGCCGACCAAACCAATGCCGAGGAAGTCAGCTACGAATTCTTTGCGCAAGCATTCACGATTTATGAAGAAGCTATCAGTGATTCACGCGCACAATTCCAGGCCGTTTGTGTGATTGCGGGAGCATTACACGAGACGAGAAACTTCGGCAAGGAGAACTACGATACATTGATCACAAAATGTGCACTCCATGGTAGTAAGCTGCTGAAGAAGCCAGATCAATGCCGGGCAGTCTATCTGGCAAGCCATCTGTGGTGGGCTGTGCCCAACGCTGCGAAGGGTGAGACCGAGGAGACGAAAGGGGTACGTGTCTCAGCTCTTTAGTTCAAAACCTTACTAATATTTCTAGTTATATCGTGATGGCAAGCGTGTCCTTGAATGTCTACAACGTGCCCTTCGTGTTGCCGACGCTTGCATGGATACGGCTGTATCAGTGGAACTATTTGTTGAGATCTTGAATCGTTATGTCTATTACTTTGACCAGCAAAATGAAGCTGTAAGCGGCCTTGATCTCTTCTCACCAGCCAGACAGTTATTGATTTTGAACAGGTTACCACGAAATATCTCAATGGTCTCATTGAGCTCATCCACTCAAATCTGCAAACAAATCAGGAATCCGCGACGATCGAGATGCCAAAACGCCATTTCCAACGAACGTTGGAATACATTGCATCCAGGGAGTACGAGGGAGTAATCACTTCGGCTGCGAAATAATAATGGAAATGGGCAGAGGACTACGTGGAAGGAGGTTCAGATCCCATTCTTTGTAAGATGATTTTGAAAGAGGGCTTGGTGATTCCCATATGATGCTTGCTGTGTAATGGGCGGCAACATAACTCTGGACGATACAGTATAGATAGACATACATCGTCACCACTCACTCGTCGTATGAGTGCTGGCGGTAGGTAGCCTCTACGTGACATCCAGACAGAGCAATTGAAAGTTGATCATGATCATGTGACAATGCGATTGATCCGCGTCTGGATTGGCTACGGGATCATGTTTGGTTGGATTTGGTTCTTTTAGCCAATTTTATATCACTTTCTGTGACTATGATGTCGTACTGGATCTAGGGTAGGCACCGGCTAATGAGTTAATGGGTTTCCTATTCGCGTCCAGATGTCGAATACCAAGAGTCTTGGACATTTATCAGCACCAAGCCTCAGCCGAGACTCGTCATGTCACATTTCGCTCAACTCAAGAGCTCTCGGTCCTACAAACTGATAACCCCCAACGCTCATTACGCTCATTATGATTCTCCAACAGCAGCTGGACTGATAAGCCACAGTGCCGATAATATTCCCAATTCCGTTGTCCACATTCCTATCGCTGGATCCTGCGCCGTGAGCAGCATTCGCAGGCCTCTTGGCCTCCCTCGCACTTATCATGGCGGACGAGAAGCCCAACAAATACGAGGCCCTCCCCATACCGACCTACGAAGAAGCAATTGGGTCCTCCTCTCGTCCCTCTGCTACGCACACATCTGAATCCTCCGATCCTGCCGAACGAGAAGGGCTGCTGGGCTATAACCCGGAAGGCCGTCTCCCCGTGCCAACTCGACGAGCTGGCTATCGTCCCCCACCCACCGACGGCAGTCCCTCAGTGCGCGACTCCGGAGAGCATGAGCACGATTCCTTTCTCAATCAGCACAATGAGCGGCGAGACAGCTCCAGCACGGAGGGGGATGAGGTGCGCCGGGAGATGGAGGAGATGGAGATTTCGGACCCGCCGGCGCCGCGATCAGCCTGGGGAAAGCGGATTTCATCATTGTCGCAATCATTATCTTCGATAAACCTGCCGTTCAAGTGGAAGTTTCCGCGGTTCAAAATTAGATGGAAGTGGCCGCGCTGCGATGCGAATATGTGTATATTTTTGGGAAGATGTTTTGCGGTCCTACTGGTTATGGCGGTGGTGTATCTACTGTTCATGAGTGATATCTTCACGAATGCGGCACAGAGGATGAGCGCGCAGGTGTTTGACCCAGAGAGTGTGAGGATTCATGTTCAAAGTGTGGTCAGCCCCGGCAGGATAGAGGAGCATCTGAGAAAGATCACGCAAAATGATCACTTAGCGGGCACGGAAGGTGATTACGTGCTGGCAAAGTATGTGCAGGACTCTTTCCACTCGTCGGGACTGGAGGATATACACATGGATGAGTTTCACGTCTATTTAAATTACCCCAAGGATGGAGGCAGGAAAATCGAGATTTTGAAAGAGGATGGTAGTGTGCAATGGTCGGCGAAGGTTGAGGAGGATCCGATGTATACGGATCCACCAAGGCAACAGACACCCGTTTTTCATGGCCATTCGAGAAGCGGAGATGTTACAGGACCCCTAATATATGCGAATTACGGGTCGCGAGGGGATTTTAAGAGGCTCGAGGATAGCGGTATTGATACCCACGGGGCTATCGCATTGGTCAGACATTCTGGAAGTGAGGGAGACGGAGCGTTGAAAGTCAAGGCTGCAGAACTAGCTGGGTTTGCAGGGTGTATAATTTACAGCGATCCAGCGGACAATGGATTCCTAAAGGGGGAAGTTGCTCCCAATGGGAGATACATGCCGGAAGGAGGAGTGCAGCGTGGCACTGTGGGCTTGGTGAATTGGGTGGTGGGAGACATTCTCACACCTGGGTGGGCAAGCACACAAGGGGCCAAGACGATTCCGAAGGACAATAATCCTGGATTGGTCAATATTCCTAGTATTCCCATATCTTGGGACGACGCTCAGCACTTGCTGCAATCGATCAAGGGGTTTGGCCAAGCTTGTCCAGACGAGTGGAAAGGGGGTATTCCCAATACCGAGTACTGGTCGGGCAATCTCTCTTCGCCCAAGGTGCATTTAGTCAACGACCAAGATGAAGTAGAGAAACAACCTATCTGGAACGTCATGGGTAAAATACACGGCATTGAACAGAAGGAGAAATCTATAATCATTGGCAATCAGCGCGATGCTTGGGTCTACGGTGCTGCAAATCCAGGGTCAGGTACTGCCGTAATGCTTGAAGTCGCCTCTATTTTCGGCGATCTTGTTCAGCGTGGTTGGCGACCACTACGTACCATTGAGTTTGCTTCCTGGGATGGCGGGGCATATAACCTCATCGGTTCGACTGAATATGTCGAGGGCAATATCGAACGCCTCCGGCAAGATGCATTTGCCTACCTCAATGTTGGCACGGGTGTTGGTGGACAGGAGTTCAAAGCAAAGGGGAGCCCGGTGTTCCGAAAATCTTTACTTCGAGTCCTGGACAGGACATCAGATCCTGCGCAAAACGTCACACTCCGTGAACTCTGGGATCGTCGCGGTGGGGAATTGGATGGTCTGGGTGCTGGCGGCGACTACGTTGCCTTCCAAGATATCGCTGGCACATCAAGTCTGGACTTTGGATTCGAGGGTGATAGCCCATACCACTCCGCATACGACACTTTCGAGCAGGTGGCCCTAGCTGATCCTGGATTCCAATACCACGGTGTTCTCGCCCAAATCTGGGCGTTACTCATTCTTGAATTCAGTGATCGTCTTGTGCTCCCATTTGATATCTCGGCCTACTCAGCAGCCGCTACAAAATGGTCTATTGATCTCGAAAACTGGGCCGAGAACAAAGGCGCTAATCAAGAGGGGAATACACCCTGGAATGTGGAACCACTTCGGGAGGCAGTACTGCAGTTTGCGAATGATGCGAAACTGTTTGAGCAGTGGGAAGTGGAGTGGGATAACATCGTGTTAGGAGGCGGTGGTTTCGAAAATGCGATTTTGTCTGCCCACAGGCAGAGCCATAATACTCGAATGGCGAATTTCGAAACGCATTTGTTAGGTTTGGAGGAAGGCGGCGGGGTAAACTCCACCTACTTTCTTGATGAATCGATCACGCACTAACATGAAGCAGATACCTAACCGCACACAATTCAAACATGTAATCTTTGGACCGCAGCTCTGGTCCACCGACGAGGCATACTTCCCTGCCATTCGCGACACTGTATTAGCCGGTGATTGGACAGCAGCGAAGGAACAAGTCGAGAAAGCCGCGGCAATACTTAAAAGAGCAAGTAAAAAGCTGATTGGCAATGTATGAATGGTGGTGAGATGAGTCGTATATTTAATCTTGTTCAAGCGATTGGGACGGTGCATGGGTGGCGTTAGGGTATCAGGCATTGTATAACTGTGGTCGGCTTGAACTGTTCATATTCCTAGCCCGACATATTTTACAGGACAAAGAATCAACATTTTCTATGTCATCTTTGATATCTTAGCTGTCTCCCGACATTCAAGGCTAAGGATTGGCAGAACGTTTCCGAGCTTTGGTACTCACTCCGTTATACTCATTATTTTCCAATCTATCCTGGCGCTAATGCCCTACGTCTTCTAAATTACCCATTCGGGGGCAAAGGTTGTAAAGGGAGCTTGGTAACCCATCCCATTCCTCCAAAATCTTACCCGATGATACCCCTTTCTTGAAGCGAGTGCAGATTCACGTGATCTCATGAATCTTGAAAGTCCAACAGCCTGGGTCTTCGTATAGATACCATTGAAGTATAAGGAAGACCTACTTGGCTTTTCTTTATACTAACCCAGTTGTAAGTGAGTGCATTAAGCTCGTGAGCTTGTTGCTTCGCCTGCAAGTGGGAAGTATAAAAGTCTACAACCCGATCTTCTTCGGAATCAAGCACCTAAGTACACCACTTCTTGGAGGATACCCATTCTCTAGTGTATCTTTGCTTTTAGATTTAAGCACGACACTACTTGTAGGAAACCCATACATATTATCCATGCTTGAACAGACAGTACCTAAGTAGCTCCACGTTGGAAGTTTTAGTACTTATGTTTTCCACGATAATGAAAGCTCCGGTCTACAAAGGGGTTCTGAACGTAGCTACACAGCAGGATAGAAATGTATTCGTAGAGCGTGGTGTCTAGTAATTGTTGGTCGATTTGTTGCACTAATGTCGTTCGCCTGACTTGGCTTGGCTAAGATACCTAAGGTACTTGGCACATTGACTCGATATAGGTACCTTACTTAGCTCTCCTACGTATCAACGGACTCGAAAGATATTTACTCATCTTACTACCTAAGGTCGGCTGTCAAAAGTATTATATGTTAAAAGAGACATACCAAAATGCTTGTTATACTGTCGGGGGACCCGGTTTGGGATTAGCTACCTATATATGTAAGGTTATCCAGACCCCTCTTCCCCCATTCTCAAATCAGTTATCGATCGTCTCCGTACACCCCTCTTTGAACCAACACGCCCAACAAAACCCTAATGAAGGGGGGTATCAAGACTTGGTAACCACTCATTAGAAGTATCTTCAGGAGTACGACCAACAGAACTCCTTGACCGAGTGTTCAGGGCAACACTGTTACATCGAGCTTTCAGGCATAATTCCAAGTGGCTGTTAGATAGATACCTTACTCAAGAACACAAGTGATATTCTTATTTCATTTTCTACGACATACCCAAAGAGAACTCGTCCTACTTCAGCCGCAATATTTATATTTCAAGATGTTTGAAGGCTTCTCCGAATTCGACATTGCCGTATCAAACTCTCCCGATGTCACAATCCACGGCATTAGATCCGGTAACGGGGAACCTCTCCTCCTCCTCCACGGATTCCCGCAGACGCACCACATGTGGCATCTAGTTGCTCCACAGCTCGCGTCCGCCTTCACCGTGATCTGCATAGACCTGCGAGGCTACGGGCGCTCCTCCAAACCGGCGTCTTCCAGCTCCGCCAAGCACGCGCCCTACTCGAAGTCATCCATGGCTCGAGATTGCGTCGCCGTCATGGCCCATTTCGGATTTCAGAGCTTTTCCATCCTGGCCCACGATCGCGGCGCGCGCGTCGCGCATAAGCTATGTGTTGATTACCCAGAGCGCGCGCGGAAGCTCATGATGCTGGATATCTGCCCCACGCTCACCATGTACGAGGCGACGAATCAGGACTTCGCGACGGCGTATTGGCATTGGTTCTTCCTCGTCCAGCCGGCCCCCTTCCCGGAGACGCTGATCTTGAAGAATCGAGAAGTGTTCCGGGAGAAGTTCTTTGGGGGCGCGGGGTATGCTGGCGGTAAGGAGGAGTATCATCCGGAGGCGATGAGGGAGTATTTGGCACAGTTGGTGGATCCAGAGGCGGTGCATGCTATGTGTGAGGATTACCGTGCAGCTGCGACGGTGGATTTGGAGGAGGCAAGAGAAGATAGGGAAAAGGGGAGGAAGATCAAATGTCCCGTGAGGGTGCTGTGGGGGAAGAAAGCGGTTATTGAGAGATGTTTTGATGCGATGAAGGAGTGGAGAGCTGTTAGTGAGGGGGCGGTGGATGGAGAGGCTGTGGATAGTGGGCATTATGTTGCAGAGGAGGTACCGGATGTGGTGTTGAAGAATGCGATGGAGTTTTTTGGTTGATGAAGGAATGGTTGTATTGGACTGGAGATAGAGTGACGAAACACGATGGCGAGGACCTCTTGAAGCTCATCTGCACTGGCAATATGAACCTGACGAGGTTTTTGATACTCATGGCTGTAGGGAGGAAAATCTAGCATCCAAATATCTAAGATTTCTGTATGACATGTCCATCCCATATGCTACCTTGAACATACCAACCTATTTAGAAACAGTATAAAAACGCCATATTAGAGGGGTCTGTTGTTTTTACAGCTAATGTACAGAATATCCTACAGTCTTCCTTCCTTAATCCTATCAACAACCCCCAAATTCCTCCTGCGCTCCAATTCTGCCTCCCTCCTCTGCCTCTGTCGATACTTCAGCAATTCTGCAGCGCCAATCCCCGATGCGTAGCCACCCAGATGTGCCCAGTGATCCAGGGTAATTGGTGCTTTGTTCCACTTTGTAAGAGCAAAGACGTCAAGTCCTATGATAAGGACGAGGGGCACCCATAACGGAGGAGCCCAGCCAGATAGATCTAGACCGAAAAAGCTGGTAGGTTGGTCTTTGTTCAGCCAGAGGTAGGCGGCGATGATGCCGGAGAGTGCTCCTGATGCACCGAGAGAGGACGTCACGAAATTACTTCGGACGACGTACGAGGTTAGGGATGCAAAGCTTCCAATGGCACCACACGCTAGATAGATTGAGAGGAAGTTCGCGCGGCCGACTTGATCATCCAGGCGCGAACCGACGAAGTAAAGAACGAGCATGTTGACGGTCAAATGGGAAAGCGCTTGGTGGGAGAAGACATTGCCGATCAAACTCAAAGCCTGCGGGTATCCTGGGACGGTAATAAAGTATTTGTTGAGCATTCTGAAGGCCGGTGGGAATCTCCACAGAAGGAAGACGAAGGCATTTATCGATATAAGACCAAGGACTGTTGCAGCCGCGGGAGGAATATCAGGGAACATTCTTTGAGAGTTCTTCGGTGGTGTGTAGACAAGTGGGAAGATGAAACTGAAGGCCAAGACGCCACAGAGGACGAGAGCCGAAGGCCAGAGTCGTTGAAACCAGGTCATTTCCGGAGGGGTGTTGGGCAGGATCTTTGAGCGTTCGATATAGTACTGGAGCCATTTGTTCTCGCCCGGTCTCCGGAGCTCGACTCTCCTGCTCGCACTAATCGGTTCGAGAGTACCAGTATTGTGACGAATCTCCTCCGCCTGGGCCTTGCGTGCTGCTTCTTCTGCGGCCTCTCTCTCATCCTCCTCCTTCTGTTTCTGTTTCCTTATAGCATCGAGACCACTTTCACCATACACGCTATGGCCCTTCTTCGGCTTTTGTGAATTGGGCTCGAGTACTTCTCCCGGATTTGGCTTATAGATCCCTATCCTCTCACTATCTGCAATAATCTCCGCCTCCATCTCTTGCAACTCCTTCTCCGCCCTGAGACCATAGTTCCGGACTTCATCCACGGGCACATGTTCCCGTAACCAGGCCAGGCCAATTTTCTGTGCTCGTATTTCCCAGGTACTCAGGATACTCGGTGTATCTGGATCCTCCAATGTTCCTGCTACCCGACGGCCATGTAGAACTCTGAGAAGTCGGTTGGCTGAGTTGGCATCTATGCCTTTCCCGAAGACTTCAAGCGTGTCTTTTGCCGTGAACGGCTTGTCCCTAAATTTCAAACCCTTTTCATCACTGTAGTCTTTCGGTAAATCCTCAAAGTCCGTAATTATGCCTGCTCGTCCGGATGCGAATGTTCTGATTCCAATCCAAAACCGCGGCGCCGAACTCGATGCATTGTGTATTCTGCCAAGCTGTTCCTTCCTCCAACCCTCAACCTCTCTCCGTCTAGATGGTGATACAGATATGGAATAGGGACGAACAGATCGACTTGCGAGCCTTCCGGCGAGGCTATCGATCTTCCGACATGATTGGAAGATGGTTCGAGGTTGTATACCCGAAATTCGTGAAGCTGCTGGCCAAAGGCAATTCATCTTGCTTCCCTTCTACCGTAACATGTTAAAATTGGAACTCCTAATACCGCCGTCCCTCCATAGATAGGAAAGCTAGGGAAGAGAAATTGCCGGGTCGTCGATCAATCGTTCTTCACCAGAGAGCCACCTTCTTGGAGTATTATAAATATTTTTAGAATTGGTGAACGGGCCGACGATATTCCGTTAGTGTGGGGATCTTGTCAGCCTTCCCTTCTCGACTTGCGAGGCAACAGATAAAAAGCAAATACGTCCTAAGTTTACTTTAACGACTTTCGAGGATTCACGAATCCAGGGCCAAGAAAGCATAAGCCTGTATCAATTCAGCAGCCGCCATTTTGGTCTTATTTTACAGCAACGGCGAAGCTCTCGACCCTTCACTCCGCGTTTTCACGACCCTCAAACCTTCCCACGATCCCGCCACTACCAGTCTCCAGATGTCCTCAGAAGCAGCGCCCATCTCACCCGCGCGATTTGCGGCCGCGCTGCGCGACCTGCCCATCTCCTCTCTTCACCTCAAAGCCGCCGAGCTCCGCAACTCGATCGCGCACCTGGACTACTCCAATGAACAATTGAAGCCCTTCGCTGAAGGCACGGCGCCAGAGCAGACAGGCCCGGATCCGGATTGTGTGGAGGCGATCAAGGAGAATGAGGTTGTGATTCAGAGGATGTTGGAGCGGATTGAGTTGCTGAAGGCAGAGGTTGAGAGCAGGGGAGCTGTTTGGCTGGATTTAAGTGATCCTGACGCGGCGAGACAGCTGGAGGGGGAAGAGACTGAGGCGGGTTCGGAGGCGCTGGTTGGGGAGTCTAGTGGGGTGGGTTCAGATGGAAGGAGTGAAGCATGGCGAGATGGGACATTCACGACAGGACGGATTGTGGGCGGAGAAGTGGTAATGGATGATGTGAATGGTACGACGACGAACGGTGCGTCAATGCATCTGACGGGAACGAATGGGACAGCAATGAGTGGGACAGCAATAAATGGAACGGCAGTCAATGGAACAGCAACGAATGGGACGCGCGCCGGGGGAAGGCTAGATGATGAGTCCTTAAGGAGGGCGATGGAAGAGAGGATGAACGTTTTGGCAGATTCGGGAGATGAGGACGAGGGTCTGCATTTATAAGATGTTTAGGGAAGGAGACGTCAAGATGTCAAAAATTTTGGTTGATGCATTGTTGGCGTTTGATACCAAGGGCTAGGCGGTTAAAAAATGCATGAGGGTTTCTCGTACAAGGTTCTACTCATTGGACTCATTTGACTCATTGGAAACGGTTTTCAAGGTTTTGATAATCATAAACAATCTTCTACCACTACTAATTTTATCCAAGGAACCCACAATGCATACCTAGGCATGAAAAGCCTAACCTAATGCCATTCATCAATCCGCTCAGCCCATAAACCAGATAGCCAAGCGCCTCGCCATGCATGACTCAGTCCGTTCCTTTCTTTAAATATACAATAAACACAAGGAAAGGCGGTTGTCGAGACGATAAGAAATACAGTGTAAAGATCGTTTTTCTAGCATCGGTATGGTGCTCAGTTCGCTTTCGTCGCATCTAGCTCTATGCCTAGACCAGCTGGCTCCGTGTTTTCTGCGGTCTTAGGATTTGGAAATATAAATGTGTCAGCACCAGGGAATTTTGACTGGACAGTTGGGATCGTCACAGGCATTGAATTGGCATTGGGCGGAAGCCTATTAGAAGGTGAGGGAGTCCGCGAATTGGCGGCTCTATTCGCTGAAGGAGGAGAGAGTTCTCGAAGGGCTAAATGCCCTCCATTCTCTTTCTTGTCCTGGGGAGAGGAAACGGAGGAGCTGACGTCTGTGGAGGGAGTTGGTTTATCGGAATGTTCTTGTACTTCCGTTGTGGTGGCGACCGGAGATGAGGGAATAGGAATATGTTCAATAGTAGTAGGAGAAGTTGATGTAGGTGATATTGATAGGTTGGGCGGTTTTCGTTTTCTCTTCATAGTTGTTCCATCCGACTCCGACCCCGACGAAGCAGAAGATATGCTTGTACTCCTTTCATGGCGCTGCCCCTTGGGACGATTCGAATTTGATGTCTTGGGTCGGGATTGAGGGCGCGATGAAGTAGGGCGCGACGAAGTTCGTTGTGATGAAGTTCTTTGCGACGAAGTTCTTCCCACATCAGAATGTGAAGGTGTACCCGCTCGCTGTACCTTAGCATCAACCAGCCTTTCAGCAACCTGTCGACCAAGAGACTCTTCTGGTCCTCTCCGACTGCTGGTATTGCTAGCCGCTCGATTCCTGTTCACCCGCTCCTTCCCTTCCATTACCTTTGCTGGCGGAGGGGGCTGTAGCATCCATCTCGTCTCGTCCCTACTGGCTGGTTGCGTGCTCACCACAGGAGGATGAAGATCATTGACTGGTGGATTCTTGGCCAAATAATATGACCTCGGGTTCTCTTCCTCCGTCACGGTCCTACTCAAGCGCCCTTCCAACAGGCGGCCTGCTGTCTCACCCGCGCGGGTAATAGCATCCATAATCCTCTGACCCGGCCCCTGTGTCTCGTGACCCCAAAGATCCTCATCCTCTCTTTGATATCGCATCTGATTCCAGGCCTCGCCAGAAGCTTGCGATGTAACAGCTGTAGGACTGCTTGCTGCTCCCGTACTCATACTAGCGCTGTTCGCGGAACTGCTCCCCGGTCCTGTATTCAATGCCGCTTGGCTGTTATTCTTGCACTCTTTCTCTAATTTTTTATTCGGCGGCCCAGGTCCCATCCTAATTTCTTCGGCCCAATACGGATTTGTAGAGAACGGCGAAGGGTGCCGGTACAAGCCAGGCTGCTCCGTCTCCAATTCATGCTTCTCTGCTCGCTCTCTCTTTGCCTGTATCTTCGCTTTCCGTCGATGGTTTATCTTGGCGCATGTGCTGCACGACAGGACGTAGAATGCAACGGACTGAAGGGCGACATCGAGAGACATTTCGCACCCAAGTGGGTTGTAGGAGGAGTATGATGTGCTCGAAAGAATCGCCGATTAGAAATGCATGAAGGATAGTGTCCCGCGGCCGGATTTGTGTCTTGCTGTGATTGTTCCCACGGACGATCGAGATCGCACCCTGAGTATGGTACAAGAACGGACGAGGTCATCCAAAGTCTGGTGGCAAAAGCCGCAGATGATCTCAGATTTGCGACGGCAACCTCGCAATCATGCAATTGAAATTGGCGATTGCCGGAGGGGTCCTCGGCCGTAAATTGCCTCCGTTGATGCGTTGCTGAATATCGAGTAGGATGGTCCAACTACCGTTGAGTGCCGACGCATTGAGGGGATTATAATCGCATGTGCCTGATAGATCCGATAGATATGCAACCCATCAGCAGGTCCTATGCGCGAGTGCAGAAGGTCCAGAGAGGGGCACTGTGTTGTAATAATATGATTGTTGGATGTATATTGTTGTTGCCCCGGCGTCAGGGGAAGCGGACGCAGCAAGCCTATGATGGCGTCGGTGGGATAAAGCTTACCTCCGTAAGCGCGGGCCGGACTGGGGGCTAAAGGCGGCTGATTGGAGGCTTCGTCAATCACTTTTCAAGGGATGTGAACATGCGGAGATGGAGTGATATTGGGATGCTTCTGGGACGGATGCTGCTCTTGAAGAGAAGCAGAAAGATGGATTATGGAACTGGCTGCTAGCAGGTGGTTGAGTTGTTAACTTGGTGTTGCGTTTCAACTTTCATCGCCGCAGGGCAATGTAAATTTCGATCCTCCGGTCTAATTGGGGCAATTTGTAATTTTGAGCCCGCACGCACTGCAGGCCCACCGCTCAGCCCCTGAGGACTGGAGAAGCAAGATGGATGCGATGCTACCGTACGGAGGAGCAAGGGGCGCGAAGCCACGACGCCACGTCTGGAGTATTATTATTCAAAAGTAGACACGCAATCATTTGAGCAGCCTCAGCCTCAAAGGGGGAAGGGAATGTTTGGAAATTCATTTTCTACACACAACAATATGATGAGTCGCTGCTCAACGGCAGTAGCTCTGATGGTACAGTTTGGTGAGACAGTCCTAAAGGAGCATCTCAAATCCTAGCGACTTTTGGATAACCTGACGTTATACCCCCTTGTGAGAACGGCCCCGACGCCTTGCCATAAATACAAAGAAACTGTGAAATACAAGATGCACCAAGGCTTATGCAATATGCCCCCATCCTTTGTGTCAGTAATGCAAAGAGACACAGAGCCTCGGAATGGCCCTGCTGGGAATGTCGCAAATGGCGTGTAATGTACGCATAACCGGAAAGAAATTGGCGCAGATCCAGAACGCAAAGGTGTAGAGAAGGAACCCTTCGGTGATGCGATTTTGCTGCTGCTGCTGCTAGGATGGTAAGAGCCGCCAACTGAATACCGCGTAAATCCCGATATCTAAGCTACCTCCCACTCTGAATCTTGAAGAACCTTCACGTACTCCCGCACGTTGCCGTCGTCGTCGGTGGATTCGAGATGTACCTCCCATTGCTTGCCAGGTCCGGTAGGGGGGACGAGTGGAGGCCGTTCGTAGGATGATTTCTCCTCACGGGTGACTTCAATCTTCTCTTGTTGCTGAGGTTGAGAAGTCTTCTTGCCTTTCCGCTTCTCTTTTGTCTGCACCGTCTCCCAGTTATCCGAGTCTTCCAATGCAAGGCGCAGTTGTTCTTCTTCGGACGGCAAAGCCGAAGCTAATTTCTGCCAGTCACTGCCAGCTTGTTCACTCTCGGAATACTGGACTTCTGCCGCTGAACTTCCTGCGGTCTTGCTGTTGGATGGGCTGAAAGTGTCGAGTAGCTCAATTGTGCTCTCATTCTTTGCTTCCGTTTTACCATTTGTGGCCACTGGAGGAGCAGTCCAGACAGTGGTAGCTGGGGTCTTTGCAGCCATGAAATTGCTACCGTCCTTTGCAGCTCTGCCCTCTGCCTCCCTCGCCGTACGTCTTTGCTTCTCCAACAAGACCTTCCGTTCCTTCTCCTCCTCCTCACGGGCCAACTTCTTTAGTTCCGCCTTCTTCCGATTTTGTCTCTGCTTCTTTGTCTCGGCGGGTTCGGAAGCGGCCTGCGTCTTTGGCTTCTTGGATTTAGGCAAGGTGGTTGGTGCAGTTATCCGCAACACAGATGGGCCTGCGGCAGGTGCCTCGAGCATGTCGGATATGCCACCGTTGGTCACCAGTGCATCGGCGCTCGATGCGCGCAGCTCTGGCGAGTTGAAGGAAGATCGATCGTCATCTGCATCTCCACCTGCAGCTGAAGAGGGGGCAGTCGCATCAGAGCTTGTCTCCACCGGGGCGGGCTTCTCTTGCGCGCGTGATTGCCTGACCGATCTCTGTTTGCTATCTGGTTGGGCTTTGGCTGGTAGAAGGGTTCCGGCCTTTGCGCTTGACAACTGACGCGCGAACTCCCGGTTGTCGATCTCATCGTCGTCGCGATCAGAAGACTGGGGAGCAGACCATGTCTCCTCTAAGACAGGCAGGGCCTTCTTCTTTTCATTGGCTTGGTCCCCACTGCTCTGGGCTCCATCCTTCCTGGGCTTTCTCGCCTTTGTAGCTTTCGGTGTGTCGGGTTGTTTTGCAATGGCCTTCGAGTTGGCACGGCTGCGCTTGCTGGGTGTTTTAGATGGCCAGGTGTAGTAGAAGAAGGCACCGACGGCGAGCAGGGCCGCCCAGCCCACAACCGTGGTGTATGTGGGCATGGTGCCAATGCCACAGGGCAACAGTGAGACGCGACAGACGAAAACGAGAGCACGTCAGGACTGTTGGGATCGAGGCTGTGGCGGGCACTGTACTTCAATCGAGGCTGCGAGAACGAACGTACGTAATCGGCTACTAGAGCTTCGAAGTGTCGATGCACGCAAGTCTAAGACAGCAGAGTGAGAATGAGGTACTGATCGAGAGAGAAGAGAGGAGTGGGAAGGGAAGAGGGGGATGAGAGGTAGTAATTGAACGAAATGATTGAATGACCACGTACTCGATACGAAGCCGGGCCTCAAATGAAAGCCGAGACGTGTCGAATTGAATCAGGTTGAACCAGCCGTCCCAAAGTGTCCAGATCGAGTTAATGGTGGGAAGCACGGTAGGGGGCCGTACGGCTGTCGGAAGGGCGCACGAGTGCTGAATATGCGAGATACGAGACGGCCGCGTCTTGTCCTGTTCGGGCTAGTGTCTCTCGCATTGCTCGCATCGCTCGCCGTCCAATCATTGACGAGTTACCGCTTTAAGGTAAGGTAGGTACCCCCCGCCGGACTTCACCCGACCGCCGCACTGCTCAGTCTCAGTCCGCGCTACAAGCCACAACATCAACCGTCGTATATCTACCTCCGCATTCCTATACTTGGAAGAGAGGAAAGCTGTACCTAGCTATTGCATTACCAGCGCAGAGCCTTGTTCGCGTGTTGCTTTTACTGCTTTTATATATAACATTGCTCCTCTTCTGCTATCTGCTCCCAATGGCTACCCCGCTCAACCGTATCATTATCGACACTGACCCGGGTACGTGCTCTGAATCCGGCCGCACAACTACCTTCCTAACTGAGATCAAGGCGTGGATGATATTCTGGCTTTGCTATTAGCATTTGCTGCAAGCCCCGAAGAGCTTGAGATTTTATTGATCTCTGTTACGTACGGAAACGTCGAGCTTCAAAGGTAATCTGTCCAAGCCAACCCATACTCTTCTGCTTGGCTTACTGTTTTTCTTTGAAGCTGCTTGCGCAATGTGGTAGCTCTCTTTCATGTCATTGAGAAGGAATTAGAATGGCGAAGGGCCCGGGGACAAGTGGAGGGGTTTGGAACGATGCACGCCTCAAAGCCTCTCGTTGCCGTCGGTGCTGATCATCCTTTAGAGGACGAACTGCTTAAGGCGGACCACTTTCGTATGTTTCCAACATTAGAGAGCCGCCGACGTTGAAGCTGATATGTGCGATAGATGGCATCGATGGTTTGGCTGGTGTCCACGCATCGGTATGCTATCACAATCCTTTGATTTCCCGCTGGGAGAGACTGACGAGAGCAGCACCCCCATTTATCACCGTCCGATACATGGAAAACTCTATTTCAACCCCCACCAGAAAGTGCTAGCCCAGAAGAAATAGCTGCGGCTCGAGAACTTGCTTCTCCATCTTCAGCTTTCAGGGCTTCTCAGGTGCCTGCACATAAGGAGATTCTGCGTCTCCTCCGCGAGAACCCACGTGACACAATCACGATTGTCTCAGTTGGACCCTTGACCAATCTCGCACTCGCCGCTGCGGAGGACCCCGAGACGTTTTTGAAAGTCAAGGAAGTGGTTGTAATGGGTGGTGCTATCGATGTTCAAGGTAACATTACTCCTGTTGCAGAGTTCAATACTTACGCAGATGCCGTGGCCACTGCCCGTGTCTTTGCATTAACCTCTCCGAATCCTGCATCGACGATGCCACCACTGCCGAGCAAGATCTCCGCCTTGCCACCTTATCCAAAGAATCTGTCCAGAACCTTAAAGCTCACGCTATTTCCTCTCGATGTCACCACTCCCCACCAAATTCACAGATCACAAGTTACGGCCAAGCTTAACCCTCTAATTGCGGCTGGGAGTCCGCTGGCAGAGTGGACTGCAGCATTTGTTCTAAAGACATTTGAGAAGATTGAATCCCTTACCCGGGTCCAAGCAGACCCTGGCTTAGAGCTACATGACCCTCTCTGTATTTGGTACATGTTAACACGCTCGGCACCGTCATGGATGCTTGCCCCGAAGGCCCCAGAAGATATTCGAGTCGAGACCGCAGGTCAATGGACCCGAGGAATGCATGTCATTGACCGACGAATGAGGAAGAAGAAAGGTGTTGATCCAGCTCTGTTACAGGTGAAGAGCCCTGGAGCCTTGGATATTGCAAACCCCCTAGAAGCTCTTACTGTTGATAACGTTGATGGGGAAGACGGTGATGCCCCAGGAGACAACGGCGGATGGCTGGATGCTAGAAAGGGAAACAGAATTAACAGAATCATCAGTAGCCCCGGCGAAGATGCATTTGGGCATTACTTGCTGGAGCGTATCTTCGGCTGAAACATTCTTCACACTGTTAACTTGAGTAGACCTTATTATTGGTCTACGACGGTTTATGCATAGGTAGACTAGGTAGCATACGAAAGCCACGATGGATTAGCCTGATAGAAATAGAGATAACGACTTTCATTTACAGGTAGAGCTTGCCAGACTTGTGAAGTACATAGTGGCGTTGGCAATAATTCCTGAAGCCTCCATCCCTTCGGTTCCTGGAGTGATACCTCCAAGTTGATCAAGCACCAAGCAAGCTCAATAGGAATCCGGGAGCATCAAACGGCTCATAGATTATTTCTCATTCCATCCTAACGCCTGATATGCAACAAGGCTTCCCATCTTCATCCATAGCCCATCTTGGTTTTATTTCTGTTCCTCTGTTCCTCAAATCGCTCTGTGTCTCCCAGAAGCCAGTTCCTTGGATCTCTGGTGATCACGAATGCTTAACCCCACCTATAATCGCCCCCTTAACCTTCAGCCAATCGATACTATCGTCAACTTCCTCATCGACGAGCCCAACAACCGCAACATTATCGCCCCGAATCAGATACAGGCCATGTGCGACCTCGCTCGAGGGCTCTGGGTCATCTGGCGGGCGGATGATTCTCTCTATAGTTTGTGACAGCACCTATATTCTCGTTAGACCCGAACTCCTTCTGTCTAAAGAAACTTATAGCTAAAAAGAGAAGAGGGAGACGGAGAGGAATACCAAGTTCGTCATCTGATCGCAACTCAACAACATCCCGACAAGCGTCCTCGAATCGCTGGTCACGACCAACACTTTCTCTGCCCGGCTGTCAGAATGGGTTGTAAGCTTTGCCAACACCTCACAAGTGAGGGGGAGGAAGAGGGGGGGCGCTTACTGTTAACATAACCCTGAAGAGACATGGTGAGCTTTTCGATGCTCGCTGCCGTCTACGCGGCGCGGAAACCGTGCGAGCTAGGGCACCTTGGCTTCTTTGGAGCTTTTCCAGCTCGTTCTTTTTTTGTTCTGTTCTGCGATGCGTTGGAGGGATCTGCGCGACGCTGCGTTGGGAATTGAAGGGTCTGGAAAATAGTTCTGTGCAGCAAGAGGCTGAAGCCTCGTAGAGCTTCGCTTGGCCTGAAGCGACCTCCCGCCCCAGAGGCTCCATCAACCTCCCCATTGCGCATCCAGCCTCATCTAACAACCCATTGCGTCGTGACGGGATCGCCGAAGTCGCGCACCAGCAGCGAACATGTCATACTTCTTCTCCACACCGGTCGATATTGACATTGTGCTCGACGATGGAGACGACAGGCAGATGGTGGATATCAAGGCGGACAAGGGGCGGCGGGAGAAGGCGCCGCTGTACAAGGACGGCGAGTCTGTAAAGGGGGCGGTGACGATTCGCCCCAAAGATGGGAAGCGGTTAGAGCACACGGGCATCAAAGTGCAGTTCATTGGAACTATTGGTATATTGCCGCCTCTCGTTGGGAGGGAATTCCCGAGCGGAAAGCTGATGAGGACTGTAGAGATGTTCTTCGATCGAGGCAACCACTACGAGTTCCTCTCCCTGGGCCAGGAATTAGCTGCGCCAGGCGACCTCCAACATCCGCAGACTTTCGAATTCAACTTCAAGAATGTGGAGAAGCAATACGAATCCTACAGCGGCATCAACGTGCGCCTGCGCTACTTTGTCCGCGTTACGGTGTCGAGGAGGATGGCGGATGTGATTAGAGAGAAGGATATCTGGGTCTATTCGTACAGGATACCTCCCGAGATGAACAGTTCAATTAAGATGGATGTGGGAATCGAGGATTGTTTGCACATCGAGTTCGAATACTCGAAATCAAAATACCATCTGAAGGATGTGATTGTGGGCCGGATCTACTTCTTGCTGGTGAGATTGAAGATCAAGCACATGGAGTTGTCTATCATTAGGAGGGAGACAACGGGTGCGGCGCCGAACCAGTATAATGAGAGCGAGACTTTGGTGCGATTCGAGGTTAGTTGTTTCCGGAGCTTATCTTGGTGTAATACTGATACTTGTAGATCATGGATGGCTCTCCATCCAGGGGAGAGACTATCCCTATCCGACTCTTCTTGGGTGGTTTCGACCTGACTCCTACCTTCCGCGAAGTCAACAAGAAATACTCCACCAGATATTACCTGAGCCTCGTGCTCATCGATGAGGGCAAGTTCCCATCACTACTCCTGTGGCGTGCATAGCTGACATATATGATGTAGATGCCCGAAGATATTTCAAACAATCCGAAATCGTCCTCTATCGCCAACAACCTGAAATCGCAGCAGCAGCAGGTCAGCAAACACAAATCGCCGGCGCGCCTCCCCCTGAGCGCTCGCAGGCGGCTTAATTTAACCACGTGATGAGAGCTTCTGCTGATTGATGAGAGTATTAGCATGACACGCAAATTTGTATCATAGAATAATTCGGCGCGGCTCCTTAACAGCGGGGAGTCTTGAGATCAATGAATACCACCACATTTTACGACTATCAATGACTAATATCTCCTGGGTGTCGAAATTGCTCCTTAACTTTTCCTCTGGGAGATAACTTTTCAATTCTGTTCTACAGATCTATTATCATCGACTGATTGACTCCACATGACGCCTTGCTCGAGATTAGCTCATAATACATCCATCTCATCCCCGCCCGCAAATGCAAACTGGTTATTTTCAATCGCCGCTATCCTGTCCAGTTCCTCCTGATAGGCTTTCCTAATGTCTTCTAACGTGACAACCTTTCTCTTTGGCTGCGCCGTCTTCACTCCTGGTGCTTGCTTACGAGGGAGTTCTTCTGCCAAAACCCATGCTTCTTTGGGATCTACACAACTCAAAGCATTGATAAGCGCAACATACTGTCTCGTGACAGCTGTCTCGAGATAATCACCCCCCAGTGTCTTATCGCCATCACCGGATTGCTGTAATCGCTGTAACCGTTCAAGTGAGATGGCTGCGGCGCCTCGGAAATCACTACGCTTGATCCGCCACGCGTAGAGGATTTTGTGATATGGAACACCCATGTTGACGTCAACAATACTTTGGCATTTTTGAGCCAGGATCTCGTCCACAGTATCTTGAAGGCCGAGGAAGGGGAGGTCGGTAAGTTGGGATGCGTAGGAGGATTCACACATCTTTGTGACTAGAGTGCGAAGGGATGAGTGTTGAAGAGCAGGGTCGGTCATGAGTGCCAAGATAGAGTGTGCTAGCTCGTAATGGGATGTTTGGATTGCTGCGTTGAAGAGGCGGCTATGCATTTCGGTGCGAAGCTGATTACTTTGAGGGTCATTGATGCCAGGCTTGATGAATTGGAGTGATAGTCTTGCAAAATCGATAACAAAGGAGTAGGCTTTCTGTTTGTCGTACAATGCCACGATATGGGAGTAATACTGTGGCATGCCGGCATTCAGGAGGTTTCTCTCAGTTGCATCCAGATACCCAGCGCTTCGATAATCAATACGTTTCCCTGGATCTGGGTTTGCTAGAGATAGTTAGCACTGCTGCGTTCAATTGGGAAAGTGTTGACAAACCAATACCAAAGGCTGCCTTTTTAAAGAGCATGGACGCCGTGGATGCATCGTTGGATGCGAGACATGCTCGGCCCTGGACATAAGTAGAGAAGGCATCGTTTGCAGCGAATCTGGAGAATTCTATGGCCAAATCCGCTCGGCCATACTTTAATAAGAAACATTGGATGACAGCTGGTGGAGCTTCATACTCGCTATCAGGAGCGCAGATTTGGATGATGACTTCTGTCAATGCTGATGACATAGATTCATCGCTTCGGGTGTCAAGTCCAAAGAGATGCCGAAGGACCCCTTCTAGGACAGTTATTGTTTCTGTACTTGGTATCGGTTTTTTCGTAAGACTAGAAGACTTTTCGGAAATGGAATTTGAGCGCTCTCGCGCCAAGGGTAAAGAAATCTGCGTTTTTGCGAGCCAGCTGATAAGCTCAAGTCTCTGCAGCATCATGATGAGCTGTCTGAAAACCGCACCAGTCTCAAACTGGATCCCATCTTCTGTATGGTTGACTTCAGCTTCGATGAGAACCAGCAAGACGAGCTGATCAAGACAGATGTTCCGATGTAGCTCAATTATCTCCTGCACTCCCTTCACAATCAACTTGTTACCAAATTCCGCCAGAGGGAGCAGATGTGGTCTTTTGTCAATATCTTCAGAAGCGCTCATCAACTCCAGCAAGTCTTCGTAGATCTGAGGTGTGACATCTTTGAAACCACCCCCTAGATTGGCTAAGAGCTGGTTGTATTCTTCATCTCCGATGTGATTGGCGAAGTCGCATTTATCATAAAAAGCTCTCATTCTGGCCTGGTCAATAAGAGATGGCTCTTCAAAAAGCTCCCCAAGCACAGCGGCGTTACAGCTGTGATGAAATTGATCTGGTAATGATTCTCGGAGGGCAGCTGCGGCAATCACCAAAGCCGTCACATGCCCAGTCCCTGAAGGTGCCATTTCTGGATTGTGCCATATTTGCTCCAACGCACTGCAATCCCGTACTGCGGTCAACCCATCTGCTAATACCACCCATGGCATCTCGCCCTGAGGGTCTATAACGAGCGACATCGCCTCGCCACGCTGCTTGTCCAATTCGATAAGGAGGCGGTAAAAGCGACGCCATTGCGCATCCGTCGCAGCACGGAATTGTTCAAAGTCCATACTTCTATCAGACGCGCGGCCCAAAGAGACTGTTGAAGCTATGGAGGAACACATCCGCTCCGCCAAAGTTCCAGATTTGCGTGTTAAATCTTTTGTTCCCAGGCCACCCTCGTAGATAGCAAGGCCGGTCTCGACGGTGGCTTCAGTAAATCGTCCCGGGGTTAAGATAAACTCTAACCACTTGTCTGTCCCATCTGAGGGATCTCCTTGGAACACTGTTGGTAGTGGTGTCTCGCGAAGAGTCTCTGCGGCCATGGCCGTCCATCCCTGGCTCCAGGCATCGCGAACGCGTGCAGGAGAGGCACTCCGAAAATCTAGTTTCTGAATCCGGTAGGTTGTGTTATTTTTCCATAGGGTCCAGATAGTGAAGCCTTCGGTATTCGTCCGGTCTTGTACAACCGAGAAGTCTGCCAAGGTCCAGAGATCAGAAGTAGGGGCCTGGGGTTCCAGGGTGTTTTCTGGGAACAAATCTGTAACTGCCAAGTTACCATCCTCCGCTGACTGAATACTCCAGAACTTGAATTGGCCATTCCCAAGAGGTGAATACGTCACGCATAAGGCACCCTCATCTTCACCATATACCTTTACTAGTTGCGAGTGTGAGGGGTCAATCACCCGCTTTGAAGTCTCCTTAGATCCAGGCTCTTGATCGAGGATGTCTCCCATATACGCAACCTTTCTAGTTTGGAGATTCCACACTCGAAGTTGGTGGTCCAAAGAGACCGTGAAGGCATATGGCATCCCATCGATGATTGTATATGATGAGGCTATCGAGGTAGCAGTTGATAGGTCAATAGTCCCTTTATCGTAACGAATGGTATTACTACCATGCAAAGGTATCCAGCTTCTGATGTTTTGCCGAAAGCTTCGATCATTGTAGTGAGCAACGTCCCATTCGGAGCCTAGAGAATGTAAGCATTCTGCCACTTCTTCGGAGGTATTATACTTACCATCGGCGGACTTCCTCGTCAGCTTTTGGAGTTCTCCATTTGGAGAGGATATCAGAAGTTCATCCGCGCTCAAGGCGACTAGTCTGTGGGGGTGTCCGATAGCGAACGATGAAGGAACGGATATCTTGCACCAATCTCTGACATTATCTTCCGTACTCGAAGGCTTCCGAAAATAGTCTGGGCGCAAATTGAGCGCGTAAAGCTGACGAGACTCAGTTACAACGAATACGTTGAGAACATCATGTTCCCTCGAATCCGAAAATGCAATACAACCTGGTGTGATCGCACTTGGAAAGGTCAAACGTAAGGTGAGGTTCGCATCTGGGGCATTCGTTTGTCTAGACACATCCACCGCCCGTATCGAGAGTACTTTTCCACCCTCCAGGACCCTCCAAAGAAAGCTTCTTGGTGATTTGTGGTGCTGTCGGTGGTAGATCGAAGCTGCTATAGCTAAGTGGTTCTTTCTGAATGCAGTTTCATCCTCTGCGATAGGGACTTCGGCGACATGGGATCGCTTCTGAGCTTTTCTTGAAGCCCAAGTTGTTGCTCCATGCGCAGGTAAAGTAATCGCAACTGTAGAGCCTGGTGTTGCTGGATCGAGATTCAACCGTGTCTCTTTATGCGCATAGAACGGACCGATGGCTGCCATCTTGTCTCCATCAATCCTAGGTCTCGTGAATGGTGGAAGTGATCACCAGCGGTTGTCGCATTTTCTTTGGTGGTTGTTTAGACGCGTCTCGAGAAATCGTGAACCTGCAGCCTTCGAGATGGCGCTAGCGAGTTTACCCCTGCTCGGGACGATCTGAGGCTTCAGCTTCTTCAACTCTCTCTTCTGAAATATGTATATATTTGTGCGTACATGCATTGCTGCATCTCAAGGTAGGTAGGCATTTTTGTAGCATGGGATGTTTATACAACTTTAAGCCAGTGCTGGCACGAATTCTCCATTTTTGATGATTTTCTCTCTGCTTTTGTGTTTATCCTTATCCTGACCATGGCGCACGAAAGTATATGCGCAGTGCTGCTACGTACTTGAGGTAGGTACCTAAGCAAAGCCACTACTAGAAGGTTGTATGAAAAGATCTTTTGAACAAGTGTTTGTCCTCGGCTTAGAAAACAATGACAGTCTACAAGCCAGACAGGCTGGCTGGTTTGTATGTTGTCACACTCACAGTCCGCTCTTAGAAAGAATAAAAAGGCTTACGCTCCCTAAAAGGAAATCCCTCCGAGAATAGGATTTTTATGAATGGGATACGACAGATCCTTATTCATGAACCCTCTTCTATTGAAAAGTAGATGGTTGGATGTTCTGTACGACCATCTTTGTTTAACTGCCCTTTATAAGGACCACTTCCAATCAATTACTGTATAATCAGAAAAGTGGTACTATAACACCTGTGGTTGTCTTGCTTGTAGAAGAGATAAAGATTTATCTTTGAACTTTGGAATACGTACATACAATGGCTTCGTCGGGGTAATTTCATTGCGGCCAGCACGCTCTCGGTGGCATTGGAGATCCTTTTGTCGCGCACCAATGAGCTGTCAGCATTCAAGGTGTACTGTGCAAATTTATACCCCACATCGATGGTTATAACTCAGGCTGTTTAGTACGCCATGCAACTGTGGTCAATAAATTGCGGGGAAATCCTGGAATCCAGGAACCAGTCCATTCGTATGGTGGAATATCTGATGATGAACGGCCGGGTTTTATATTAAGCATGGATCCCAGATCTTATGGCTGACATGCGAAGAAGCATTAGCTACTGTGATATATATATTGCCATAATGTCTCCGCACCCACACAGCTTCTAGGATATTTTATTCGATCCCTACGATGGTAGCTGAGATACATTTCCTTTGAATCATGTATCTTTGGAGTTTCATCTTACTGGTTGTGGCCTTGGTGGCAGCAACGCCACAATCTGCTGGGTAAGTTGGATATCCGAAAGAGCCAACAACAACCCATCCTTAATTCTGTAGCAGGCAAGACATGTTACAGCCATTCTTCTACAAGGGTCATGATTTGAGTTCCCTAAAAATGCTTGAAGAAGGCGGATACGTATATAAAGATACTGCTCGCAACAACCAAACAAGAGCAGCTGAAGATATACTTGGAGACGGTGGTATGAATAGCGTCCGGCTACGGATATGGGTCAATCCAGTCGGTGGAACGTATGGGCTGCAATACAATCTGGATCTCGCCAAGCGGTTTCAAGATAAAGGTTATAAGATCTATCTTGATTTCCATTTCTCGTACGTACCGAAAAGTGCCAGTCTTTCCCAATGTTGAATAGGTTGCTAACCCACTTTCAGGGACTCCTGGGCAGGTCTGTGTTCCCCAATCTAACGCTTTGCTCTCTTGTTTGTTCTTGCGGCGTCTTGTGAGTCAAGAGGCCCATTTCAGGACTCTTGCTCAGTTTCAGTTTGAATCGAGAACTCTTAACGCTGACTAAGGGAGAAAGATCCGAACAAGCAACCGCCACCAGCGGCCTGGCCGAAAACCCTGGGCCCACTTGCCTTGACTCTCCGTCAATATGTCAAAGATACACTTGTATCTTTCCATGACGCCGGTATCGACCTAAGTTTAGTCGCCCTCGGGAATGAGATCCGTCACGGTATGCTTTGGCCCTTGGGTTACGCAGACGTAGATGTTGAGCCATGGCCTGCGACGGTTGCAAATTTCTCGAACCTTGCTACACTTTGGAAAGCAGCACGAGCAGGTGTTGACGATGCAATCTTTATGGGGGTTCCCAAACCTGCCGTGCTAATCCACATTGATGATGGCTGGAACTTGACGCTTCAGCAACGCTGGTTTGGTGCTCTGACAGAGAATGGGATTCCGACAACAGCCTGGGACGTATTCGGGTTCAGCTTTTACCCTTTTTATGGCACGGCAGCTACTTTTGATAATCTCAGAACGACTTTGCATACTCTTGCTAAGGAGTACGGAAAGCCACTCCAGGTTGTTGAGACGGACTACCCCGCAATCTGCAATGGAGAATTCGAACCCATTCCGCCATCCTCTGAGCCGGAAATTCCGTACAGTATTGCTGGACAAACGAGCTGGACAGATGATGTGATCAGCATCGTCCAGCAGGTTCCGTATGGACTTGGGCAAGGAATCCATTATTGGGAGCCTGCTTGGTTGAACAACACTAGCCTTGGAAGTGACTGCAATGATGCCATCTTGTTTACTGCGGACTACAGTAACTTGACCGAACCAGTTGGGTACTCAAGGAGTTCGGTGGGCATGTTCAGGGTAAAATGATATGAATAAAGCCTTTGAGAATAGACCCCTCTTGTTCCAATATAACGATCTGCAGCCTCTGCACGAGGATCGAGTGACGAGTAGGAGTTCTATATCAGTGCCAGAACAAAGCCAGGAGGAACACATGAAATAACTACTGCCCAAATGTTGGCAGGTGCTGAAGATTTTAAGCTGGTGGACATATCGTTGTAGACGGGCGTGATGGAAGAGGTTCAGATGAAGTGGCTGATTGACTTCAATGATTCAAAGTCCTTGCAATCAATCGCATCAGTTCTTCTACAGCATGAGTTCTTGTTTATTTGTATTGGAAGAGATTCAGTGATTCTATGTGCTCTCGTCAGCATCCCACTCCGCGCACACTGCGCCACCCCGGATTCCAGGATCTCCACTTCACAACCCAGACATGCCGGACTTCAGTGCGGCTGCACGTGTCGTACAGTCATGCGCCGGGGCATCCACACACCTAGCTAGACACATAAATATACAACATCTTGCGCTCAGTTGGTAACGACGACGACACTCAACGAGAGCGACTCGCGGTTGTGCCTTTTCGTTTTGCAGCTTTCGGAGCGCATACGATACGCATCTGATTCTGGAGAGATCCTGGCCCCGAGTGTCGTCATTCTGGAATCATACAGAATCCACCCGACCTTTCCTTACTTTGCGTCCCTGCGAAGGGCCTCTCTCCATCATGGTTCTCGAAATCCCTCGACGGCGCTTTCTTCGCGCAATCAATAGCAAATTTATCTATGGTAGAGTGGTGAGTCTTCCTGAAACCGCGTGCCGTGGGCACCGGCAGGAATAGGACAATGGTACTGATTGATCTCTTTGTACAAAATAGCCTGTCGTACATACAGTCATTCTCCTTATCGAGATGGCCATTGTTGGGAGGCTGGTTGCCAAATTCAACAGCTACTATGCTGGGAGACCGGGTATGCCGCAGTATCAGCATCGACTGTTGGGCAGATTCTAACCGCCGGGCAGTAATCACGATGATGATCACAAATGCGGTTCTGGGAGGAATAGCGGACACAGTGGCACAGAGTATTACGTCGATCAGGTTATCGGCTTTGCGGAAACCTGGTGGGATTTCGAAGGATGATACTACTGCGATTGAGATACACGAATTGGACAGGAAGAATCCCTTCTGCCGACAGGAGCTTATTCCAGACTCGAAATTGCTGCCTCCGCCATTTGACTTTGAAAGGTTGACACGTTTCATGGGATATGGGTTTTTGATGGCTCCGATTCAGTTCAAATGGTTCCAGTTCTTGTCGAGAGCTTTCCCTATCACCAAATCAAGCGGCCTCGGGCCAGCACTTAAGATGGTGGCTTTCGATCAACTGATTTTTGCACCTGTTGGTAGGTTATATCTCTGGATATGCATTTTATTTGACTAACAACTATCTAGGTATTGCCGTATTTTTCACTGCTATGACTATTGCAGAGGGAGGTGGACGACGAGCTATCAGCCACAAGCTCCGTGATATGTATGTGCCAACTCTGAAGGCAAACTTTATGGTCTGGCCTTTGGTCCAGATCATTAACTTCCGCCTCATGCCCATTCAATTCCAACTTGTAAGCCCACCCTTCATCTTGTCTGCGATCGCTTGCTGATTTCCGCACAGCCTTTCGTCTCGACAGTTGGTATTGCATGGACAGCATACCTTTCTCTTTCCAATGCTGCGGAGGACGCTTTGGAGGCTCAATCTGCTCCTCCGTCGCCCAATATCCGCTTGACATGAAACTTGTTTTACTAGTTGGGCATAGAACGAACTACAAGGGATGGTAACATGACATTTGGCAGGCGTTATAGACGTGGATCGAGGACAACCCATACAAACGTTATGAGAGCTTGGGCGTGTCTTCACTCAGTAACATAAGACTGAGGGTGCGGTTGGCGTTCGGTTGTAATGGCAGGCGTTCGGGGTCGTGATTGCAAGACACTCCGGTTTTGTGACGATTTGAGGGTTATTTTTTTCCCGGTAGTACTCAGATAGATATCACTTGAATCTGTATAACAGCGAGCATGCAAACAAATGGTCGAATTCGTTTCATAAACATGCGGTGCTTCCGACTTTCCCCTGCCCCCCGTGTGACATATGACACTGTCGGGAAATCAAGGCGCTAAATACCCCACCAAACCTCTTGGAGGGGCATCAACCCACGTTGCTTTCATTTCACAGCGACCATTGAACTCCTTGCTAAAACCCGTCACATCGTAACAAACCTTCGCAGGAAAAACCACTTCTTATCCTTAATTGCCAAGATGTCTCTCTCAAACAAACTCTCAATCACTGATTGCGACCTCAAGGGCAAGCGGGTGTTGATCAGAGTGAGCATCTCGAAACATCCCATGCGTCAACAAGCAACCCTAACAATGACTCCAATAATAACAGGTCGATTTCAACGTCCCTCTTGATGCCGACAAGAACATCACCAACAACCAGCGTATCGCCGGAGCCATCCCAACGATCAAATATGCTATTGATAATGGTGCCAAGGCCGTCATCCTCATGTCCCACCTCGGACGACCCGACGGAAAGGTCAACGACAAATACTCCCTGAAGCCCGTTGTGCCAGAACTGTCGAAGCTTCTTGGTGGAAAGAAGGTCGAGTTCGCACCGGACTGCGTCGGAAAGGAGGTTGAGGAGATCGTCAGCAAGGCCAGCGACGGACAGGTCGTCCTCTTGGAGAACTTGCGTTTCCACGCCGAGGAAGAGGGAAGTTCCAAGGATGCCGATGGAAAGAAAGTCAAGGCAGACAAGGCTAAGGTAGAGGAATTCCGAAAGGGATTGACTGCTCTCGGAGATATCTATATCAGTAAGTTTTGTTGAGACTGTGCTTCGTCCAGAATGCTAACCGTCTTGGAGACGACGCTTTCGGAACTGCTCACAGAGCTCACAGCTCTATGGTCGGTGTTAACCTCCCTCAAAAGGCCTCTGGATTCCTCATGAAGAAGGAACTCGACTACTTCGCACAGGCCCTCGAGAACCCTCAGCGACCTTTCTTGGCTATTCTAGGTGGAGCGAAGGTCTCCGACAAGATCCAACTCATTGACAACCTCCTCGGCAAGGTTAACAGCCTTATTATCTGCGGTGGCATGGCATTCACATTCAAGAAGACATTGGAGAACGTCAAGATTGGTAACAGTCTGTTCGACGAGGACGGAAGCAAGACTGTTGGCGACCTCGTTGAGAAGGCCAAGAAGAACAACGTCAAGATCGTTCTACCAGTCGATTATATCACTGCGGACAAGTTTGCTAAGGATGCCAAAACCGGCACTGCTACAGATGAGGAGGGTATTCCAGATGGATGGATGGGTCTTGACTGCGGACCAAAGAGTATTGAGCTTTTCAAGAACACCATCAACGAAGCCAAGACTATCCTGTGGAACGGCCCACCCGGCGTCTTCGAATTCGATGCCTTCGCAACCGGCACAAAGGCCACTCTCGACGCCGCAGTTTCCGCTTGCCAGAACGGCAAGATTGTCATTATCGGTGGTGGAGACACCGCGACCGTGGCGGCCAAGTACAAGGTAGAGGATAAGCTCAGCCATGTATCGACCGGTGGTGGGGCATCTCTCGAACTGCTCGAGGGCAAGGAGCTCCCAGGTGTCACTGCTCTGTCGAGTAAGTAAATATGGCAGAGAGGTATAGTTCCAGACTCTGATATGGTCAAGACCGCCCTCGTCAGTCCAGCTTGTAAAGAAATTGGTCAGGCCCGTTGCCGTACATAGCGCAGATCACAACGATTGGATGACCGTTTTTGTCTCGTACATCGAATGCCAGTGATGTCCATTGCATGCTACCCTTGTGAATAGTGATCTCTTGTATTCCCGTGAACTCCAGTATGACCTCCCAGATGGTCTCGTCTCATCATCAACGTTTCTTGCTAGTCTCGACCTTCTTGAGCTCCTCCCTGAACGAGGCCTGATTAGCATACTGTCACGCAAGCACGTACAGCCTTTGGGTTACCTACTTCAGTTGCGCCGAAAAGTCCTCGCTCGTATCATCATCATCCCAGCTCTCCTCCCACAGATGGGTGTTGTCCCCCGGTACCTCGGTGTCTTCCTGTGTCCAGTCTGCCATCACATAAACGTCAGCGTTTGTCTTCCTCGAGCAGCCAGCTCTCGACGGCGTCGGGCGCTCTTGGTCAGGGAAGGGCGACATACTCTCCACGGGGAAATCCTCAAACTCGTCATCCTCCTCCAATGCAGCGGCCGGCTTCACATCTTTGGATGGGTCAGCACTCCTGTCTGACGCAGAGGTAGCTTTGGCAGTTGGCACGGCGCCCGATGCTGGAGCTGCAGACATGGTGGGAGAAGTGTCGTAGCGAGGGGAGGAACGCGGTATTAGGTATTATGTACGAGAAGTGGAGATTCGTGTCGGGGTGCGATGAGGATGTCGCGTGCGAAGCTCCGATCTGAATGCTTCTCGTCGATTCTCTTCGTCGAGCTTGAGCGAAGACAAGCAAGGGTGACGGTGTTTAGTACGCTTTCGCTACCAGAACGCTCCGAGGCGGCTGAAATCCACATTACATACTCGGCGGAAAGCGGTGCCGACCAGAAGTTCTGCCTTGACGTCCCTCTCCGTTTTCTCTCTTCTCTCCCGCTACCGTCATCTGTAAATAATTTTTTTTTTTTTCTTTGACGCCGTGGTGCAAGGTCCGTTGTTTTTCTTCTCCTTCTCCGTCTTCTTCTTCCCCTGCCCATGTTCTTCAATTCCTGCTTGTCTTGATACTGCCCCTCTTCCTCGGTGATCACAGCCCTCCCATTGGTTCGTTGCAGCCTGCTTCTCCTCTATCGATATCTTTCCGCGGGGCAGCTGCCCTTCTTCCTCTCTCCATGAAGCAATAGACACGGTTCGGTTTCGTATCGTTAATTCGTCGTCTCAATTCGATCCTCCGGCGGGCTCTCCCTTCCTCTATGGTACAGCATTCGACCGTATTCGGGGTCCACGGGCCGTTTTCCGCTGAGTCTGTCCACAAGAAAATACACTTTCCAGGATGAGTCGGTGGTTCAGATCAGTGGCAAAGGCTCATCATCATGAGACCCCAGCTATGCATGCTGAGGAGGAGAACCTCCATCTACGCTCCGTCGAGAATGCATTGCTCAAGCTCTTAGATGATGATATCGAGGGGGCCGATAAGATCCTGAAGCAGCAAGAGTCATCTTTCCATTACCTTGGCCGTGGAATTTCGAGTTTCATTTCTTCGATGCTGGGAGTTGAGAAAGAATTACTGAAAGAGGCAGCGGCAGCATTGCAGCTGGCAGAGAATAAGACATGGGAGGACATGAAGAAGGCCCAGAAGGAGCCAACGGCTTTCCGCTCCAAGATATATCCACCGGGTACCGAGTATTTGCTATGTTATTGCATTTCACAGCTCACACATGCGATAACGGCCGTTCTCAGTGGTTCCGTGACCGAGGCAATCAAAGGGTTCTATAAGTTGAGAAAGGCGTACCTCACGTTGGATGGGATTATGGAGGTTGAAACCAAATACTTCAAACAAGTAATAGCTTCTCGGCAAGGTTCTGGTGCTTCACGGACAAATCTTTCCAGTCGGCCAACTACTCAAGACGGTGGAAATAGACAATCAATCAGAAGTTCCAGAGAGATTACAACCGAGAAAGGGTCCCTTGTCGAACCTACTGATGTACGGACTGAAGGTCACAACAACGAATCAGAAACTCTTGAAAAGCTGGCTTCCATTACATCACTACCACCGACAACAAGAGTACGTTCCACTATCCTCGAAGAGGACCCTGCAGAACTGGGGCTCACTTCCCATATCGATATCTTCATTCACTCTGGTACCAGGCTCTGTTACGGCATCCTACTTCTTGTATTCTCCATGATTGAGAACCCTATCTTCACAAAAATCCTGTATATAGTAGGCTTCCAGGGTGATCGTGATCGAGGGACGAGGTATTTATGGCAATCATCTCGTTTCAACAATTTCAACAGTGCTATTGCCGGGATTGTCCTACTTGGATATTACAACAGCCTTGTCGGATTTTGCGACATCCTGCCCACTGATGCTGGAGCCAACGATGATCTTTCCGGATACCCAAAGGCTAGATGTGAAACTCTACTTGCGGATATGCGAAAACGATACCCAGAATCTAAATTGTGGAAGCTTGAAGAGGCACGAATGCGAGGTCACAACAAAGATCTTGCAGGTGCACTGCAAATCCTGGCTGCCAATTCGGAGAGCCACATGAAGCAAATCGCTACCATCAACATGTTTGAAATGGCTCTCACTGCCATGTTCCTTCATGACTATCAGCTTTGTGCAGATTGCTGGATCAAGTGTTCAGAGAATAGCCAATGGTCACCCACCCTTTACGCGTACATAACGGGCGCTTCATACTTGGAACTGTATCGAAATCTCCGGGAAAGTGATCCTGCTGCTGCCGCGCCATATAAGAAGAAGGCGATAGAGTACATCCGGAAAGGGCCACCACTCGCAGGCAGACAAAAGGTTATGTCGAAGGAACTTCCTTTTGATGTCTATATTGTGAGAAAGGTCAAGAAGTGGGAGCAGAGAGCGAGCTCTTGGGGTGTGGACCTGGTAGATGCAATAGGCGTAAGCCCTCTTGCGGAGATGATGTATCTGTGGAATGGACTGAGGAAGTTCAATGAGGAGCAATTGCAGAAGACTCTGGCTATCCTGCAATGGAGTCGGGTAAGTCATGCAGAAAAACACCAAAAGGATTTAGATGAAACAGCAATGCAAGCGCTCCTTCGTGCCGCTGTGTTGAGGAATATGGGAGACCTCGACACAAGCCGTAAGACCTTGAAAACCGAGATTCTAAACCACGACAAGTAAGCATCTCCACCTCCTTCGCCACGAGGACTAAGGACTAACCAATCCCAAAGACAAGAGTTTAGAGGACCGCTGAAAGATGACTGGATCCTGCCAACCGCACACTACGAAATGGCTGCTCTGGCCTGGACGGAGAAAGACCTTCCGGGGGCGGACCACAAGGCCAAAGTGCTGGATTGCGAGCAGTGGCTCGAGAAGACGCATAAGTGGAACGAGTCGTACGTCTTAGATACGCGGATGAGCTTCAAGATCGCCACGGGCGTTCTCACTCTCAAAAGACATAAAAAAATCATGGGCCTTTGAGAGTTTTAGACGTTTGGGGGGAGTATGGAGATTTGGATAGCGTGGCGCTCTTTGGGCAATTATAGAATATCGTTTGTTTATTGCTCCTCTATCTGCGTCCCTACCTATTCTTCGTATGTGAAGTGGTTGATCTGATCTGATTGATTGGTCGGCCTACGGTTTCATATCTTTCTTTCCTCCCCAGTATCAATCATCACTATCTAGGTCAAGCTAAGTCTAGTCTTGCTCACTTCCTCAGACGTGAAACTGACAACCCCCCAGGGGGAGGGAGGGGGTCTGCTGTCAGGTTGATTGATCCCAGTGCTTAAGAGGGTTGGATATTGAAATGGAAAAACATGGTTGCGTCTTCTATACCACGTGCGTACCCCGCAACCTACGGTGTCACCGGGACACTCTCATCGAACGGTTCAAGGATTTGTATTAATTAACAATACAAGCAACCATGTCCTCATTGCAATACGTTTGATTAAGCGCCACCACGACGGGTTCCTCGATCCGAGCTAAGCTTATCATCATTATTCGATTCGGATTCCAGTTATGTTCAATACAAATACGAAAAGAAAAGTAAATGGCAGCAAGCATCATTCACAGTCTCGAGGGGCTTAAGCAATACAACGGAGAATCGGGCGTATTATTCCTAGCTACATCGCTCAAAAAGCAAGATGAGAAGATACTCCCTAACAAGAGCCTCGCAACTCCATCCAGCAATCCATGATTTGAACGAACAAAACCCACCACCCCGATTTCCCTCCCCCAAAAGTTACAGGATGCAAATGCCGACATAAAATGTGTATCCCCCCCAAAAAAAATATTTCCCAGAAGCGCACGCGCGGTATTCCCAAGCTGAACCAACAAATGCCCAAACGCAAATCGCAAAATCCACACATGCCAATGTTGCCCAAATCCACCGATTCATTCCTTGCCCCAATACACACAATATGTAAAAGCTGCTGCGAGAGCCCGATGTCCGAGGGGTCGACCACCACTAGTTGCGTAGATATGCTTGATGCGGCCGGCAGGGCGAAGAGAGGTGGGAGTAAGTGCTGATTAGAAGGGGAAGAAACGACAGGCAATTAGAACGTAAGAGGTATATCGAGGGACGCGAAAAATCGCTGTGCATACTGTACAAGAAGCAAGCAGCATAGCAGGTTGACAAATGAAATGCTCATGGTTCCGGCGTGTAAGACAAGACGCCAACTCCTCTACCTGGCAATATGCAACCAGATAACTGCTGAGACTTCGAATTATCCAATATGCAACCAGATGACTGCTGGGACTCCAAATTATCCTTCTCTTCCATTATTTCTCGGCATAATGAGGGGTATCACTGTTCCCGGCCGTCAAGATGCAGTATACGCAAGACACAATGTCATGTACACGAACTCATCATCATTCCATTGCATCAACTTCGTAAGGCATAGTAGCCACCGATAATCATTAGTCAATGTCGTCATTGAGGCTGTCCCCCCCAGCCCCACGTACCTCCAGATCCGGGTTGTTGTAGTGCCCAGCCCTGAACGTTTGGCTGAGAAGCGGCAGTGGTTGCTTGCATGAACTGTTGTGACCCCTGGTCTGGGTACAGACCTCGCCCTGGTGCTGGATAGCCCTGGCCCAGTCCTTGCATTCCAGGATACTGCAACGCCGGCTGCATCTGTGGGGTGCTTCCGGAATGACGAAGTTGCGGGGGTTGGTGAGGGGATTGTTGGATGTGAGGAGATTGCTGTGCCCCATGACCGTAGTTGGGAAAGCCGTGCTGAGGAGACTGTTGAGCTTGAGATGGCGGCCACATCTGGTTTTGTTGTTGTGAATAGCCATATGCTCCTCCTTGGCCAATACCGCCAGAACCCATCGACATACCAGCGGGACCTGCCATCTGATCTGGTCTCATTGAACCTTGCGGAACTCCTCTCATTGGAGATTGTGCATTGGGATTTTGCTGACGAGTGGGTTGTGAGTAGGGCTGCGCAGACATCAAATGCTGTGGGGTTTGCTGAGACATAGACGATTGCTGTATGCCACTTTGGGAGACACGAGGTGACTGTAGAGCTTGGGTTGAAGGGACCCCCTCATTCGTGCCTATAGGCGGCTGGGTAATGTTCGAAGGGGGGGCCTCGTGTGGCTGCCTCCAGCGACGCTGGAGATAATCATTGCTTCGCTCTCGTTGGGAGTTTATCTGCTTGTTGTATTCCGCAGCATGATGTGCTTGTGTGAGAAGTTCTGTAGGCGGGCTTGCCTGAGTTCGGTCCTGGTAAGCTGGCCCCGTGATCTCCTGCCTTGGCCGTTGAATGTTGCTATAATCCCGCAATCGCATATCGGTCTGCTCTGGTGCAAGAGTGATCATTGGAAGTTGCGTCGCAGTTCCGGCAGGACCTAGCATGCCCGGTTGGACGGCTTGCGGTTGATGGAGCCCGTAATGTCCAGGACTGTTGCTGTAGACAATATCACCGTGGTGTCCCAGGGTGAGCGAGGCAGTGGCACTCGCCTCTGCTGCTGCTGCTGCTGCATCTCTAGCCTTGGCTGCACCAGGTCTCTTCTCTCCGGCGAGATCTTCCTCTGTGAAGCCTTGCTTCCGCGCTTTCCCTTCCCAGTAGTCGTCCCTCACTCGTCTTCCATTGACTATGACTCTGCTGCCAAACTGCCGGAACATAGATTTGGCGGTAACGATTGCGATTTGCCGCGACCTATATGAGAACGGCAGTATTTCCTGATGGATGAGATCCTCCTTCTCAGCCTGGGTGGCAATAATTTTGTACAGCGACCTGTTCTTGTTAAACAGCAGATAGGAGTCTCGATAGCCTAAGACCCTCGCACATTCAGTGGCCAGCATGAATAGCTTGTCCCCTCTGTTTGGGACGAAGAAAGTTCTGCATCTATAGTCGCGACCGTCTAGAAGATGACCCGTGCTTGTGACCTTCTTCTCGCCCGCTTCGTCATACTCGCGAGGTATATATTCATCTCCTTCAGGTGTTAATTGATCGGTGGTGTGGTCTCGCACAGTCGGCAGGGCCTTGATCACAGACTTGGTGGTGGACTTCGGCGGCGATGATTGAGTAGGGGTGGTGTTGGGTAAAGCTGCCGTCTGTGACTGAGGAGTTTGGGGAGGGGCGGGTTGAGATGGCAGCGACATTGACGATTGAGTGGGACTCTCTGGTACAGCAGTAGAAGGTCTTGTCTTCATCGGACGACCTCGCTTTCGCGGCTTTGGGTCACCTAGAATTGAAATGCGCTCGTTAGCAAAGTTTCTTCCATCGGCAGCGCGCGCACGTAACACATCGCTACAGACGGGAGATACCCGATCGATATCGCTATAGCGACCGCGGGATCACCGACAACGTACCATCAACCCCCAAATTATCGCCAGCTGCCAGATCGCTGTAGTTATCCGACGAGCGACTGCGCTTGTGGCCTCGAGGACTTGTATCGGGCGTGACGGTTGCGGCGGGGTCGGGCAGAGCTCCTGGGTTCGAGATACAAATGTCAGCTATTGAACTGCACCAATCACTAGCAACCAACATCCAGCGAAGGAGATCATCGCAGCGCGTAGCATCGCATCGCGTCGAGCCCGATGCAATTGCGCCGGCGACTCTCTCCATCGCGGGCGGAGCATGCGGTGGTATCTTACCTGAGGAATTGAGCGCGGCCGGGTTGATGGTTCCTGAGCCGTCCGTCACCTCCAGGCCGTTTGTCGTCTGCGCCGAGTACATGGCCACTGACGGGGCGCGACGCGGAGCACGTCAAGGCCACGGCAGTCCTTCAAGGAGAGTTTTCTTCCTCGGGCGTGTTTGCGCGCCAGAAGCGCAGAGGATGGAAGTGAAGATGATTAGATGATAGCCCGAGGTCTGCATACAGTCGCATATGTAAGCGACGGGCGGGCAAGTACCGTAAGCTTGGGCTTGGGAATCCCTTCACGCGGCACCTTCGGACGACGGCGACGACAGCGACAGCGACTCCCGGGTCTGATTTATTGTGTGCCCGCTGCGAATAGAGTCTCTTGATTGCCACTTGATGGCTTGCGACTGACTGGCCGCAGCGGCTGCCCCACGAGTGCTGATGAACCAGTGGGATGGATAGAAGCGAGCGAGGCAGCGAGGCTCCGTCGATATGCGAGATGCGAAAGGCAGAAGGCAAAGTGCCAAAGTGCAAAATAACGCGACTCTCACGCCTCTCACCTCACACACTGGCAGTGTGGCCTGTAAGAACCCCGGCCCGGTCCTGGCTATGTACTGGCAGGCTTTCTTGCGCAAGGACCAGACGCAAGCAAGCCAGCAGGATGTACCCGCGGTATACTGGGGGGGAGAAGCGCAAGGGAAGGGGAGGGGAGGGGACGAACGAAGGCACCGAGGGGGAGGAGCCAGCCAGAGTGAGTGAGTAACTTTCTGTACTCGTTGATTCGACTCGCCGCGACTCTGGAGATTCGACTGGGTCGACAATGAGCCAAGCTATGGTTCAGCGTTCTTTCGCCCAGCAGAGAGGCGCTGCGATGGCGCGCGATTGGCAACCTGTGAGGCTGCGGCAGCAAAGAAGACGTGCGTACAGTACAGCTTGGAGTCTTCCGGGAGGTCCTCCTGGATAGGCTCACTATGCGAAGGGGGGGTCAAATGTCAAGTGGGCCGCTCTGAGTCTGAGGGGCTTGGATCCTTGATATCTTCGACCAGAGGTCACTCCTCGGAATAGGCTGGGTTAATGCGACTCTGCTTACATACACAGCAGGCTGCTCTCTGGCTCGCTGGGTCTTCTTGATTGATATTCAGATTGGGATTGATATTGATATACGCTCTGGCTGGTGACAGGACGAGCTGCTCTGTTCTGTCCGCATGTATGTGCCTCGCATGGAGAGGGTCGTTCCAGTGTCTTTGGTAGGGTACAGTTGATTGCACGCTGGATACACTTCGTACGAGGTACCTCGTCCTGCGGTCTGTCCCCGGAAACCCCACCGTAACACGATGGCTTCACAGACAAAGAAGCGAAGAGAGTTGAAACAGATTCAGTGATCGCTGTTGCAGGAGCACGCGGCTATGCTCGTAGGACAGGATCGGTGATGGGCAAGTTGCAACAAGGGCGTCACGAAGAGATCGTTGGGAGAACACCACAGAACAGAACATACGTCCAGACTACAACAATACATACATTACATACATACCATACATACATGATGATACCACCGTACACTCTCCCGTAGTAATCACGGGGTGGGATCGACTTATCAAGGCATCCCCGTCGGTACAGCTCTAGTCGCATCGACGAGCTGCAGAGGGCTTCCCAAGCGGGCAATAATAATATCTGGACCGTCAAGGCCAAGGGTTTATCTGGTTTCTGGCTCGGTGGCGCGTCAATGCATCATCGAGTAGGATTCGGGGAATAATCAGGATGTTCTGCTCGCGCTCCGTTGCCCCAGGAACCCGACCAACCATGCCAATCACCAGCGCCTTATCCGCCGTATCAAGTTATCAACCATATCAGCCATATCAGCCAGATCCGTCGACGAAGCACCATACGGAGCCTTCGTATTGAGCGCCGGGAGGATTAATCCACAGCAGTACTCTGTACTTACCTACAAGTTACAAATCGGCTTCGGCGGGATCCCTCGGACCAACACAGGGAATCGAGATCGGCATGTCTGCACTCTACAGACTACAGTACGGCGTGCACAGTACTTCAGATGGTCTCTAGCCAAAGCAGGTATGCACACGCGCGGATTGGCTAGAGCCCTCCGTAGTACATGCTCCGTACGGAGTAGACTCCAGAAGATACAGAACGTGTGAGGGGTTCAAGTCTCCCAAAATCCCGTGGAGCTGCGATTGGTCAGTGGTGTCGAAACCCCATCCGCGGTACAGAGATCATCAGCGGCGGTCAGGTCTGAAGATGACTAACTTCAGCTGTGCCGGTTTAACTGCAGCTTGAGAGTTGACAGGCTCCCGAGGAACAGTGCCTATTGACAATCCAGCAGGAACTAAAATCTAGCAGCCAGATAGAGTTGCTCTACGACGCCGCAAGTCTTGGATATCCGCTCCTTCGACATGGCGGTCTATCGAATGTTTCAACGCGTTGCAGGACACCTATCTACCCTCCAATAATGAGGCCGATTATTGTGCGATTCTGCGGATCTTTATCCCTCTTGGAAGTGCGTCCCTCGAAAGTTCAATCCGTGCGCTGTGGTTGGCTCCCGGCCCAGGACAGAGACGAGACCTCATGGTTCCCAGATGGCTCGACGGGCGGAGAAGCCTGAGAGGCCCTCGCTCTCCCGAGGACAGATGCGCGGCATTCGTTTCGATCTCCTCTGCTCATGCGACGGGCAGAGCCGCAGTTGCGTCTCTCGGCCATAGGGCCATGTGACCATCCCTGCGGGAGATACGAAGTATTCCTGGTCGAACCTTGGGACTGAGGGTGTGGTGGCATGGCCCGTTGAGTACGAAAAGGCTGGGATTCGACGTCAAGGCGCGCTCGATTCTTCTGGCATTTGACCCAAAGGAGACCCTCCTAACCGCCCATTCCTGGCTCTTCCCTATGCAAAACATCAGGCTGTGCATTGCCACTTCCATGCTGAACCCCGGGGGCCCTCCAAAAGCCACCCACCCAGCAGTGAGGGCTGTGGACGCTGCCTATGGGAAGTGCCTCATCGTGGTCCCCCCCGCCCGCGCTATCTGGCAGCGGAGGATTGAAAGGTGCAGAGGCTTCGGGAGATCATCTGCATCCTGGCGTGGGAATTCCCATGATCCGGAGTATAAATAACGCTCGGCGGTGCGACGCTATGTCTGACGGTCTCAGATGCTGAGGAGTCAGAGCTCTGCTTCTATTTGGAATGTGAGGTATGTATGGGTACTATGGGTGTATCCCCCACATCTTGGGCGTTCCCAGAGCGAAGCGGGTTTGCTGCGGCGGGCCAACCCGAGCCTCTCTTCCCATTTGTGCTGGGCGCGGCGTCGAGATCTCATTCGTGCATGGCAGTTCTCTGTATAACTCGTCGTGCGAGACTGTCTCAACCATCGGAACTTTCATTCATCAGCCACAGCTGATCAGGGAACCAGGGGGGCTCACGTGATCAAATGGGGGTTCGTCTCGAGCTCTGGTTTCAGTTGGAAGTGCGTCTGCTGCTTGTTTTCTGCTACTACACCTTGCTCAGATCCCGTATTCTTCCACTTCCATGTTGAGGCCTTCCTTGTCCTTTGTTCCTCCTTGGTGGCGATCATTATCAGCACCTCTCTGCTCTCGTAATGCTCTCGCAAACCCAACCCCTCTGTCTGATTCACATAGTGCATCTTTTCCCAACTCGCCATCACCAACCAAACGCCAGTTCTACCCATTTAACCATCCATCTACGGCACAGAAGAGCGAACTATCGAAACGTACGTACAGTACTACAATGCCTCCCCTCTTGACGCGTTCAGAGCGTTCCGTGACTGCTGGACGTCGCGTCGTGAATGGACATGTTTCACCTGTTTTCCCTCGCCAACAGCGGTTATCCGTTATCCAGACGAACTATCATATCTCTCGGTGCTCGAATACTCTTAGGAGCAGCCGGGTAGCTTCTCTTCCGTATGTAAAAGAAAGTAAAAACCAGCTCTTGCCACAGATCTTCGATCATCTTGCCGTTTGAGAATACGGCCTTTCCAGAAGATCTGGATCTATCTGACACCTGTCTGACATCATAGGGAATATTTCTTTTCCTCCGTGGTCCTGTCACATGCGTTCAAAGGTTCGAAGGTTCCAGGTTCTTACGCGACGTGTTGCAGTAGTGTGATGTGTGAAGGCCAGGAGGGAGGGGACTAAGCGACTCACTTCTTACTGGATCTTCAATAATACTACTTTTGGACATGCAATGGATTTGTCTTCATCCTTTTCCCCTTCTCTTCTGTCTACCTATCACATAAGTATAACAGATAGTAGCTACTCGATGTCAGAAGATCCTGAAGGATGAAGAAGGTCCTGAATCCAGGCTTTATTTATGTATAGACTTAGGGAATAGTTCTCCTAGTAATGTAACTTCTAAAAGGAAAGATATATGAAAGAACGGAGAGAGATCAAATATGAGACGGTATGGTATGGATAATATGGTATGGTATTAAAGAAAGACTTACCTTCCATAACCTAACCTAAATTACAAGAATGCCTATCCCATTTCTACTTATACACATCTCACTCTTCAACCCAACGAGGTCGTTATTCGATGACACGTCCAGCGGTCACCATTCAACCTCTCTTTCTCACTCAGTCAATTACCCTTCGATCTATCCGAGCTGCATCCGCCACATCCACAGCCGCGAATATCTCTTCCAGCTCCTTGATCCTCCCTCTATCAGCCCGAATGTCCAGCCCCACAGGAGACGCCTCCCACCTAACATCCGCACCCCACCTAACCTCCGTCTGTCCCGTATTCTTCGGATCCGGGTCTTCGATCCAGGAGGAGACCCGGCTATTCCACTTGAAAGGCCTTGGGAGCGCTCTGTGCTTGTAGAGGCCGCGCTGCTTGTAGTAGCGCGCTGGTTCGTGTAAGCCCATGGTGCGCAGCAGGTCGATGACCGTGAACCCGCTCTCGGCGAGGATAGGGCCCATGTCGCGCTCGCACTCCACGTCGTGCTTGCTATCCCGCTCCTCTTCATAATAATCATGTTCCTTTTCGGGCTGGTCGGGCTGCTTCTCCCAGTGCTCGTGCTCAACGATGGACAGCAGCGAGGTGAAATCCGCGGGCTGCACATCGCGCAGGAACTCCATGATGCCGACCATCGTCTTGACCCACATGATCGTGGCTCGGGGGTCCATGGTGCCTTGGTGCTGCCGGAACTCGATCGTGGGCTTGCAGTTGGGTATGCCTTGGACGTGCAGAATGTTTTCCATGAACCGCAACTGGGTGGCGTCGAACAGATAGTGCAGTTTTTCCGCGTCATCGCATTTCAGGATCGCGAGGATGGCCAGTGTGGGCGAGGGCCCTTCGTCGTCGAATCTCTGCGCGTATCTGGAGTGCGTCCGTATTGGGTGCGTGTAGTTGCTGGCCATGCGGAACGGGGGGAACAGCGTGTTGAGCTGGTGCGTGAAGGCCCAGAGGAAGGCGATGAGCTTGCGCATCATGTGGAAGGGCCAGCCCTTCGTTGAATCACCGACGTGCACGTGTAGGCCTGTGGTCGGGTTAGTATTGATGCAATAGGTACTGGTCAGGAGGGTCAAGACCTCTTCCACGGCGCGTAGCGACGCGGGCGTGAAGTACATGGCCGGTGAGCGCAGCTCAATGCTCTCGTATGTGTACCGCCTGTTGCTGGCCGGCTCACAGACACTGACGTCGGAACTGAAGTCCCACGTGGTGAAGCCTTTCGAGTGGACTGACGAGTCGAAGCCAGCGGCGCGGAGCGTGGCTGCCATGTGCCGGGCCACGGTTTCCCACAGGAACTCATCACCGTTGGTCCTGAAGAAACGATTATCATCTACCTTGTCCTGGTTCCCAATCCGTACGATGCGTTGTTCTGAGGGATCGGGGTGGGAGTTCTCATAGCCGCATACTACGGACATCTCCCATTCTACCCCGAAAGTAAGTGCTGAAGCCATTGTGAAGTCTTTTTTCTGAAAGATGGTGATTTTCGAATGGGCAATGTATGAATGTAGTGAGATGAGATATGACTTTGCTGAAGATTTGTGTTTGAAAAGTTTGGAGACACTTGCAAAATAGGGGGAAGATATAGCTGAACTCTATTGTTGATCCAAGACATTGCTATTGTCCAAGGCTTTATCTCCACAGAACAGCCCTGTCCCTTGACAATCGTGAACTAAAAGTAGTCCAGAGTGAAAGACAAACAATCTCACATTTCCTTTGTTGACTCCAACCTCAAGCGATGGGGACATTTTCCGAAGACCATTCATTGTACAGAACAATCATCTTCCGTCTCTTTGTTCTCATTGTATGCGTCCTCCCATCCTGCGTATTGAAAGAGATTCAAGAACAACGCCATGAGCGAGGCATTCAGAGAAGTGGGTAACAATGAAGCTCATCTCTTTCGATGCAATTGTACAATCCATTGTACAAACAGACATGCGAGGCATAGCCACGTAAGAAAGAACGCTAAGAATTATGCAAAAGAATCGCGGGCGAAACTTCCACAGGATTCATCTAAACATGGAGGTACCAATCTTTGTTAATACACTGGTGATACTTTCCATTGAGCCTCATTTTCTTCCCGATACAAGATAAGTAGTAGCTACCGAATTTATTCCAGGCTTGAGGAAAGAGGTAACGGAGGGATATGCTTTAGTATCTATCAATGATTGTAGCCCTCAGCAACGGAGTACGCAGGAGTTACTTATATATCCGCAGAAGAGACGCGGTCTATCAACATGCGGCTTGGATCTGCAAGGGACTTCCCCATCAAGGCATATGTGTAAATGCATCCGCAGAAATGTAAGCCTTGCCTGGAGGTTTTCTGACAAGAGGAAACCCAAGTCTCAGAACAACAGGGACATAAACTCTGGTAGATGCAGGCCTGGTGACTTTCGACGCTCGCATCTTCAGTTGAAGTTCGATTGTTTCCGATCCGGATAGCTCCTGAGGCACCGGTTCCACACTTCCACTGCTCATGTACTCTATATTCGTTGTATCTTACGCATGAATGCGGTTATGGGATAGAAGGCATACAGCGCGAGGCTATAATGCCTTATTGATCAGTCGGAAATATCTCGGGCTAACCAGAGTGGTGAGCGGGACTTCGTGTGATGCGTGCGTATACGTCTGAGTACAGTTGGATGCACAGGACCTCAAAGGCAGCTATAACCGACAGTCGAGAGACCAAGGGAAGGGGAGAGAGGAAAGAACAGTGGGTATGTGTAGGCTCGCTGGAGTCGAATGTACAACTCTTTGGGATAGCTGCTAGCTCGCGAGTTTGCATATATAATGATCCAGGGAGAACTTTACCTTATGCTCTGTCCGTTGTGTTCCCTTGCGCATACTTTCCTTCTAGTATCACGAGACCAAAACATGGGACTCAGAGCTATGGTGGTACAGCTTCTTGTTTGCTAAGCCTCACTAACCGTTGTACCAAGGGCCGAAACGCCCGAATTATCTCCTCCAATCCCCACCCTCAATCTCCTCTCAATCATGAATCGTCCCCTCGTCCATATTAAGAAAGCAGGGCAGAAATATCTCGGGACGTAATGACCACAGTGATCACGATCATCATGGGAATCTCATACCAAGCATTGCAGAGGCACAAAATGCCCGAGCCACAACACCAATGCTAATAGGAACCGCGCTGAAACACAAATAAAAAAGGGGTATTCACAAATAGTCAGATCGGCTGAGTCAAGAACGTAAGGTGGTCTTCCAAGAGACACGATGCTTTCTTTTGTCGCGGATGTGATTTTCGGAAAAGGTGAAGTGTTTAGAGCATCATGCCAAAGGCGGCGGCGACACCAGCAGCAACGACACCAGATCCATACTCACGTCCAATGGCCATCATGGTTGCAGCAGCGGCTTTGGATGAGCTGGTAGTCACGGCGGCGGCGACCGAGGACGAGGCCGGAGCGGAAGTGCTTGCGGCAGTGGATGTCGGGGCGCTACTGCTGGAAGAGGAAGATGCGGGAGCAGTGAAGTTGTTGGGATCCAAGTGACCGCAGTTGTTCTTTTCATCCGAGTTGCACTTAGCCTGAGCGGCGGCAACACCCACAGTGGAGGCGATGCAGTCCTGGAAGACTTGCTCGCAGATGAAGGTTGGCATGGTGCCGGTGTAGTACTGCAGACCAGGCGTAGATTGGTTTGAAGCGCATGTGCAGGTATAGTTCAGGGTATTCTAGAGGATTGATGAGTATGGAGCCAGGGTAATTGAAATTGACCAAATGCGGAAGAGCAAGGAGAAGTGAACCTACCGTGTCACAGGTGTTTTGGCCTTCGTAGATATCACCACTGCACAGGGTACCGCAGGTGTTTAACTGAGCGGAACACCACTGGCCTGAACGATGGTCAGCAGAGCACGATACAGATAGATCTCCCAAGCAGCAGGAGACATACTTCTCAGAGTAGCAGAGACAGAGTTGGGGTCAATGGTGGAATTGGCACCAGCCTGGGCAGCGACGTAGCCGGCGCAGAGCGCGACAGCGAGAGCAGGCTTGATAAACATCTTGGCGGGGGAGATAGCTCGAAGGGGGGGATTGTAGATACTGGACGGGGAGAGTCAATTGATTGATAGAGACAGCAATGGGGATGAAAGAATGTGAAGATGCTGGGGCAGAGCGGTAGAGAGTTGTTGTTGTTGTTGTGGTGGGAGAGGAGGTTGGGAGAGAGGGTATCGCGAGAGTTTTCCCGCCGCGGGCTCCGTCGTACGGGAAGGAGAGACGAGATTCGAGATCAATATCAACTGTATATGGCGCTAGGACCGGCCGGGGCTAGCGGGGCTTAGCGCTCCCGTTCGGGGCCTAGCGGATCATTTGGCGAGGGTGGGAAAAAGTTAAAAGGCAAAGCTCCGTTTGGACGAGCAATCGAAGACACCGCTGATCAACCGGCAACAGGAACATCGGACCTCGTGTATGCTGGACAGTTGTCTGTCTCCCTTGAGAATATCCGAATATCCTCACGCGGTACGAAGCATCACGGTTCTCGAGCAACACTGGGAATCGTCTCTCTCTTTTTGCCTGCTCGATGGTTTTACCTCCGTCTCCGTCGCCCCGTTCCTGGTTCAGGGGCACGGGTAATATCCGCGTCTTGGGCTCCAAGGCTTGGAGTCTTGGAGGACGAGTAGGAAATGCGCCGGGATTGGCCCTTATCAGTCGCTACGGGCCCGACTCACCATGTTTTCCCATGCCAATACACGACTACTACAACACTACTACAGGCTCTTAGTCGCCGACTCGCTCCGCCGTCACAGCGGTGGCAGTAGTGTGCGCCGAGCCGAACCATTCATGACCGCTGACGCGGCGACATCTGAAGTCTGGGGAGAGGCGGAGATAACTGCTCTTTTTCTTCATACAGTAATATCACTGCTGATGATACTGCGCAGTGCGTACATTCACATCATCTCTGCATGGCAGAGGCCAATGGCCATATACCGGATGCGTCGAATCCCTCTCTCTGCGCCGCCTTGACTCTTCCCATCCCGGCGGCCATCCTCTCTCTGCTCGGATTTCTATGCGGCCGCTGATTGGTGCATTTAATCAAGAGGGGGGTTGAGAGAGAGCCGAGATACCACGTGATATCATAATCCATACTGTCCCTTCCTGCCTACCAACTGACGACATCAAAAACTCATGAACAGACAAGTGAAACACCAGGTCATCATTTATTCGTTCAACATCTTCCGACGAGAGCATGCCTGTTGGCAACCGCATGCTTTCGACATGAGGGTCCTGATGATTCTACGTGGGCGTTTTGCACCTGGTCGTCGCAACATGACCTGCATAACCCCAGACTTATGTAATCTTCCATCATCCCACCGGCTGCAATATCCCACTCATCATACCTCGGGCAGGTAGTACATAGCAGGCACCTGACCGCCGATGCTCTCTTTACTTTTTCATTTCTACTTCTCTTTCTCTCCGTCTCTCTCTCGTCATTATCAATGCCGTCCTGCCATCGATCTCTCTTCGTCGGAGCATGGCAGACGAGAAAGATAGCGATGCTGGCATAGCTCCCCCACTTTCTCCCTCATCAACCCCGCATGAGCATGATCAGGACAAGGACGCAGAAGATGTCCGTGAAGCTACTTCCACCAGAAGTCCTGATGACAAGAGGCCATTCGCCCAGATCCGGGAGAATCAATTTGCCAAAAAATGCTGGGCGGTAGTTACCTGGACGCCGAAACGGTGTAGATGGGATCCCGACGACCCTCCAAAGTTTAATTTGGCGCTGAATCTGCTATTTGGCTTTGTGAGTTTGATTTTTGTTCTCGGCTTCGTACCTTCTCGGAGCTCGATGGAGCCTCAATAATCCCCTGGGCTGCGCTGTGACAACCAAGTGTTTAGAGCAGATGGATGCCCTACCATATCTTGAACAGCAGCTAAGTCTTGCAGGCTGGAACGTTCACAGTGGCCAATCTCTACTACAGCCATCCAATCCTGAACATCCTGGCCGATGAATTTAACGTGAGCGATGAGCGTGCCTCTCTGGTTCCAACCGTAATGCAAGCCGGCTATGCAGCGGGTCTCCTCTTCCTCTGTCCTTTAGGTGACATATTTCGCCGGCGAGCTTTCGTCCTTATTCTGGTTCTCTTCACCGCGACTATTGTAAGCCCTTTCTCTATCACCTAACTCGAATTCCTCCATGAGGGACCAGGGGACCAGGCTGACTTCCCCAGTGGCTTGGCTTATGCTTGACGAAATCATACCCCGTCTTCCTAGCCTTGTCCTGCATCGCAGCCATAACGACCGTCACGCCCCAGCTGATGCTCCCCCTCGTCGGTGAGCTCGCCCCGGCCCACCGCCGCGCAACAGCCCTCTCGATCGTGGTCTCGGGCCTCCTCCTCGGGATGCTCATCGCACGCCTGCTCTCGGGGATTCTCACCCAGTACACTACCTGGCGCAGCATCTACTGGTTCTCGCTCGGGGTGCAGTACCTCATCTTCGCGCTACTCTTCCTCTTCATGCCCGACTATCCCAGCGCCAACCCCGACGGGATCCACTACTTCCGCATCCTCTCAAGCATCCTCATGCTCCTCCTCCGCTCCCCCGTCCTCGTGCAAGCCTGCCTCATCGGCTTCTTCACTTCCTCCATCTTTACCAGTTACTGGACCACGCTAACCTTCCTCCTCGCCTCCCCACCATACTCCTACCCCCCCGTCATCATCGCTCTCTTCGCCCTCCTCGGCATCAGCGCCATGCTCCTCGCCCCCCTCTACTCCCGTCACATCACCGACCGCTTCATCCCCCACCTCACCATCCTCCTCGGCCTCCTCTACGTCCTCATCGGCACTATAATCGGGACCTACGCCCGCCCCCACTCCACCGTCGCCGGCCCCATCATCCAAGCCCTCCTCATGGACCTCGGCTTGCAAACAGCCCAGATCGCTAACCGCGCCAATATCTACGCCATCGACCCGCGCGCCCGTAACCGTCTTAATACCGCTTACATGGTGGCTGCTTTCAGCGGCCAGCTGACCGGCACCGCGGCTGGGAATCGCTTGTATGCTGCTGGTGGCTGGGTCCGGAGCGGTAGCGCGAGCGTGGGGTTCGTGTGCGCTGCGCTGGTGGTCTGGGCTGCGCGTGGACCGTGGGAGAAGGGCTGGGTGGGCTGGGGGGGCGGGTGGAGTGTGCGGAGAAGGGACGTTGGGGAGAGGACGAGCGGGCAGGGGGGAAGTCAAGGGGGAGATGTCGAAAGCAGCCCGCCACCGGCGATGGATAAGGAGGAGGAGAAGGAGGAAAAGAATGCGCAATCATGAATGAATGAATTAACGCAAAGAATTTTGACGCTTATGAGCTTTGATGTGAGGGCAGATAAAGAACGGATAGATAGATTTAATGTGTATATACATAATCAATTTTCGAGATATGATGATAGAATAATAGAATAATAGAATAGATGGATGCGTAAAACTTACTTACCATCTTACTTACCTACTACCATCGCCAGCGACCCGTCAACCAATTAGCACAATAGCACAAAACGAGAGATGCACAGTGGACGAGGGGGGGGGATCTCAAATCACATGTCGCATCTGGCATCTCGCACTCGCATCTCGCACCTTGCATCTCCCAACCCAACCCCAAATAATACCAGCGAAAGCACCTTTCTTTTCATTTTAATTTTTCCAGCCCTTTGGCCCTAAATGCTCTAATAGCGATTCAGGACGGAGGGAGTTGACTCGAGGCTATGGATGATAAAAAAATAAAAAAAAAGGTGTGTTAAAAAAACAACGAAAGGGGGCAACAATGCAATATAATATGCACAATGATGCTGCTGCTATCCACTCATATATGCTTGTTTGTTTGTTTGTGTGTGTGTTTCCGCTGAAGAAAGCCATTCCTGGAGATTTGCAATTCCTTCCGCTTCCTCCCTTCAGACAGGGAGGAAGGGCCCAAAATGCCCCCTCCCAACCGTTCATCATATTTGTGTAAAGAGTACGTTACGGGGCCTATTTCTGCGGTATCGTTCCTGCCAGCCGCGAAATATCCACCTAAAGACAAAGTAAAAAAGCTTCGTCATCATCGATAGCCAATCTGTATGCTTCATGCCCAGACTCCGCCCAATGCAAATAAGTACTCCCACCCAATGCGGTATGCAAGGGAACTCGTGAAACGCAATAAAAAGTTTCGAATAGGTAACCGACTCGAAATCACATCTCGAATTGGGAAGCGTTGAATATGGTGCCATCTTCGTTCGTGTTGGTCTTTACAATGCCACTCATCCGATCCGAGCGCTGCTTTTGTGACGCATCATAGGAATCATCCCAGTCCTGGTCCCGCTTCTCGTCCTCGTCCATATCATCATAGCCGTTCTCAAAACGGGGTTGCATGTGGTCATCAATCGAACTCTCATCAACGAACGTGAAGCCTTTGAAGTTGGCTTGCATGCCGGGGGACAGGGGGGTTGACGTGGCCATACCGGCTGCCAAGGCCGCAGCACGAGCATTGAGAGAAGAGGGGCCGTTGAGCGCGTTCGTGAACTCGGGGTCGAAGTTCTGTGTATCCGTCTCGGATAACAACTTCGGCTTGAAGGGAGGGGTGATCAGCTTCTTGGAGAGAGCTTCCCAGTCGATATCAGCAAAGAATGGATGTCGCTTCAGTTCCTCTGCATCATCTTGAGCACCCAGTCTGTGCTTTGGATTCCGGTTGAGAAGACCCTTGACAAAGTTTCGCCCTTCGGTAGTAAGAGTATCCCTAGGGAACCTAACCTTCCCGAAGGCAATGTTCTTGTACATTTGTTGAGTGTCTTCGGCGTAGAACGGACTCCAACCGCAGCACATCTCGAACACAAGAACACCCAGAGACCAGAAATCAACCATCTTCGTGTATCCGGCTTCATCCAGTAGGACTTCGGGTGCCAGATACTCGGTCGTACCACAGAACGTGTTGGTTGTGTCATTCTTGGTCAGATTAGCCTTCGACAAACCGAAATCGCAAAGGGCGATATGGCCATTTGCGTCCAGTAGGATATTCTCTGGCTTCAGGTCACGATACACGATGTCGTGCATGTGAAGGTGCTGGAGAGCCAAGATCAATTCCGCAATGTAGAATTTTGCGCGCTTCTCATCGAAGCGTCCCTCTTTCTGCAGATGCCAGAACAACTCGCCACCAGACATATAATCAGTGACGAGATACAGATCAGTTGGGGTCTGGAAGGAAAACTTGAGTCCGACGATGAAAGGAGAGTCTGCCATGGCGGTTCTGACTAAGATATTCCGCTCTCCGACGGTATGCGCTACTTCTTTCTTCTGGACAATCACCTTCTTTTGAAGCACCTTCATCGCGTAGATTCGCTTCGTATCCTTCTTCCGAACCTGGTATACTTGTCCAAATGTGCCTTTTCCAATGAGCTTCAAAACAGTGAAATCTTCGGGACCGCAGTGTCTCTTGTCGGTTCGTTGGTAAGTCATCTCAACATGGACTTCTCCGGGATGGGCAATGCCAATGTCGTTCCTCCCGCGAAGGGGAAACCAGCCCTTCACGGGTGATTCATCGTTCTCTATCAACCTAGCCTCAAGATCAACATGACCTAGGAACTCCTCGGTGGCACCTGATCTGTCATAGATTGTAATGTTGACACGGGAATCTGAGCCAACCACATCACTGAAACGCTGTTAGACTTCCAGCCCAGGCAGGGCTACAGAGTTGACTTACAAGACAGCCTCGGTATCCCATTTCGGGTGGGTTGTTGGCGGCCGACCTCTACTCTTGGAGTCGCTCTGGTTGCTGCTCTGCCGGCCCTTCATTGGAATCGCCATTGGCCGGCCCGAGTCGCTGGTAGAGCGCATGATGGGAATGCCACCTGATGTTGCTGGGCTCGATGTCGAGCCCTCATTGTCATCCTCGTCCTCGTCTCGTGGGCCACTTGAGACGAGCTCGTTACGCTGAAAGACTGCTACAACATAGGGGTCTCTGCTCTTCCGCAAGCCACGTGCCTCTGAAATCTTGACCGTGAGCTTTCCCTTTGGAGCTTTCCCAGGAGCTACAGCCGCCGCGGCCGGTGGTGTCGGCGCAGGGGTGATCTCGCCGGCAGCCTTATCGTTCTTCTCGTGAGGCGAGTCCGACGCGCCACTCGCATCGGATTTAGCTGTGTGAGTTGACAGGGCGCGAGTTGGGGTTGGAGGATTACTCTTTTCACACGAAGCATCATCTGTTAGCCTCTTGAGCAGTTCATACGATGGTGAATCATGCAGAAAATCAGTGCTTAAGCGGGACAGTACAGGAGTGCTTGGTGTTGAGGCAGGTGCAGGGTGACGATCGCTGGGGTTCGAGAAATGGGCAGCGTGAACATTGGAAGCGGTTACGATGCTCGACAGAGGATTCAGTGAAGGTCTGCGCACATAAGACGATCTCCGAGCAGTTGGCGGAACTGCTCCCGATACGCTCTTCCTGTGTGCAGAAGACGCAGAAGGGGCAGAAGAAGCAGAAGAGGAGGAGGAAGACGCCTTCCCTGTGCTCTGCTCACTATCCTCGGAGCTCGCATCGCTCAACTTCAATCTGTACAAAGAAGGTGTTTGAGAAACAGGTGGGGTCGGATAAGGGTGCAAGCCAGGGTGGTGTTGTGTAGGCGCTTGAGGAAGCTCCATCCGCTCATGTGGCAGGAGTGGCGAAGCCTCTTCATCCTCATGATTTTGTGTGCTGGCAGCAGTCTGAATCTGGGAGTCTGGTGCGACTGGCAACAGACCATCATCTTCAACCATGTCGTCCCGACGATGGAAAGGAGCAGGATTTTCAGCCTCGGTTCCAACAGCAGGGGTTTGCAGGGGAGCAGAACTCGCACCGGAATTTGGGCGTGTAGAAGAACCAGAACCAACCTGTCCAAAATAGCTGTTGTGCATTATTCCTGGCAACCGCTTGTCGGAGAGATCGGGCTGGGGCGTGCTGAAGCCGGAGGGCCCTTCGGAACCGATATGGTCATTCCCGTCCTCCTCTCTCTCTCCTCTGTTATGAAGTATGCTATTAGCAAAAGCCATATTAGAGAGGCATGTTAGAAGATAAGTAAGCGGTGGATGATGAGCAAAAGGGCTTTGGATAGCACGAGGGGGGATATGAGGAAAGGGCAAAGGAAAAAAAGGAGAAAGAAGGGAGAGAAGGGGAAGATCAAGCTAAGATGATTGGAAAATGAAGCCGAGATTTCGGAGCAGATTGCAGAATTGCAGAAAAGCGGCAGGCTGGGCGGCTTCTGTGCCCTCTTCTAGACGCATGGGCGGACCAGTCACCGATGGCCGCTTCGACCAACCCCCGACGACTACCGGGACCCCTCGTCCTTGTTGACGTGCGTAGAGAGTTTCTCTGGCCAAAACCCACACAGGAGCAAAGGGGAGGAGGGAGGAGACTGAGACAGCACTTTGCATTCACACACTCTCTCGTTGTCACGTAGGGGATCTGAGGACTGGTGCTGGTGCTGGTGCTGGTGCGCGCGGGATCTCCATGCGTCCGGCTTGCCACGAACAGCTGCTGAGCTCTGTGACAAGAGGAGATTGCAGCTCGCGGACCTTCAAAACAGCAGGAGTCCGGCGAGGGGATAGGATTTGGATGTGCAGACAGGTGTATGTATATATATATATATATATATATAGATGCAGATGATGCGTGTCGCCTTTTCGTACCTTGAGATCATTTTCTGGGTGGCTTGCTTAAGCAGGTCGTCTTCGTTGCTGGCCATCGCGAAGTCCTCGCAGCGCGAGCAGCCAGTTTGTAATAGGTATCGATCGAGGCGTCAGTTCGGGTGGATGGTTTTCGGTAGGTGGGGTTTTTTGAGTTGAGTTGGGTTGGGTTGGGGGGGGGAGGAGAGGGGCGGCGGGACGGGGTCTGCGACAAGACAAGACAAGACGAAGTACCCAAGTACCGGAGCCGACGAGATAAGGAGGTCAGGGAGGGCGTCGTGGGGCAGTCGTGAGCGTTGTTGCAGACGGGAGCGTGTTGTGCGTGTTCGTTGGGAGGGGGAGAGATGGAGAGATGAGAGACGAAGAGATGAGAGATGAGAGAAGCCGAGACGAGAAGAGGCAGACGCGAGAGATGAAATGACGGAGAGATGCAGCAGACGAAGGTGGGAGATTGGCAGATTGAGACGGTGGTGGCCCTGGTGGAGTTTTGGTCAAGTCGCAGCGAGCGAAGGGAAGAGTCGGAATGCAGGTTCAACGGATCGTCGTGAATACCTCACTACTGAGAGACGACTCAGCCTAGAACCAGGATGCCACCACTCAGTCGCCGGGCCTAGTGGGAACTGCCCTCGGTAGGGTTTCGTGGCGACACGGATGGATTCTACAGTTCTCCAATTCTACAACTTCTCTACGATCTCATAGGCAAAGACAAGAAAGACAGGGCGAGGCACGGGAAGACGGTAGCTGAGCTGGACTCTGATCTCTCTGGATAACAAGGAGGATTGGGGCTATTCTTGGGGGATCGGGTACTGGGCATTGGGCGCTGGGCATTGGGGGATGCAGTCATTAGTTGTAAACTTGTAGCATTAAAACCCTCGCCCATCCCCACCACCCGACCGGCCCTGGATTCGCGCAGCAGACTGGTCGACTAGGTACGATGATACTATACTACTCGGTACTGGCCTTTGTACTGGCCCTCGAACGAGAGACGAGAGAGAGAGAAAGAGAGATGCTGCAACCACTGCAACCTCCTGGCCCAGCTGGACAGAGACACGGCTGGGAGTGGATGACGGAGGCAATAGGATGACGGTTAGGGATGACGGATGGCGGATGGCGGATGGCGGATGGCGGGGGGGATCTGAGGATCTGAATCTGAGATGCCTTAGTCGAGATAGAGAATAATACAACAATCATACAACAACATCAACAATCGCACTGGGCCACGGTGACTGGGCAGGTTCTCCTTCACTACGCGAGAGGGTTTGGAGCGAATGGTGGACGAGGCGGAGCAGATGTCGAGAAAGGGACAAGGCAATGTTCGCTCCGCCCTTTTTCGCCTTCGCCTTCGCCCTCGCCCTCGCCGAGCTGGGTTGAATTCTTCCGCTGCTCAGGTCTCTTTTTGGTCTTGGATGCTCAATCCGGGTACAATGGGCATGGATGATGAAACGATGATGCCGCTGCTGGCGATGATGCCGATAGTGATCCTGATCCTGCTGCTGCTGGTGACGAAGATATCGGACAGGAACGGTTGAAACAATGGCAACTCCAAGAGAGGGTTTGACGGCAGCTGCACAGCTGTTCAGGTAGATGATAATAAGGTACCTATAGATAATGAAGTTGCCACCGCCCATTATCAAAATATAGAAGCCTACGATCCTATTCTGTACATATCTTCTTACCTTAGATAGAATCAAAGTACGAGACAATACGATGCGATACGATGCAATACGATGCGATACGATGCAGTACAATGCCCCCCGACGATATAACGATCCGTGTGGCAACGTGGGACGCCGGGGCAAGGGGCGGCGGCGTGGTCCTCCGTACAGGGCACCGTATCGATACGTCATATGTTGACCCCTCCCCTTTCCATGCGGCGCCAGACGGATCAAACAAAGTCTTTCATGTGCAAGTACCTAAGGTAATTGTTTTCCTTTTCTTTTACTGCTGTTCTGCTTACTGTTCTGCTTTTACTTTCAATATGACTATTGTTTACCTTCTATCCTATTCCTTTTACCTTTTAAAGTGTGTTTATTTTCATATCTACCTTACTCTATCTCCCCTTTTCTTCCCCCCTCTCTTCCGCTCCCCGCTCCCGGGAGGAGATCCAAGCAACGTCCCGTCGTCAAGCACTGGACAGCCTCTGCGTCTCAACAACAATATACATTGTATCCAAGTACCTACAAGTACATCTATAAAAAGAAGCTGCTGCTGCCTATAGCCCAGCTGAGCCCGAACATATGTGCAACGCGGGCGCTGAAAATCTATCTGTACGCGCCCTGGCATCAGCTTACCTCGTCTGACGGCGAGATTGGTCATCCTTCTTCGATATACGAAGGTACCGTAGAAGTCCCGCATCGAATCGTGCATGATAGGGCGCGCGTGCATAGGTACACTGTAGACATGCTTCTGCCGTGATTGTACAACTATTCTGGGACGGACATTCAGGGGCCAACTGTGTTGATTCCTCTGCCGTGTTGAATCTTCGGGGAATAGAGCTCTAATCACAGAGCGGAGAACCTGTGGATGCTGGATGCTGCCTTCTCACTGTCCATGGGGCAAATACTTACCTAGGTGAGGTATGTAATGTAGCATCAAATTCCCAACATGCCTGTCCACAGTGTAGGTACAGTAAGACATATTTCCCTAGGCTAAACGCCAAACCAAGGGTAAAACTCGGATGTCCTCGAAGGGGAGCCCGATGAGGCTTTGAATCCATGGTGAGCCGGTACGCTCCGTAGTTGATTCCTGAGGCATAAACTAAGGCATGAACTTACGTAAGACGCTGGTTGCTCCTGAGGCATCAACAATTATCCCGTTGCCGTCGTTAGCGGCAGATCTGAAATCTGGTAGCTTCGCGTGTTCACAGAGCGCGACGAATTCGAGAGAGCAAGCCCAACGCTTTCGAGCAGCCAGCAAGACAACCCTTCCTTCTCAGATCATCAAGATGGGTCGCCGACCTGGTAGAGCTGCAGCGAAAAACGCTGCCGCCGCATTGAGTGAGTGCCCGCCCTGTGAAGCCCCGGCGCATCACGCAGAACTAACACCATCCCTCCAAGAAAACACCCCGCAGACATACGATGAGGAGGGCGAGGATGAGCAGATGGTAGATGCGCCAGCGTCTGAAGCTGGCAGCCCAGAGGCGGCCGAGGAAGACAATGCCGAAGAAGAGGAGGAGGAAGAAGATGCGGCTCGAGAATCTGAACCCCCTTCGGGACCAACCACGCCTGCGCCTGAGCCCGTCGTTCGAAAGCGGAGATTGGGCCGCCCGCCAAAGAATAAGCCGCCGGGCTGGGATGACGAAGTCCAGAGGGATCAGTCGGAATCGGGTACACCAGCGAAGAGAGGACGGGGGAGAGGGGGCTTTGGACGTGGCGGTGGCCGCTGGGCACGGCGAGGAGGTCCTTCGCATGTTACTCAGCAGCCAGTTGACAAGGAAGGAAATATGATGGATGTCATCAACGATGAGGTCGAGCTGCCGGAGGACCCAGAGGGCGAGACCAAAGTCGACAAGCTGGGCTATCTTAAGGGTGGACGGGAGTACCGCTGCAGGACATTCACGGTGCTTGGCAGGGGTGAACGACTCTACATGTTGTCTACAGAACCAGCCAGATGTGTGGGATTCCGGGACAGCTATCTCTTCTTCACCAAACACAAACGCCTCTACAAGATCATCATTGACGAGGATGAGAAGCGCGATATGATCGAGCGCGAGCTCATTCCACATTCTTACAAAGGTCGTGCCATCGGTATCGTCACAGCTCGATCAGTATTCCGCGAATTCGGTGCTCAGATCATCGTTGGAGGGAAGAGGATCATTGATGACTACGAGGTTGCCAAGGCGAGGGCCGACGGTGTAGTGGAAGGCGAGTTGGCCGATCCCAACGATACCATCAAGCAGGGCGAGGAATACAACAAGAACCAATATGTCGCATGGCATGGTGCGAGCTCCGTGTACCACTCGGGTGCTCCCACCGTTCCCCTACAGACTGGCAAGGTTGTTGATGGTAAGAAGAAGCGGGTCATGGTCAACGATGTGAACTGGATGTTAGAGCATGCTCGTGAGGCAAGGTACGTGGAGGCACTCACATATCCTAGCAACTTTTCTAACATTGTCGTAGTCGATTCAATTCTACCCTCGGAGCTCTGCGCCGTAACATTATGAACGGTGTCTACGACCCGCACACGAATCAAATGCAGTATCCAAAATCTATGCAACCAACACATGCAAGATGGGAGCAAGTTGATGACTACGCCGAAGCCGAAGCCGAAGCCAATGGCAAACTTCCCAACGGCCATCCACACGAGCCTCGGGAGGATGAGAAGAAGAGTATTTTCACTCCCGTCAAGCCATTATATTCCCGGAATTACATGATTATCGACACCATGTATGAATCGGCGCCAGCATCAAATCTCGGCGTTCCGGGTCCAGACGGCGATGATTACGACATAGGATTCAACGGGCTTTCAAGCGTGCCCCCTGAGATCAAAGCCGAGCTGCCCCCCGAATGCCTCGCAGCTTTCAACAAAGCTCTAGAGAAGGAATTGCAGTGGAAGAACAGATGGGGATCCGAGAGCACTGATGCGAGGAGGAAACAACCGATTATTGATAAGGGGCTCGTCATACTATAGATTATAGATGGGGGGCGGGAGGGTGGGTGAGTGAGGGAATTGTTGGAGTCTTCTTGTGTACAACACGGCTTTTATTTTAGGGACGCTTTTGATACCGGGATAGGTAGGTAGGTGTATGGTGTCTGTCTGTCAGCTGGCGAAGAAAGCCAGATTCAACTGGCGTTGGCCCGGAAATTATTGAAGTGAAGTTGTATTATTTTCGGGTAACATGACGGGATTGAAATGAAAATAATAAATTCCTGACTGCACTTTGGCAAGTGAGTTTTTTGTGCTGGGTTGGAATGAATGAATATAAGCAGCCTTTGATCCTGTGTGGTCATGAGCAAAAAATGATCAGAGGCGATTGACAACATTCACAGCAAAACGCCAGCCAGCCAGCTATCAATTTATACATACATACACAGATATGAAATTTAACGCTTCTCTATCTTCCAGATTGCTTCCATTCACACGAACCAAATTCTTCTTGTATATATATCTAGAAACAACAACTGGTTTTTTTATTGTCTACCTTACCTCCCTTCTCTCTCTCTCTTGCTCTCTCTCCCCCTCGTATCTCCTTTTCCCTTTCCTCACCACTCTATTCACTATTCAACTGTCTATTCCTGTATCATCAATCAATCAATCATCCTCTGAAATCTCCCCCCCTTAATTTTAACCCCTCACTCACCATCCATCTCACATTCACATTCACATTTCCCATACAAACCAACCTTCCGAAACCTCAATATATAATTATTATCCACCCCGAGTCCGTAGCCAAAGCATGAGATCTCGATCTCGAGCTTTGAAAGGTCGAAAGATTTTCATTGCCGATATTGAGGATATTGGGGATTGTTCTTGTTGAGGAAGAGAAGTTGGGGGGAGGAGGGGGTGTTGTGGGTTTGGATTGAGGGAGAGGAAGAAAGAAAGAAAGAAAACTAGAGGTGGGTGTCTTCTTATGTACTGAAAAAGGGAGGGGTGGATCGCGGGGATGGATTTATTGGGGTATTGTAGAAGAATAGAAGAGCACATTTGCTCCAGTATCTACCTACCTATATGTATAGCTAGCTATGTGTACAGATAGATTAGATATTCATTCATTCATTAATCCCAGGCATACCTTACCTTATCTTACCTCCCTCTCTTGCTACACCTTAAATACAGTTTAAATAGAGCCACGGCCGGTAAGGCAGAGAGTTGATGTACGGGATTAGAGACCTAGGCAGATATCCAGAGAGCAGCCAGCCAGTCCCTATTTTCTTCTTGTGTGTCTAAGAAGAAAGGAAGAAGAAAGGAAGAAGGAAAGAAAGAAGGAGAAGTAAGGAGTTCCTATCCCTTCCTAGCTATATCCTCTTCTTAAACGCATCAGCCCAGGAGCATGAAAGGAAGGAAAACGAGGCGCGTCCTCTATATCTTTATCTCTCATACCTTACCTACCTTATAAAATATGATATAACATGAGGTAACACAATCAACCCCTCCTCACTCCAAGACCCAAAACACCCCCCCTCCCCCCACCCCCCAAGAAATCTCTTCCCATCCACCCAAGACAAGCACTCCGCTGCACGCCCCAGCAAAACCACGCATCGTTGGGCCGCAAGGCGGTAAACCCCTCTCTCTCCTCCCCCTCCCTGTACCTGCGAGAGTGACGACATCACACATATATTTCCGTAAAGGAAGGAAGGAACAGAAGGAAGGAAGGAACATGAGGAACATGAGGGGGCGTATGCATGTTTGCTGATTCTACTAACCTAAGGTAGCTTTATTTAGCTTTATTCATTACATTTGCCTTACGCCGTTGTTGTTAGGTACCTAAGGTAGGTAGTTACTAAGGTACTGGAGAGTGAGGGGGAGGGGGAAGGGGGAAGGGGGTGAATAATGATCCGGGTTTCCTTTACGATTGACTATTATTTCCGGGTGTTGATCTGGGTGGAGGGGAGAGGATGATGTGATGTGATGGTGGGGGTTGATAGGGTGTGAGATAGAGATGGAGTTGGAGATGGAGAGAGAGATATGTGGAAGGATTGTTCTGTATGTACCTAGGTACTGTATATGCGTTGAGACTGGTGAGGTAGAAGTTCGAGAGGGACGGGAGATATACTGCGTGTCTTGTATTAGGTGTGTAGGAATCGAACGTTATCTCTCCCAGTTCTTGGGAAGTATATCCATCTATCGTCTACCTCGTTGTTCATCTTCAGTTCATCTATATTTTGTTTTATATTTTACGAACTTCCCGTGTATAGAGATATTATTTCATCTTTCCCCTCCCTCCCCCATCTCGGCTTTAAACGGAGCGGAGAAGTGAGGAGGAGGAGGAGGAGGAGGAGGAGGTGGCGCCAGGATGAAAGGATGATGGTGTCTCATGGAAAGATGGAAAGATGGATGTACGTCTACCCTCACCCATCATATCCTGAGATGGAATGAGAAGCAGAAGAGGGGAAGCCGGATTCCGAGACTGAGGAGAAAACCGGGTAAGGCTTGTCCTGTAATGTAGTATGATACCGTAGCAACGCTTCTCGACAATCATCGATGCTTGCTTACCTTACCTTACCTACTCCGTAGAGCGGAGATTGATTCCCCCCCTCGCTCTCCAAAGGCAACTGGATCATGCCTATGTACCACATGTGGTACCTGCGGATGAGAATACCCGCGGAGTAGAAATCACTGCCCTCGGGCTTGGCACATTATACGCGTACTGTAGTCTGAACCGTATGGGCGGAGTATTTGCATTCCCTTCCATCGATGATCGATCATCGAGCGGACAACGACTACGGAGTAATAAGGGTCCTTTTCTCATCAGGGGTTGGGGGTCCTCCGGCCAACGAGAGGCGCGAGATTATTTGATCTCGACCTTTTTGCTTTTTGCAAGTCACGTCCACAACAACGGGCGCAGGGCGTGGGGCTTTCATACACTGGTGGCGGAGGCGGACAAATTATTCGGCGATAAAATTCATAAAGGGTCTTTGTCGTCTGGTCGCGAGGAGGAGGGCGTGGCGAATCAGACGGGCGGCTTCGATGTTGAGGAAACTTAGTAGGTAGTGCTGGCTTCTAGTAGTCAGGGGTTGAGGCTTGAGCATTTCCACACGAATCTAGGCCTTGGGTCTGTGGTGGCGGAGAGTTTCCCAATTTTTTTCTTTCTTTTTTTTTTTTTTTTTTTTCTCTCTGTTCCCTTCTTGAACCCTTTGGTACCTAAAATTCCTTTCCACATGGATGATTGGGAGTCTGGACCATCGAGAAACTGGTGGTCCAGTCAGCAGATGTGTTATTGCCCAGTACCACACACAGCGGCGTGATTTAGCACCGAGTAACATTCCAATATACAGACTGTCCAGTGTCCCTCGTAATCTTATCGACGAGCACGCGGCTACTGTACTGTATGCAGACGGAGGTAGGATGGATTTGCTGCATCTCTGGTGGGTCTCTCGATATCTGCGCCCAACCTGCCACCTTCGTGAGAAAAGAAGAAAAAGAATGGGGGAGCAAGAGATCAGTGGAGTCCCTGGATGCGTCCAGCGTGGTGGAACCTGCAGTCGAGGGCATGAGACCTTCCTGCCGTAAGCCTCGCACTCCGTGGGATCTTCCTGGCTCGTAGAGTTGTAGAGGTCGTGGGATGCCCTCTGCCCCGTAGGCTCTTGCTGAGTGGTTAGCTGGGCGCTCCGATGTCCTCGAGACGGGACGCCTTGTCGTGGCGGACATGCTCCCTTGGTCAGAGGCTCAATATATGTCCCTCTCAGGACGTGAGTGCAGGACTAGATGCCGCCCGAGTCAAAATCAAGAGGGCGACGGCCTTCCTAATAGCTGGCGGGCCAATGGGCATCATCGTGGTGTTTCCTGGCGGCCACGAATCCACGGGAGCACGAACCCACGATGATCAGCAGCAGTGAGGAGGCGGCGAGGGGGGCCAGTGTGGCCAGTGGACAGTGGACAGTAGACAGTAGACTGGTAAACTGGTAGACTGGTGAACTGTGAACTGCTGGTAAACTGGCCTGACTCTGGGCCGATGCGTCGCCGTGCAATGGGAAAATGGGAATTATGGAGTAGGAGTATAGCACAGTACTCCATCCAGTGACTACAGTAGTATCCGCTGGTGAGGCAAAGGACTGCAGCAGCCACCTGGCCACCGCCGTTTTGCTCAGTTCGTCAGTCAGTCGCTCGGCCCAGCTGGTCCAGAGGTCAAAACAGAAGCGATCCAGCTGTTTCAACTGGTGGAACCGGGCCCCAGTGGCAGCTGGTCCACGACTCCTCCAGCCTCCAGGCGGGTGACTCGGGGATGTGAGTGATACTGCTACTTTACACCGTACAGCCCTCTGTAATCCGGAGGAAGTGGAGGAGACTCGGGCTGGCTCCGGAGCGTCCACAACAGCAGCGAGGAGTCGAGGACCAGGCCCGGGTCGATTACAGAGTATTGGTACAGTATTGCCATCCCGCGGCAGATGAGAGGGCAGATGAGGGCAGAGGAGCATGGAGATTGGAAGAGGGCACAATAATCGTCATGATTACAGCACAGAGTACAGAGTACCATTGAATGCATCTTTCTTTTGCCGCACATCGTCTTCCTCTCTCTCCCTGCAGGCGTGGACAGCCGCAGGACCTTGGGAAAGAAAAAGGAGAAAGGGTCTAAGGTAGTGGCAGAAGTACCTTACTACATACAGATGGGTAAAAATAGCCAAAACAACCACACATATTGTCCGATGGCAGAGACAGTCGTTGGTAATCACAATAATAAATAGAAGGAAATACCGGTAATAGCCATAATACCAGGCCCTGGATACCTCAGGTACATTGCCTGGGATACGGTATACCACTACTGTAATCACCTGCCTGACCGTTGGCCAGGCCAAACAACAATAGCCGACCGGCCCTCGCATCTGATCTCAATAATTATCCACCCTTCGATTCGATTTCCCGTCTTTCCCACACCCACTCTACCCCCATCTCCTCTCCTCTCTCCTCCCTCCCTCCTCCCCTCCCCTTCTCTTCTCTTCTTCTTCAGTGAAGAAGTGAAACACTCCTCCCATCCGCCTCTTCCCTCCCGACGTCTCTTCGAGGTACGGTCCACCCGCGCGAACTTTGGATCGCGGCCCTGGCATTTGCCTGTGAGGCTTTCCGACGCTGGACACTGGACAAAAGGTGAATCTGCTACCGCATCACAACGACCATTCGTCAAAGGTTGTGAATAGGAATCAGGTTAGTACAATGATTTATTTATATTCCCCCCAGTCTGTACTCGGCTTCCCAAGTTCAACCCGGCCACTTCCTCATCGATCACTTTGGGCCTTGTTGCGCAACTTGTTTCCACGGCAGCGCGACTTGGGGGACGAGCCTTCACAACATCTCCCGGTGGCGTTCCTGATCTCCAAAGCCTCTACCCCCTCCGACATCTACTCCCTTGTGCTGGATCATCCAAACGCCATCAGACAGCCGTCACTGGTGCTAGCCGCATCAATTTTTGTTACACCCCTTTCCGAGGCGTGCCAGTTTCTGCACCGGCTCTGCTCGATCTTCTGCTAGAACATTTGCTGACCTTCTGCAAGACCTACCAGATCCAGAAGACTCGGGCAACTACTCCTCGCACATGGTCGGTTCGATCTGAACGTGTGTATCGGTGTCTAAGCACTGTTCTTTGCTGCGTCGTCGAATAATTTTTCGTCACCTCCATTCACTTGCGCGGTCACATAAAAAGTTTTGCCCTACGACCACTTCGATCTATGGCGGATTCACGACAGTAGAGTTCTCTGGTTTTTCGCTCTTTGATCTACCTCGCCGTCACGCACTACTCGCCGGACCCTTCGACTTCATATCCTCACAAGCTTTGGACAGCTTCTCGCTACATAACTTTCCCCCTCGGTCAGAGCAGGAAAGTTCTTGCACACCGACAAGATTCATCGGAATCTTCGTCGGCCTCTCGAATCTCGCCCATCATGCTTCCTGGAGGTGTCTGCGCGGTGCTGGACTACGAGGTAGACCAGATGACCGACTATGTTTCTGAAATGGCACAACGACTCATCCTTCCTGGTTCTGCTGTCTCCCCTGCTTTCCGCAAGTTTGTCTCGGGTCTCCTCTCATCCACGAGACTTCCCACCACTACCATCCTTCTCGGAATGAACTACCTCGCCAGACGAGTCAACATGCTCAATGCTGCTGGTGGATTCAAGCCTACTGATGGAGAGGTATGGCGGATGTTGACTATTGGTCTGGTTCTGGGAAGCAAGTTCTTGGATGACAACACGTTCCAGAATCGATCATGGTCTGAGGTCAGTGGCATCGCCGTCTCTGAATTGAACACGCTTGAGCACAAGTGGTTGGAATCCATCTCATGGAACCTGTACGTCAACCTTGACGAGAGTAAGGATTACAACGCCTGGTTGCAGAGTTGGCGCGACTGGCTCGAGCAGAAGAACCTCCAGCGTACTGCTACGCTGGAGCGCCTTGCACCTCTTGCCCCCATCGATACCAACGTCCAGAGAAACCGCCCGTATCCGCAAAGCTACGGTTATCCAAAGACCGCATCGCGAGAGCGCGCTCAGACTGGCTACATGGCTCAATACCAACACCCTGCTTGGTCGAACTCGTATCCCACTCCTCAGCTCACTCCTCCCTCGGCACCTCATTCCGGCGTCAACACTCCAGACTACTTCAGCGCTCCCGGTGGAGGTCTTCGATACGGTGATTGGGGCTTGTTTGATCAATACTCGAGGGGATTCCAACCGCCACCCCATGCCACATACGTTCCTGCTCGCGTTGCTTCCTACCACACGCCATTCACGAACCATTACAGCAATCACTACGGTGGAAACATCTGGGATCCCAATGTCGTGGATTGCCCCTGCCACGCCTGCAATCCTCATATGAAGCAGCCATACTTTATGAATGCTCATGCATACGGACAGCAGATCGTTGCCGGATAATCGTGTCCTGGTTGCAATGCCGACATTTCGATCACTTGATTTTCGAGCTCCGATTGGCAAACTTTACTACCATTCTTCGGCATAATACCCTCGATGCCTAGCGCATCGCCACAAAAGTTCTTGCATTCTGTTTCTAGCGTTTTCAGCGCCCGTCACGTTCAGAGGTGCCGTCATCCGGCCGGTCTTCAAAAGCTCAGGCAGGGTTGATAATATTGTGTACGGCGACCTCATACCCCAAAATTATGATCTCGAGTTGCGTTGCGCCCTTCGCGGCGGCTGCCTCGATCTTACGACCTTTTCCTTGCACATTCTTGATATTGTGGCGTTGCATCAGCGAGTCTTAGATATTTCATTTGTCCTTCGAAACAGGATGGGCATGGGCTGGATGGATATCTGGTCTGGTGTTTGGGTGACGGAGAGGGGTCTTAGTGTTGCTGATTTCTTTCTTATTTTTTTTTCTGCACATAACGATCTTCTTCTAGACTTGCGACCGGTTCATCCTGGTCTCATGAAAAACATTTGGGCTGCCGTCTTTTCGGCCCGCCACCCAAAAATTTGTAATTAGGCGATTCTTTTTTCATTTGTTTTTCCCTCTTCTTGTACTATGGTTTTGAATTTGGATGGGTGGGCTTCTCATTATGGGAGCGGCTCGCATGCGCAAAATGGAAGGGATGGGATGGATCTTTTTTTTCTTTTTCTTCGATTCATAGCGATGGACATCAGAATGAGCTAGTCCTGGCTTACCCTCTCCCGGTTGACTATCAGGGGGGTTTGGGGGTGCGAATTTCTCGCGTGGTATGGGATGACAGGTTGAGAGAGGAGTGGAAAATTACGTTTGACAGCTGGTTTGCTGGAATTAGCAGCAGGGGGTTTACTTCATGAGGGCTGGGCTTTGGCTTTTGCCTTCTTTGGCTCAACTTCGCCCTGGGGCTGGATAAAGATACGAAGTTATGAATTCTTTTCGAAGGGCAACCTAGCAGTCTGCTCCGCACACATCGTCCTCTTGCCTCACCGGCAGATGATAGATAGAGATTAATGAAGACCCTTGTTGCCTTCGCCTTCTTCGCACCCCCTTGCTTGACACAATCCCTTCGTATTACATTACTCGTCGCGTACCTATCTCCCGACATGTGCAAGACGATGCCCTACCTATCCGCCTCATGTACATTGATTGTACAGTAACATCACGCTGACGAACCCCAAACCCACCTCCCGGAGATATCGGTCCCGCCGGCCCCTCCCAAAATTTCCCAACAAAGTCCACCACCCCCGGGAAGTTCGCAGGTCCTCGTCCCGCTGTCATGTCATGTCATCCCCGTACCGCAATCCCGCTCGTCTGTACTTGTTGTAGATATGATTGAGAACCGGATGGGATGAGATGAGAAACACGATCGATGTCCTCGGTAGGTAAGGTAAGGTAGGTTTCAGGTATAAGGTAAAGGTAGTTCGTGTAAACAACAAGCCTTGGTTACCTAGTTAGGCAGGTCTCGCGCTTCGTATTTTAAATTCTCCGAATGAATGTTCTTGATTCATTGTTATTTTTGTGAATGAGATACCTATAGCAAGTATGATCTTGTTTACTTATTACCTACCTAGGTATGGAGGTACTAACTAACTAACTACTCAGTACTCTCTAGCCCCTACCTACTTGATTTATCTTAGACAGATCTTGATATCTTGATATAGGTCGCTTGTTATGCAGGTTTTAGATTCTTTGCATAAGATACCTAGGGTAGGTATTGTAGAGACATGCTTTTTCTTCCGAAAGAAAGCTTGAGAAGGACGTGGTTTCATGGATACGTATTGGGTTGCATGAATGACGAAGCTGAAAAGAAATGGAGAGGAAAGCTTGCTTGCCGGTATGGGGTTAGGGAACTAGGTAGTTGTGATGATTGGGAAGAGGGCTTGAGAGGTAGGTAAGTAGGTATGGAAAGGGGAAGAAAGTGACGATATAGATGGATAGATAGGTTGGAGATTAGTATGTCATCTATCTATCTAGGTAAGTAGGTACCTATAGGTAAGGTTGGGCGCATTCATTCATCTACCCATCTCCATTTCTTGAACACCATAGAATCCACCCTCCAGCTTTTCGTTTCCTTTCTCTCCCTTTATTGACTATCTCCCTCCCTCCCCCACCCCCCTCTCTCTTTCCATCGTGCCATAAGAGAGGGAATGAAGCGCGATTCTAACCCGCTCTCCTGTAATCTACCTATCCCAGCCATGCACGCACGCTCGCTTCTAGGGCGCAAAGCATCGTCCGCGCTTGGGAAAGGAACCATAGCCTGAGTTGAACATTATTTACGAAGGGACGAGCGGCTAGTTGCTGAGTTACGCCACGCTTTGGCTTGGGATTGGGAAGGTGCTGGGTTGGTCCATTGGGGTGTTTTTGTGCGCGTCTTAGAGGAGAGGGAGTTGAATGGCTAAGAGGTTCGTAACGCGTCGAGGCCGTATTTGAGGTCCAGGAGCGAGGAAAATGATGGTTATGATCTGGCCAGGAGTACAAAGTTGTTGGAATAAGGGAAGGGATATTAGGGTTGGTGTTATACGGCTTGGGGTGAGGAGGGAAGGAAAGGAGGTTAGTTGGCAGATTGGGAGAGTGGCTGCCATTATATCCATAACTCATGGAGGCAACCAGACCGGCAAAGGCTGAGACTCAGCAGAAGAAACCTGGCAGGCCACAGAAGATCACTCAGATCAGATGAACCAATCCCCATCCACTGTACAATCTTCGATTCATAGATATACACATCCCCAACCCCAAGACCCCATGCTCACGCACGCATCATTAAGGATCCTCCCCTTCTAAATCTAGTGAGCCGCATGCTCCTCCTCCTCCAACAGTCCATCCTCAAACCAGTCGAGCTCCTTCTCCGGGGTGCCGTCCGCGGATTGGCCCTCGACCTCCACCGTGCTGGCCTCGTACGCCTTCAGCTCGTTCGCGATATCAGTCTCCTCGGGGGACTTGGGAGCCTTGGGTGGGCTCCATTTCAGGACGTGGCCCTCGGCGTCGCTGGCCTTGACCGCGGGCGCCTTGTACGCCTTGAGCTCCTTGAGGTAGAGGTCCTGGATGAGGTCCGCTGCGCCGGGAAACGTGTTATGTTAGCCGGGAGTGCTCGGAGGCCAAGAGATTGCATGGAGGAGGGACAGCGAGCTCAGGAATCTCATGCTCCGGGATGGAATGGGAGGGCGGACGAACCTTGACGGATGGCGGAGGCGACGAATGTGCGCTTGGTGGTCAGCCCGGTAGCTTGCTGTCTCGCGACGCGGGCAAGCGACGAGCGCTGAGAGCGTTAGCCAGCTGCAGATGGTCAGGAGCTGGGGAGGACACCTACAGAGGCTCTGAGTGATTGTGCGAGCATGATGACAGGTCTGGTGTTTGTCAATTGCGGATTTTCAGATCTTGAATGAGGTTCCGGATGGAGATTTCGAAGAAGCGAGGTACGAGCACCCGGGTCCTTTACACGTGACCTGTGGATGCCTTGGTTCCGAGGATTGGAGAAGTGTTTATAGAACTCGATCTCCAAACGTTCGACAGCTGTATAACCATTTAGTATCAAAAAAATATGATACCTTCTATTGTTTCTCAAACCCTTAGACATATACTACCTACTGTACTCGAATTGATCTAAAACTGCGATCAAATGCGCTCATTCTTTCGTGGGTACCGCCTACTCGCCAAGGCTTCACAGCCAACATAGTATGGTAGATCTCTCGAAAGGGGTGGAATCATCATCTGCCCTCCATGGCTACTAAGTAGATCTAGTTATAGACCAACCTCAGCGATATAGAAGTTTCTCATGCTCAGCTCCTTTCAAGTATGCATATCCCTACGCCAGCTGGCTTTCGTTCTTCGGCTGGGGAAGTTGGGGGACTGGGCAGATCGGAACCGGGAGTAAGGGTGAAGAGAGGCTCCTCCGAGATTGTGTGTCAGGAAGGGATAAAGCTTAGTTGAGAACATGAAGACACATATCAATATCCAGTTTCTGGATGTTTTCACTCATGGCATCTCAATATTTCAACCCCTTTCATATATGCCCGAGAAATTATCAAGCTGTATCTATGATTACAAGGCTCTGTTTGAAAGTCATGCCCAACTCCCCTAATAGCACCCCCACTATGCGTAAAAGTTGACGGTATCTATTCCATGTTAGCAACATCCTTAGGATGCTATGAACGAGATGCGTACCTTTCTTTTTAGCCATCACTTCCGATATGGCATCAACGTAATGCTCGTGGCTAATCTTGTTCTTGCCCATTCTCAACGCAATCATACCCGCTTCCACGCAAACAGCCTTCAGCTGAGCACCGCCAAACTCATCCGTACTTCGTGCCAACTCAGGCCAGTTAACTGCATCATCAACTGTCATTTTCCTGCTGTGGATCTTCAGAATCTGGGCTCGGGCTTCCTCATTAGGTAGCGGGAATTCGATCTTCCTGTCCAGACGCCCAGAACGCAGTAAAGCTGGATCCAGAACGTCAATTCTGTTCGTGGCTGCAAGTACCTTGATGCGGTCATCTGAGGCGAAACCATCAAGTTGGTTAAGAAGCTCCAACATAGTTCTCTGGACTTCTCGATCTCCGCTCTTCTCACTGTCAAAACGCTTCGTACCAACCGCATCCAACTCATCGATGAAGATAATTGCTGGTGCCTTCTCTTTGGCCAAAGCAAAACAATCTCGAACCAGCTTCGCGCCATCACCAATGAACATCTGTACAAGTTGAGGACCAGCTAGTTTCAGGAACGTGGCCTCTGTTTGTGCAGCACAGGCTCGGGCCAGGAGGGTCTTGCCAGTACCGGGAGGTCCATACATCAGCGCACCTAGCATATGTCAGTATTTCGGAGGTATTCTTAGTTCTGCACGTCTTTGCATACCCTTTGGAGCTTTGATGCCAATCTTCTTGAAACGTTCGGCCTCCTTCATCGGCCATACAATCGCCTCAACCAGCTCTTCGATCTGCTTGTCCAACCCTCCTACATCAGAGTACTTTTCGGTTGGCTTCTCATCGACCTCCATAGCCTTCACTCTGCTGTCATATTCAGCTGGTAATGTATCCAACACCAAATATGATTCTTTGTTGACACCAATCAGGTCTCCAGGCTTTAGTTTTTCTGGGTCGACGAGACCAATAAGAGGAAGGAAGATGGTTTGTCGGGTGGAAGTCTTAATCACAGCTGATTTGCCAACTCGTGTAGCATCGAGATCGATGTTGGCTCCCTCTTCTGCCGATTCGGCTGTTGGATCAAGGTCGAGAAGTTCAACGACATTGCCGACGAGGTAGGGTAATTGTCTGCGCGAGTGTGAATCAGCTTATCATTAGAGAAGGTATCAGATTATGCATACCTGTTGTTCTCAATCTTATCCAGATTGTCCTTGATCTTCTCACCCATGGCAGCCTTCTCATGAGAGAGGCGCTGGTACTCGCTCTTCATGATCCGTGAATCGTTCTCCAGAAGCCGTCTCCTCGTGAGAATATCTTGTGTGCTTAAGTTGTAAATCTCTTCATCTATAGGATCCTCTTCCTTCTCCTCTGGCTCCGCATCCTTCATCTCAGCATCGCCACTCTGGGTTGGCTTCTTGTCCTTGTCGCCATCGTCTCTCTTGTCCTCCTTCTGTTCCCGCTCAAGATCATCTAAATCTTCTAGAGTAGACATGGCGAGAGGTGGTGTGAGACGAGGTAGGGTCGTAGAAAAAGGGGTTGAAGGGTAGTATGGACGTGGATCGGTATATGGAGGTGTGGATGGAGGTTGATACCGGGGAGCTTCAGAACCAAGCTTAAGCTTCCACTCGCGTTAGCAAGGCAACTTTGACGCGGAAGCAAGAAGAAGGTCACGTGTACATATGAGTCTGGATTAGTAAGCGGCGTTAGGCGTCAGAAATCGCATCTTATACCAGCCACTTCCATCGACAACTCCTCCCTCGCCATCCTCCTTACAACGCCTGCTCGCCATCACGAAGATCGTCAACTATCGTCTCAATCCATTCACAAAGTTGCTGGTCAATCTTTTCCAGCGGTAGCTTGACACCTTCAACGATTTGGGATCCTGATTCAGACGCCTTAACTGGTCATTCAGCTCTGAGGAAAGATTCTTCGCAATCGTCGGGCGGCAGCAGCGCATCTTCTTCAACATTCTTCTTAAGCATACCACACTCTTCATCATACCCGGTGTTTCCAAGATCTACATGTTCTAGCGAGACGAATTCAGTTTTTTGAGTTCGTCGACACAGTCGCTCAGCGCAACTTTGCCCAACTTCTGGGTCACGAAAGTGAGAATCGCAATCAGCCGGTGGCCAACTCGCGACGACGATCTACATCATAAGTGAGGATTTGCAGTCAGCTGTCATCCTCTCATCCAGATCGCCCATTCAGATTATCGGTCAATACCGCCAAACTGCATTCTCCACTCTTCGTCAAAGTTTCTACCCAACTCCTGTGTAAGAAACCAACTCAAGACCTAAAGGCTCGTACCATTGTATCGCGCAAGAGATTAGAAGTCAAAAAACGCAAGCCCAAGCGCCCAGTATTTAACAAACTTGATAACATCTACCGGCCAAAGCCATACAAGCCGAAGATGATGGGCTCAGCAACTCTCGACAAGGGGGACACAGAATGGAGCGAGAATCTTAACATGACAGTGATGTGCAAGGACTGCAAGGAGTTTCCACCCAACCTAGTTGAAGAATTCTCTTCTGGTGATTTGGTGTGCGGCTCTTGCGGTCTCGTCATCGGCGATCGTATCGTTGACACTCGATCTGAGTGGCGTACCTTCGCAAATGACGATGGAAACAATGATGACCCTTCGCGTGTCGGTGACGGCGCAAACCCTCTGCTCAACGGCTCTCAGCTTACTACCCAGATCGCTTATGGCGAAGGCAGAGGCAGTCACGACCTGCACCGTGCTCATGGCAGATCTACTGCTGACAAGGCTACTAAGAGTTTACTCGCTGCGTACAAGGAGATTGGCGCTCACTGCGATGCTGTCAATATTCCAAAGAATGTCTCGGATACTGCAAAGCATCTCTACAAACTCGTCGATGATGCGAAAGCATTCAAGGGAAAGTCGCAAGAAGCTATTATTGCCGGCTGTATCTTCATCGCTTGCCGCCAGTGCGGTGTTCCCCGAACTTTCCGTGAAATCTACGCTTTGACGAAGGTTTCGAAGAAGGACATTGGCAGAACTTTCAAGGCCCTGGAGAGATTCTTTGCTGAAGACAGTAAGGATAAGATCAATGTTGTAGCTGGTGGTAAGTTTAGTGTGCTTGATGTCAAATCTTGCTATATATTAACAAACTACTTTAAGGGTCCCAAGACCAGTACAAGACCACTACCTCCACGAATGCCAAAGACCTCTGCCTCCGCTACTGCAGTCAACTCGGCCTCAAGAACCAACAGTTCGTCAAAGTCTCTCAAGGACTCGCTGACAAGATGTCCACCGTCGGTGATCTCGCCGGTCGATCTCCTCTGTCAGTTGCTGCCGCCTGCATCTACATGGCCTCGTACTTGCTCGGCAAGCCGAAGTCTCCTAAGGAAATATCAGCTGTCGCTGGTGTCAGTGATGGCACTATTCGCACTGCTTACAAGTACCTGTATCAGGAACGGGAGAGACTGGTTGAGCCCGAGTGGATTGCAGATGGCAAGGGTAACATGGACAATCTTCCAGTCGGCTGAATGGGTGATACCATGAGCTTGATACGGTATGGCTTCTGGGGTTGAGATCTGGGGACTGCGTCGCTCTTGTTGGTTATTGCTCTGCATTACATCCACAATGGACCCTTGCTTTGTGCATTGATCCTGAGATTGCGTTTGATTTACCATGACAGGGCGGGAGTGGACATTGTCGTCCCCGACGTTAGTGACTAATATCATAGGTACCTAGGGAGAAGGCCTGTGTCTGCTTAGCAGGGAAAAGTGATCATATTCGGATCATATCTGCTGCGTGTGATTCGCACGGAAATAGATCACATCAACCACAGATCTTTAAGGCTCGCGTTCCCAAGTTTGATTCTCGTGACGGTGACCGACCTATATCTTCCAATAATATCCAACTGACATGACAGGTCTTTGTCTGGACTTGGGCGGAAATAATCCATTTCCAGACTATTTCAATGTCGGTGTTGAGAAGGGGAGAGGAGAGATCAAGATTCTTACTAAAACCTTCTCGAATCTGGGCAATTTCCACAGAGTTCTAGAAATAAGGATCCTTTTGAGTTGGTTCCGAAATGTATCTATGATCATCAACTCGAATAGATCTAACAATTTACATCTTCCATCTTAACGTCTGCAATACTTCAAACGTGTGCCTTCAGCCCCGTACGCTGCCTGCTCTTCCATTAGAAGGCATCATCAAGGCAGACTACTCTCAGTGTCCCTATCTCAAGGTTACCATACACACAAGCCACTGCCACAATGTTCAGGAGGGTTATATTCCCCCCGCCTTTTTAGGGTGGTTTGTACAGGGTATAGAGGTTAGGAGATGTATCAGAACTTAGATGGAAAGAAAAGTAATTTTGAAACAGAATAAGCCTAGGTCGTAGGGTCAGGGCGGTTCTATCGGCAAGGTATAATGTTCTTCTATTTGACTGTGGTGTTTCTTTAGCACTAGGTTCTTCAATGACCTCTCTGGTGGCATCGCATTCACCGAGAGCCGCACTGCAAGTCTGATGTCTCCTCTACCTGTGGAATCTCCTATTTTCCGGCCAGCTCCTCTGCCCATTCTCTTTCAACGTTCTGAGCGATTCCTTTAACCCACTCTCCAGATCTGCCAATGGCAGTGGCACTTCCATATCCATAATCTTGAGTCGGAAGTTGTTGGTAAAAACAGCTTCCCGGGAGAAGTAGTTGGTGAATGTCTTCAGGGTTCAAGCGTGAATGTGTATGTCCAGAAGGGTCTCGGCGGTGGCTCCATCATTGCCTTGATATATGCCCACACGGTAGCCTCGAACTTACCGACAAGAGGCACCATATTGTCCCGGTGCCATCTCGCAATGTGTTCCTCGAGCAGTTTCTTAACATCTTGAAAAAAGGTATTCAAGTGTTTCCGAGACACTTATTTCAATGGCCACGAGAGGTTTGCCATTCAACTGGCATAGAGTTTGGCCATCGGGCACTTTAGTGCTGTCATTGTGGTCACTATCAAGGTTGACACCTATGAGATAGTTAGTACTCAAGGGTAAGAATAACACAGGTTGTGTAGCAATGGACTTCGGCTGACTGGCTTTTGAGTATGCCTTAAACGACGTTTGGGCTCTCTGCTGCTTTCCCTGCGAGACTTGTCCACAACTTCCAAAAGAATCACAAAGTGAGCAATCCGGAGGTGAAAATGGAATGGTAAATAACAGGACTTGGGATGAGACCCAATGAAAACTCGACCATCTCTTAGGAAATACACTGTAACAGCACTTGTAGAGTACCTAAGCAAGAACCAAGCAAAACCACTTGAGCATGCTTGCTAATCTGACCTACCTTAAATCCCAATTTATGCCGACAGAATGAATATTTGCGCTTTCTGACAGAAAGAAATGAAATGAAGAGTGGCGGCCATTTTGTAGGTTCATGTGTTTTAACAAAGATGTTGGCCTGAACTAAATCCACTTGAGTTCTGTTCAGCCTCTCCTGCCAAGCTCGTTCGGTAGATGATCACTCCATAGCTTCGATCTTGCCGAGGCATCTCTCATGTTCGCCCGAAATTGTGGGGTCCAGAACTCTGGGGAAGCTCATGATAAACCACCGCAACTCTCTCTTCAGCCCTCAATCATCTTCTCCCTCAAAATTCATTTATTTTAACCTTCAGTAATCCATCCACAATTCCAAAATGAGCGGCCCAGGAGCTGGTTTCGAATATCCTCGCCAGGAAGTTTCCTGGTTGAAGAGAGATGTTCTGCTATTCGCAAACAGCATTGGATGCACAGCTGATGAGCTACACTTCCTTTATGTAAGAATTTCGATGGCTGCTATCAATCAATCAAGCAGTACATAATAATAGGAGCAGGAACTACACCCAAACTTTGCTGTCTTCCCAACATATCCAATTATTCTCCGTAAGCTTCATAAACCCTGTCTTTAAACTCCCATCACTGATAACATGCAGCATTTAAGAAGACAACGCAAGAAGTGATCGACTTCTACGCCAGCCAAAATGCAATCCAAATCCCCGGTGTGCCCAAGTTCGATCCAAAACGTGTAGTAGACGGCCAACGGCTCATAACCTTCCTCAAGCCCCTCCCTACCACCTCCGCCGGCAAGACATTCGAGCTCCGCTCCAAAGTGATCGGCGTATATGATAAGGGCAAGGCAGGCAGCGTAGTGGAAACCCAGCAAGAGATAGTCGATAAGGCGACGGGAGAAGTTTATACTAGGATGGTAGGGAGTGCGTTCTACGTTGGGCAAGGCAATTGGGGTGGCCCCAAAGGCCCAGCTACGGAGAGCTTCCCTCCGCCCCAGGGAAAGAAACCTGATGCTGTGGTCAGCCATCAGACCACAGCCGAATCAGCCTTGCTTTACCGGTAAGTTGTCCCGCCTCGAATTTCCAGACGAAGTAATTGATGAAAATGGCAGACTCAATGGAGATTACAACCCTCTTCACGCTACGCCCGAACCAGGAAAGAAGATGGGTTTTGGAGGAGCTATCATGCACGGGCTCTCCAGCTGGAATTTTGCAGCACACGGCATTCTGAAGGCTATTGGCGGAAGTGATCCTAATAATATCAAGGAGTTCCAATGCCGCTTTGCTTCCCCCGTGAAGCCGGGCGACAAGCTTGTTACGGAAATCTGGAAGACGGGAATTCTCAAGGATGGCTGGGAGGAGATCAGATTCCAGACGAAGGTTGAGGGTGGCAAGGTGTGCCTGAGCAATGGAAGAGCTTTGATGAAGCCTGTTAGTGGTGGGGCCAGCAAACTGTAGGCATCATTGACGTAGGTGGATCTGGAGCATAGGGGGGCTTTTGGACACGCATTAGTGAAATGATAAGTTTGTTAATATGCTTGTTCGTGTGAGAAAAGAAGACAACGTCTCAAATGCCCTTCTCTTCAACTTTCTGCGCCTGTGCCAGAAATGGTAATCTCATGCACGTCGTCTTAACGCATCAGATCGAAGTCAATATCCCACTAAGTGTTGACTTGCGGTCAATTTCAGCACGATACTCGAACAGAAGAGATAGAAGCATAGCCCTAGAGATATGGGAGTGCCAGCGAACTTCTTTAGAGTGCAAGAGTTCTTGTGGTTTGACTGCTGATGATGAACGATGCGGGGGTTGGGAGGTTGATGATGATATATATGGTGGAAGAAGAGAAAGGTAGAATGGAGATATACACATTCTGGGCTGCTTGGAGGGTTCTCTATTGTGTATATATCTATGCGGGCTATTCTATAGAGCTTCTGTCGAGAATCGAGGTCAGACGAAAAGAAAAGACCACACTTGTAACCTGGAGAATCAAACAATCAGAGCCAAAGCACACCCCCCGTAACGGAATCTCATATCGCATTAATCATTGGTTATTTCATCTAGGAGTAATTCAAGAAATAATTCGCTATCGGAGTCTCATCGTAACCAATTTTGTGCCATTAAACAATGCATCATCATCCATTCGCAGGCCCCTTGAGGCCCCATCATCCTCCAACTTATGTCTTGACATCAGGCTCAGTACGTCCAATATGCTCTTGGAACTTCAGAAGCTCTGTCGCAAGCTGGATATCAGGCTTCAAGAAGTCCTGCGCATCCTGGCCGTACGTCTTGGGATCACTGCTATGCTTCTCGATGTACAGGCGGATCGTGGCTCCTGAACTGCCGGTTCCGGACAGGCGTACGACAATGCGAGAGCCATCAGAGAATTTCACGAACAATCCTTGGTTGGGCGATACGCTGCCGTCGAGGTCAGTGTAGGAGAAATCCCCTGCTTCTGAAACAGTGCGGTCTGCCAAATATTGTTAGTAGCTACTTGACAAGAAGATGACTGAAACATACCTCCAATCTTGCTTCCTACGAACGACTTGTCCGCAATCTTGGCAGTTAAATCCTTGACCACCTTGCCAGCACCCTCGCTGCTCACATTTTCATAATCGTATCTTGTAAAGAACGTACGTCCGTAGATGGTCCAGAAATCATGCTGGATCTGGGCAATACTAGGCGTAACTTCTGGGTTCGCCTCTCCAATACCAGCAATGATGTTCAACCATGCAGTAATAGCCCACAAACCGTCCTTCTCACGAATATGGTTGCTGCCTGTACCGAAGGATTCCTCCCCACAGATAGAGAGCTTGTCGGCATCGAAGAGAGCGCAGAAGAACTTCCAGCCAGTAGGAACTTCGTAGCAGTTCAAGCCTTGGGCCTTGGCCACAAGATCGACTGCTCCGGAGGTTGGCATACTGCGAGCGAGGCCGAAAACGCCCTGTTTCCTGAAGTAGGGAATCAACTTTGCGTGGTGAGCAATTATGGCCAGACTGTCGCCGGGAGATACGAAGGCGTTGGCACCGTAGATCATGTTACGGTCTCCATCACCATCACTGGCAGCTCCGAAGTGGATCTTTCCCTTGTCAACAGCTTCAACCAGGGAATGGGCATAGGTCAAGTTGGGATCTGGGTGTCCGCCATTGAAATCGGGCGAGGGAATGCAGTTTTGTGTGCTCGAGCTGGGCAGGCCGAGTTCTTTCTCAAAGATAGCCTTGCCATAAGGCCCTGTTACACCAGACAGAGCATCGAAGAGGACCTTGAAGTCGGGGTGTGTCTGGAAGAATGTCTTGATCAAGGGGAAGTCAAAAATGTCCTTGAGCATCTCTATGTAGTCTGCGCAAGAATCAATGACCTCAACCTCCAAAGAACCATATGTCTTCGTGCCAATTGTGGAGATGTCGACATCTGGAATATCGGCGATCTTGTAGGAGGTGAGGTTTTTGGAAGTCTCGAAGATCTTGTTCGTAACCGACTCGGGGGCTGGTCCACCATTCGCAAGGTTATATTTGATTCCAAAATCATTCTTGGGTCCTGTTTGGTATAGATTAGCTGCTGCGCATCCTGCTAGCTTTGGACGTAGAACATACCACCAGCATTGTGACTGGCAGTCAGGAGAATACCACCGGTAGCCTTGCGCTTTCGAATGACATGGCTAGCTGCAGGAGTACTCAGGATACCATTCTGTCCGATCAGAAGCTTCTTGACACCGTACGCGGCACCAATCTTGGCAATCAATTGGACGACTTCGGGGTTCCAGTATCGCCCATCACCGCCAATGACTAGGAAGCTGCCTGCGACACCCTCAGGAATTGAAAGAAGAATGCTGGTAACAAAAGATTCGCTGTAGTGAGGTTGCTGGAAGACGACGACCTTCTTTCTTAAGCCGGAGCTGTTCAGTTGTTAGTTTCAGCTTTGCGTTGGGAATGGACAGGTGTATAGTGGGGTCGTGGACTGACGTTCCCGGCTTCTGGTCGGTGAAGGGCGTGAAGGTAACGGTCTTGACACTCATGATGGCTCTCGATGTAGAATTCAGTGTCGAACTGATGGGGTTCAAGGGGAGAGAAAAAGAAAAGAGAGGGCGGAATAATGCTGCTGGGGGTCTGGGTATTAAAAGAAGAATGAGGTGGTGATCGACGTGGGCTGTCGATGCTCAAATGAGCGTCAGCTGTCGCGCCACAGGAGGGGTATTTACTACTGTACTGGTGGGACAGCCAAAACCAGGTCCAGTATCAACGCCAATCAGTGGCAAGTGCAAGAGGCGGTAAAAGGTATTTATTTCATTATTATATCTTCAGTTGGATCCTCTCGCTGGCTTTTGAAAGATTACCTCCTTGTAATACCTTGCTTCAGCGATACTCTCAAGAATGTCTTCCTTCGCTTTATGCAACAGCTGTTTCTTTGGCACCCCAGCAACAATATCCACCGAGCTCCACCGTTTCGCAGCTTCCTTCAAGCTACTCACATCCAATATTCGATGGCTGAAATGATCGTGGACTTTCGTGTAAGGCTGTTTCCGCAGAAAGGCCTTGTCCGCATGCACTGTGTTCCCTGCCAATAACGCTCGTTTGGGTTCTGGCACGTACTTCTTGATGTATTCGAGGAGCTCCGTGGAGGCTTGTTCGGGAGTCACTGTGGATGCGAGGACTGCTGCTGTGAGGCCATTCTCACCATGTGTCCGTGTACACCATTCGTCCTTTTCGTTGTCTCGCGGTCAGTGCTGCTGGATTGTGGCGGGCGAGGCGTGTACCATCTTATCCATCGTCTCCTTCGATTGATGAATCACTGCTCCCCATCCCTCCTCGTCCAGCACTTCCAAGTCCCCGTTCGTAATTATGCAGAATATTTCAATAATAACGTCGTTATCTACATCGAGCCCGGTCATCTATGGGGAGTGGTCAGAAAGTGGTACGGCAGGTCTAGCCGTATTCGAGGAAGACGACAAACCTCACAATCAATCCATACCAGCGGCTGGCTAGTGCTTAACTCTGCCATGATCCGATGGCTGTCAAGCTTCTTCAGAGTAATGGGATTAATAATCACTCAAGTAGAGCGAGCCGCGAAAGTTCCAAGTCCAATATCAAACCCAGACGCCTCGTACCAGCCTCGCGATTTTAGGTACAATTGGGAAGCAAGCATGATATCCATCGATCACGTGATTCAACTCCTTTTCCCAGGAGGGTTGAGTTCTGGCTAGGATTGATGAGACTACGTACCAATAATGTGTCAAAATCTTGACTCCTGTATAGTATGGGTTAGAGAGCCTGAAGTATACTTTGTATTTGAACTTCACAAAGCCCTGGCATTCTTCTCCTCCTTAATTTTCCTAGCAACGTCGCTACCTATCGACGACATCCAATCCAATATGCTAGAGCAATTCATATTGACAAAGAAGATTGAAAAAAGAGGCATTGCTGCTTGACCTAAGGTGCATACATATTCACGCATGTCCGAGCTCGCATCGTCATATTCTAAAAGTCATTCACATTGATTCAGTTATTAGAGCACCCTAACATATAAGCATGTAACAGTAAATCACAGCATCCCACCCCAATCCAAGACTGACCAGCAGTCCAACTTTTTAACAACCACCATATCTCACCCCCCGTTTTCCCAGTTCCTTCCTTCCAACGCTTTCTTCAGGCCATATCCAACCTCTCGTTCTCTTCGCCTCCCTCTTCTCGGCAAGTTGTGGCTCAGGGATCCACTCATCCTTTGGAAGGCACTTCCTCCGGGTGCCCTCAGCAGGTGCGCCAATCTCCGATTTCCAACTCACCTGGCCAGGTAAGGTATCATCTCTGGCTAGCATATGCAAGTACCAAAGCGCCAGTAAAGCTGTCATCTTCGGCTGCTTGCGTACGACATTCTCCTCGCCTACATCACCAAAGCTACCCTCAACCTCTTGAAACGTCGATGTCTGAGTGTCGTGAGCGGCCAGTTGAATCGTCTGAACTTCCAAGTAGCCGAAGTGAGGGACGTTCTCAGCCCCGTTTCGGACCACGATAAGCTCGATTTCAGTGATGATGAAGCCGTACCGACAGCCATTCTCTCGCATCTGACGATGCAAGTGAGCAAGGCCACGAAGGTACTGTACCTTGCGGTGGTTACCTTCCACGCGCATACCGGTGTTCCAGCGATCAAATGACTTTACGAGCCCGACAACACGACCAAGTCCTCGCCCATAGATGAGTTGTGAGGTGTCATCTGTGTAATTAGAGATAAACGATGGATCTGGACCTTTTGAAGAGCGCATGACCAGGTGGCGTGGGCCCAGCGAAAGAGAGAGCGCGGCATTGAGTTTGGTGGCGTAGAAGGAGTTATAGATACCTTGGAGCTCCAGTTCGGTCTCTGGTTGCGAGGAGGCGCGAACAGGGACGGGCAAGCTAAAATCGGGGATGTGGACGTTGAGGAGATCGTGGAGACCAGGGATAGAACTGATGGTACTGGTAGTGAAAGAAGTCCAGGGACGTATTTGACGGATGTCCCACCAGAAATGCTTGGCGTTTGTATCACGGATGTGGATATTGAGCTGACGTACCAGAGCGGGGGCAGGGTTTGGTGATGTGAGATACGACATCAGGGTTGTTGTAGTCATACAGGCATCTAGGGGGCTCATGGTCATCTCATCTAAAGCGATGGAATTCTGGAGAGGCGATGGCGTGCGCTGGGGGGCGAAGAAATCCTGAGGTATAAACCTCTCGTTCTGGGAATTAGCAGGAATATATGTTGGCATTTGGCGGTAGGTGGGAAAGCCATATTTGCCCAAAGTCTGACCGTCGAGACTTGAGGCCGAAGCCCGTCTCTGGTGAGTGGTTGCAGTAGTTGCCGTCAATGTTATTGGCGAACACAAGGTAGTCATAGGCCGGACTTGGGATGGAATGTTGTCATGCTGTATGAAGGAGAGTGACTCCGGATTGGTGAAGCTCCTATTATGAGAAGGTCTAAAGGTAGAAGAAGCTGGAGCAGGATAGGTGGCGGTAGATAACGGTGTCTTCTTGGATCTTTTTGGTGAAGAGTGTATCTCCTGATCCTGTGGACGGATCTTTGGCAACAACAGAGGCCCGTGATGCCTGATTGGAGATCTGGCAGGCGTGGTCAACTGGGTGTCGATTGATTCAGGTGACGAGTCATGGGAGTGTACAGAGGAGACATGAGAGCTCGATCGGCGGTGGCCGGTAGTGAACGATGCATCGTTCAGAGCCTCTTCGAAAGAGAATGATGGTGGTGTAGTTGGGCCAAAGGAGAAGGAGTAATCGAAAGACATCTTGTCTGCTACCAGACTGATGACGGTTATCAGCTTTAGCCATGATGATGGTATGTTCAAAACTTACGCAGTGAGATGGATGGGACGGGTGGCGTCTATAGAGACTAGGTATGTATTACAGTGTATGTGAAGGAGGCCGGCTCCAGATGCAATGAGCGATGCAAAAGGTCAAGGGAATTCGTAACGAGCACTGCTCTTCTAAGCTTGAGGTCTGATTATGGGACAAGAGGAATAATGGAACAAGTCAGAAGTGAACAAAAACCAACAGAGATCTGACGGCGATGCAGCCTTACTTATCCTTTACCAACAAGACCCAATACTTTTTGGGTCGATCATGGATAGAAAATCTGAAACGTGGAGGGGAAGGCTGCATCTCCTCTTTTCGTCCTGTACGAACCCAGCGATGTTTCTTGGTGGTGGCCGGAAGGCCTGATGGTTCGTTCCTCAGTTGGCGCTGAAGAACTCTCATCCCCATCGGGCCATCGGGCGATGAATGTGGATGCACTACGAGATGCAGCGGCTCTGAGTCATTTTGAGAACCATGTCAAAAGATGTCCTAGAAAAGGTGAAGATCGGGAGCATACAGCAGTAGTCCATTCGGGATATGCAGAGCGGCAACGCGTTGGCCATCGGACTCTCGCGGGCAACAACATCGAGTCGCGAACTACGCGCAGCTTCACGAGACGCCATCACGGTTGACGAGTGGCACTCCCAATCGCCTCTTTGAACGTCTCCCCAGCTATTTTTGGCCATTTTGAACTGCGAGCGCTTGCCCATGAAACGTTGAGCCGCAGCTATAAATGTCCTCAGCTCAAGGCCCGTCAATGCCGCGCATAGTTGGCGCCATCATCCGATACAGCCGCCATCGAAGCGCCGGTGCTACTGCTCCCAAATTTGCTTGTCGCGGTCTCTCTGCTGGCTTCGTGTGAGATTCGCGTTAGTGAAGAGACACTTCCTCAACACCATTGGCTCTTGGATACGCGCAGATTGGCGAAGAGACCCCGGTGTTCTCGTCGACGCGCTGCATATGGGAAGGACGACTAAAAAGCCAGAGAAACGAAACGTCCCAGCGGTCGTCGTGTTGGCCTTCGCTATTGGACCTTCAACCCCCAGACGTATCAGCAGAGGCTGTTTCAGGGCCCTTTGACTCACTTCGAACTGTTCTGGCTCCACAGATTTATGCAAGACGGCCATCAACTCGATGTCACTTCACAATCTCAAATCGAGGGAGATGGCTGGAAAACTTGGGGAAGGCCGTCTCTTCGACCATGTCGGCGAACTCCGCATGGTCCTACGGTCTGCTCTGGGTCCCGGTTTTGTATCAGACTCTCCGAGGGACATCTCATTGTTCTGCTGGACCAGAGCTCGAGGCTGTGCAAGATATCATGTAGTAAGTCAGGTAGCGCAAGGTATATGTTTATACCACGTGATTTACGGTGATCGGTCTACTCAATGCAGCCTCGAAAATGCGATGCAGAGTCCAGGAAAATCGTCCTGACTCTTATGCTTGCTCATTACCATGAGTACTTTTGGAAGTTTGACTTCAACGTTTAATTCAGCGGCCGCCCAAGCCTTTCGCCTGCTTCTGAAGAGTTGCAATATAGTTTGAAGCAAACCAACCACGAACTTCCTAAACATGACCCCTTCATGAATGTCTTTCCTGTATACTCTCTCACAATGTCATTAGGTCTTTATTATGTACTTTATCAACTTGGCGATTTCATTTTCTTCAGAATACGAGTTGGCATACTAAAGCAATCTTGGATGTCGCACACAGGGAGTATCCGTGGGAAGTTTAACCTCGACTCCCTTTCCCAAGCTCCGAGATGACTACTATACATACTCGTCAGGCCCATAGCTGTGGCTCTGAAACCTGCGATTTGGCAGACAATAGATGAAGACTTCAAGCACGGGGACCATGCGTACTCTTCTTGGCTGCGATTAAGCCGGGATTGTGATCGAAGTCGGCAAAAATGTCACCAGGAATCGCCATCCACAGTCTATCCGAAGCAAGCAAGTATCGCTCCTTAATTCGAAACCGGATATACCTATGAAGACACCTCCCCCGTTAGCAAGAACAATAGAGGGTAGGCATTGGACCTGCTAGTAAGACCACAGATCATACTCAGGTCCACTAGAGTAACTTGACAAGCTAGAGGCCTAAGTTAAAGTGTGCCGGGGGGGCTTTATCTCACCTTATTAAAGAAAAACTAGTGGTTGCGAAGACACGTAGATATGAGATGCCGCAACATACCTATAAAGACACCTCCCCCGTTAGCAAGAACAATAGAGGGTTTGACAGGCATTGGACCTGCTAGTAAGACCACAGATCATACTCAGGTCCACTAGAGTAACTTGACAAGCTAGAGGCCTGAGATGAAGTGTGCCGGGGGGGCTTCATCTCACCTTATTGAAGAAAAACTGGTGGTTACAAAGACACGTAGATATAAGATGCTGCAACATGACTAGAACATCTATAACGGTCAACGTGGGGCATCAAAACTGGTCATCTGGTGTTAGCTGCCAGTAACTTAGAATGGGATAGCAACTTAACTTCAATGATGCCTTCTCCATGCCTTTGATGCGCTGCTGGCATCCTCGATAAGGGAGCACCTGACTGCTTATCGAGGGAGAGGACGTGGAATGGTTTGCCGCGACAAGGAGTAGTTTCCTGTACCCGTCAGTAAATGGCCAAAGATAGTTATAGATGTTAATAAGTTAAAAAAATGGGTATAGATACAGAGATATAGAAAATGTGAGTAGGGTTATAGAGATTAGGGTACCTTTGATTTTATCAAGCCGTTATAAGGATCGTAAGAAGCCATGGCAAAAAGACGTGGTTACGGCGTAGTCGTTGTCTGCGGCGAGAAGTACTAGTACCCGTTAGTAAATGGCCAGATATCGTTATAAATGTTAGTAAGTAAGAACAACAAGCTATAGATACAGAGATATAAGAAATGTGAGTAGAGTTATAGAGATTAGGGTACCTTTGATTTGATCGAGCTATTATATGGACCGTACGAAGCCATGGCAAAAAGACGTGGTTACGGCGTAGTCGTTAATAGCGGCGAGAAGTACTAGTCTGTACCCGTTAGTAAATGGCCAGATATCGTTATGAATGTTAGTAAGTAAGAATAAAAAGCTATAGATATAGAGATATAGAAAATGTGAGTAGGGTTATAGAGATTAGGGTACCTTTGATTTGATCGAGCCATTATAAGGATCGTAAGAAGCCATAGCAAAAAGGCGTGGTAACGGCGTAGTCGTTGTCCTTGACGAGAAGTACTAATCTGTACCCGTTAGTAAATGGCCAAACGTCTTTATAAATGTTAGTAGGGAGGGGGAAAAGGCTATAGATACAGATATATAGAAAATACGAATAGTTTTATAGAGATTAGGGTACCTTTGAATTCATCAAGCTATAGTGAGGGGCCTAAGATACGGCATAGTAGTTGTCCGTGACGAGAAGTACTAGTCTGTACCCGTTAGTAAATGGCCAAATATCGTTATGAATGTTAGTAACTAGGAAAAAAAGGCTATAGACATAGAGATGTAGGAAATGTGAGCAGGGTGATAGAGATTAGGGTACCTTTGGTTCTGTCAAGCTATAGTAAGGTGCGGCGTAGTGGTCTTCCGTGGCGAGAAGTGCTTCTGTACCCGTTAGTAAATGGCCAAATATCATTATGAATGTTAGTAAGTAGAAAGAAAAAGCTATAGACACAGAGATATAAGAAATGTGAGCAGGGTTATAGAGATTAGGGTACCTTTGATTTCGTCGAGCCATAGTAAGGTGCGGCGTAGTGGTCTTCTGTGGCGAGTAAGTGCTCCTGTACCCGTTAGTAAATAGCAAAAGATAATTATGGATGTTAGTAGTAAAAGAGAGATCGCTATAGACATAGAGACGTGGGCAAATGTGGATAGGGTTATAGAGATTAGGGTACCTTTTCATTCACTAAGCCTTGGCGAGGAGATTGAGATCCGATGTGGGCGAAGAGGGACCGTGAGTGAATGCTGTCATGTTGAAGGCGGAATAGTCTGTCGCGCTGTGCGTGCCTGTACCCGTCAGTAAATGGCCAAGGCTAATTATTAGATGTTAAGAAGTAAAAAGGGATCGCTACAGATACAGGAATAGATTTGGGAAATATGAATAAGGTTATAGAGATCGGGGTACCTTTGAATGCATTGAGACAATGTGAAGAGACTGGGATACGGGTTGGGCGATGAGGGACTGCGAGGTGGATGTTGAAGATGGAATAGCCTGTCGTGGACGTTGAAGATGGAATAGCCTGTCGCGATGAGAAGTGTTTGCCTGTACCCGTCAGTAAATGGCCAAAGCTAATTATATATGTTGATAAGTAAAAGGGGATCGCTACAGGTACAGGAGTAAGGTGGGAAATGTGAAGAAGGTTATAGAGATTAGGGTACCTTTGAATCCATTGAATAAACATGGTGAGACTTGCATGGTGTGAATGAAGACGGAAACCGAAGTAAAGGCTATGCTTGCGATGGATCTAGGGTGTTAGTCAACTAAGTGAATCTCATGCGTGGATTAGGGTGTGAACGAACCAAGTGTACTGTCATAGCTGGCAGTGCTACATGGTGTATAATGTACTGAGATGCCAACAAGGTAGGTATGGCATTCACTGTTTGAGATGTAAGGAAGATGGAGAAACTGAGAAAACGGGGAGATGAGCTGGGCTTATATACCCTATGCACTGGTGCCCAGAGCAGGCTGCCATATAGACCAAAAGGTATAACCGAGACGAGAAGTTCACATGTATTAAGAAGAAAAGAAGGTTCCGTGGTTGAGCGGAAACTCTATTCGAGAAGATGGGCGCGTATATTTGATTCTTCTCTCTGAGACTATTGGAGGAACCAAGAGACGTAGCTCACATGATGTAAATTCTGTATGGTAATGATACACCTCACCGGGTGGAAGCTACTGTGCATCAAGGAAAAAAGGGGGTTCCGTGGTTGAACAAAACTCTATTTAGAGGAATGGGCTCATGTATCTGATTCATATCCGAGAAAATTGGAAGAACCGACAAAATGTAACGCACATAACATCACATGTTCTAGCAGACAAAGGCTGGTTGAACTCAATAAGTGAATTGAGGTTCTATGGTTCGTAAAACTTTATTCACGAGGTGGCTGTGCTCCAACTCTATGCCCCAAGGGGGTTCGAAGGATATACGAAATGGAATGTGATCATAGAACATAGATACGTACGATCGGAGGATACTCATGGAAGCATGCCCAGAAAACCTGTGTCGAGTAGAGCTTCCGAACTTGAGCACGCTGCGTATGCATTGCGGCCATGCCTACCTTAGGTATTGAATAGGTATCAAGAAGGAAGGACACCCAAGAGAAAGCTGTAGACAACGTAATACACAGCTCTCATATCATGGGATACCAGTGAAAGTCACACCACATATTTGGAATTGAAGGGTTCCCAGCTCGACAACAAGAACCAAGGAAATTTCAAAGGGGCTAAGAAAAAGTATATCTTCAAGCTAACAGTCGAAGAAACTGGCCATTCAACTCTGGGGACCATCAGAGCGTGACTCGCTTGCCAAAGTAGCGCGAACTTTAAGTTGACCTTTACACGACGTCCATAGATGGAAGTACTGTAATAATGACGAAGGAGATGATTGGTAATAGCATGGTGGAAACCACAGGGTAATGGCACAAAATGGAAGTGAGGGGCGAGCGAAGAAGGGATGGATGAATGGGGACTGACTGCGTAACTGGCAAGGACAAGGACATACTCAAGAATCATGGAAACGAGGCAAATAATGCGGGACTAAGAGGGTGAGAGGGACATAGAAATGACTGGCAAGTGCAAGGACAAGCAGAAGGAGTTATGGAAATAAAGTCACAGAAAGGAGGCAGATAAGAGAGTAAAATATGGAGGAATGTGGGACAAGGACGCGGAAGAGAAATCATAGAAGGCAACGCCCCGGTATCGTGACATGTAGTTATTAGGTGTGTACGTATCTCATCATCTTTGTAGCCCGTCCCAGTCCAATCCGGACGACAAAATACCCAGCAATGTATCCATCAACTCCGAGCCCAATGCACCAATCTCGCGAAGACTCCGGCCAAACCAGGCGACCCGCCCATATCATACAAGACAAGTTCCTCTTCTATGCCTCAGGATTGCGCCTACGCGATCTGAAATAATCATAGGACATCGGATCTGCCTCGTCTTCTTGTTGAGGCAATCCACCATATCCTCCAGGACCACCCCCAAGGAAGCCTGGAGCTCGCCTTTCCAGGCTCTCATCCCTCAGATACCTTGGTGCTTCCTCGCCTGGCGTGGTAACCGCCATATCAGCAGCTCCGGCTATGAGATTTGTCTCGGAATCGTTACGCATGCCATAAAGTGGATTATGGCCTCCAAATCCGATATCAGACTGAGCATCATGCGACACCATAGGGAGCGAAGGCATCGGGGGAATGGTAGTGGTGGTAAACATCCTTTTCCCCATGGGGGGCGTACCCGGTGTGCCAGGTCGCGAGCCCTCGCTACCACCCCACATACTCGAGCCTCCTGGGGTGTCTGATCTGACGATATCCTCTGCCCTGCCATAAATGCCTCCCATGCCGCCATGTTCTTCACCGAATTCCGCTCGGCCTTTGTAATATTCGAAGTCGAGTCGATTCTCGGGCACAATTTCAAACCCAGGAAGAGTTTGGGCTTTGCGACCTGGCTGTTCGGCCCGCATCGAATCAAGAATATACGTATCTGAGTACCCTGAAACAGAAGCCGAATCATCAGAACCCTGGTGATTGCTATTTGTAAGCCGGCCAGCGTAAACAGATGCTAAGATATTCTGAGCTCTTGCGTGTACCATTGGCGTAATGAGCGGCCTGTAAAGAGCGGGATGTCCAAAACGAGATGCGAGCCTGTCACGCTTGCTTTTGGAGAGGACGTCTGTACTAGTAGCCTCGGGGTCCTTGAGTTTGTTTCGGATTGTGTAGTAGTGCATTTTGTCGTCGAATGTACGCTTGCAATACCATTTGAAGGCAAGCATCATAAAGGGCAACGGCACGACAACGTATGCTTCCAGATGACTACTGCCTCCCTGCACCCAAACAGACAGGAAGACAATCAGGTTCGACAAGATCGCCGCAAACACTATTCTGTTGTAAAACATGCGCCAGTACATTCCACCGGATTCGGTTTTGGTGATAAAGATGTAAAGAAGTAAGTACTTCTTGAGATACACATCAAGGGCGAAGTATATGGCGCAAGCTGCAATTGCCAAGGGCTGAATAGTAGCGAAGCACAAAGTGACCGTGCTATAGAATAGGAAGTAATTGTAATAACTTGCATAATCGAATGCCTGTGGCGCAGTCAATTCGATCATCTCTCGAGGCGTTGGACTTGATAACTTCCGAACGCAGAAGCTCCAGAACAATGTCCAAAGTTGTGCTAGATCAACGGCTGCTCCTAGGTTACGCTGGAGTAACCACGTAATCCAGAAAGGGGAGATATTGCAGAGTTCACCGAAAAGCGACTTGCCAAAGTCGGCCTTCAAGATGGCTTCCCAAGCACCCTCTCCGTTATTCGTGTAATTGATGACACTAGAGACAAAGCTCCAGATAACACTAAAGAGGGTGAAGACGATTAGGAAATTGATCACAAAGAAGGTATAAAGCTTGCTAGTGACATGGCGCTCTCGTGCGGTCTTCGTTCTATCTCCCGCCCGGACCGCAAGGCGACGGAAGATGATAGGAAGGACCAAGTAAACCAAGGATGTAATGGCTGGAGAAGCGACACCCTGAACTATGGACCACCAAGTTGTATTTCCAGACAAGGAAGTTTGGAAGGCAGGCCAGACGAGACCCAGATTGGTCAGCCGGACCAAGAAGATGGAGATCAGAGCATTCGGTGCAACATAGGCAACCGTTAGAAGAAACATCCAGAAGTTGTTCAGCAGTCTGCGATTTCTTCTCTGCATCTTGCCCAAAGGCATGTTCTTCCAGATAATATCATTAGGTCGTGGAGCTAGGACAATTGTGGTGCCTCGAGGATGCTTTTTGCGAGTAGAAAAAGCAATACTGTGGGCCTCTTCAATATCTTCGTAGCTGGCGAATCCATAAGGTAACGGGTTACGATTATCAACGCTTAAGCGTACTTCTTTGATCTCCATCTCTAATTCCCTTATGCGGCTCGTAAGGTATTCAATAGCATCCAATTTCTGACCCCTTGGATAAGAACGGTAGGATGGGTCCTTTTTCGAGGGACGACATTCTGGTCGGCGTGCGGGGAGATTATTGGGATCCTTAAGGTATTTGGCTAGATATTTCTCGAGGCATCGAACAGTTTGATTATGTTCTTCGATAAGCTCTGGTAACTCCTTAACGTTACGGGCGATGGCTGTTCTCGAGAAAGAAGATGTCGGCACGACTTCGTCAATCAGTCTTCCAATACCCTCGTCCGAACGGAAGTCTTTTGGGATATCATTGATCTAAGCTCAGGTTAGTGATATACTCGTAAAGCATACAATATGGATGGTGCCCACCATCAGGGTCCGGGCGTGCAAGCTAGACTGGTATTCCGGGCTCTCGTAGTATTGCCTGCGCAATCTGACGACGGCGCGGTAATTCCACCACAAAAATCCCATGAGTATTATGTCAATGGCCCAAGCAAATATTGTCATACCCCAAGTCGCATTTCCCTGAGTATTGAGGGGCGTGACCCTGACGATGAATTGATGCGTCACCTGTACAGGTTGGGTAATGTTGATTGGAATCAGAATGGCGCAGCCCAGCACAGCCAATACGATGAAGATGTTGCGGCACATTCGTAGGATCCTCAGGAAAACGGTTGCATCGAGTCCAATCTGTATGATCAAGTCTTGTTCCTTTGTTTTCAGAACAGGCCCAAGCCAGGCAAATATGCCTTTGCCCACAGCTGGCGGGGCATGTTTATCGTCGGCGATCTTGAGTTTTGGAGCGTATACGATGGAGTTGTAGGGTCGAAGAAGGGAGAATCCAAGGCCGAGGAGCAGAGTGAAACCAATCGAAGTTCCCAAACTCGCTTCAACACCACTTTGAGCAATCTACCCTGATGTTAGCACAGCAATATGCGAACGATTGGAGATGAAATCTCACTTGACCAGAGAAAGGATCTTGTAGCAGCTTAAGCAGCTCCTTAGCCCCATCACTCTGACGCCGCAACAGGTGTTCTTCTATCGACGCCCAAACCATGGTGAAAGCGAATGATTATGACGGCCAGAGGCCGGTCAAGAAGGAAAGTTGGCAGTTATCTTTAGAAAAACCAAACGATGTGGAGAGTCGAATGAATGTTCTGCGCGGGGATGTTCGAGAGGTCCCTTGATATGGCACAAAGGGCCGGGACGTGTGCAGAATGCCACGCTCCTGGAATTTCGTTGAACGCTTCAATCCGGGGCAGGGAAGAGAATGGGCGGGTTAGGAGGGGAAAGAGAGGGAACAGGAAAGATACAGAGAAACGAGAGATCCTAGGGCCATAGGTTTTGCATAGCGGAAAAGCCGTAGACTGTGGTAGACAGCCGCATCTTGATAGTTGCGCGATGCCTCTGGAGAGGGGATCGACAAATCCTCTTCCCAATAGAGATTTTTTCCGAACATTCTTTGACCACTTTCACGCGACCCAGAACATGGGGTGGAGGGCAACGATTGGCCTTAGGAAGATATCAGGGTCCACTACTGGCTAGGCCAGACTGTCCAGTCTACATAGTACGGAGTACTCCTTACTACTGGTGGGGAGCGTTCTCCTGTGTTGCTATTCTGGGTGCGCCTAACGATGTCCCGGCTATCATCTATGTGCCGTGGTTGAGAGTTGCATTATTCTGTCTCTGCAAGAAGAGCATCAGGGCAATGCACCTTATCATGCTGGCAAACTTGGGAACTGGAACCAGCATGATGTGCTGACCATTGCCGCCGATCCTTAAGCTTGAATGCTTGATGTTCAGGCCTGAGGCGCAAAGGAAGATCAATCTTTGGCCTGTTTCAGGGGTTTGTGGCTGGTTGGGTCTGGACGCCTCGCTCCCCTTTTTAATGAGGCTGTGCACTCCACACATCTCGATTCCGATTGCCATATGCATGAATCATGATGCCCCAAACAGGCATGTCAGATCCTGATTCCTGAACCGTGAATCCGAGAAGTGGTGGGATGCAGGGAGTTAACTGCCTCGGAATCAGAACTTCAACAGCTTTCTCAAGACTCTAGGTGGTTTTGAGTTGTTGCCAGCTATCTAGCTAACACTGAAAGTGCCGAATCTACTTGTACAGTCCTGGATACGCCGCAGACCAGTTGATGTCCCATACTTCATTTGCCTAAAACTCACTCCTGTTGAAACCCCAGGATCTGCTGTACTGTAGGTGGGGGAAATCCACAGATGAGGTAGGTAGGTTTACCCCAGTATATCGATAACATGGATAGCCATCTTCTAGCCAACCACGTTGCTCGCCTTATATGTACAAAGACTCGTACAGGTAAAGACTCGTACAGGTAGGTCTATGTACGCCCGCTCCCCTTCCCGATATTCTAGCCTATTTGCAAAATATTTATCAATCTTCGTCACCCCTTTCTAATTCGTAAAAGAGTAGGTAAACCTCTCTCTGCATGCTCAGCACATCGCTCGTCTTACTCTCTTTGATTTTATCATCACTAATCCTCCACCATCGGTTGCTCGAGTTCTTTTTCCGTTTGCCGCGCACAACATCGCTCACTGATGTCCGAGACACGCTTTCTCTTGTTTTTGTAGCACTGTTTGGCGAGATCCCGGCTTGGGATACTGGGGACGCTGTGTCAGGCGTTGGACGCAGACGTGGTGTAGAAATTCTTGAAGAAAGTGACTCCCGTGCGGAGCGGGCCACAGATCGAACAGAGGCGGTTTCTGGGTCCCGGCGTGCGGATGTTTCCCCAGCAGCTTTGGTAGTTATTGAACTAGATCCAGATGTGGATGCTGTTGTTGAAAGAGGACGCCCATTGCCATTTCGTAATGATTCCCCTGAAGATCTGCCATTGGTGAACGGCAGCGACGCAGTTGACTCTGCTGATGTTGGGGACAGAAATTCTGGAGTTGAGGAGAGAGCGCTCGGATCTGCATTTGCATCATCGAGTTTTTGTTGAGGTGTGATTCGGGGTGTTGATGTTTGGGAGAGATTTGGAGTTGGAGGCTTACTGTAGACACCGGAGGCTTGGAACGTGTTTGGAGTAGAAAATGGAGGGTATAAATTCTGCCTTCGGAAGGATTCATAATGCCCCGAATGGTGACTTCCTTTATGGCAGACGACGCTCAATAGCTTATACGTCCTTTGATCTAGGAGACCTCCAAGGGGGAGACGTTCAGGAAATGAAACTTTGGCCGAATTTTTCATTGTTGATCTGTCCTCAAAAATTGATCTCGATAGATGGATTGCCATAATCTTAGGGAATTTCGTGATGCGAACGTGCTTTGCGATCTTCCTCTTTGGGGCAAATTTCGTGTCCGGCAGCGCAACTTCCTGGAGTTCTCCTTCCGGATTTGTCTCTATTGCAACTTGAAGCTTCTCAATAGCTTTCCTGGAATTCTCCTTGAACTTCTCCGAAGTTGAACCGGCTATGTCTTGTTGAAGAGAATTCAGAGCATGTACTAGGCGACACTTTTCGCACTTGAAGTCCTCGATATATTCCGTCTTGAACATTTGGTCAAAGCATGAACTAAGACTTGCAGAACTAACTTGTGGGACGCTCAGAGTCAGGGTGCAGAATGTGCTTTTGGTAGGCGTTGGCTTGAATCCACACGTCAAGCATTCGATATATGACTCGCATCCCCCTTCTAAAGGGAAGCCCTCCTCATCGTCGTATTTCGCATCCGTCTTGTCTTGCTGTTCCTTCGTCTTAACGGAGACCGTGGCTTCACGTCTCGTTGGCTCTGGTTTCTCGATACTAGAGTTCCGTTGAGACGCCTCGCCGTTCTCCAAAACCAACGGCTGTAACTTCTCGTTCACAGACCTCTCGTCTGAAGAAGAATCAATAGCAGAACCATTACGAACCCTTCTTCTCGCGTGGTTCCTCGCTCTATGTCCAGCATGATACTCCTCACAGAGCCGTTCAGCTACGATCTGAAGGAACTCCTGGGCATCTTGTTGCTGGCGGCTGATCCTTTGCTTGAATGCCTGCTCTAAACAGGATACGAATCCCACCGCGGATATAGTCTTCTTGTATAATGGCCTCTCATTCAGCGCATCCAAAATTTCTTTGAGTCCGTGTGTCACAATTCCTTCTTGCTCCCCTTCAATCTTCCATGCTGGGAGACCCTGCCGCGCCGGATCTGCCACAGCCTTAGCATACACCTCAGGGCCATCCAACTTCCTCCTATGCGTCTCTCGAATGAGATAGAGCCGCAAATCACCCAAACCCGCCAACGCCTGTAACACCGAGTTTATGAAGCAATCGTTCGCAGGGTTCGAAAGTCCAACCACGCCCTTCTTCCGCGAGCTGGCCGAACTTGCTGAATCGCCATCGATGAAGAATGTAGGCCCGAAGACGTATACTAAAGTAATGGCCGCCAGGGAGGCACCAGCAGCGTATGTGGCAATGGTGAGCTGCTTGTCGGGCATTTTGGTGGCCACGGAAACGTGCGGAGGGCCGTATTGTGTGATCCTAACTTGATGCTTCCATTACATCCGCTGGAAGCCGCGCCCGCAATGCCGTGCGTTGAGGTTGATCAATCCCTCGGATATGAATTCTCCAGGGATCTCCACAGAAAAGTGCCTCGGGTTAAGTAAGGTGTGAATTTTTGATGTTTGCACGTAAGCTGGTAATGAACGATCTATTCTTCTCTGCAGATTCCTGAGTGCGGATCACTTGCCATATGTACAATGCCTGATTGATTCATACGGCGACATTTGTTTGTCTTCTGAATGTTTGGGAGGAGACCCTGTCAGACCCTGTAAAAAAACGCCCAGATCTAATCTAATCATCATCGGCCTCAAAACTCCGGTTACAATGGGAGGGTCTCCCGAGTAATCTTCACGGTGCATGTATACAAATTTCTTCTCTTCTCCAGGTTCCACCTCTCTCCATAACAAACAAGAGCCAACGCGGTTCCATACCAGCATTGACCATGCCTTCACGTCTGGTATCTAAAGCCCCCCAATGCATGTCATGTATACGTCGCATGACAAGCTTGGGGGATACATTCTCATCGCCACTGGGCCAGCAAATCCGAGGGAAGAAGAAACTTGCCAAGGTCTCCACTGTCAACGTCCAATTGCTGCAAAATATCCCTGGGTATGGCAAGAAAGGTAAGCTGTGGTCTCTCTACTACCTAGGAGACCCTTCTCGTATCATACTATGATGCTGACTTGCGCGTCCAGGGTCGGTTGTGCCGGTAATAGCAGGGATGATGCGAAATATCTGGTTACCAAGAAAGATGGCAGAGTATGCAACCTCTAGTAGGCTCCAAGAGCTGGGAAAAGAGGACGTTGTCGTAGAGCGTGATTATACTTTCCTACCAAATAAACAGCGGAAATCTATAAAGGCTGCTCAAGCCTTGGCTCGCGCTCAAACTGCAGCTGAAGCGGCTCTTCCACAGGAGGCACCTGCGATCTCAAATGAGGACCTTCCATTCCTGAGTGTAAGTCCGCCAAATATCTCATATAAAACAGAGAAGGATAACGCTAACGCCTGATTGCAGCCTGATGCAGCAACGAACATTATATCAAAGCTCCTCCCAGCAAACATCGATTTCTACCGAACCCCCATTGCGACTGAACAGCACAAATCCCAGCCGCCAAAGAGACTGTCTCCATCCATACCAGCTGCATCGGCGATCTCCGCGGCAGCAGCTGAAGGACAGCCAAAGGAAGTGGAGGCCAAGGAACCAGGCAAGACAAGCATATACGGCTCAGTGTCAACGAGTGATATTGCTGCGAATATCAAGGCTGTATTAGCAGAAAATAATGAGGGAGCCAGAGTTGTCCTCTCGTCTGAGCACATTTCTTTTGTCGAGGAAATGGAGGACCAGGATAGAGTGAAGCATCTCGGAGTTTTCGAGATTGATATTCGACTTCCCGGTGCTGCAAATGCTGTCCGGAGAACGATTACAGTCAGTGCACAGGAGTAGCCCTCCTCCTGTTGAGGGATTTGTACGATACCTAGTTCTGTCGAAATAATACCGAAAAATTAGCCTCCCTGGATGACTTCAGAACGTGAGCTTCTGGGCCCTTAATACTATGCATCTACCTAGGTAGGTAAGTTGTAGATCCGGCAGTGCTGACACAAGGATAGACTTTAGAACCATCTTCGATATACAGGAGAGAAATGTGGCGGTTAGCAATTCCCGGACTAACACGCCCCGCTCTGCTGCTTCACGCTGATATGTTGATGCGGAGGGCAACTTCTGGGCCCCATCGGATTCGCATCATGGATTCCCAAGGGCTCACTACCGACTGAAAGATTTGACTCGACTAGGAGGATCAGGTCACACTGCTGCGAGACGATGAATTGCCGGAGCCACATTGCCTTGTGGTGTTGATGAGCTGGCTTTTCCGCCTCCCCCAATTACCCAGACCTGTGCCGTGAATTGGTACAATAAGATGCCTCTGCCGAGGGACTTTGGGACTTTTGAGGGGCACACATAGCGTTAGATATCTCTCCTGCCGGCATGGCGCATTGGGGAACCTCGGTGAACATCCCATTCCTGAATTCGCCCGGCCCGATACGTCATTGAGGGTCAGTGAAGATCATACCAACAGTTCCAAGTCCATAACATCACTTTGATGGGTCTGGCACTGGGAGCGGGGTTGGGTTGGATGACCTAATACACGCTTCCGATTTTCGCCTTGTTTGTTGACCACGGATCGGTATTGTGCGGGATCGCGAAGCGAAACTGATCGAAGAGTTCAGGAGCAGCCATGACGAACCCCGCCTTGTGCCAGCGAGGGTGTATACCATCTTAAAAGCAAGCCTTACACTTCGACGCTCTTCAACCCCCGCCTACGATAAAACTTCTTCACATATCACCGAGCCAGGAGTGGTAAGTTTCCGCTTCATCCAATACCCTCTCGAAATGCTTTTCCCTGCAACTTTGTGAGCGCCGGTGATTCCACCCCCACCATTAGCGTCGAATCGTGCCGTACGGGGTACAACAACAATAAATTGCCTTGGGGAACTCCCAGTCCTCAACATATCGCTGATACTTTCCAACATCGAACAGACTTCACATTCAATCCACCAATACTACCACCGACCGCAATCATGGGTGTCCAAGACGTTCTCAGCCGAAAGACCGGTGTCATCGTTGGAGATGACGTGTTAAAGCTGTTCAACTATGCTCAGGAGCATAACTTTGCCATCCCCGCCATCGTAAGTAACAGCAGAGCGTTGACCGCCCATCGACTCACATCTAACCTACTGTGTAGAATGTCACCTCTTCATCAACCGTCGTAGCTTCTCTGGAGGCCGCTCGCGATGCGAAGGCGCCCATCATCCTCCAAATGTCTCAAGGTGGATCTGCGTATTTCGCAGGAAAGGTATATACATACACATCTCTTGATTGACTGGGTCGCGAGGTTCTAACGAATTGTGCGATAGGGTGTTGCCAACGGCAGCCAGGAAGCCTCTATTGCTGGTGGTATCGCCGCTGCCCACTACATCCGCAGCATTGCACCATCCTATGGTATCCCGGTCGTCCTGCACACTGATCACTGCGCCAAGAAGCTTCTGCCATGGTTGGATGGACTTTTGGATGAGGACGAGAAATACTTCAAATTGCACGGCGAGCCTCTGTTTTCCAGCCATATGATTGATCTGAGCGAGGAGGAAGTCGACTTCAACATCCAGACCACGGCCAAGTACCTGAAGCGTGCTGCACCAATGAAGCAATGGCTCGAGATGGTAATTGTATTCTCTAATTCATAAAGTGCTCATCTAACCGCTTCTACAGGAGATCGGTATCACTGGTGGCGAGGAGGATGGTGTCAACAACGAGGATGTTGACAACAACTCCCTCTACACTCAACCCGAGGATATCCTTGCTATCTACAAGGCTCTCTCCCCGATCTCCCCATACTTCTCCATCGCTGCCGGATTCGGTAACGTACATGGTGTCTACAAGCCTGGTAACGTTAAGCTCCACCCCGAACTTCTGAGCAAGCACCAGAAGCATGTCAAGGACGCCATTGGGGCAAAGGAGGACAAGCCTGTCTTCTTGGTCTTCCACGGTGGATCTGGATCGTCAAAGAAGGAGTACTTGGATGCCATTTCATATGGCGTTGTCAAGATCAACCTCGATACCGATTTGCAGTACGCTTACCTGACTGGTATCCGGGATTACATTCTTAACAAGAAGGACTACCTTATGACTCCGGTAGGCAACCCAGATGGAGCGGACAAGCCAAACAAGAAGTACTTTGACCCCAGAGTTTGGGTGCGCGAGGGAGAGAAGACCATGTCAGCCCGTGTTAAAGAAGGTCTTCAGGACTTCAACACCGCTGGCCAACTGTAAAGGTCATAATGCCTGGATGAGAGTCATTTGTGGGGTGCAAGAAGGACTGTAGGCTTCAATTAAATGTTGCACAGTGTAGAGAAATGACAGCGTAAAATGCCTTTACAATGTGTACGCCGAATGGATCGCTCGCCACAGTCCTGTGTTTGTTTGGAATTCCCCCTTTTAGCCGTTCCCTTCATAATCCCTGACGGCAACCCAATAATTAATACTTCAACGTTATATCCAATAATACCTGACGTAACTGCGGCGGATGCACTACCATGACTGGCCGGGTTCGAGGCTGAGGAGCGTCCTTCGCCCAGAGAAAGCGGCTGAGCGCTACCCGGGTTCCAGGGGCTGAAAATGGAATGCTCAAAAATATCTAAGACGACGTCTTGAATTCTCGCAACAATGAGCCTCAGCCATACCGCTTTTTTGCGAACCTTGCTTTATCCCAGACAACCCAAGCGTCTCGCGCCCATCTGCCAGGTACTGTACCTACGCCAGCAAAGGAGCGCAGAGGAGGGGGGCTGAGTCGCAACCATTCAGAGCGATGACGTTCGGCCAATGTCCCCCACCTGCAACTCTACGGTGATGGGACTTTCGAAGGCACTAACAAGCCAACCAACCACCTACACACCGACACACCAACCAGAAACATCTCTTCGTCCACATTATTACCTTGATATTGAGCGTCTGGAAATCAATCACAAAGGATCGGTGCACAAATCTTGGAGCAAACCGTTACTCTTGGCAGGCCCGCATTTCCCATAGCAATATGTCTTCTAACGAGGGCGAAGGAGCAGCAGGAGTTTCTGAGCAAAACAAAGGAACATGGAGCGCGTTCTTGAAATCGATTGCGTCCTTCTCGGGAGATCTTTCGTCCCTAACTGCCCCTCCTTTTATTCTATCGTCCAAGTCACTCGTTGAGTTCTCCTCGTACTGGGCTGAACACCCCTCGGTTTTTGTCGCTCCAGCACATGAGAAAGATCCACAGAAGCGGGCGTTATTGGTCTTGAAATGGTTCCTTAGTACGTTGAAGCAACAGTATGCGAGTCGCAGTGAGAAGTTTGGAAACGAGAAGAAACCCCTGAACCCCTTCTTGGGAGAGCTATTTCTTGGGAAATGGGTGGACGAGGCCGGTACCACTGAGTTGATTTCTGAGCAAGTCAGGTTGGTATTTCCTAACCCATTGTGAAGTCTGCGATCCCTAACAGAATTCACAGTCACCATCCACCAGCTACGGCCTACCGAATCTCGAACAAGCAACATGGCGTCTATCTACAAGGTTACAATGCTCAAAAGGCTTCGTTCTCCCGGACAATCCATGTGAAGCAAATCGGACACGCTGTCCTCACCATACCTGCTTACAACGACACCTACCTTATCAGCCTCCCGAACCTGCATATTGAGGGCCTTATTTTCGGTGCGCCATTCGTCGAGCTCAACGATAGTACCTACATTACGAGTACATCAGGGTTCACGGCGAAGATTGACTTCAGCGGCAAGGGCTGGCTATCGGGCAAGAAGAACAGCTTCACTGCAACCATGTACCCTACGGGCAAAGAGAAGGATATTCTTTACACGGTCAATGGCCAATGGACGAAGTCCTTCGATATCATTGAAGGTCACTCTAAAAGTGGTACTGTCATTGATACATACGACGCTGATGCCCATCCCCCAACACCCCTCACAGTAGCTCCAATCGAGGAGCAAGACCCGCTGGAGTCGAGAAGGGCATGGGCAAAGGTCGCAGCTGGAATTGCAGAAGGGAATATGGAAGTTACTGGAGCGGAGAAGACAAAGATCGAGGTTGCGCAGCGAGAGCTAAGACAGCGAGAGAAGGAGGAAGGCAGAACCTGGGTGAGGAGGTACTTCTCACAGGTGGATAGTGATCCAATATTGGATCATCTTGGTCCCATTATTGGGATGTCTCCGGAGACTGATAAGACGGGCGGAATATGGCGATTTGATGAGGGGAAGTACCAGGCACTGGCTGCTAACAAGCAGAGTTAAAGTGACGACTGATACGAACGTGGCGCATTTCATGGATCATTGTACCACCACAGTATTAGTTGGCATGAACCAGGAATGTTTTTTGTGTTAGAAAAGCAAAATAGAAAAAAAACGCGCGCCCCTGACAATCTGCAAGTCCTTATTGTGAATCTGCAGAGCTCTATTTTAGCGAGGTGCCGGACGCGCCTCGAATACAACAACAATCCATACAACTTTGCGCGTTCACATAACCCGCTTCACTTATCAAGCAGAACGGAACGTGCTTTCATAATTGGCTAAATCGGATACGCGCGCGCAAGTCTTCTACGAATATGATGAGGATCTATTGCCCATGACGACACCAGATCGCGCGTGAAAATGGCTCCCTTCGAGCACGACAGCGGGACCGATGTCCCCGAGGATCGTCGACCCCGCGCCAGCAGAAACTTGCCCACGACTGGCAGAGACAAGCCTTTATTCACGTCGCGCGATCGAAGAGAGAGGATCAATTTCACCACGAAGCCTCGAGATGGGGATGAGAACAGGAGGCCCGGGTCAGAACGCGGAACATGGCTGAGCGGGAAGGGAATGCGATTGGGCGAGGCCTTCCAGAGGACCGATGCGAATGGGCATTTTATACCGAGACCTAGTGCCTGGGATGAATCTGCGAGAGACTTGTCTGATAGTCGGATTCCAAGGACAAAATCTTACTCCCCTTCGACGGCGGCGCTGCGTTCGTCCAAGGCCTTGAGAGATGTTCAAATCCTACAGGAAAGGGACAAGAGGGCTGCGTCTGTGCCAGCAAATTCTGATAGTGACTCAACCGGTGCACTCGATGTGAGTCCGAGTCCTGCGGCGAGAGACAGGAGATGGAGGAAGGACGAGACTGAAAGTGATGTTTCGCCGATCACTGCAGGTGAAGACCTTACGAATGATGATTTTCATAGGAACGTGGGCCGGTACTCGAACGATCAGGAACGTCTCCGAGGGTTGCTGTCTAGTCAGAAGGGGCTGTTCTCGAGGGCAAGCACTGGCCCAAGGACCCAAGAGGCTACGAGGACTCTGCCTAGGAATACAAGTGCCAGTAGCCCTGAGGATGAACCTCCGATCAGACCGCCAAGGTCTTGGGGCTCGAAAGCAAATACAAATAAGGATTGGTTGACCAAGATAATGGCGCCTGAACCATCACCACAAATCGAGGGCGGTTTTAGGGATCGGCCGTTGTCAGAGGCGCGGGAAGCAGCCGCTGACATCCCTTTGCCGTCTGTTGAAGATATTTCACCAATACAGGAGCTCACCCCACCTGCCTCGAGACCAGCTTCTGCGCAACCGAAGAATTCCTCACCAGCGGATAGTAGAATGTGGAACGCCGATCTGGATTTCACAGCACAATCACTACAAATATCGAGCCCACAGCTTCGAGTAAAACCTACCAAGCTTGATGAAATTCGAAGTCGAGAGATACAGAATATGACGGCCCGCGCTGTTGCTGCAGGTCGATTAGAGGAGATAAGAGAGAGAAATTCACAAGAAAGATCTATCACATCGGAAACTGCAACAGTTTCTAAGGATCCGGCCCTGAAAGCTGTCCAACGGGAAGAGCCAGGAGAACGAGATGAGATGACTACCATGAAAGAGGAGGGAGAGCGCATACCGGGCACTCCAGTTACAGTATTTAGCAATGAGGCATATGACCGCTATTGTAAACGGACAGGCAGAATAAATCGTTTCGCAGAGGGGCGGCCTCAACAGGCACAGGAGGACCCTCTCGACGTTCTTCGACAGTTATCGAGGGTACTTAGTAAAAGTCCTAGCCCACCACGGCCAGAAGAGAAGAAAGACGACAGCTTGAAAGATTCGGCTCGGCCTTCAGCAGAAGAAAGGAAGGATGTCAGCTTGCCGCAAGTGAGCCGCCCTCCAACAGAAGAAAATGGCGAAGAAAAGTCGACAGGTACGAAGAAAGGAGATACTACGAATGGTGAGGCCGAGAAGCAAGCCGAGAAAGCAGTAGAATTCTCTTCGAAGAGCAATGTCGTTGATATAGATGCGGAAAACAAAAGGAACAGCGGGAGGAGCACGCCTGCCAAGTCAGATGTTGATCCTGAAGAGCGTATCGCAGCTGAGGCTCGCCTCTTTGAGCTTCAAGACAACAAATCGGAGAGAAACTCAATTCGAGCACCATCGCGATCACCGTCGCCTTCTGCTGATGGAAAGCTCGATGAGACACCAAGGCCAAGACCAGACCCTTTGTCACTTCCTACTCCAAAGGTGACAGGTGCATTTATCGAAACTCCTGCACTTAGCACCAGAAAGCCGAGGAAGTCACGTTCAATCCCACCCTCATACGAAGTTGTTGATGCTACTAATGATGCCACTTCCACTTCATCCTCAGACAACAAAGATACTGGAGAATCTGTCAGTGAGACATCTAGTGCAGTAGACAGGCCTCAAAGAAGACGGCAGTTACGCAGAACAACATCACACCGGGTGCTTACCACATCACAACAGCAGGGGACTAAACGTCGATCTCGTCCTGTTGTTATTAATACTGCAAAGACAACGTCAGCGTCTGAAGATCTCCGACGCCTCCAACGAGAGGCCCAACTTGAAGATTCTACTCTCGAACGCTTTGATGCCATCCTCGAGGCTTATGCCCGAGCAACAGAAGAGGCCCAGAACAACACTACAATCGTCGAACCAGTTTTGGATCTCGAATACGATGAACGTGGACTCCCATTATCAGCGAGAGAAAAAGCGAGGAGGATTGAAAGGTTGACTCTTGACCGAATGACCCAATCAATCAAGAATACGTCCTCGAGCATTCGGGATGCTAGGCACGGCATTGAGCGTCTTGAACGCCAAGTCTCTTCTTCCTCAGTACCTACCAACAACAAAGTGGATGATATCGTCTATATCAAGGTGCCTGTACCCCGACTTTGGGTCTCTAGCCCCACCAAGAAACGAGGTATCTTGAGTAGGAATTGGAAATTCACCTGGCTAGGCTTCATCCTTTCTCTCTTCTTCGCCTGGTATATTTCCGAATCCATCATGTGCGCACAGTTCTGCCACATCACGGAATCCTCAGTACCCGTCCCATATCAACTCGACGCTCCCTTCTTCCCCTGGGCCATACCCACAATGCTCGATCAATGGACTGGCAATTACGCCGGCGCTGTGTATGACAAAGTGCGTGTTGCACTTGGGGGTCAGCCCGGCCCAAAATGGCTACGTGTCAAGCCTGGGCCCATGGGTGCTTCAGATTGGTGGGTGGGGAGAAGTGGCCCGATCGGTATTGTGAGGGATCGTCCAGATAAGGGGGCGAGCAGTATTTTTAGTGATGAGATGATTTGATGATTTGCATGCCTGTAGCATTTGGCCTGGCGTCTGAAGTTGTACATTATGTGGAATAGAGATCGGGCGACTTGGATTCGGGGTTTGTCTTTGGGTTGTTATTTGGTTCAAAGTGTCAGTCTGAAGTGGATAACTCGGACACATGAACAACGGCGTGGGCGATGGCTTGGGCATAGCTAGTTTGAAGTCCGAAGTGTATAACTCGGACACTTAACAATTGTACCACTTTCGAGACATCTTGTTGAACCTGCTTCTAGTGACATAGATGACCAGTAGACATTTTTGCCTGTGCCGCGCCACATCAATGAAGACGCTTGTTTGCAGGAGCAGGAACATGCCAAACAGAAAGGGTTGGACTGTACTAACAAAGCAAAGGAAGCGGGCAGTAGATTACGTCAGGTTTCAATGTTGTAGGCAAGGCACCAGCTAGCCTTCTGAGATTGGCAAGATGCAGAAGTATCATATCACAGGGTTATCACGTATATAGGGTCGAGATGTGTAGACACAAGAGTAGCAGTCAATTCCGATTTGATTTGACCCATCAACTAATGCCTTGCTCGAATACACGTCGACGGCAAAGTCGTACCAACCATCCATCCGTCAAACAATCTTGCATTTTTCCCGCAAAAAGATGTTCCACGTCATGCCCGGGCTCGCCTTTTTCAGGAAGAAAGAAAGCCAAAAGCCATATTTGTTATCAACCCGAAAGAGAAAAAAAAAAAAAGAAAAAGACACACCAAAACTGAAGTACGCTCGATGACCCATCCCGCCCCTCACAGACAGATAAGAACAACCATGATGCTTTTCTTTTGCGCGAGTGCTTTGGAAAAAAAGGTATTCGCAATGTCTGTGATGGCTTGCTTGGTTTCTATGTGAGAGATGAGAGATGAAGAAACAGGTTCAGAAACTAATTGAAAACAGAGTGGGGGGCTGCGAAGAAAAGTACAGACAGGGTTGCCGGCCTTGTAATGACGGGCAAAGCAACGCAGAATTATGATAGTGACCAGTCCGAGTTCGACGTTTTTCCCGTTCCCTTTGATGAAATGAGCGCAAAAAAGACCCTCCGAAAATAGTAGTAACACAGTTTTGAGTAGAAGTTTCCGTGGTGGGCGACAATCTACCAAGGACGTGCAGCTACTTGATGTGGCCAATTAATGTCCATAGTTGCCGCCCCATCCTCCGCGTTGTTGCTGGCTGTTGCCATAGAAGTTGCCTCCGAAAGCCTGGTAGCCTCCATATTGGCTGCTTTGGTGGCCTTGCCCAGCTGCTTGATGACCTCCAGCGCCTCCAAGTCCATATTGACTACCAGCTTGGCTACCGTGAAGTCCATGAGCTTGCTGAAGATGACCTGGGTATCCCCCGTAACCTCCTTGTTGAGATTGCGGTGGAGGGAGGACTGAACCAGGTGCAGTGTTTGTGGCAGATCCTGGCCGACCGGGCTGCGAAAGCGATGGGCTAGGTCCGTTGGCGCCCTTTGCATCGCCAAATGGCTTCAAGTCATCGCCCGCACCGGGCTGACTGCCTTGCTGACCGTAAGCCCGTCCCTGGTACGCGCTTCCAGGACCAAATGCATCATGGCCTCCAAACGCTCCGCTTCCTAATCCCTGCGGGGTTTGAGATGACTGGGCCGATCCAGCACGACCATAATCTCCTAAACCTCCACCCAACGCACTGTCACGCCCATGCAACGAGGATGCTCCAAACCCAGCCGCTGCGGGAGACGAAGCATGTTCATAAGGGGCACCAGGAGACATTGCATACCCCGGATAACCTCCGGCATGGAGACCGGCCTTAGCAGGGTACGGGCCTCCAGCATAGTTGCCCGCACCATACTGCTGGTACTGGTTGAGGTATTGGGCGTAGTATGGGCTCGAGTAGTAAGGGTGGCCATATGGGTAGTTTGCAGCTTGAGGTTGTTGGGGGTGACCTGGTTGAGGTTGAGCGCCCTGACCAGCACCTGGAGTCTGAGCAACTGGGTTTGGAGTTGTGTGGCCACTCGTTTGACCGTCTCCAGCTGTAGCGTAGCGTGATTGAGCTTGCTGGGCTGCGCTCTGGGGAAATTGAGAAGCAACCTCAGCTTGAGGACCATTGTACCCGCTGTATGATCTCTGCTGGAGAGCCGAGTCCTGGCCTTGTGCGCCTTGCTGTCCATACTGTTGCTGGTAATAACTGTACGCATTACGTTGTTGGGGGTCTGCTGTATAATAAGAAGAGTATTCATTTGGTGCGGAAGAGAAAGCCCCAGACTGTGGCTGTGGCTGAGACTGTGATTGTTGGTTTGGATAACCTTCGAAGGGGCTCTGAGTCGCTGGGGCTTGCTGGCTGAATGTGTCATATGGTTTCGGAGGCAATGAAGACTCTTGAACACCGGGTTGGCCATATCGACCATATCCACTGAACTGGCCATTACCTTGGGGCCCTTGCTGGGTGTTCTGGGCATCAATGAGAGGTTGGGGAGACGGAAGGCCAGGAGCAGCAGCTGTTGGCAATCCAGCCGTCTGCTTCGGCGTTGGGGCATTCTCAGGAATAGCAGCCTGTTGGGGGGCAGGTGGTAAAGCAGCCCGAGGATGAGCGACTGGCGAATGCTGAGGTGGTTGAGCTCGAGTCTCGGGCTCCTCACGGTCGCCGTCGACATCCTCATCCCCAGATCCGTTCAGGTTGAAAGCGCCAAATTGAACAGCAGCTCGGTCCACCTCGCGGTTTCCGGGCATTCGGACAGCCTCCTCCTGGTCCAGCACACGACGTTGGTAACTTGGAGTCCTATTAGACGGTCCTGTCGCCTTCAAAGCCGAAGCTTGGAATCCGCTGGTTGGTTGAGGACGGGTCGCTTGAGGTTGACCTTGCAAAGCTGAGTATGAAGTATTATTACCAGTAGCGGTTCGAGCATCCCAAGAGCTAGCAGCAGTGCTGGCAGCAGTGGCGGTTGGGGGTGGATTAGAGGTATCAGGGAGTTGATCCAGATTATCTTCAGTCAGTTCATCCTTTGAAGGAGCAATCGTAGCTTCGGTTTCCTGAAGCGTAGTTTCGGCGGCGACAGCGGTTGTCTCTGTAACTTCAACAGGTGCAGGCGCGGGGGCAGGAGTCTCAGGTTCTTTTGCGGGGGGTTCAGTGGCTTCTTCAGGTTTTGTAGGTTCGATGGGCCTACAAGGAAAAGTCAGTAAAAGAGGTGAAAAAAAAATGGAGAAGAAAAAAAATATTGAAATCGAGGGCAGTATGATTCCATACTTCTCAACTGGCTCTGGGGCTTTCTTTGGTGCCGGTGCAGGCGTCGCAAACATGCTTGCCCAGCTCTTCTTGACACCGTCCGGAATAATGCTCGATGCAGGCTTAGTGGCGACTGTCGCGGTAGAAGATGTAGCTTCAGTCGCAGAAGCACCCCAGCTGTCGTTTCCAGATGGCTTAGCCGTCTCCCAGGCTGGCGCATCATCAGTGGCGGTGGTTCCCCATGCATTCGATTCGACAGTAGGCACAGAAGGTTCAGTATTTTCCTTGCGTGAGCCATTAGTATGTGCGGTCGATGCTCCACGGCCTCGTCCACCTCTGCCTCGTTCAGTGCCGCGACCACGTCCTCTGCCTCCTTCTAAGCCAGATCGACCACCACGTGCGACTTTTCCTTGATTGGTTGAGTCTCCAAAGGTTGTAGTGGTTGCGTCCTTCGCCTTAGATCTGGATCGATCCTTTTTGGCCTTCGAAACCTCGCCCCATTGTGAGATCGAACCTGTTGTGCGGTCAGCACGCGAGCTCTACACGACTTTGTAATATAGCTGTGCGTGTAGAAAAACTCTGCTAATAAGTGCGAACACGTACCATTTGTTATGCGATCGACTGTTGTCTCCAGATCACCATCGGTTTCCTGCAAGGCAAAAACAACATCTTCGTCTGTCCAGTCGGGGAACATCTCCTTGATGGTAGTGACTTTGCTACCATATTGCTTCTTCAGCTGGGCGACCTCTCCATCCTCTTCAATTGATGTAGCTATAGGATCAGGCTTGTCGCCATTAATTGCGTGAGAAGATCGACCGCCGCGTCCTCCTCTGGATGAGAAACCTCCTCGACCTCCACGAGCTGAGCCTCTACCGCGAGGCGCGGCAGGTCGTGATTGAACCTCAGACATCGTAGTGTATGAGGGTTGTGTGTGGTTGTGAATCAGCCAGGATAGGGAGAAATGCTGGAGGGGATCTAAGTGTGAGAAGGTGAGGATGGGCGAGGTGTTTGGATTGAGGATGACGACCGGGACGGAATGATCTGTGATCGGTGTTCGCGTAAGGTTTTCTCCTGAGAATTCATTCACTGGCAATACGGTACCCGCGTCGCTCTCGACAGTACAGTGCTTATTTTCGGCTCGACCACGGCACGCAACACACGAGGCTGTGAGGGACAGAACACGGGGGGAAGAAGTGTAGGACGAGAATCAGCTTGGTGCTGGGAGGCTTTTCAAGGGAGTTTTCTCTGAATTCAAAGTTTCACGGAATCCACGACGCGGGCAACAGAGCTGGGGGGTCGTCGCATGACTCGCCCCCTTCACGCCGCGCCTCGCCTGTCCAGCAGCCAGACAGGCACGCTGTGCTGCACGTGACCCGCCTGCTGACTGGCTGAAGAGGCTCGTCGATGATTCAAGGGTCCCCACAAGGCGCAACCGGGCCCAGTGCAACCTCCAAGGACTTTGCTCACCTCACGGCCGCGACGGATAACCAACGTAGAGTGCAGATTCCTATGGCGACAAGCATTGCCAGCACTTCCACATCCTAGATCCATCACTTCTGGCTCTGCATTGCTGCATGCGGCCATCATGTTTCGCCCCTCCCACAATCTCCTCTTCCGGCCGATGCCTACCATTGGCAAGTTCAAGTTGCATGCCCCTCTGCCATTGAACCCGCGCGAATCGAAGCAGCTCCTCAACCTCCTGACCACCTCCTTCCGCCAGAAACTTGACAAAGAACACGGATTCCGAACAGAATCTGATATCGAACCATCAACGGACAAAACCCCCAAGCACAATGGCAATGCCAGGCAACGGCGGCGCTCACACTCGGATGCGGATTTCAGACCGACTGACCGACATATGCGCTCCGTGCTCACGAATCCGCTCTTCAGTTATGTCCCGAATGCCCACGAGTCCAAAGCCGACAGAGACCCTATGGACGTATTCGATGAGGCTGTAGCGAAGGGAATGATGAACACGCACTATGCTAGGACCTGCTTGAATGCGAAGAAGCGAGAGATTATACAATCACCTGTGCTTAGCGTTCGAGAAGGCATGAGAGATTCGGGGGCGGGATTGAAAGTTTTGAGATGGCTGCTGTCCAGCGGAACAGCTAACGATAACGAATTCTTGAAAGATGGGCAATTCGCCGAAATCTTCATGCAATATGTGGTCGCCGAAGGGCTACAGGAGGCTGCTTGGAAGTGGATAAAGAGGGCTTTCGATGACTACCCGCGCTTCTCTGAACTCTGGGGGCCGGAAAGGGCAGCGGCCCGTCGAGCTATGGTCAGACCACTCATGTACTTGGTCAGGGCCGAGGCTTCGGGGCCTGTGAGCTTAGACGCTGCATATATGTGTATATCCAGAGCTGCTGGATATCTTAAAGGGCTATCAGCTCTTCAGATGAGGCAACTGTTAGGCCCTCCCGGATGGTTCTTATCACACGAGACGATCATGTCGCATTCCGACCATCTACCCGCGTCCGAATTAGCATTTGATTCCTTCCTTGCATTAATTCCAGTTATGTCAAGAGAGGTTGAGTATCACTTTGCTCATCTACAGCTTCTTCATCCTTCTCGCCCAAGTGCGAGCTTAGCACTAGAGTTCCTACGAAAGTTGGATACACCCCGAGACGGGGTTACGCCCCTTAATAGAGCAAGTTCAACTTATGAGCACAGCATAATCCAGTTGAGTCTGGACACAGCCAAATTTTTGCTGGAGAATGAGCGGTTTGATGATGCTCAATGGGTTATGGAATACCTGCGGACTCATTACCCAAGACGCTTGGGATTAGCCCAGAGGGAGCAATTGGAGCAAGCAAAGGCAGAGGCTTCAAGTCTACAATTACTCGAAGGTCTCAGTCTGGCATGAATAGAGACTGGGACAATTCCATGGAATGACATTCGGGATTTATGGGTTCTAGGGTTGGGTATTTGACCGGTGTTTGAAAGGCGTTCGGGATATTCAAAGGCTCTGAAGTATATACATTCTTGTTGTAGCCCGAAGGGACTACTTACTACATGACATCTCCGTTCGACCATGAGTTGGCGCGTATAACTGTTGCCAATCACGCCCTGTGAAGGGTTCTCTCTTATCTCCCTTCTGAAAAGGGTGGCCAAATTTCCTTTGTCTCTGACTGAGTCGTATTTCCGCATCTTTTGTATCGATGCATTGTTGATGACTGTGGTATTGGTTACTGCCGACCGCCGTACACAAATGACGTCTCTCTCACTCGTTTCTTAGCCTTTTACCCTTCTTGAATTCCTTGACTTGACCTTCAAGGGCTTCAAGGGCTTCAACAAAGCTCAATGCTGCCATGACCTGCATTAGTCCGCGCCTTCAGTCACTCATCATGAGGCTTACACATCCAGGCACAAGCACCTCTTGAACTAGGCACCTCGTATCCGACTCTCTCTCTCCACGGCAAAAGAGACCGAGGCATGCGCAGGTACAATCCACATCCAGGACCCTTCAGAAAAGCTCACCCAAATAGCCAAAGGTACAAAAGGATCCCGGTGCACGTCGGGCAATCAACCTCAGGGCATGGCTGGCTGTAGCTCTCCCCACGAGCACAAGGAAGCGAGTCATGCAGTTCCCCGCCATCGACCGCACAGTGCGATTGTCCATGAGCGCCTCGGATTCGCTGTCTGTCTGTCTAATAAATGCCTCCTGAGCTCCACAGCCTCCACCTCAGATGTGGCTTGATCAGATCGATCTCGTCCTCTCGGCCCACCCCATTCGTTGATTTGCCCGCCTGCCCTTGATCCAGGCATTCCTCCCGCCCAGCTTGGTAAGATACAATGGGTATGGTATGGTTAGGACTGCTGGATGCGTTACCTGGGTACTTTAGTACTTAGGTAGGTACCTATCTTCCTTAAGTCTCCCAATAGCGTCATCTGTGTATCTTCCCTTCTCGCTTGTCCGGACGTCACCTCCTCCTCTCACTTCTCTTGCTCTGTCGCATTCCATCAACATTCGCGACGCATACTGGCGCATTAGCAATTCTGGGTCGCGGATCTAAGTTCCATATCCTTTCCAAACATTTTGCTTTCATACCTTTCCCTGCACCTCTTTACACCCACCATCCACCATGTCCGCAGACAAGGCTCAGGAGGGAGACGAAGGTAAGGATAACTCCTTCCTTCGTACTGTATGCTGGAAGATTCGATTGGACCCCTTGCCTTGAAACGTAGACAGTCCCCTTCAACTTCTTATGATCTGACACCGCATCCGACCTTAGTTTCCGGGAGCCTTAACAATGGTTCGAATCCATCTGGTGTCGCATCAGAAACCAAGCCCGGCGACGTACCCGTCGCTTCTCAAGGCGACAACGAGACAACCGCGACAGGGACCGACGCTGAACGGGGCGATGCCAACACCGGGGAGCCTACCAGTGAACCAGATGTAACCCAGAAAGGAGAGCAGAACGCAGACTCGGGGGATTCGGGGGAAAAGAAGGAAGGCGAGAAAGAGGATGAGAAAGAGGGTGAGAAGAAAGATGAGAAGAAGGATGAGCCTCCAGTAGAGAAGGCGGTTGAGAAGGAGGATGAAGGAAAGGACGAGCCTCAGGCTGAGAAGAAGGATGAGCCACAACCCGAGAGTAAGGAGACCGAGAGTAAGGAGACGAATGGGGCTACTAAGGAAGAGGAGGCTCAAGTGGGTGAGAAGAGGAAGGCTGATGAGAGCGCCGAGCCTGAGAAGGCCGCTGATACTGAGGAGCCGGAAACCAAGAAGCAAAAGCCGAGCAATGGTACTGCTGCCACGAATGGGACGAAGAGAGGACCAGGAAGACCTAAGGCATCTGCTGGTGGGGAGAAGAATGCTTCAGCCACAAAGAAAGAGAAAAAGGTCCCCAGAACTGGTACCTCTCAGAGAAAGACAAGAAGTCAAGGATCTGCTCCGGAACCTGGTTTGTAACGGGTGATGGGAATTGGTGCATCATTTGGCTATTGGATGGGACTGGGGACTTGGCTAAGTCGGGTTTATACATTCATGGCTGAGGAGGGGCTTCCTCAAGTTTTTTTGTACATTGTTCTCAAAAATGGGCATAAAAGCGTTCTATCATTTATTCCTCATCCCATGCCTGGGGAGCTCCCATTGAAACGAGCCAACTGAAGGAACTAAATGGCAAGTCAATTGGCACAGAAGCACAGACCCAGCATCGAATCACTGTACGTGAAGATCTTCAACACTTACATAGATGCAGAAACTAGCATCGTGATAAGAGAATATACCTTCTGAGATGTCTGTCAGAATAGCCAATATTACAGGCGAGGTCAGCTTAGCGTGCATGAAATAGACGCATTTGCAGTTGCATTGCTGATCATCGTGCCTGAAGCAGACAAGAGAATAGTGTGCTCAGACAAAGCAGCAGAAAGACGAGACTCTTAATCTTGTAGGAAACTCTATAGAGGAGCGAATCAAGAAGAGGTGGAGATATCGGAGAAAAGATATGGATGATGAGAGAGAGATAAAGCTTATGAGAGGAGAGATCGCTCGGCCTTGATTCCATCCTTGATGGGGAAACAGAGCCTATAGGCATTAGTAGTAACCAAATGCTGAGCTATATGTAGACAAAAAGGAGTTTCATTTTTCCATCTTTGACCTACTCTCAGTAAGTCAAAGATCCCAGTATACGTACACATGCTCCCCGACAGTTTTCATCGCTATACGAAAGAGTCTTGAGACTCATTCGAATACCTGAACACCTGCTTGAAGACTGATAACGGAAGTTGTCATCAGAAACATAGTAGATAACAAGGATAGTATTATCAATTAGGTTGTATGGTTACAACTGCAACAGTTATAACTGAAGCAAGGTACAGATAAAGGGTATCTAGAAGCACAATAATACACTCACAGCCAGGTTTACTCATCATCAAGAATATTACTGGCAAGTCGACCAAAGAAAGGGACTTCAAATCGATCCAGCGTATCCGCTAGATACACCATTAGCACAAGCCTACCACCATCTCTTGAGCAGAACTCACCATCCCGGTATGCCCGGAAAGTCAGATACGCGATCAACAATATATCTCCGACGAAGAACGTCCATGACAGAAACGCTGACCACGAGAAGATCAGATGCAGGACGAAGATACTCGAGAACAGCAACGCAGACTGCCAAGCATGAAACCTGCCGCCGGAATATCAATCAGCACACCAACCCATCAACTCCCCCCCTTCTCAACCTCCACTTCCCTCTGAGAGCTCCCAAACAAAACTCACCTCACGTAATCGCTCTTATGCTCCATAACCAACAACAGAACCCCGCCCGCCGGCGGTAACAGCAGGTATGCCAGACACGCCTCGTAGTCCAACCGGATCGGCAGGCTGGTCTCGAATTCATTCAGTCCCCCGCGGCCGCTCTCCAGATCCGCCGCGCCGACGAACCCGCTGCTACCATTGCCAAACGCTCGCGCTGAGGTATCGGCCGTCGTTTCCCAGGGATTGAAGGCATGGCGTTGAGGGGATTGAGGTGGTGAGCGGCCGCGCGCAAAGCCGGGAGAGAAGGATCGTCTGCCTTCGATGGGCGGCGAGAGGGCTCGATTGGTTTCGGGGGATTGGTCTTGATAGGGTGCGAAATCCATGGCGAGTTTGCGGTTATGGGCGTTGTGTGAGAGACATTGGATTTTGGTACGGCGGCGACGCGGCAGAGGGAGGGTCGTGTGCCTCGTGCCTCGTTTGCCTCAGGGATTAGGATAAACCAATGAATTACAATCAATACTACAGACACCTAAACTTCACCAATTTGGCTTATAGAAATCTTTGGAGCAATAGAGCTGTTTGTTCACAGCAGATACCCACACCATGGCCTTCAACTAGACAGCTTGGACGCTGAAAACGCCCCCGAACCCCCCTTCCCCCCAACCCTCCCCACAAAGGAAAACTCCCTCAGGGGGTCAGAGCCAAGAACCCCTCTGAGGGGCCCCTAAGCTTCGCATTCATGATGATGCTTTCTTCCTCCCATACAGACTCCTGTTCTTTTAAAGCACAAACCCGTCCTGTACATAGCCCTGTTCGTTCCCTTTCCAATCATCATCTCTTCTATCATTATTCATCGAAATTCTATTGCTGCAAAGCATCCACGATCCTCAACATGTTTCAGTTCCAGCTGTTGAAACCTGTGCTATATGTCAGATAAGAGTAAATAGCCATAATGCGATCCAACTTACTTTTCGCTTTTCGAATGAAAATAAATACCGCTAATGGTCCCTTGAATCTGGTTGAAGCAGATGTAATAGAACCCCTCAAAACTCGCACCACTGATCGTGCGTACTCGGTGATCTGGAACTAAGAAGTGCTCCTTCCACCGCATGAATATATTTTCTCGTTGCGCGAGACCGGGAATGTAAAGTTGACCTTTTCTGGCCAGCTTCTGATAGGGGCGGAAAGCGGAAAACTTGGCCCAGTGTTGTAGGTCTACCTTGTCCGTTGAACCCCAATCTTGATGTTGAGTAAGAAAAGAGTATTTTGAGCCGATGATTTCCCCCTCGAAATAGGTGGTGAGCGTTGGGTGGTCTTCCGTCAAGCCTATTTCATGCAACCAAACGTTAGCCCGCAGCCGCAGCAATGGATAGCAGAGCGCATTACCTTGAATGCGTAGATATCCGCAGAGAAATGATTCCCTCATATCAACATGCTTGATTTCGACCTGAACATCGTAAACCTGACGTTCGGATTGTTGGGTGCCATGGAATCTGCTGCCAGCGCGTAAGAGGGCAGGGGAAGAAGGTCTCAACTAAGCCACGGATTAATATTTAAAATTCAAATACAGTCAAGTCAACCAAGGACGTACTCGGACGTTGGAGAAGTCGTAGCCCATAGATGGCGAGCTAAGGCCTGCGCTGGACAATGCAGGCAACTCGTTCTCTTCATGCTTCTCGCCATCTGCACTCGTGGGGGATAGCATATCTGGAGCCATAGTTTCATCATCAATATCCATACGCTTGATATTCTGCTGTTCTGGTATATGTGCCCCCGTGGAACTGGCTGCTCGTGAATCAGACGGAGGCGGTGTTGGCTCCTGATGTACTTCAGGGGGCGCAACGACTAATCCATCGCGAACATCGTTCATCTCGGCACCTCTCCAACTAGATCTGTCATCGTCGGGTGGGCATAAGTTGTACGGCGATATGTTTGCAGCGATGTTCTCGTCGCTCGAGGGAGTGGGCATTTGGTTGCGCCGGCACCGGCCAGGCTCGAAGGACAGGCGATTCTAATGATACAGGAATAGAAGTGAAACAGAGAAGTGCTTAGTATTAGATGGACATGACGCCACTATGCTGTACAGACCTTACAAGTGATGGGCGAATACGGAACAATTTGATACCTATGAGAGCAGTGGGTGGGAGGTTTCGACTGAGGCGTCGACGGTCGACTACAGGAGGCGAGAGAGCCACATAGGTAAATAATTACATAGAGCGCATGGTTGGCTGATTCCGACATTCCCCCGCCATAGAACTTTCCTCTTGTCGCGTGTCAGAATGCTGTCAGATGGTAAGTTGCATCTTTGTTCAATTTCAGATTAATAAATGCCTACCCTGTAGGTACCTTATGCATCTGCTATTCTTCCCAACTATCCCAGTGCACATAGCGGTCCTCCTTTGTGAGAATCCCACTATAGACCGAAACAAATCAGTCCATGAAAAGAGCCGGTGATCAGGACCATCGGTCTTTTGAAATACAGAGAATAAAAACTGCAATTTCACTTGAAGAACGAGCGCAGCCCTAGGTGTCCCTGTCATTTCGCCATCGGTTTCTTTCCTGACACTATGGTATCCCTTCCTCAGTGCAAGTATAAAACGCCTAACACCTTTTGATTCCACATATCCCACAACCCCCCTCAGATAGGCTTGATCTTAAAGTGGAGTGCTATTAGAGAAAACACCAATGCTTTCAGATCCTGCACGAGATAGTAGAAAACCCTTAGACCTTCGGGATCTTGAGACTCGGTGACATCGACTAAAGAGCCAATTTTGGCGGTCTGGGAAAGACAAAATCGTCAGTACATAAAGCTAGGAGATACCATAGGTGCTATATCATACCTCAAATGAAATATGTTCGTTGCCTAGGCGGATTTCCAATTCCTGACGCCCGTCCTTATTCTTCTGGGGCCATTTGCTATCATCCTCCCTATTCGAGTATAAGCCGGCTGGTTTGAGGTCGTATACTATGTATATACGTACTTCATGATTTCGCTGGTCTTAATGATGCGCTTGATCTCGTCAATCAAGAGAGAGCTAACACACACTGTAAAGAGTGCCGAGTCAGTCAAAATCAATGCCAGGTGGTATAGAGCGCGACGTACTCTCCTTGCGGATCAGGGAGTCGTTTCGGTAATTGGAGTTGTTTGCATATCGCGCAGATGCACTCCTCCCATCACCTAGGACACGAAAGTCGAACTCTGTTGGTTATCGTTAGAGGAATGCGCCCAGTAAATGTTTAGAGGCGCTCACCAAGGAATTCGTGCCCGTGTCGACCTTGATGCCCTGAGCTGGCAAAGGACGTTAGCATATTGAAACCATAAAGAAAATATTAACATACTAGTAGCGAATGTAGAAAGGTTCATTAGAAGCCGCCATAGCTTTGTTGTTGGACTGACAGTCTGATAGAGAAAGGCTGAAGCTTTGGAGATCCAGTCGCGATCTTAACCACCGACTAGATCTACTGTAGTGGGGCCCTGTTTATGCCACAAATTCCAGGCATGACGCTAGTTAAAGGGGACACGCTGGGACATCTAGAAAGCTGCACCGCAAGTCTGAAAGTTGAGCATGTACTGCTGATGCGCAACGCTGCCACGCGTTTCTCTCACTGTGTGAAGGAAGCATCAATCATTCTCTCGTATTTGGTTCTTTGCCTTCCCTATTAGCACGAACTACGCCGACCTTCGAGCAACGCACAGAGTACATTTCAACATCCCCTCGATTACCCACGAGAAACCGAACCAGCCTACCTTGGCGTTGGTTCTTCCACCATTCAGCCAATATGGCTTCTTTCTTAGAGAGTTCCTACAGTTTGGTGCATCAGGACAATGCGGCGGATGTACCTACCATGTCCGAGTTGCGGATGCAGCTGGAGAAAGGGACAGATGAGAGCAAGGTGGAAACAATGAAGCGCATTCTCACGATTATGCTGAATGGCGATCCAATGCCTCAATTACTTATGACCATCATTCGTTTTGTTATGCCATCGAAGCACAAGGCTCTCAAGAAGCTGTTGTATTTCTACTACGAAATATGCCCGAAATTGGATGCCACTGGGAAGCTGAAGGATGAGATGATTCTTGTCTGGTATGATTTGTACCAGAAGAACTTTATGAGCATTGATCTGATCTCTTCACAGTAACGGTATCCAACATGATCTGCAACATCCTAATGAGTACATTCGCGGCAACACCTTACGATTCTTGTGCAAGCTTCGTGAACCCGAGCTCATCGAACCCCTCCTATCCGCTGCTCGGGCATGCTTGGAGCATCGCCATGTGTACGTCCGCAAGAATGCCGTTTTCGCTATCGCGTCTATCTACCAGCACTCCGAGAGTTTGATTCCCGACGCCCCTGAATTGATAGCGACATTTCTAGATGCAGAGAATGATCATACTTGCAAGCGGAATGCGTTCGCAGCGTTGGTGAGCATCAGTCATGACAGAGCCTTGGCATATCTTAGCAATGTCTTCGATGGGATTCCAAATGCAGATGAGCTCTTACAACTGGTCGAGTTAGAGTTCATCCGAAAAGATGCTATTCAGAATTCACAGAATAAGGTATGGAAATGGTTTCAAATTGCCGAGAATCTGACTGATTATTTAGGCCCGTTATTTACGGCTGATCTTTGACCTCTTGGAGGCTGGTGCGAGTACGGTGGTGTACGAGGCAGCCTCATCCCTGACTGCCTTAACCAGCAATCCGGTTGCAGTCAAAGCTGCTGCTTCGAAGTTCATAGAACTCAGCATCAAGGAAGCTGATAACAACGTAAAACTCATCGTGCTTGACCGAGTCGATCATTTGAGACAGAAGAATGAAGGCGTCTTAGACGACTTGACCATGGAAATCCTCCGAGTTCTATCAAGCCCAGATATTGATGTCCGGAGGAAAGCCCTAGGAATCGCGTTGGAGATGGTCTCTAGCAAGAATGTTGAGGAGGTCGTGCTACTCTTGAAGAAAGAGTTGACGAAAACGGTTGACCAAGAATACGAGAAGAACAACGAATACCGACAACTGCTGATCCATTCGATACATCAGTGCGCAATCAAATTCTCAGAGGTGGCTGCCAGCGTTGTTGGTCTTCTGATGGACTTCATTGCTGATTTCAACAACACATCCGCTGTCGATGTGATCTCATTCGTAAAAGAGGTGGTAGAGAAGTTCCCAAAGCTCCGTCCAACCATCGTCGAACGTCTTGTTTCAACCTTGAGCGAAGTTCGGGCCGGGAAGGTGTACCGAGGAGCCTTGTGGATTGTGGGAGAATATTCTCTTGAGGCCAACGATATCAGAGATGCGTGGAAGCGCATTCGAGCTAGTCTGGGTGAAATTCCTATTCTGGCTTCAGAACAACGTCTTCTCGATGAAGCTACTGATGGGGCCGAACCTCAAAAAGAGCCCGAGCAAGTCAACGGACACTCAAAGGCCGCCCCCACCGGTTCACGCAGAGTGCTTGCTGACGGAACTTACGCCACTGAGAGCGCCCTCACGAGTCAATCAGCTGTAGCTGCAAAATTAGAAGCAGTCAAGGCTGCCCAAAAACCACCCCTTCGACAACTTATCCTAGATGGTGACTATTATCTCGCCACTGTCTTATCATCTACTCTCACAAAACTTGTCATGCGCCATTCAGAAATCTCGCCAGACAAGGCTCGCACCAACGCCTTGCGCGCGGAAGCCATGTTGATCATGATCTCTATTATCCGTGTCGGTCAATCACAATTTGTCAAAGCTCCTATTGACGAAGATTCCGTCGATAGGATAATGACGTGCGTGAGATCCCTCGCGGAATTTGCCCAGAACAAAGACCTCGAGACGGTCTTCTTGGACGACACCCGAAAGGCATTCCGCGCTATGGTGCAAGTGGAAGAGAAAAAGCGAGCAGCAAAAGAAGCAGTTGAAAAAGCAAAGACTGCGGTCCAAGTTGACGATGTAGTCTCGATCCGGCAACTAGCGAAGAAGAACTCTGGTGACGGCACCGATGAGATAGAGCTTGACCTCGAAAAGGCCACGGGTGGTGATTCAACAGTCGAAGATCTATCGTCGAAACTGAGCCGAGTCGTGCAACTCACTGGTTTCTCAGATCCAGTTTACGCAGAAGCTTATGTCAGAGTACACCAATTCGATATTATTCTCGATGTTCTCCTTGTGAACCAAACCACCGAAACGCTTCAGAATCTCTCAGTGGAATTCGCAACACTGGGTGATCTTAAGGTTGTCGAAAGACCCACCACGCAAAATCTTGGCCCCCATGATTTCCAGAATGTCCAATCTACGATCAAGGTCTCCTCCACAGATACCGGCGTCATCTTCGGCAATGTTGTCTATGACGGTGCCAGCTCTACAGAGAACAATGTGGTCATCTTGAACGATGTGCATGTCGATATCATGGACTACATCCAACCGGCGGTTTGCACCGAGACGCAGTTCCGCACGATGTGGACTGAATTCGAGTGGGAGAACAAGGTCAACATTAACTCGAAAGCCAAGTCGTTACGAGATTTCCTGACACAGCTTATGGCTTGCACGAACATGAGCTGTCTGACACCAGAAGCTTCATTGAAGGGTGATTGCCAGTTCTTGAGTGCCAACTTATATGCTAGAAGCGTCTTTAGTACGTTCCCAATACTTCTTTCTGGAATTTCAACTAACAATTTGCAGGCGAGGATGCACTTGCGAACTTGAGCATCGAGAAGGAGGGAGAAGATGGGCCGGTGACAGGCTTTGTGCGTATTCGAAGTAGATCGCAAGGCTTGGCGCTTAGTCTTGGGTCGCTCAAGGGTTTGAACAAGGTTGGAGAAGTCGCCTGAGGGGGAAATGACCGATGACGATCAGTGGGTTATGTTGCGGATTGCGGACAATCACACTTCTAATGAATACCAGGAACAAGTAGAAGAATTTGAGTGGCTAAGGAGAGTTAGTTGTACTTGCGGGCGGCGGATTTGCGAAAGTTGTGTGCAAGGTAAGCCACGCTTTCCTGCGAATCATAATGAAAGGCGCAGAAAAGCAAAAAGGGAGTTATGTAGGTAGATCCAGGGGCATTGCAATATATACCTACCTTCGATGACCGATACCGTATCCATGTGTGCCTGCCTCGGTCCAGTCAGAAGAGCCTGGTAACCTGGAACCTTTAACTCTCTATTTACGGAGTACCTTATGGTTCGAAGTCCATATAGGGCCGGTGCCGCTCGCCTGCCCATCTGGAGACGAGGGTTAACTATACCTAACTAGGTTGGGTCAATTTCAACCATTTGGTCAGGATGAGGTCACAGATACTCTGTATAGAGGAATATAGGTTAGGCGGGTATATATAAAGTATAGAGAGATCTATAGATATCTATAGATATCTACAATAGTCCCACGACGTCAATGCCGCTGGGTGGCAGAACCCATAATAGGCTTAGCGGGCCGGGGCGGGGATGAGGCCGACGGCCGGCCTAAACGCACATCGGTTAGTTTACCGAGAGAACGGCATCTGACGCTGTTAGAGTCCCAGCAACGGAAAGTGGACTAGCCGCTTCCAGTCGACCTTGGAAGCTCAACGCTGCCAGCTACCGTCCACCTTTTGCTCTCCTTTCCTTTGCAACAATCATGCTTAGGATATCGATATCAAGGCACGTAGAGCAATGACCACAGCTATGGCGACGGACAATCCCTTTCGTGATCCCGCGACTTCCTCGGACGAGCTCGGCCGCGACAATTCCGTTACGATGGATTCTACTTTGGCCGTTGGGAGAGATGCGTCATTGTCCCTGGGAACGGACTCGTTGGTCGTGCTGGGTGAGTTGCAAGTACAATATCAGGCCAGGCCTATAGCTAATGGTTGGGTTAGACGAGGCATTTGAAAATGGAGGCATAGGCTGTTGTGGGCTGTGGCCATCAGGTACCTTTCCGGTATTTTCGGATCATGTTCCCTCCAACTGACAGAACATACTCCAGGCACCGCAAACACACGCTCAGTTCCATTTTATAATATCCTTTGGGCTGAGCTCCAAGGTGACGTGCTTTCAATTGACTATGCTGCTTCGCTCTCGAAAACTACAGTCCGGCCTGCGACTCTCAAGTACCCCGTCGAAAAACCTGACCTGGACCGAGTGAACAAATGGCTTGGCAAGTTGTTAGATCGTTCATATGGGGAAGCGCAAAGGAGGAAACGCGCAAAGATTCTGGTCAATCCCTACAGTGGGAAAGGAAGTGCTGAGAAATGGTATCGCCGAGATGTGGAACCTCTCTTAAAGGCAGCACGATGTAGTATTGATATGGTCAAGACAAGATATCGTGGTGAGGCAGTGGAGATAGCCGAGAAGATGGATATTGATGCCTTCGATACTGTCGTGGCCTGTTCCGGCGATGGTCTTCCTCACGAGGTATTCAATGGTCTTGGAAAGAGAGCGGATGCCAAGAAGGCGTTGTCGAAAATGGCAGTTTCCCATATCCCCTGTGGGAGTGGTAATGCTATGAGCTGTAATGTGAATGGAACGAACAGCGCAAGTCTGGCTACCCTAGCCATCATCAAAGGCATACCAACTCCCTTAGATCTGATATCGATCACTCAGGGGGAGACCCGGACGCTAAGTTTCTTATCTCAGTCCGTCGGCATTGTGGCGGAGTCCGATTTGGCTACTGAGAACTTGCGATGGATGGGTTCCGCGCGATTCACGTATGGATTTCTAGTACGGCTCTTGGGGAGAACCGTCTACCCCTGTGATCTCGCGGTAAAAGTTGCCATAGAAGACAAACCGTCAATCAAAGAGCATTATGGAAAAGAGCAAGACAACGACGAGCCAGCAAGTGAACGAAGAGGATACAAGACCCTCCTCGACGACGATGCCTCGGCGAGCAGTGGGAACGAGGATGGGTTACCGGCCCTAAGATATGGGACGGTTAATGACAAGCTTCCTGAAGGATGGGAACTGATCCCATATGACAAGATGGGGAATTTTTATTGTGGAAATGTAAGAACGGTCCTCCGCCTTATCAATGCTGTAGTCTGACTTTCCTAGATGGCATACATGGCTGCGGATACTAATTTCTTCCAATGCGCTCTTCCAAACGATGGTTACATGGACCTTGTCTGCATCAATGGCGATATCAGCCGTCTAGCAGCAATACAGATGATGCTTGCCGTCGAGAACGGCAAGTTCTTCGATAACCCATTAGTTTCATATCGCAAGATACTTGGCTATCGCATCATACCCAAAAATCAGAAAGACGGCTATATCAGTATAGATGGAGAGCGTGTTCCTTTTCAACCTTTCCAAGCGGAGGTGCATAAGGGTTTGGGTACAGTACTGTCGAGGACTGGGCACATGTATGCAGCTCCTGGGCCTCTTTGATTAGCATGTGATTTTCAATGGCGTTTTCACCAAAAGGGGTTCTCTTCTTGACCTGCCAAAAATGATACCCAGAGGTGGACAGTCTATGCGAGCTTTGGGATATTTTGTAACTACTTTTTGTACTACCAGCAGAATAGGAACATTACATTGACCTCAACGCCTTGCCTACAATGCCGTGATTTTCCATGGTATTCAACGCCCCCAGAAATACAGATAGGCCCTAAATCAGTCGTCAAATCCACCCCACTGATCATCGTCTCCCTTTGATTGTTCCTCTTCCTCGGTCTTCTTATTTCCCGGTAGTCGTTCATCTTGTAATTGCTCCTTAGCCTTAGTCCTCACCGGCTTCGTGGGACTCTCTTTCGCCAATCTCCTCAATGGCTCCAGCAATGTATCCAGCAAGCCATCCTTCCTATCCTCATCCTCCAACAGACCCACCCTCTCCAACTCATCAACATAGATATCAATAACATGAAAGCGCATGCCGTTCGGAATTCGTATGTTATCCACATTGCACGGGATCTCCATCAACAAGTCCATATGCTCCCGCACCAGCGCCTCCTCCCAGTCCCCTCTCTTCAAGACCTGAAACGTAGCGCCCAGATACCGTCTCGTAAGCAGGAGGAACTTCTCCATGCGCAGAACATCGATGTTTGTCCATTCCCTCTGCATCGTCTGCCAGTAGGCTCTGAGGAATGGTATCACGGTGGGCTGGGGGACGATGGAGACGAGGTCAGCGAGCTCGTTGGCCAGCGCCTGTTGGGTCCTCGGTCGGTCGGACATCCACATGCAGTAGAAGAGACCCTTCCATAGCTTGAGTAGCTCGAGGGCCGGCAGCTCGCGTCTTCCAGAGAGAAAAGTGCGTAGGGATTGGAGGGCCTTGTCGCGAGTTGGTCGGTCTGCGGGAAGTTTAGTATTATGGGGAGAGACCAAGGAGGACAGAACATACCATTAGCAGCAAGTTCCTTGACAAAGGGTGTTTGTTGAATATCTGAAGCCATAACTATTTCTATGGTGGTGGGGGTGGGGGTGGGGTTGTTCTGTTGTGGTAATTCCTATTCACTTTCCTGGCGGAGGGGCGTGAAAGAAAATATTTAGTGGGTCCTGTCCCCGAGGCTGAAATCTGAAAAATATAAATCACGGAACTTCTTACCTCCGACCTCCGATACCCGAACACCGACAACATCAGCCTTGCATTAGCGTTGGCCATCTCCCAAAGATGGCAGACGGCAATCCGAAACCACCTCGTACTCGACACCAATTCAAAAATCGCAGTCAACACGAAAAGGTCGAAGTCGAACAAGAGGAAACCGCCAGCTCCGGTGGGGACGATAAATCCGGGATGACGTTCCTCGACCATTGGCGCAACCATGGGAATCCCGTAAGTTTATCTCGCGTCAATTGCTTTTCTGCGCTCTTCCCAGTACGCAGTGAGCGAGGCTGTGGCTCTCTCTGCTGGTGAACACAGCTGACAACTACAGACGACCAGCCAGGAGGAGCTCGACAAGTGCCCGCACTGTCAGCTGCTCAGGTTCTCAAACTTCGAAAAGTACCCGGTCCGCATCAGGAACACGCAGAACAAGCAGGTCATCCCGGTCGGCTTCACTTTCATTGAGGAGTCGATCATCCGCGAAGGAGTCACCGTTGCGAGCGACGAGTTCCACTCGGGATGCAGCTGCAAGAGCGACAGCGACTGCCAGCGTGAGGGCTGCTCTTGCTTGCAGGATATGGTGTTCGACAAGCTTGGTCCCAACAACAAGATCTACGCGTACCATAGCACGGGCTCCAAGAAAGAGCTGTTGAGAGGAGATTTGCTCGACTCCCGCGACCCGATCTACGAGTGCCACAGCGGCTGCTCTTGCAGCGCGAACTGCCCGAACCGCGTCGTTGAGCGAGGCCGCAAGATCCCCTTGGACCTCTTCAAGACTGAGGATGGTCGTGGCTGGGGTAAGCATCCCTTCTCCTTCTTCAATTCTACCTCTATATATCTCAATTCCATTCTAAATGCTAACTTCTACAAGGTGTTCGATGCCAGTATCCGATCAAGCGTGGACAATTCATCGACAAGTACGTTGGAGAGATCATCACCGCCGAGGAAGCCGACCGGCGCCGCAACGCGTCCAAGATCGCCAAGCACAAGGACATCTACCTGTTCGCGCTGGACAAGTTCACCGACCCGGAGAGCCACGACGTGCGGCTCCGCGGCCCCTCCCTCGAGGTCGACGGCGAGTACTTCTCGGGCCCGACGCGCTTCATCAACCACAGCTGCGATCCCAACCTGCGCATCTTCGCCCGGGTCGGGGACTACGCCGACAAGCACATCCACGACCTGGCCTTCTTCGCCATCAAGGACATCCCGGCCGAGACGGAGCTCACCTTCGACTACGTCGATGGCGAGGACACGGATCTTGCCAGCGACGCTCGCGATCCCAAGAAGAAGAAGAACATGACAAAATGTCTGTGCAAGTCGCCCAACTGCCGTGGCTATCTCTGGTAAAAAACATCATCGGCATCTCTCTCTCTCTCTTTATGATTTCTCGTGCGTGGTTGGTATCTGGGGCGGCTCGGCTTTCACGGCGTTAACAATACCCCTCCTATCCGGCGTTTTCGCGATCAATCATAGACCGGGAATATGAATGAGCAGTCAATCAGTCAGTCAGGTCACGCATCGTATTACTCGTTGCTCTTTTTTGCTCTCTAAAGGCAACGAGTAGAGGAGTGTTCACTTTTGCTATTATGGAATGGGTGCGAGTCCTTCTTTTGCACATCTACAGATTCTGTAGTTAGGCAGGCAGGCAGTCAAGCACAGATCAAGCAACTAAAAAAGCAATCGTTGATTTTTTCTTCATCGCATCCCAAACGTGACTGACTATAAGAAATATATATTATATATCTCACATGCCAGCGTAGTAAAACCAAGTTGTGATATTCGATGGCTCTTAGAAATAACTAACTGAATGGCTGGCTGGCTTCGAGCCGTGTTTGCAAACTCGTTCACATCATTTTTGAGATTCTAACCTAAAGTCAGAGACTTATTCAAGACGATCGAGTGTTTTGTTATGATATTTTAGGCGGTTTATTGATAACGCGGTGTTCTCGACAGAAAGAATCCTTAAGGTAAGGTAGGTTAAACAAAACGCATCTATCTACCTTATCCATCATCCATCCACCTCCGTATTATGACCCCCCCAGAACGCCCCCAAAGAAAATGAAAAAAAGAGACTTCATATAACAATAAAAATACCCAGCGAAACAGCCAAACAGCAAAACAATGATATATATATATGACCCGAGTCTCCCAAAAACAAAAAACAAAAGAGATCTACGCAATGAGCAGATCCTTAACGCTCATGCCGCGGGCACCCGCAGCAGGGCTTCCTCCTTGCGTACCCCTCCGATCCGTATTCAGCATGAGCAGCGCCGCCGTAGCCTCCTGATCCAGATCGCGCTGCGGCGGCAATGCAGGGCTGGTCAGGGTGGAGGCCGACGCTGCGCTGCGGGCGTAGTCGTAAGCCGTCGTCGTTGGGCCGAGGGAGGGGGACGTGGTCGAGGATGTGCTGAAGCTGTAGTGCCGCGCGTGCTCGGATGAGTACGAGTCCTGGCGATGCCGCGTGTTGTCCTGGGGTAGCAGCGCGGGGGACTCGGATGGGCGCTGCGAGGAACGAGGCATCGATGGGGATGGTCTTTCGGAATCGCACATTTCCACATCCTCGTCTTCCCCGTATGGTGCTGAATATGGTCGCGAAGAGCTATTATACTGCTCCTTCGCGGCTGGTGGGGGGAGAAGGAACTGCTGCTCTGCAGCGGGGGTGGGGTTGGTACGTTTGTTTTCGGCCTTCAGCTTCGCAACGCAATCCTCAAGATACCGGACGTAGTCAATGGACGCCTGGCGGGAGCAGTCAGTAAGTATCGAAGATCCGTTGGCCACTCTGGCTACAGCTAGCCCCCAACTTACCTGTAATATGGCTAGTTTGTGCATCTCCCCAGTACATGCGGGTATCATATCCTTCAGAACTCCAAACTCCTCATTCATCTTCGATCTTCTGCGGCGCTCAATCAGGCTATGCGCCGTCTTCCTTGCGATCTTGCGGCCGGCGACACTCGTGGAAGACGGCTGCTTCTTCTTTGCCGGTGACGCCTTTCCGGCCCCGTTGTTCTTGGGCCCTTCGGCAGCAGGAGTCTCCGCGTGCTCTTCCGGCTGTGCTTTGGGTTTCATCTGGATGATCTTCCGGGACCGAGTCGGGGGCGGAGGCAAGGCGAAGGAGTCCTTATTGGGGGTCTGCGCCACCGAGGACCGTCGGCGGATCTTGACCACCTCGCTGGGAGGAAGGACGGGCGACTTGGGCGACGACGGGTGGTACGAGGAGCCCGTCGAGTCCTTGGTGGAAGCAGTCGAAGGCCGAGACTCTCCTCCTCCTCCAACTACAGCGGGAGGAGGAAGTTCAAAGGACATTTGGAGAGAGGAGAACTGTGAACCATCCTTTCCCTTGATCTCGGTGGAGGAGGCGGGGGTGGGTAGATGTTCAACACGAGGCATTTTGGCAGCAGAAAGAGCTCTGCGATTCAAGCTGGTCTCGTGCGCGACTTGTGCTCTTGCTCCGCCAAGTATGTATGTATATATATGTAAATATATAGCAAGATGAAGAAGACGGCTTGGTCAACAAAGAGAGGGCTTGATAGAGGTGCCAGTGGAGAGGTGGAGAGGAGAAGCAAAAAGGAGGAGGAGGGGAGGGGAGAGAGGAGAGATAGAGAAGGGAGAGAAAGAGGGGGAGGAGCGGGTTCCCGCCTACTACTGCTCTATGAAAGGATGAAAGGATGAGCGCCCCATCTTGCTGAGAGTTTTGACCAACCTAGGATGGCTACTATTCATACCACCTCTGCTTCTCTCCGGCCATGTTATCTCTGATCGTCGACGAAGCGAAAAAGAGCGTAACGAGTCCCTTGGGAACTGTCGCGTGAGCAGCGTGCTCGAATTGGTTGGCTGGCAGCGCAGCACAGCCCGTCGACCACTCACGGCGAGCGACCGCGCAACGTGGGGAGGGAAGCGAGCGAAGCGAGAGAAGCGAGAGATAGAAGCGAGAGAAACAAGCGAAAGCCGGGGCACGTGTCTGCTGACTAATCCCAGCTCAGATGGAAACCGAGGTCTAGCAGCACGGGCCAATCAATCAGTATAAAGGTGTGTTAATTCACGCCAGTTGGATCTGGCCAAGGAGCCAAGAAGCCTTCATGAACTTACTTTTGACGACTATAACGAGGTCGTCTTTTATCGATACCAGTAATACGTTATATATACCTATGCCGCGCACTAGCATCACATCCTCCCTCCTAATCTCGGGCCCGGTATAACTTTCCAGAGAACGCCGGCGGGATTGTATGGCCGATGCACAATAAGCACAATCAATCTTCCGATTCTTTAACGATGCAGGTTTTCTTTGTTTTGAATGTAGGTATGGAGTTATGTTCACTAGGTAGATACCTTATAGCAGGGTTGATGAGTTTGAGTGAGTGAGTTCGTTTATCATTCTTTTCAGCCTTGCGCTAAGATAGCAGTTATTACCTTATCTGAAAGGAATACATATATACAGCCTCGCCTTCCAGAAAATCAACTATTTGATACTCTAAGGTATACTTCTGCTCCCCGGAACACCGCGATTTTAATTACCTAGGTAGTTACTTATTTACCTACCTTACCTATCCATCTCGACCAAAACTCACAAACCCCTCTTCTCCCCTCAGACTTCATTACTGGGATAGCCCACGCTGGTCGCCCCCACAAACTCCTCCTTGATACTCCTTACACTCACAAACCGGCCCAACAGATTCAAGCTCCCTGCCTTATCATTCGTGCCGCTCGCCCGCGCGCCGCCAAATGGCTGCTGCCCTACCACGGCGCCAGTGCTCTTGCAGTTGATATAGAAATTGCCCGCCGCGTCTCTCAAGGCCTCCTCCGCATACCGGATGGCTTCGCGGTCACTCGCGAAGACGGAGCCCGTGAGCCCATATGCTGAGGTGCGGTCGATGAGGGCGCAGACGTCGGCGAAGGCGTCGGGGAGCGAGTCGTCGTAGATGTAGAGCGTGAGGATGGGCCCGAAGAGCTCGGTGGAGAGGAGCGGGTGCTCAGCGTTGCGGGACGCGTAGATTGTGGGCTGGATGAAGTAGCCTTTGGAGTTATCGTAGGCGCCCCCGACGAGGAGCTCGAGGTCGGGGTCCGTCTTGGCGGCGTCGATGACGCCGGCGAGTTTGTTGAAGGAGGCAGCGTGGATGACGGGGCCGATGAAGTTCTGATGCTCGGTTGGGTCGCCAATCGCCAGCGCGCTGGTTTCAGCAATGAGACGCTCCTTGAACTGTGGCCAGAGGGATTGCGGGATGTAGGCGCGCGACGTGGCGCTACATTTCTGGCCCTGATACTCGAAGGCCCCGCGCACAGTCTGCACGACGGCGTTTTCGACGTCCGCAGAAGGGTGGATGAGGTGGAAGTTCTTGCCGCCCGTCTCACCCACGATGCGGGGATAGCCTTGATACCTGCCGGCGGCGACGCCCTCGGCGATGGAGCCGTAGAGCTTGCGGAAGACGGCCGTGCTGCCTGTGAAGTGGAGCGCGGCGAGTTTCTCGTGGGCCAGCACGACGCTTGTGATTTCCTCCGGGTTCCCGGGGACGAATTGGATGACGTTCTTCGGGAGCCCTGCTTCGAGAAGGATGTTGTAGAGGAGCCAATTCGACGCAATCGCGGAGTCAGAGGGTTTCCACACTACCACGTTCCCCATCAGCGCCGGCGCCCCGGGGAGATTGCCTGCAATTGCCGTAAAGTTGAAGGGCGAAACCGCATACACGAAGCCCTCTAAGGGGCGGTACTCGATGCGGTTCCACACACCTGGCGAGTGGTGCGCCGGCTGCTGCGCGTACAGCTCCTCTGCATATTGTACGTTGAACCTGAGGAAGTCGACCAGCTCGGCGGCGGCATCGATCTCGGCCTGCCAGGCATTCTTGCCCTGGCCCAGCATGGTGGCCGCCATGATATGGTAGCGGTACTTGCCTGAGATCAGATCTGCCGCCTTGAGGAATATCGCAGCTCGATCGGCGAAGGGGAGGGATTGCCATGCGGGCTTCGCAGCGAGTGCTGCGTCGATGGCTGCCGAGACATCTGACGCGGAGGCATTCGAGTACGAGGCGATCGTGGAGGAGTGATTCGATGGGTTTTGCTGCGTCGAGATAGTGGACGTTTTGACCTGAAACACAATCAGCCCTCTGTGATGCCATCGGGGCGATAGCAACGCTCACCGCTTTACCTCCGATAACAATCGGCACGTCTAGGGGAGCTTTCTTCTGGAGCGCTTCGAGAGCTGCGGTGAGGCCTTCCCGCTGCGCAGATCCTTTGGCGTAATGATGCTGGCAGGCTATTAGCGCTGATTGTGCAAAGGGCAAAGGGCGCAGAGGACAGACTTACATTGGGCTCGTTGGAGACCTTGGGTATCTTGAAAGAAGCAATGGTAGACATGCGAGCTAGCCGGCGGGGTATTGTGGCGGGACTTCTACTTGCAACGTTCTGAGAACGACAATTAAGCGGTGAGAAACCCCGAAGGCCCTTAGAAGCCATGATGCATAGAGAAGACGCGATGGACAATCAATGCGAAATGTGACAGAATGATGTAGAGGGAAGAATAGTTCGGTTTGTTATATGCTGTTGGCGATGAATTGGTGATGCTCTCACCAAGTACCCCTCGCCTCGCTTTGCGACGGTTTAAGAATAGTACTAAAACCACTACGAATCAGAGTGAAGAGTGGGAGGGAGGAAATACGCGGGAGATAGAAAAGATAGAAAAGATAGAAATTAAAATGAAGAATAACTGTTGAATAATGGAAACTCTTAGAACTCTCAGATTCCAATTTTCAGAAATACTGTTGTAGATAGATGAATGTAGATATGCACCTAAATAGCCCTTCTATTTTGCCTTAGAAGCACCACACAGAACACCAGACTCTCGATTCTCAACGGCTTAGATGCCATTGTAATAACAAATAGATCTTTCTTCATGGCCATTTATCGACACATGATTCCCACCCATACACCGTGTAACCCCTTACGCCTGTCCCAGATGAATAGCAAGACTCGGAGAGTCAAACGTCCCCCCTTCCGCTGCAATCCCGATGTTTCTTTTGGGTATATCTCCTCCACGCCATATTCGTAAACATTAAAACAGTTGTAACACCCACGAGCGTCTCCATGATTACATTAAGTGAATGATATCGCTATCTCAGGCAGTGGAAGCAGGCGTCAAACGCTCAACACCAATTTGTTATACACAGTGGCAGCCAAGGTACCGCCCAGCTCGGACAAAGCTCTTGTAGAGCATGGAAAAGAGGATATGAGAATTGAAAAAGACAGATGCCGCTTATTTCTCCGAAAAGTCTGCGGCAGTTGTATTCGAGAATTGAAAGGTCTTGTGCTTCGTCATTGGCGATGTGTTTCCCATCCCATACTGGGCGTCGGGAAACGAGTACTCGGAATGACTGGACACCGTGTATTGGGGTGAATCGTGCTTGTATTGCGGTGACTCTTGTCCAAAGGAGAAATTCGGGTTGAAATGACCGAAAGCAGGAGTGACCGGTTGGCTCGCATTCGAGAGGTATGATGGTTGTGGCATCTGCAAATCGAGGGGGAAATTTTCCTGTGCTGGTGTATATAAGGGCTCATCTGGAACTTCGAATTGCCACTGCTTGTCCTGGAATTCAACCCCGCTAGCCCAGCCAGTCGACAAGGGTTGGAGAGATATCTGATCTTGGGGGGTTTCAGGAGGTGACAAGTTTTGGTCACCATCCATAGTGGTAAAGCAGCCCGGGACACCGGCATTAAAGACAAAGTTCATGCCCCCGTCAACAGGAGAAGCAGTCGACCGTGGGCCTTCCCTGTGTGCCAGTGTCATTTCACCTCCTCGGGGAGACATTGGCGTGGGCGGTGCTAGGCTACTGCTACTGAGTGATGACCTGCACAGGGATGGTTGCCGCAGGTTGTGGTAGTTGTGTTCAAGAAACGATGAAACATCGGCGAAGCCACCCAAGTTGATGGGTGAGCGTTGAGCCGACTCGACGCCGGATTTGCTAACCCGACCAGAGATGATACTTCTGTTTCCCCCAGCGGAGACGATGCGACGCATGGGTGAGGTAAGAGGAGTGTCAGATCGTCGGCGAAACCCTTCGGCCTGAGAAACGGTCCTTGGGCCCGCCGAGGGACGCCGCATCATTGGGTCTGCGATCAATGCAGCTGGTTTTACGTGAACCTTCTTGCGGCGCGAAGCAATATCTGTAGGAGGTGGAGACTTGAAAGAGGCCGAAGATGCTGGGGGCAACTCGGAAGATTCTTCGGACTCGGCGATCTCGTATTTAAACCCTATCGGTAACATTGTCGAACTGCTATCCTCGGGGCTTTGACTCGCACCGCTGTCATTCTGCTGTGCAGGAGCACCATCTTGAGATTGGCCAGACGACGCTTGTGAGGGGAAGGTGGCCTGTGGTTGGGGCCCATGTACATCTGCTCCCGAAGGGGAAGTTGAGTATCCAAGGAAGGGAGTCGGAGCGTTTTCCGTTGTCGGTGAGGAGTGGTGCTCAGGCAGAGACTGGCTAGAGGCACTGTAGAGGTTGCTCGAGAAGCTATCGTATGGGTAGTGAGAGTTATCAAAGGTTCCAACTGATGGGAACTGGGCACGATCTCCCATGGAAGATGAGTTCTGGAGGAGAGAGTCATCGAACGTTGCCAATGTCTCCTGCTGTTCTGAAAAGCCCCTATGGAAATCTTGCTGTTGCGAAGCGGCCTGCGCGACGGCCATGGTGCGATGAAGAGATTCGATAGTTGCCGTTGTGGGATCCGAGTACTGAGGGTTGTACGGAGCGACGGCTGGAGGGGGGCCGCTGCCCATCAGTGAGTAGGGCCCGGACGGTTGCTGCATAGACGACAGAACGTGTGAATCGTTCATGTATGCAGGGGTATTCAAGTAATTGTCGGGAGACGAGGTTTCCGAGTAGCCCATTGCCTCCTGCTTCTGGCCCGCCTCGTAGGCTTCTTGTTTCTTCTCTTGCTTCCGTTTAGCACGGCGGTTCTGGAACCAGTTCTATGGCATTGTTAGTGTGGAGATGTACATGTCAGCTGTCCCCAACGTACGTTGATTCTTGCCAGGTCGACGCCCATATCCTCCGCAAACTGACGCTTCGTCTGGGTGGTTGGTTTGGGGTTCTTCTTGAATTCGCGTTCCAAGACCTCTACTTCTTCCTTCCCCAATCGAGGCTTCGTTTCGGGGGCTTTCGGTACATTAGGTATGCCCATCATTGCGGTCGACTGCTGGCGAGCTAGTGCGGCATACGTGTGCAGGCTCTGCTGCGCGTCCAGGAAGGCTGGGATGCCCTGGGCCATTGGGTCGTGGTGACGGTGTTGGAAGTGGTGGTAGCTGGGTTGCTCGAGGTACTCCATCTTGGCGATTGTTCAGACCAGATTTCGACTCGAAGCTCTTGTGCATGCAAAGCAATTCAATTAATTATAATAATAATGATGATTATCGGTATACCTAAGCAATCGACATAGGCGGTTTGCCGGTTGGTGGGAGGGTGTAATTGAGGACGCGCTGTACTGCAGAAAGAGAGTAATGAGGGCTGTGGTAGACCGTCTTGCGGTCTATGAAGACAGACAAACGAGATCAAGGACGACGAGCGACGGCAACGGTAGCGATTGTAGCGATTGCAATTGAAGCGATTGACAAGACGCTGTTGGAGTATGTATGGAGCGTGATGCGTGGACGCCAGAGGCAGGAAACGAGTTCGGCGACGCGTATTATGGAGTTGTTGAAGGAGTGCAGCTGTTTAATTATGATGACGGTGGTTGCGGACGGGCGATCGAACGAGCGATTGTGAGTTGTGAAGGTCGAGGAGTGAGAGCAGCCGCGATGCTGGGGAGCGGACGGCGGGGTGGTGTGAAGAGGAGGGAGAGAGGAGGAAGAGAGGTGAGGGACGAGAGAGGAAGAAAGGTGAAGGGTGCGAGGGGAAGAGGAGGAGAGCGGGAGCGAGAGGGCTCCAGTAGTACAAAGCTGCGGCGGACGAGGAGAGTCAGCCAGGACGGGCGGGAGGGTTGAGGGAGCGAGAGAGAGAGAGAGGGTGGGGAGAGGTTAAGAACTTACGCTTGACGTTTGGCGGCGGGAGATCTGTGGCCGTGTCGTGGGCGCTGGGTCCAAGGAGTGCGACTAGGCCCAGGAGCTTTTCATCCCTTTTTCCCGCGTAGAACACGCAAATAGTAAAATAGTCAAAACCAGGGGCCGAGATCCAGCGGGGACGAGGATGGCAGCAGGAGTAAGTAGTAAGTAATAATAGTCGGCGGTCGTATAATAGCAGACGGGATATCGGCCAGGAAACGTCGGCGATGTGGGTTCAGCGGGCGAGGTTAAGACGACGGGTGGGATGCGGTTGAGGAGGAGACGGCGAGCGGGCGGCAGGGAAGGAGCTGTATGTAAGGTAAGGTAAGGTAAGGTAAGGTATGGCGAGAGTGTATGGATGGAGGGGCTTTAGGATGTATGTATGGATGGATGGATGGATGGATGGATGTGCCTGTGGTCGATATAGCTACGTCTATGGAGAGACGCCGCATGTATGTATGTATATGTGTGTAGGGATGTCAAATGAGGAAGAAACGCGTCGCTGCTCTTCTCTGCAGCTGGGGCTTGGCACGAGGGAGGGGATTGGATTGGACTGGACTGGATGGCATGGGATTTTATTTTATTTTAATGGGCTTTTGATTTGACTGTTTAGCTGCTCAAGTCTTACCCTCGTATTGTCCCAGTTAAGACGCTGGATTGCTGGATCGAGTATTAACTTACCCTTACTACCTTGTCCCTCCTCTGCTCCTCTGCAAGCACCGCTTCTCTCCACCGCCACAGCTTCACGACCAACTACTGCCGCTCTTAGTAACTGTACTGCTGCTCCCTCCCCCATCCTGTCCCGAATTCCCATTGCCCCCCCCTTCACCGTCCCCCTGGCCAGCTGCAATCTTGGATGCGCCTAGGCCGGGACCCCCTGGCGGGATACAAGTAGTCGGAAGACTTCGCTGGTACACCAGGACTACTCCTGGGGCTCCTAGGCTCCTAGACTCCTAGACTCCTGGACTGTTACGGACCAGACGCATCCCTCCAAGGCCCTAGGCTCGTCGGTCTGCACGCCATGAGATCGAAACACAAATGCAATCTGTGAGACATGCGGCCCATCGCCATGAGCCCATGGCGATCGTCTCCTCCCGTCGTCCAACCTTACTCGTACAGCGCGCAGCATGGCGTCGTCGGCCTTGCGGATCGTGCTGCGCAGACTCGTCCTCTTTCACCACAGAGGTCCTTAGCGATTGCGCCCTTTCCCTCTTTCGGACGCGGCCCATCTGTACCACCGTACGGAGAGCGTGAGAGTCCGCTCCCGCCCCGCCTAGTCCCGACCAGGTAGGAGTATTTATCGCACCGCCAGGCCGACTAGCCTGCTGCGGTAACTCTTGAGTTCCCACTACCCGGGACGGGTTAACTCTCCCCTCCGGTCCACTGCAGGGCCACCCAGTGCCCACCCAGCCAGCCGCAGGTACGCGCAGGGATGGCGGTACCAAACGCTCAGCGTTGGGCTCATCTGGTTTCAGCCCGCATGGTCCGCCCCCACCCCCGGATCGGGACTAGGCGCCTCTGTCTGCTGGCGCTTTCAGTCGTTGCTCGCCCTTGCGCGCCATGAGCGAATGAGATCGACGATCCGGCCGACCCGGCTTTGTCGGCGTGCCGGCTCAAGCGTGCGGGTCCCGGGATTTGGCGCCTCGATTCTCGAACCGCAAGCCCGGTGCTGGCCCCCCCCCCCCGTCATGATTTGTAATCGGCCCTGGTTCGACAGATTCAATCGCCAGTCAATCAACGCTCATCGCTCATCGCTCATCGCCCAATCAATCCACCATTCATTCCATCCCCAATCATTCCCTCATTCCCCTACGGAGCATTATGAGAACCCCGTCCCCAGTCCCCCAGATGGGACTGGAACTGTTCCTGTATACTATGGTACGGACCGTCATGATAGTCTGTATCCTGGGTGATGTCGACTGGATTGTTGGTCGCAGAATACGAAGCAGGGCCTTGCTGTCGTCGTCTTTTAGGGAGGTGCTATTTCCTGTGATCTCATCCTCCCGTATCCCCGTGTGCCCTCTGAGCCTGACCCGGGACCCCGTGGAGTGTCATTGAGTGTCACTCGGGCCCTAGCAGTAGCACAACGCCCGTAAAGCAGCGCGACAAAGTTACGTACCCTGCCATGCTCCAATCGAAGCCATGCCACCATGGAATTGTGAGGTACGGCCCAGTCCGCCCGGAGTACGTACCGTGCTGTGCGGTGTAAGCGTGGCCGTTGTGCCCGTCCCTCTGCCGCCTGGACAGAAAACGAGGCGGCGACGACGAGCAGTGAGGTCTACTGTGTGTTACACCGCGACCGCTACAGTGTCTGCATGCTGCAGTCGGACGTTGGAAGTTGGATGCCACAGCGTTAACCAACAGCCAGCACACCGATGGCGACCGCCTAGGTATGCAGGGCCACCAGAAGGGCGTCTGTTGTAGTAGGGGACCGCATAGTGGTTGCGCGGTGCGCGGTGCGCGGTGTGCCTACACTGCACACTGCCGTGGCCCTGAGCTAGAACACTCTTGTAGAAGCTCCTCCCGGTGAGACAAGCCCAGGACTTTTCCTCCGTAGGCCCGTACCATCGTACAACATAATTACAGTTACAGTAGCGCAGGCAGTGTAAGGGTAAGGGCAAGTAGCAGCGACAATTTCTCTGCTCTCGAGTCTCTCTTTGTCTCGACTCTCCAGAGTTCCCTCCCCGGGCTTCGAATAATGTGTACTTTACCCAAGGTACTCCGAGGTAAGCCCTTGGAATGTGATAGAGGTCACGTGACGTACAGCGTCCGGAGTAACCCGGCGCGCAGGACTGTACCTTACCGTACAGAGTAATTCGAGATCCCATCTGAGGTATGCCCCACCCGGCTAGAGATTGGCCCGTGCTTCTGTGAGGCTACTGGCCCGTCTCTGTATAGAAGTGTGAATAATAATCTACGGAGACAGCCGCGCAGACCTCCTGAAGCACGGGGCAGCAGGAACAAAAACTCGGCACCGGGGACTAGGGAGGATCCCCTGGCCTGCCAAAAGCTATTCGGGGACATTTGGGGCTTGCTGAAGGCTTCTTCGAGACCCAGGGGAAGGGTTTGTGGCGATATTCCCCTGTACCGTCCTGCAATACCATACCATCATATACTTACCGAGTAATTAATAGCAATGCGAACCAGCTCGTACCACGCCAGCCAGCCAAACCGGGGAGAGGAGGGCAGCATGGCTGAAGATGTAAAGTAAAAACCTTGGGACGGTGATTAATATCTCTCGGCCAATAAAGAGCCGCTTCCGGAGCTCTGAGGGGGATTGCAATTGGCAACTGGCAGTTGGGGGTTCGGACGGATGCGTTGATAAGGCTTCCGGGTTCTAATTCCCCAAGAGTCACAATCAAGATCCCATCGTCCCACTCCCGTCGTCGACCATCCCAACGATGATCGATCCCCTGGCCCTATGTTATGTCCCGTGCCAACCGAAGGGGCCGTACCGCAGATTCTGTCTCACATCATCGCCACCACTAAGAAGCCTATCTGACTGACGCGCATGACTCTCTGTCTCTTGCTGGAAGACCGCTAACCTGGGCCGGTGCGTGCTTAGGGCTCGAACTGCGACCCCCGTCGATATTTGTCGCGAGATCGCCGTTGCCAAGTTGCCATTGTTCTGCCGGTGAGAGGTCTGGTTCACCGTCGACGCTTACGGAGTAGCTTCTCCCCGGAAATCGTGATGAATCATATTGTATCTCTGTCGGCCTCGGGGCTCGTGGGTACAGTACCAGTGCTGCTTCGAAACCGGGGGCTCGAGGTTCGTGTATTTTCCTGTAACTTGTAACTTGTAACGGCCAACTCGCGACTTGCAGCTTGTACCTGAATCTGTGGCAGTGTCTACGGGACATAGCAAGCAGGCCCAGCAGTACCGGCCGCCCTTGCATCGAGCGTAGCGCGGTACCGACAGGAACGGGGGGGCCTCGATCGTATGGCGCACGCCCTGCCTCTCTGTCCCTCCGTACCAGCACCTCACTGTAGAGAAGAAAGCGGAGGCGTGTCACTTCAATCGCCAAGATCTCGAACAGCCAGGGGAGCCTGGCCCGTGAGCAGAGCACTGGGCACTGGGGGCATTGCGCACTGAGCAACAGTGATGTGAAGACGTGAGGCGTGAAGATTCAACAGTTGCGCCGAGACGTCGTCGAACGGGGGGATGCGATTGGTCGGTGTACGAGAGGTCTCGCGAGGTCTTGGCCGACCCTGGGAAGAGTATGCGGCTTGCGGCAGTGCGATGTGCGGGAGGCCGTAACGGTCCGCCGTAGACGGTACACCCTCACCGTGCGCTTAAAGGAGATCTGGACGGTGACGGGATCACGACTCGCGATTCGAGCCGCGGGCCCCACTCGGCCTCCACTGCCTCCACTGGCCCCAGCGCCACTCCAGCCAGCCACCAGCCGTGATCCAAGCGCCTGTCATGCAAATTCCATCGTACACCATGCCCCGTTGGGTCTCGCCTCACTTCTGCGCCCTCTGCTGTGAAGCGTGAACGCTGTGGAGGTGCTGGACGTCTGGGAATTACAAATTCTTCTGCCACCACTGCACCCAGGCCACTCCCGGGTCCCCGGGGCGCTGAAGATCATCGTGGCAGCGGGGATCTGGTCGTCCGGCTAATGTACGCAGCAGGTACAGGTACACTGTGATGCCGCAGAATTGCCAGAGCCTCTGCGAAAGAATGCCGGGCCTTTCCCGGCCCACCGCACACCGCATCCAGGATGCTGGAAAAGCGTGTCCCGTGGATACCGGGGGAACAACAGGAGAGAGGGGAGAGAGAGAACACTGGAGAGGACGGGAAGAAGAAAGGATGGAGTGGTGAGGAAGAAAGGGGGGGTAGGCCCGCGGGGTAGAAGGGGAAGAAGGGTGTGAGAATACACGTATGATATGGCCACCTGCTCTATCCTCTCTATCTATCTACATACATAAGACATCACCACCCTCCTCGCTCCTCGCTCCCCCCTTTTCCCCTCTCTTTCTCTCCCCTCCCCTTCTTCCCGTTCCCCTTGAACCAGACCCGACCTGCTTACCCCGTGACCCTGCGCAAGTTCAAGTTGCCCCTTGGTACCTACGTTAGGTACTCCCCTACTACCTAGGTACCTACATTACTGCCAGGGCCGATGGGCACGGTGGGCACGGCGGGCCAAGCTGGGCACACTAATCGGCCGTAGGTCTGAGCGGCCACGCGGGAATCTCACAGGGAGACCGGTACCTACAGTAGTAATCGGTCAAAAGTAGTAATCCTTACGCAAGTGCCAGAACCATCGCAGCTGAACACTTACCACTAGCCTAGTGGCCAATCAGCGCCCGGGCCTCGACGCAGGTACAGGAATATTTGAGTTTGAGGTTCGTCCAATTTGATATTTCTCATATAATCGTACATGATACATGATACATGATACCTACCTCCAAAGGTACATATGGTCTACAGATATTAACGCAGGAACAGGATCTAAGAAAGTATATTTAAATTACGATGTTCCGGTCCGGTCATAGCTCACCTGTTGCGAAGCTTGAGGCTTGAGGGCTCTGTCCCCTCAGGTCCCGCGTGTAGTTAATTTTACCCTCCGCCACACCCTCTTCCTACTGGGCGGGGCCAGGTTCAATTCCAAATCGCCTCACCTCAACCACTGGGGGGCAGCAGCAACCTCCGTCATCGAGGCGTTCGAGGCGGGCCATGAGATCATGAGGAGCTCACGAAGATCACATGGACGGTGAGGGTCATCAACCCTCCTTCTGCAAAGGTCCCCTTGCCTGAGATGTCTCTGAGATGTTTCTCAAGCGCATGTTCTGGATCATCTTGGTGGACTTGGTCATATGAATCATAATCAAGCCATATCCCTCGGGGTCTGAAGGGTAACATAACTTCCTAAGGTTCTGGCTATTGAAGTGTTCCATTGTTTTTAAAGTGTTCCATTGTCTTCTCATCCCGTCCTGCTCATCTCACACGTGACTCCCCTCCTTCCCGTCCTCTCTGCATCTTGCTTGCCGCACGCGCAATAATTCCACTGCTGCACCTTCGCACGCGAAGTGGGACGAATCCTCCAAAACCCCCATTTTCCTACCGTTCAAATGTCAGTTCGCACACGAACAGAACATTCTCTGCTTTGATTTACGAGTCAGATTGCGAGCGTTAATGCAGGCAAAGACAGTATACTACTGTATGTTATGTTATTATTTACATATCTACATCTCTGTCACAAACGATCGATCGTTTCGATCAAGCCGTTTCCTGAAGAATGGTAATGCTCCGCTGCGCGGCATGCCTCGCATTCCAAGGTGAATGTCTTAACCGTCCTCCTGGGACTGCCACGCTCCCATCCTTCGAAAGTTCGAAGACCCTTCCATTCTTTCTCCCAGAAGGGTACACTGCGCCGGTGACAAGTTCCCTTTGTTGGTGTAGATCCCTTCCCGTTGTCGACGCATCTCCGACGAGCTCGATCGTGACAGCGAGCGTTTGTGCGGCTGGCGCTGGCAGGCTTGAGGACCCTTGGCTTGAACGTTCCATTTTTAGACCGGGCAGGAGAGGCTTCATGTGAATATAGGGTTAACCCTCGGCACCTTTGTCCTTACAGCTCGCTACGGGGAGCATATGGTCTTCTCTGAGCCGCAGGAGCGCGCCTCTAATGTCATTGGATATCATGGATGGCTAAGTATACCTCCTTTTGCCTTCTGGGTTCCTCCTCTCATATGCTCGTACGGCCGGAACGTCCATGTTCCCCCGGTATACAAAGTGTTCCATCTCCGCAGACTCGGGACCCTCCACCCGTTCATGGAAGATACAGGTAACCTGTGACTCCCTGGTGCTTGCGCAGTACCACACGGCACCACCGACCCGCTGCGGGCAGCCCTTCCCAGCTTTCAGTCCTCGGAAACCAACGAGCGGCGGCCACCCGCTACGCACAGCATTCCGAAAACAAGTGTAACGACTCCATCATCCAGCTCGGCGGGATCATCGAATAGTAAGTAAGCTGGCACAACGTAGTTCAATTGTCATCTGATCCTTCAGCTGGGAGATCCCATGTAGGTAGCCCAAGAGATGTCGTCTCACCCCCCGGATTGACATCTTTCGTCCCGTCTTATATCTCCGGAGGTCTCGGAGAATAAAATCTCGTAGCGAAGCGAAGATAATCCCCACGGAGACAGAGCCTGACTGACGCTCCTTGCATGCAAAGAAAAACGTCAAGACAGTAAAAGCGTTTCCAGAATAAAAAAAATAAAAAGTAATAATGCAACACACCCCTCATTCACCCTCTGACACGCCCTGCGCAAGACGCAGGGGATTTTTGTTTTGCACAATCCATCGTCAAAGGCTGTTGTGTTGTTGGTTTGCCCGTCCCCCAACATTCCTCGTGAGGGAAGCGAGCGAGGATTGGTTGGATAAGGTATCGCTTCACGATACCGAGTCGTTCATCCTCAGGACCCTAGGTACTTTACAACTTTACATCTCCTGTTAGTAAAGGTTCTTTTTGGTAAATATGAGGACTGCTTTGAATTGTAATTTGGTATTGTTTTGCAGGGCTTGGATTCGTTGTGAAATGAATAAATTTGGCTGAAAGTGCTGGAGTGCTGAAGTGCTGAATCGCGTGACACCCCCCCCCCCCCCAAAAAAATAGAAAATAAATATAGTTTATATTTGGACTTCAGAATTCTAATACCCACTATTCGATCCCATGAATCAAAAATTTAAATACTTACGGGTATGAATTGGAATCGATAGGACTGTAGACATCTGGGTAAGTAGTAAACGTAAAATGTATACCTTCGGTAAGTGGATGTTAAGTTCCCAAGGTAGTAAATTTTGGCCGGGTTATTAGATTCTCATACATACACTCAATAACCGCAAGTTATTTCTATATATCTTCTTCCCTCTATAGGTCTAATATTATAATAAGAAGATTCTATCTTATTATCCAAGGGCTTCAATACCTTCTAAATACTGTCTCTCTATGCATGATTTCTTTCCTTTAACCCCCCCCCTCTCTTTTCAACCCCCTAGACATCCAACGCATCCGAAATCTCCAACTCCACACCCTTCTCCGAACCAACTACCAACTTCAGACTCCTCAAATCCCTAACTATCCAATCCGGCCCCGCAGCCACGATCTGCTCCGCCGTATGCGACGTCACGACACCCAACACCTTGCACCCCGCCGCCTTACCGGCCTGAATGCCCGCCGGACTATCCTCCAGCACCAGCACGTCAGCGCCGACCTCGAGACCCAGCTTTCCACGCCCCATCGCGTAGCAGGTCGGGTCGGGCTTGCCCTTCACCACGTCCTCGGCTACCACGAGGTGCTTCGGGGTTGGTAGCTTGAGGACGCCTAGCCAGCCGGCTACGAGGGGCGAGGTGCCGGATGTCACGATGGCCCAGGGGACGTGGTGAGCGTCGAGGGAGTCGAGCAGGTTGCGCGCGCCGGGGATCTCGACGGCATCGGCGCCGTAGAGTTGAGGGATCAAGCTCTCCATGTGTTTGACGTCTGGTCCACGTGGTTAGCATACCCCTGAAAGAAGCGAGAACCCGCGGCGGCAGGACGACGAGGACGAGAGAGGGAAGACGAAGATAGCATAGTGTGATAGAATAGAAGTAGGGAGCGAAAATAGGAGGTATAGATGGTGAAGCAACGAGGGAAGAGAGACTTACATTCCCAGTTCGCCTTTTCCGGACTAATCAGCTTGAGCACGTCGATGGTGCGTCTGCCGTGGGAGGTTTGCAGGATCACCTTGGGATCCACGCCGAGTTCTTTCCCAATGCTAGACGCCTGGTCAGATACGCGGCTCTGCAAAAGAATGGGGTTCTGACATTACCTGTGCCAATGCTGTTCTACAGCGGCCGTTGAATCGATCAGGGTCTGGGAGTCCGCATTAGATACTCCCTCTCTCCAACAAGCTCCCGGGACCAGGACAGCAAGAAATAGCATTCCAACACATAGATAAAGTCACAAAGGGAGCGAGCATTGAGAAAACCGCCAACGGGAAGAAAGCAAGGGTCCTTACCCCATCCATATCGAAGAGCAGACCCTGAAAGACCAGCTTCTGCGGCGGGCGCGAGAAAGAGAGCGGATTTGAACCCATTTCCTCTGCGCGTTTCTTGTTCAGAATACACAGATTGATCCGGGAGGTTGCGGGCAGTTGTCCACACGTTGTCCCGCGCGATTTGGTGGGCGGGTGGTTGAGATGTGGGAGCTGCTTGGCGAGGCCCTCACTGCTTGTCTCACGCGGCGCCTGTCCGTCCTCGACAAAATGCGATGTGCAACAAAAAACTGCCCTCGCCAAGAAGGGCACACGATCTACGAGTAAGGGGTGGGAAATTCTCCGAGATGCTGGGGCGCGGTTGGGGGGTTTTCTGAGAGGGAGAGCGCAGCTTCTGAACTTCTGTTTTGCAAGACGGAGTAAAGACTCAGTGGCTCAAAACTCTCCTCCCACCTAGAAGGGTGTCCGTCCCGGGGAAGGAGCTGGGGCGGGTAGATCACGTGGTAGCCGAGAATGGAATGCGGCCGCCTCGCACATACAAAGTAATTTTTTTCTTTCGCTATCGAGGCCGATAAGAGTGCCAACGACGCCTTGCACAGGCACCACCACAACAAACACAACACGACATGGCTGGCAATAAACCTGGCAGTAGGTTTTACTTCTCCTGGTTACTATCGTCTTTTAAAATGCTAATTGGGTGATTCTAGAGCCCAAGAGCAAGCGTACACCCGTACGCCTGCGCCACAAGATCGAGAAGGCGTCCGCGGCCAAGCAAAGGAAAGCTCGCAAGCTCGCAAAGAAGAACCCAGAATGGCGATCGCGGTTAAAGAAGGACCCGGGTATCCCCAACCTGTTCCCTTACAAGGACAAGATCCTGCAGGAAATTGAGGACGGCAGGAGGAGGAAGGCTGAGGAGGCGGCCAAGAGGAGAGCCGAGGCGAAGGCTACGAAGACGGGCGAGCAGACTGAGAAGACGGTGGAGGCCGAGATGGATGATGTTGAGGAGGAGGAGCATCTGGAGCTGGAGGGTGAGGAGATGGAGGAGGATTTCGACGAGGATGCCAATCCCATGGCGGCTCTGCTTGCAAGTGCCAGGGCTGCGGCAGCAGAATATGAAGACGAGCTTGAGAGTGGAGATGAGATGGACGAGGACGATGTTTCCGAGTCGGATGATGAAGAAGGCGGTGCTGAGTTTCCTGGGTTAGCTCACAAGGACGGCTCCAGAAAAGCCTTCGACAAAATCTTCAAGCAAGTGGTCGAGCAAGCAGACGTCGTGCTCTACGTCCTCGACGCTCGCGACCCCGAAGGCACCCGATCGAAAGAGGTAGAGCGGATGGTCATGGCCGCAGCGAACGGCGGCAAGCGTCTGATCCTCATCCTGAACAAGATCGACCTCATCCCCCCCGCCGTCCTCAAGGCATGGCTCATCCACCTGCGCCGCTACTTCCCCACCATCCCCCTCCGTGCCTCGGGCCCCGCCCCCAACGCCCACACCTTCAACCATAAACAGCTGACGGTGCAGAGCACCTCGGCCACCCTCTTCAAAGCCCTGAAGTCCTTCGCTGCCGCCAAGTCCCTCAAGCGCGCCATCTCCGTCGGCGTCATCGGCTACCCCAACGTCGGCAAATCCTCCGTCATCAACGCCCTCACCTCGCGCCTGGGCGCCGGCGCCGCCTGCCCCGTGGGCGCCGAAGCCGGCGTCACCACGTCGCTGCGTGAAGTCAAGATTGACAGCAAGCTGAAGCTGCTGGACTCCCCCGGTATCGTCTTCCCGCGCGCGGGCGACGGCAGCCGGGCCTCGCGCGCCGAAGAGCAAGCGCGGCTCGTGCTCCTCAACGCCGTGCCCCCCAAGCAGCTCGAGGACCCGGTCCCGGCCGTGACGCTGCTCCTCCGGCGCCTCTCGGCCGCCGACGGCATGCTCGACCGGCTGATGGACGTGTACGGACTCCCACCGCTGCTCCCGGCGCCCAACGGCGACCCCACCACCGACTTCCTGGTGCAGGTGGCGCGCAAGCGCGGCCGGCTCGGCAAGGGCGGCGTCCCGAATATCATCAGTGCCGCGACGACGGTCATCACGGACTGGCGCGACGGGCGCATCCAGGGCTGGATGGACGCCCCGGTGTTAGCGGTAGCGCCGTCGTCGACGACGACGACGGGGGCGGCGCCAGAGGGCCCAGTGGTCGGGGATCAGAAGGAGATTGTTACGGAGTGGGCTAAGGAGTTTAAACTTGAGGGATTGTGGGGTGATGGCGCGGAGGACGTAGAGGAGACGATGGAGGGATAGAAAGGACGGGAGAGGAAAGAGGAGAGATGAGGAAGGCATAGATATATAATCTGGCTGCTGGCTGGCGTTGGGGCGTCCACTGACTGAATGGCTACCTATACATAGGGGGGAAAAGTAAAGAGTAAAAGTATAAGGAAAAGTAAAAATTCAAGTTAAGAGAAGGAGTCGAGTCGTATATAGCACCACCACCCCCAGCTATCAAGATTCATGACCAGATAAGATCGATCATAAGATGTGTAAATCTGACTCGTTTTCTTTTTTCACTTTCTTTGGACTGCAAGATATATGTTCATCCTGTGATTGATTGATTGATTGATAGAATATATATGTTACATTCCTTACATTCGCCCATGCATGCACCCATGCACCCATCATCTATCTAGCTATCTAGAAACCAACAAACAACCTCCTCTCCTATCCCCTATCTCCTCCTACGCCTCCCCCGCACTCACCAACTCAAACCTCACCTTCCTCTTCCCCGTGCCCTCCTCCTTCACATCACTGATGCGCACCAGGACCTTCTGAAACAGCTCGACGCTCAGCTCCCGACTGCCGCGCGTGCGCAGCACGTAGTGCTCAGCGTCGAAGGCGCTCTCGGGCTCCGGGTCTGCCAGGTCGCGCAGCCGGATCAGGCTCTCGATGCCGAAGCGCGGCACGAGGACCACGAAGCCGTTGGAGAAGACCTTCATGACGAAGCCGTGCTCGTCGACCACGCGGCCCTTGAGCGCCTGCCCCACGTAGTACTCGATCGACGCCCGCCCGGCCTGCTGCGCGTTGCGGTGCCGCACGTTGATGTTCTTGCAGACCGCTTCCAGCTTGCCCTTGCTGCGCACGCTGGCGTCCAGCGGCTCGTAGTCGATGGCCGCCGCGAGCTGCCGGTGCGCCACCAGGTCGGCGTATCGCCGGATCGGCGACGTGAAGTGCGTGTAGATCTCCGATGCGAGCCCGTAGTGCCGGAATTCTGGGTAGGCTTGCGTGCCCGAGCAGAAGTACTCGGCCGACATCATGCAGCGCGTCGCGAGGATGCGGATGAGCGTGTTGAAGAAGGGCTCTTTGGGGTCGACGCAGGCGTCGAGGGAATCGGCGAGCTCCTTGGAGGAGGAGACGCGCAGTTCGAGACCTCGCTTGACCTTGAGCTGGTTGGCGAGCTCTTCGAAATTGGTCTTTGGGGGGGCGCCGTGACGACGGAGCATGGCCGTCTGGGGGAAGGCTTCGTATATCTTGGCGGCGACGCTGGTGTTGGCTAACAACATGAACTCTTCGACGAGAGACATGGTATCCAGATGCTTTTTGGTCTTGACATCGATAGGGTCAGACGTCTCTGACTCCGTCTCTATCCTGACCTCAGGTGAGGAGAGACTCAACGCTCCAGCGTCCATACGCTTCTGCTTGAATTTCTTCGACAGCATCATGAGCGTTCGCATCGCCTTAGTCAAGTCATCCTGTTGCGAGGGATCATCAACCCGTATCTGAGCCTGTTCATAACTGAAAGCTTCGCGAGACTTGATGACCGATTTTGTAAACTCCGACTTGACGATGTCGGCATCGGGTGTAATCTCCCATATTGCTGAAAACGCATACCGCTCAACGTAGGGCTTCAAGGAACAAAGATCCGTCCCAAGGAGCATTGGTAACATGTCAATGCGCTTGTCAACCAGATACACGGTTGTGCCTCTGATACTAGCCTCTGTGTCCATTGCATTGTTGGGTTTGACAAAGTGTGACACGTCCGCGATGTGCACGCCAACTTCATAGTTGCCATTTGGCAGCGGTCTTGCATGCAACGCATCATCAATATCCTGGCAACCAACAGGATCGATACTACATATCTCGAGATGTCTCAGATCCCGTCGGTCCCTCCAGCCGGGATCTTCCTTGCTTGGAGGTACAATCCAGTCGTGGCCCTCTTTGGGTAAGCAATCCAAGACGGCCTTCGGAAATGGACGATACTGCACGTCGTATTCCAGGAGGAGAGCCTCCGTTTCGGCCCCTTTCGTTTCCAGCTCACCGAGGGACCGCACGAAGTGGCCGACGGGATATCTCGAGTCTCTATCCCATGAATCTATGGTCACTAGAACCCGCTTGCCGATGATCTCACCCGCCTGCCGGGTCCGAACACGGATCTTAGGTATTCGTTTGTCCATAGGAATAAGGAAGACGGTCTGCTGCTTCCGACTCTGCTTCACCGATTGACTGACTGATGATTCGTCTATATGGCCAACGTACTGTCGCCAATTCCGCTTCGCAATACCAACCACTCTTGCGGTAGGCTGTGGCCGACCTTCAGTGCTCTTGCTGTGCACTCTCTTGACTTCTTCTTGCAATGCTCTCCTCTCCTTCTCAGTAACCACCGCCTCGCCCTCTTCCGCATCCGCATTCTCATTCTTATTCATGGTCTCATCCTCAATAATCTTGGTCGATGGCTCTTTCCACTGATCCTTTGGGAGGACTTCAACAACCACAACATCACCCTGAACTGCTCTGTTGATATTCTCTCTGCCCAGAATCAGAAGCGACTTATCAAACGTTGGTACGTGGACCGAGCCCTCCAGGTAGTTGTACGGCGAGACGTTGAAGATTCCCTGGTGCAGCGTGCCATTCCTTACCCCCGTCATCATCTTCGACACGGAGTAGTATTCACGGTACAGATTTTCCGCGGCCTTAGCATCGCGGAGCTCCCGCCCCTCCTTCGCCACACTGATCATGTCCAGCAACTGATCCGCGTTCTCCAACCCATTGACATAGTCCTTCAGCGAACAGGCCTCAATGCCGTCCTCCTTAGCCTTCCGCAGATTCTCCTTATCATCACTAAGCATCACCACCGCCGGGATCTTCTTGGACCGTCCACCTGCGGCCTTCACGGCGCGCGCCAGATGCGAGCTGTACCATTTCACCGCTCTCCGCACCGCCCTATCATTCCTATCATTGATCGACTCGCCCACATCCCGAACCACCGAGGTCTCCAAGCGAAAGTCATTAAAGAAAACGTAGAACCGCTTCTCCTCACTCTTCGTCAGCCCCACGAGCCGGTTGTAAAGCGGCAGCGACCGGTTCCGCAGCTCCTCGAGTACCGTCTGCAGGATAATCACATCGTAGAACGCAGACGTCTGCTCGAAGAGATCCAGCGCGTTAAGGAGCGCGTTCGTGTCCGGCACCAGATAGTGTCCTTGGGGATACGCTCTCGTGCCTGCCGGCTGCGCAGAGAGCACGAATGGCACCACTGTATTCATCATCAGTCAGCACTCAATAAATAACAAACTACCCATTGAAATATATCCCAAGGCGCGCAACACAAACTCACAGACTCCCCCAGCATCCCTCGGGGCCTTCGCAAGACAGCTCGTGCAGAGCTGCGACGAACAGGGTATGTCATCACGCAGGTACAGCTCCCGCACGATCTTCTGGACCTTGCCGCTGCGCGTAGACCGCACAAACACCTTGCTGGATATATTCGCGGCCGACGGGTCCGAGGCCAGAGATCTTTTGAGACTCGTCATCTTCGTGGCAGTGGCGGCGTTGGAGAGTGCTTCGTGCTACTTCTGGTCTGCGCGGGGCACGTTTTGTTGTCGCAGGTCATATCTTTTTGGAGAAATTTAGCCGCCGTAAGCGCGCTCTTTTTGCTTCGCATCTCCCGGGCGCTTAAAATTTAGGCCTACGAGGGACCACCCCCTGTTTATTTCACGAGGCCAGCGAGCATGTCACAACACTCACTAAATAAGAAAAGTACATCAATATCCGCGTAAATCATTGCTTTCTATCAAGTAGTAGGGTTCAACCATAATCATTGGGTATTCTACACTCCTAATCCTGCAAGTCTCCTGCTTGGTATTCTCAAAAACGTTCTAACCTGCACACGGAAAATGGAGATCAGAAACCCCCTACATAATCATATCATTCTATAAATTTTATCCTTGCGAGAGCAAATCTCATTAATTTAACCGTAATAAGGCGGTCAGGCGACGGTGAACGTGGCTCATCAACCACCACCATCACCATCACCATCACCACCACCACCCTCCGGGGGGTCCTGGCTCTCCATCACCGAACCCTGCTCGCTTGGCTCTCTGAAAAGATCCTCGAATTCATCGGCGGCTATATGTATATCAGTTACCCCTCTCAGCTAGTAAATTCTCTAGATGCAATGAAAGGACTGCGTGCAGAGAAGAATAAATAAAACAAAAAATAGAAATGCAAGACTGGCATACATACATCTCTCCGTAAAGAAGCAGATCTCAAACTTCCCACCTCTATGGATCTGGTTAGTCGGATCATATTCCTTGCAAAAGACATACGGGTGTATGTCGTTGATCCGGATTCGGTGTGCGCTGCGGCGTATGAGCCAGTTAGGGGAGGCGGAGGAATATGTTACTATTGGCATCCTGTCAGATTTCTCTCCCTGTAGTTGAACTCTTCATGGTTGAATGCAAGTACCGATGGTACGCCAACAGGGACTCGATTGGAGAGGGGGCCAACGAGTGTTTGAGAAGCTGCGTGGAAGGGAGAGGGCATACCAAAAGCAGTCCAGACAGGACACTTTCGAAGCACACCTGACAAAACGGCGGCGTGTAATCGGAGACCATGACACTTCTTGTCCTGGAAGACTGACAAAGTATGCTCGAAGCCATCGTCGATGATTTTCCTGTCCAAACCGCAAATCAGCAAGAGGATCGACCGGGCAGGAGAGCAACAAAGGATGGAGCTACCCTTGAAATAATTCCTCCTCCCCCGAAAGTCGGTAGTCGTCTGGATTAATCGCCACGGTAAGTGGACAGCGAGCCTTCAAGGCAACAAAAGTGGCATGGAAGAGCACCATTTCTGCAGCAGAGTTAGTCAGGAACCAACATTGGATAGATACAGAGACTAACTTTCCCAAGTCTTGAAGAACAGAGCCAGCCAGAGCGTAGAATGGGCTCTGTTATTATTCCATCGACGGAACTGCAGAGAAGAGCCTTTTCGTCTGATACATAATTCGTGCACGCCATAACAAGAATACATCGGGTTGAATTGCGGGTCCATCCAGCGACATAGCAGCCTCGTCATATCAGCGCCTTCGGCATTGAGATAAAGCGTTACAGACAAGCGGTTCTTGTCGAACGGCCTGGTATTATAAGTACAATATTAGGTTGGAGGAGGGTTAGCACATACAATTTGAACAGAACTGATGAACCTCTCGGTATTCCCAGACTCTCTTCTACCATTGGAGGCCCGAAGCATCGGGATCTGGTGGATGTCAGTGCGCAAGTCGACCATGCCATGTCCCTCATAGCACAGCTAAGGTGTACTAGCAAACAGATGTGAGCTGTGTTAAAAATCATGACTTACACTCGCCGGTGTCTTAGGCCAGTCGTTGAAGGCTGCTCGTCAAAGATCTTCTCTGCCCAATGGCGTTGCTGCCATCTGTTAGACCCGCGCAGCTTCTCAGGGGAGAGGGGTGCGAGCTACTTCAATATCTTGCCGAGTGGGTGTTGGAGGCGCAACATGGGGCTGGAGTGGACGCGGAGGTTCTAGCAGGAAGTAAGGAATGAGTGATTGATCCACGCTATAAGTAAATCTTCCCCTTTTCACGAGATGTTTCTCGCCAGAAGAGCGTACCTGGAATCATTCTGAGACGCCGTAACCTCAATATCCTCGTGCGTAACGACTCTAGGACGGCTGGGTCATACAGAAACGATCTGCTGATATGTGTCAATCTCGTACAAGCAGCAGATGTATCTTTCACGCACCTAGTTAATAACCGAATACATTGCACCAGAAAGTCGAAGTAGCTGCGAGATATCTGTGAGCACCTCTCGGTTGAATCTGCGGGCTTTCTATTCTTTACATGACAAAGCGGGAGGCCAGTGGCATCCCTCCTTGGTCGCTCAATCGTTCGTTCATTAAAACCCATTTCCTCGAGGGGGGCAGTTCATCATGGCTGATATAGATCATCATGTCCCTCAAGGTCCTGCTCAGGCACGGTAAAACGATATGAAGGTAGTATAGGACCAGAAGTACTCGGGGTCGGTAGAATGGAAAAAGATCGTGGGCATCGCGCAGGATCCTGCTTGTCGATTCGACCCCGGCGAGGAGAGCCGTGACCTCATCGTCGTACTCCCCGTTCAAATCTCTGCGGAGGCGGATGAGGTATGTTGCGACACGGTCACATCGTTCGGCTTCCCACCAACACCCAGACTCCTCCATACGTATATAGACATCAAGCCAGAGGATCTTTGGTCGAACTGTCAATAAATGAAATGATGAGAAACATTTGAGCGAATCTGGGGAGGAGCACAGGTCATAACGATGCTCTCCCCGTCGGATATTAAACCCGAGGTAGAGAGACGCAACACAAGTCAAGGACCCCACCCCGGGCAGACATCAGCGGCTCTGCGGTTGAGCTATCAATCACGAAGGATGGCCCGGGGGGGCCACTCTGACGTGTCCAGCTGGATTTCTTCTGAGCGTCCTGCAGAGCCAGTTTAGACCCGCAATGGCATGCATGAACCGGCCAGACGAACCATTCGCGCAGAAGCTGGAGTTTCTGTGGAGATTGGTGATGCCACGATCCAAAACATTCCACGGCGTGCATCCAAGAAAGTAACAACGGGCGAATCGTGCAAGACTATGGGCGCGGCTGGTGACGAAGAGAGAGTGTGCAGAGGTGGAAATGATAGGTTTGCAAGACGAGGGCCATGCAGCCCCCGGCACGTGCACTTGGATATCCAAAGTGGCCCCTCATGATGCTTATCCATGGGTTTTCGACCGGCTTAAGGGATTATGAGTACTACTAGTAGATAAGGAGGAGAAAAGACAGGGCAACAGCTGAGCTCGGTTTGGAGCAACTTGGACGAACTATCGCCAGTTTTGAGTATTGCATATAGGCACAGAGGCGCGGCTGCACAGGAGACTATCCTTTCCCTGTTGAACCCTCTAAGCAACTTCTACAGACCATCCCCGTTGCACCTAGCTGCTTCGGGGCGCCGCTTTGGGCTTCTGGCATTCATCTGCGGGCTGCGAGAGAACAGTACAATTTTTCTCGATGGAAGTGCATGGGGTGTTGTTATTGATATTGATATAGATGAGGAAGCCTTGGACCAGTTCCAATCAGGCAGCCAGGCAAATATGTGGGCGGTCACAGGATCCAGACCAAAGTCTCTGAAACAGATTCCCCCGAATCATATCAAGCGTTGCCCCTGTTATAAGGTAATCATGGACATCAACATAGCAAAAAGACCTCGTCTCAGTGGGCGACAGTAGTCTCGTCAAGATGCGAATGGTTGCATGTAATGAGAGCTAGAATACAGAAGATTTCCATTGTTACACGCATTGTTGGTTCTGCTTGACAGATCGACGTCACCGCCAGCAGACCGGATCATGAAATGCATGGGCAATGATAACCCTAGGCAAGAGATCACCTCCCGTGATCGAGAGCCTTCCATAAAGTCATCGCACTGTTCCCCTCATGGAAAACCTGAAAAAGCCTAGTTCTTTGTCCCATATCCCCTACGCGAAGCAACACCCCAGCCCAATGAAAATATGAAAACACACAAGAAGCCTGTGATAGCACCGCTCATGGAGGTCCAGAAGTCAGAAGTCAAGGTGGCTGCCGGGAAGTGAGTGGTGCCGAGGACGTGATATTGGAGAGTCAGGAAGGCAAGGGGTCTTAAGAAGACTCTTCCTCCTCGGCCTCGGCCTGTGCGACGCGTATCAGTATACCTCGAGCAGAAGCATTGCGCGGGGCCACACGCTCTGCAGCACTTACATTGTAGCTAGCCTTCTCATCCTCGTAACGCTTCTTGTCCTGAGCAGCCTTGGCCTCATAAGGAGCACGCTGCTTGTCGTTCAGGGCCTTCCATCTCTCACCAAGAACCTTGCCGACCTGGCCTGTAAGGGAGCGCGTCAGCATGGGGCACGCCGAGATCAACGAGGAGATGGGATCTTACCGAAGCTGATGCCGGGGTTCTCGTCACGAACGTTCTCGCGCTGCTCGTTGGCAAAGAACATGTAGGCAGAGAGACCACGCTTGGGCGCGTTAGGGTCTGGAGACGATGTCAGCAGAGTCGCGACAGGAGGAGCATAAGCGCCAGGGGGACGGACCCTTCTTCTTCTTCTCGGCGCGAGCCTTGGTAGCACGCTTTTGGACCTTTTCCTTAGGCATGGTGATGGTAGGGGAAGGAGAGAGTCTAGAGAGAGCGAGTTAATTGATTGTCAACGAGTGGCGCGAACAGAGATCGCGATAGAGTAGCGACAGAGCAGCGATGACTGATGACGACAGGAGAGGTGGTGGTTGTGGACGACGGCGTGTGGGAATTCACAGGTAGGACGCGGGGACTGTCGCGCGAGTAGATGTTGATGCAAGGGAGTTTGGTGAGGGCGCGCCGGTCGCAAAGCTGATTCCTCGGTCGCGATGGTGAAAATGAAACAAAGAAGTTGAGAAAAAAGTTGAATCGACTAACCTGAGGGTGATTCTTGGAGATTAGAAAGGGAATCGAGGGCGATGGTTGACCTAGAGGGGGCAGAGACTCGGTCAGCGTGGGTTGTCGGGGCTGGGGGCCAGATCAACAAGAGATCGCGACTGTGATGACGCGACGGCGGCGACGAGCAGATGGGACAGAAAGCGCTGGAAGAGAGGTGAAGAGGGATAATTGGTTGTGTTTAGGAGGGGATAAACGACCCAATGAACGCGCGACGAAGAGCAGCTGTGCCTGGGCGCAGGCGAGGGGCGGGATTTGCCGACTTACTATGAATCTGTGGTGGGAGAGAGAGATATGAGGGAGAGAGGTGAGTGAGGGAGATTTGGGGTGAGAGAGGGAGAAGAGAGGAGTGTGAGTGAGTGAGTGAGAGGGAGAGGGCGAGAGGGCGAGCGAGGCGGGCTCAGGTAATAGTACTACTACTGCCACTTGGGGGGGGGAGGGAAGGGGAGCCGCTCTTTGGCGAGTGATCCGACGGGCTTAGCGTCGCAGTGCGCAAAAAGGGAGTGAAAGGGCGAAGAAGGGCCTCACCCTGGTGCGCCGTGCTTGGGCTTGCTTGGGCTTGGTGGGTGGCTCGGTGTGTGTATGGCCACTTTTACCTATGGTTACTATGGTAGTAGTAGTATGGTGTGTGTGTATATGCGTGTGCGCCTCTCTCGTCTCTCGTCTGTCTGTCTGTCTTGTGTCTGACTGACTGATTGATTGATTGTCTGACTGTCCCGTCCGTCTGTCTGGCTGACTGACTGACTGAGGTTGCCCCCTTTGCCCCCTTCCCCCTTCCCCCCTTCCCCCCTTTCATCATCACCATCATCATAATACTATCCATTCATCACTCTCCCTCCACCTATTGGCCTCCTGCTGCTTGCCCCCCCTCTCTTTCTCTCCCCCCCTCTCCTCTGCTGCCGTTGGCCTTCTTGCACCGCTGACAGAGATCTGTGGGTTCACCCTTCAACCATTCCTCCTCCCATTCATTCCTCTCCACAGTAATCCGTCAATCTATCTGGGCGGCTGGACTGTAAATCTGTCCTAGTCCGCAGTCATCTGTAACCTCCAGTCTCTCTCCCGCCCATCCTTACCATCCTTACCATCTTTCCCCTCTGCCCATCTGCTCATCTCCCCCCCCCCGTTGCCGTGCCACTCGCCTTCCCGCCCTCTGATGTGCGCAGTGCACACGACGCACGACTCAGAGTTTCATCACCGCCCAGCCACGCCTTGTCTCTATGCCTAATTGCGAAGGATTCCATGGCAGGCTTCTCCTTTTTTCCCTTCTTCCTCTTCCTCCTCCTGCAAATCCCCTTGCGCCATCCCTATCGCCCCTCGCCATTATGACACACGACAGTACGCGCTACCCGTACACACTACGACAGTCCACACTACATACCACCACTACTACCACTACTACCACTACTACCACTACCCACCACGTATTTTTTCCCTACCTACGGCGCAATAATACCAACGGAATCTCCCCCCGGCTTCGAGCCTTCTGTCCGGACTCCTGTACAGCAGCCCGCCTCCCACCCCCGGATCGCTGCGCTGCGTGATTAATACCAATAAAACATCGATGGAAGCATGTCGGGGTGGGTGGCCGCCCGCGCGTGCGCGCGGGCACCGCTTTCATTACCTACCTTACCTATTTCCTTCCGCCTACCAGTCTGAGCCAAAACATCGGCAACTGTCCCCTCTCCCTCTGCCGTTTGTGTTTACGTCACGCGCATCGTATATCGCATCGGATCGTATCGCTGGCCACCCATGCAAATCCCACCCCCCAAACACCCGCGCGCCCCCAGCTCGCAATCCCCATCCTTCTCGCGCGCGCGCACATCGTAGCAGAGCTGAGGCCCGCCCGCCCCTTTGCGACCCAATCGAAAACCCATATCACGTGATATGCAGCTAGCAGCGATCAGGCTAGGGGCCGCATACCCTGGCCGGCTCTGTGTTGTTTCAAATGAGCCGCAAGGCGCTTGTCAAGACCCGCGGGAGAGGTATCCTGGATATACACCTACGGGCTACGGTCCTCTGTAGATCTAGCAAACCATGGGCGTATGCGGGCTCAGCTTGCCATGCGTGCCATGATGAGCTATCTCCCCTTATCTTGGTGCTTGTACAGCCTTCTTCTCATCGTGACCTCATGTTACTGGTGCAAGTTTCTGCCGCGCAGGTAATGCCACCGGAGTCAACAGAGGCATCAGACACTTTTTTTCTGAGATTGATGAGAGATTACTACAGGGTATTCCCGATTCCCAGCCCATATCATGGAACCTATTTGATTTACTAATCTATCCATCCTCGTCATCCTCATCCATCACAAGCTCCAACAGCTTCGGATCCTGAGCCCAGTCGACACCGCTTCCCGCAACCGTTGCACTGGCTGTACCTTTCATGATCCTCCACATCTGCCGACTGACTTTCATAGAGGCCTCCAGCTCATCCAACTGCTGCCGGAGCTTGGGATCCTCAATACCGTCCTTCTTCTGCGTATTTGCTTTCCCCGCCAACGCGAGCATTTCCGTAGCTAACTCGGTGTTCTTCCGAGCTGTGACACTGTGCTCGCTCTCAACTTTCCTCAACTCATTCTGTGCTGCTAGAACTTTCGAAGACAACTGAGTCAGGGACACGGAGAGCGCATCTCGTTGCTCAATGAGGGGTAGCAGGTCTCTGAAGGAATCGGTCAACACCCCAAGGAGCCACCCAGGGGAGATCGGCTTACTGTTCTAGAATCGTGGCATTGCTACCGGCATGGACTGCCTTCAGAATAGGATTCGCAATGAGAACACTCTCAATGACATTGTTTCGTACTTGATATTTCGCTTTGGCCTTCAAGAGTTCTTGCTCGGCAGCCTTGATATCCTCTTCAGTGGCTTCTACAGGTTCATCTAGGGAGGTGTTAGAACACGTGATAGCGCAGACTTGAATGTAAGGTAATATGACAGATGCATATATATACCTTGTGATAACACGCCTCGGGCTTTCAGCAGCGCGATTTCCAGCTGGAGCTCCTCTACCCGGTCGTAGACTTCCAGCACCCGCCTCTCCTGCTCGGTCATGAGTGGCGCAGTATCGATCTCCATGCTCGTGGTCTCAACCCCCTCCATTTCTTCAGCGGCCGTGCCTTGCATAATGATTCCCCGTCCCGCCAGCGGCGCGTGCTGCGAGAAGTTGTGTCCAGAACGCGTCTCTTCTCGTCACGCGCCCGCATCCGCATGGGGAGAGGAATGATTCAAATGATTAGCGAGGAGGCGGCTGGCTGTGGCTTTCTCACCGCTGTGGCGCAACCTAGGCCCAACGAGGCCGAGCTCTCTGCTTTCTGCCTTGAAGCCTTGCCTTCCTGCCTTGTGATCTTGCCCAAGTGATGCATCTGCACCCTTCTCCAACCCGACAGCAGCGACCCTGAGAAGATTTCCGCAGCTCGCTGCAGCTGTAGAGCGACGAGGACGAGAGGCGGGGATGGATCTCCATGTTCTGATCGCGCACACGGGCCAGCGCCTGCAGACGGACCCGCGGTCCTTTGCTTCGTGAGTCGGCCTTCCCTCCCTCTCTATGCGGTGAGGCTGCTTCGACTTGGGCTCTGACACTTCTCTAGCTTCGATGCCTTCAAGGCGTGGGTGGCCAAGCAAACTACCATCTCGGTGCAGGATCATATCTCCTTGACGGCGCAGGGAAAGGCGGCTCGGTTCCAGACCCTACTGACAGAGGTATGTAGCCGACATTGAGCATAGCTCCTGGGGATATGCTGATAGGGAACAGAAAGAGATTTTTGTGTACGATCGGCGGATTATCCAGCCGAGTTCACCAGGGGCTGCCAAAGCTTTGCTCTCAGAGATTCCTTTACCGCCAAAATACAGCGTCGCGAGACCGCCTGATACTATCGCGGACCAGACTGACTTACAAGCATGGAGGGATCTGTTTATGGCACGCAGGTCGTGGGCGCTGAATGTGGTGGACAACTGCGCTGCCATGTCAGATGAAGCCCAGAAGAGATACGGCGAGATCGAAGTCATCACGGGAGCTGTAGATGCCGCTGTCATGAACTTGGAGAAGCACGTCAAGGCCTTGGACCAGAAGAATGCCGATGTCCAGGCCTGGGCGGCGGATATACAGAAGGAGCAGGATCTAAATGGGACGGACTGGGAAGCCTCTCTTGCTCGGCTACAATCACTTCCTGCCACAGCGAGTATGATAAAGTTCATTACTGGGCGCGACGTTGAGAGAGGCTCGCGGAAGCCAACTCTGGAGGATCTGGTTGATGCGGAAGAGGTCAAGAGGGCTGGAAATCTCGTTCGCAATCTTTCAACGCAGTTGAGCAGGAATGGTGCTGAATTGGGTACCAAGGTGGACGAGGTCCTCCGAAGAACTGACGAGTTATTCGACAAAGTCGAGAAAAGTCCAGCCCGGTCAGTCCTGATGCGTGCTACGGAACCGGCGCAATTAATGCAGGATATTGAAGCCATCGCCAAGAAAGTCAGCAATGACTATGAGAACGTATTAAGCTACCCAAACACCGCAAAGAGTGTCTCGCAGGCTTCTAAATCAGCTCTGTTGCATACAAGAAACTTCCTACCAAACCTGTCAAAGAGGAGCCTTGAGATGGATGGAATCCTACGGTCTGCAACAGAGGCACGGAATTCTATAGTAGCTGATTCTCTTGACGTTATGCATGATATTGCTGCCTTGACTTCGTTGCTGAGCGAGGCTAATTCTCGATTTGCCTCGATGGAACTTGACAGTGATGGATTCGATGCTCTCAACTTACTTTCGACTTTGGCCCGTCTACCAGTGACTTACGCTTCGTTTGTAGCCGAGTCCATCAGACGGAGAGAGTGGAACGACAAAGTAAGGTCCGATTCGTCAACGCTCGCAAACGAAATGGCAACTTTCCAGGACGAGGAAGCGAGACGTCGCAGGAAGTGGCAGAAGAGCACTGGCGCAGCTCTCTGGGGCGAGAGAGCCGAGCGGAAAGTCATGTCCCTAGAAGTAAATCTTCACGGGGAAGAAGAAGAATGGCCACAAGTCACGAGGCAGAACCTGGAAGAATTTCTCGAAGCATTACGCGCTAAGGACCCGAAGGCTGGGGTTGTTAATGATGTCTCGAAAATCATTACAGAGCTGAACAATCCTACGAAACAACAAAGCAAGCGAGCGAAGGCATTCAAAGCCGGGAGTATCCACGAAGCTGCTCTGGGACGAAGTACTCTTCTTATCCGAGGAGATGACGATTTGATACGTTCTCTTCAGGAGGAAAAGGCAAGGACTGAAAGCAAACTCAAGACTGCAGAGAGTCGAGTGCGGAGACTGGAAGATTTGCTTCATAGACAGACCCATGTGGCCAGGACTTCTACAGGAAATGTCTTCCAGTTACCCAACACCACCAGCACTGATACGCAAAGCACCGGGAACGCCATGGCCTCCCCACGACTCCATGACGATCTGTCCCATCGGTCTTCCTCCTCATCCCGCCGCTTCTCGGCAAACCAGGGCGCGGACGAGAAGATGTATCAGCAGAAAATCCTCTCTCTAGAGGCCGAACTTATCGCGGAGCGTGAACGTGCATCGGGCCTGGAAAAAGAGATCTCTGCACGCACTATGTCTGCGAATAGTATGAAGTCCCAGGTGGACGAAGCTAATTCGACCAAGAACGATCTCATGCAGAACTTTGAGGCTCAGCAGCGGGAGTTTATTGAAGAGCGGAAGTCTCTTGAAGGGGAGATCAAGCGCCTAAAAGCCAAGTTGGAGGAGCTCGAGGATGAACTGGACCGTTACCTAGGCTCTCGTGAGAATGAGAGGACCAGCATTGATGAGCGCGTTCGCGCTCTCCAAGACGAGCTTGACAAGGTACGCCGTGAGACTGCTGCTGAGGCTCAAAGAGCCCAGGGTCAAGTAGACTTCCTCCGCAATGACGCTAAACTGCAACACGAGACGAACGAAGCGCTGGAAAGGAAACTACAAAACGCACGAGACGAAAACAGAGAGCTCAAGGCTTGCGCAGACAAAGCGGAAGCGGCTCTCGAAGAACAGTGGAATGTCTTGCGGGATGTGTACCTACAACTTAGACCTGGCTCCCCGGTCCCTGATGACTTGAGCGCCCTCAGGGATGCCTTGATCAAAACATCCGGAGACGTAGTGGCGAAACTGAAATCTACCGAGAGCGACGCCGCCATTGCTCGCTCTGATCGTGATACAGCTCAAAGTTCACTTGCAGAGCTCAAGTCAGACATGGCAGCACTGAAAGAGAAGTTAGCTAAGGAAGAAACGGAATCCGTTCATCTCCGCGAGGCTTTGGACGGCGAACATGCCAAGTTCTCCGCTTTGGAGGCAGAGTTAGCCGATGAGCGTAACCAACTGTCGGCACTCAGGACTAAAATTGCTGATGGCGAGACTGGGTCAGAGGCTCTTCGTACCCGCCTAGAGGAGGAGGAGCGGAAGGTCACAAGCCTATCAGAGGATCTAGCTGCAAGGCTATCCCGGATTGGAGGTCTTGAGGAAGAGGTAAGATCATCGCAGGACAAGCTCCAGTCTTTAAAGACGAAGCATGAGAAGCTTGCCAGCCGATTTGATGCACGGACTGGGCGTGCGAAGGATCTTACACAGCGTGTCTACACCCAGAATGATCGTTTATGCAGGTTGCTTGAGAGACTTAGCTACTCTGTGACACGGGAGGGCAACTCGATGGTTATCCAAAGGGTACCAAAAGCCGACCGTACCAATACCAACGACTCCTCCGATCCTGGATCATCGATGCGGCGAAGCACCTCGGGCGCCGTCACTCGAAAGTCTATCATGATTGATAGCGGGGATCTTGAGCTGCTGCAGTGGATGAACAATGACGACCCTGAAACCGAATCTGAGAAGTACAATGCTTACCTCAATGCGATCGGTAGCTTCGATGTTGAAGCTTTCTGTGAAACCATCACCAAACGGATTAAAGATATCGAGTACACAGCCAAGAAATACTCGAAGGATGCTCGTGCATATCGAGAAAAGTCCCATATGGCACAGAAAGAAGCCCACGAGAAAATCGCTTTCAAGAACTTCAAGGAAGGCGACCTGGCGCTTTTCCTGCCAACACGGAATCAGGCCACTGGGGCATGGGCAGCATTTAATGTTGGAGCACCTCATTATTTCCTCCGGGAACAAGACTCGCACAAGCTCCATACCCGCGATTGGCTCCTTGCTCGCATTCACAAGATTGAAGATCGTGTTGTGGATCTCTCCAAATCGATGTCAGGTGCTCAAGTTAATGCTTCTGATGGAAGGTCGCTCGCTAGTAATGGCGGAGACTCCTACGAAGATGACAATCCCTTTGATCTCTCCGACGGCCTGAGGTGGTATCTCATCGATGCAGCAGAGGAGAAGCCGGGCGCGCCGTCTACACCTGGTTTAGGGAAGAGCACTGTTGCGAGCGCCCATATCGATGTAACGGGTAGCATACAACGACGCACCAAGAAATCATCGGCAGGTGATCTTAACGATATCAATAAGACCCTCAGCAAGAGCCTGGACAGCCGGCGCAGTAGCAGCACCTCGAAGAAAGCTGTCCCTCATCCAAGCGCCCTCATCAAGACTGGATCAACGACTTCACTTAGACCTACTCCTGCCAACCCACCCGCGGCCGAGGGATCTAGCGCACAGGTGATTGGGACGGGGAGCAAGCAAGATACGGCTGGGAGCGAAGACAAACAAGTGAACCCCGAGGTGCGAGATATTGATGATCTTATGGGCCCCTGAACGAGCACTGATCAGGCCGTACAGATCATCGCGCAGTCAACCTCGGCATCTGGGGAAACGAGTCCCGCTAAGAGATCCATGATCTGGGACTCACTGTGGTCGTTAGACCTCAATCTAGAGAGCGGCAAGGGCAAGAAACATGTTTAGGAGTCCGGAGCGGGAGAGCATATATCAATCAGATCAGTATAGGGAGTTTCTAGGTTCATTTCATCTTTCAAGGAGACGATGGGGTTCGGGACGGGTTTAGATTGAGATACGAGTTGCATGGGCATGATATGATAGCATATGATAGCATTTCCTCTATGATACAGGCAGCTGTGGATAAAGATACCATCTCGCTAATCAGAATGTTGTATTTTAAGGATAATAAGATAGATAGGTCGGTAGAAGAAGCTCGATATATTATTTTACATACATAGGTACATATATGTATTTACTGATGAATCAATCAATAAATCACTACCTAACTAATCCGATCCTTAGCTCCGCAGATACTCATGCATAGCATGCATAAAAAAAGAAAAAAAGTGACAGGACAGGCCAGCCAATATGCACGCAACACAGATCACATGCCCAAGCGCGGCAGCGCTCGCTGCAGAAAGTTGGCGGATGTATGAAAGGGAGGGGTGAAGGGTGGGCACCGATTCCAGACCCCCATGTTGCATGATCTACTTCTATGAATTCTGACAGACCATTGGGATGATGATTGATTGATTGATGAGCGGCGACGTGGCTCTCTGTCTCTCGAGTGGGAAAGGAGGGGGGGAGGGGAGACTTTGGGTTTTGGGTTTTGGGTATCTGAGAGCTTTCTTCTGTCTGTCTTGCTTGGGTTTCCCACACCCCCCACACCACACACCACCATGTATGTATCTAGGTATCTATGTATCTACCCCTCTTCGCTGGGTTATTTAAACGAGAGCTTTTTCACCCCCTCCTTGGAGAGAAGGGGGCGTTACTTGGGTTCAAGTCGGTTCGTTTGAGTGAGTGAGCCTTATATACCTATATATACGCATACCTCGATCGATATTATCAACGAGGAATAGCATCAAGCATCAAGCATCAAGCATCCAGCATCTATCCATAATCACCAACCGAGCCATCAAAAATGTCCGTCCTCTCCGTCTCCATATCCGACACGCACACCTTCGGCAAGACGCCCACCGACTACATCTATCTCCTGCGGCAACACGGCGTCCAAGGAGACGCGCACTGCAGTCCGCGGCCCTCAACCAGCAACCTCCGCCAAGTGCACCTCGTGGCCTCCGAGCTATTCTCCGACCTAGCCACGCCCTCCTCACGCTACCCATCCTTCCAGCTCTCACCAGGAAGTCTAGGCGAGAACATCACGACGCAAGGCGTAGATCTGGTGCGTTTGGGCGAAGGCACGAGATTGCATTTCGGCGATCATGAAGGACATGCTGTGGTCCGCATTACAGGGTTGAGGGATCCGAGGAAGAGATTGGGGGAGTGGCCGCAGGGACTCCTGGAGAGGTGCAGTTTGAAGGATAAGAAGGGGAAGGTGGTCGGTAAGAAGGTGGGCGTTATGGGCGTTGTTGAGGAGGAGGGCTATGTGAAACCGGGTTATGTCATTTATGTCGAGCCGCCTAAGACGTTTAAGATGTTGGGGAATGTGTAGAGGTGCCGTGCTGGCTTGGGGATAATAGGCTGGGGGGAATCTTCGCTCTTCGTGGATGGGGGCTTTTGTGGAGGTATTCTTTGGGCATGGCTCGATCAGCAGGGCAAATTTTTTTCTTTTCATGATTGTAGTCTCGCCTGAATATACTTTTGAGTTCTTCTGCCACTGCTTTTGCTTTTCATATGGCTAGTAATGTTGTGATGTCGGGTAGCCTCTGTCCCGTGTTATAGCAGCCAACCCATTTCATCCCGTTCATGTTCAGAGCTCCTTTCCCTCCGCCGTATGACACAGCATCCCCTGAGCCAAACTTCCCCCTAGAGTCCCGGCACAAACCATGAGCGATGCTATGGACAGGGTTCGTGGATTCGTGATGCTCCCGCTAAGGGTTGTAATGTTGATGAGATGTTGGTAAACGCCGGAAACAGATATCGCCGGTTCGGAGAGGGCGGTATCAACCCCAACACAGCCTGAGCAAGAGTGCCACTTCTTGGACATGAACTAAATCTCAAAGATCTGACGTCTTTGCACAATCAATAGTGACGTTGATATCCACCTTGTGATCAAGTTCATCTTTGAGGAGGCTTCATGTAGATACCGATTTGAATCCCTGGAAGTATCCTTTCCTAAAGGGATTAAGGTCGTCGGCACTGACCCCATTTTCCTTGGTTCTTTGCTCCTTAATGGGTGCCGCAGAGACCTCGCTGTCAGGGATCCGTCTGTAGGTTATGAGTCTTCTTGACCCTGAATAAATTAGTCTCTGTATTCTAAAACAGTGAGAGAATACTCACATTTATTGAAATTCTGGGTGCAAACACTGAGCAATTCGAGACATTGGTGTTGCGGAACTTGGATTTCTTGGTCCTGGTCATTTGCTGTGGGCATCCAGAATGACAGTCGACCATTATCAACCAGTGAAAGAGCTGCAAAGTTCAGGATATCGTCCAACATCGCAAGGAAACTGTATGGCCGCTTTGGCGGAACGTATCCTTCGACACTTTGGGATGATCAGAACCTCAACAATCAGTGACTGGATTTGAAGAGACTCACGTATGATAAGCCTTTCCATCTATGAATACTATTTCCTTCCCTTTTGTAGGATCTCGGCTTCCAAGAACTTTCAGCCCCTCACGAACACCATATGGTGGATCACATACAATGCCATCAAAGAGCCTCGCCGCTCGTAAGGGTGTGTTTGTCAGGTCTGCAACGAAGGTGTCTCCGAGTTGCTCTGTAAGTCCATACTGAACAAAATTGGCCCGAAGATTATTCTTGCCTTTCCCCCTGATACTACGTCCATCGATGTCACTCCCGAAAGCCAGGGCACCAAAATGGGCGCAAGCTACTGGAAAACTACCAGTGCCAACAAAGGGGTCATAGAAAAGTTTGCCCGGGCCGGCCAGAGTAATATTGGCTGTGATAAGTGCAAGTTCAGCGTCCATGGACGTAGTGCTGATATACTTCCGCTTCTTGAGATCATACTTGGCAACGACATCTCTCTCACTGGCGCCCAGAAATCGCCCGAGGTGGATAGAGTGTGGCTCACTGATACCAAGAGCAGCAGCACGAAGAGGCCATTCCTCTGCGATACAGAACTCTTGTTCCGCACCTTTCATCTTGATTGGTCCTTCAAATCCAAGGAAATCAAAGCGTTCAATCAGCTTGCGCTGCTCTGAATTGGTCCTGGATCCTTGGAATGTATCGACGGAGAATTTGAATGAGCAGTTCTTGTACAGGGGCCACAAATGCTGTGACACCCCTCGAACATTGTCAAAAAGATCATCATACGAGGAGCCGTTCCCCCAAACTTCATAGATTGCTTTGGCCAGAATGCTTCTTCTTACCAACCTGATGCCCGCTTCCTCGGATGGCACTTTTACAAAGCAGAATGGTGACTTGAGATTTTGTGAGCAAAAGGACGATACAAAGGAAGATGTACTTACACTCAGACTGTGGGAAAGAACTTCAAGTTCGATTCCCTCGACCACGGCCAGGGCAGTAATTTCTGCGAGACGGAACGTCTCGTGGACTTGGCTGAATCTGATCATGTACTCCATCATGATCTCTAGGATTTCTCTATTTCAACCAGGAATGACGGCCCATGAATTATTTGACCCTTTTTGAAGTGCATCAAACGGTTTGTGGCTGGTGGGGGATGCCTTGTCCAGTGCCAAAAATATTGTACTCCGTATAATGACTAGCGTGATTTACCCCAGCACAGTAATTTTAAGCTAGACCTTTTTGAGATCTTTCAACCTCCATAAAGTAACAAAACCTTCACGACAGCAGCCTCCCAAGACTAGAAATCCGCGGTCTCACTTTCAAAATGCTGGATTTTCCCGAGGATACTAAGAATGAGCCAAAATGTTACGTTACACACGGCACAATGGGCCACCTGGATCCCAAACAGCCTCCTGTGAAAAGAAAACCTTTCGCTGCCATCTTGAATGAAGGCTTTATTCAAAAGGTAAGCTAATCCCCAATTCTATATGAATTGTGCTAATATACGTGTTCTCTTTGAAGGCTGAGCTCATCCTACCTGAAGAGCTCTATGAGATCATCAAAAAAGACTTCTTCAACGAGACTACCAAACCTGTTTATAGCAGGGTCATACTTCCTTTGAAAGCACTTCTGGAAGGAGAATTTTTCAATGAGTATATAAAAAAAGGTAGGATGATTAGCCAGTTCCTAAAATCCTGGTCCCCGATACACTATTTAAATAGAGGCTAATCAACGGATTGCAGGAAACGTTCTAATGCTCTCAGAGGGACGACGTGGTGTTGATAATGTGTACTCCTTGAAAGAAGGTAGGCACCCGATGTATTTGCCCCGAGTATATTTACTCATTGATTGTTTGAATAGGAATTTTGACCTTGTATCTTGACAAGGAAAGCTACGAACGAGCGGGCCTAACGGGAGTACCAGATGGTGTGAAGGGGAAACGTAAGACGAAGCCTCGATGGGGTAAGTCTTCCAAAAAGCATCTGAAGAATTGAGTTGACGCCCCAACCAGTTGTTGAAATCAATTTACGTCTGCCCTCAATGCTACATGGGAAGAAGGGGTTCGACAGGATTGTCTACGCATTCAAGAATGTCCTCTCAACTCCAGTCACGTGGCTATTCTGTGATTTAGGGGCAACAGGTATGGGTTTTCTCAGCGATACAACTAAAAGTCCATAAATGCTGACGGATCGGTAAGCTCTGGCACCTGATCCTCTGGATATACATTTCCCGACCAAGGTGGCCGTCGTCCCTGATATCACTTCAGAAATCAAAGTCAATATGCCGTCACTCAAACCACCCACAGATACAAGTTCCGAATATGGAGATGATTTCAAGGATTTCGCAGTTGAGACCCACGAATGGCTATCTCTTATTTCACTCAATAGCCCCAGGGTTAATCCAGACGATCAGATAGATTCTTTCCTTTCTCGATATGTTCCCCCAGGAGAGTCTACGACAAGATCGAATCTCGTCAAGATCACATGGCGAGGGTTCTTGTCTCCATCTTGGGCACATAAGCTATTTGTACACGCGTTGTTGAATGTGCCCCAGGAAGCATGGTTTGTTTATTACGTGGGAGGATTCGGCGGAGTCCGGGTTGAAGGTAGCAAGGATTGCACCATATTGAAGGTACCTGACGCACCGAACGAGTACCTTTTATGGGAGGTCGCGTAAATAGCAAACATCCCCCCTCAATCAGTCCGTCTGCGAACATCTCTTTGCTGGCCCATCTCGCCCCTAATAGCCTCCGTGATAAGCTCCCTCAACTGCCTTTGCCCCTCTTCGCCCTGGAAGTCCTCTCGTTGCGCCAATTCTTCTATTCTTCGTCGGAACTCTGGGTCTACCACTTCACCAGCGTCTTCTTCAGGGTCCATCGTTCCAAGATTGACAGATATTCCATCTGGAAGAGGCGGCGGTGGATGGATTCCGTTGAGCTCGGGTGTTCCATTGACGCCGTTAACTTGAGGATTGCTCCCCTCCAACTCCTTTATCCGCAGGTAGACCGCAACCTCAGGGAACTCGCCTTCTTCTTCAATTTTCTCTCTCGCTGTCTTGCCTTCATCGCCTCTGATCGAGATATCCGCATGAAGTTCTTCCACTAGCACTTTCGCACAATCCATCGTCTCCGCAACAAATAAGGCCGTTTCCCCGTCCTCATCTTTCAAGTCGACGTTGACATGTAGCTCGTTGACCAGCGCTCGAAGAAGATCGAGGTGATTGTATGATGCTGCCGCATGCATGAGAGAGTAGCCATGTTCGTCTTGGGCGGAAGCGAGCGACGTATTTTCCCGGAGCAGTGGGAGGAGTTGGGGAGAGTTGTCGGCCGCCAACAAGAACGGATTGGGCTGTGAGGAGGACATCTCACTCATGTAAATCTGTGTACCCAGAAGATGGGAGTCTCCAGAGTGTATGGCTATGGTGAACCCAGGAAAATTATTGAAGCGGGCCGCCGTACCTACTCGGTAGAAACAAGGCTGTGATGACGCTAACCTTATTCGTCTGGCTGGAAAGACCCATCCCTGCCAATCCACGACGATCTGCTCAGCCTTTCTCTTCACGCTCCACGTCTCGGTCTCTGAATCAGAGAAACCCGTCCACAATCACACGGTGAACGGAGTAGAGTCATACCCAAGTAGCGACTAACCTCCAGCCTTGACCTTCAGCCCTACGGCTTGGCCTGCTGCCCACTATCCTCCATATACAGAGGATTCAACGGCATTATTTTTGCGTGCATTCTGGATGCCGTTTTGCAAGGAAGTCACCCGAAAAGTCGTGTCCCCTTTGCTGAACACTCTTGTCTGTACTACCTCTTCAAAGCCATTTCTCACCATATCAAGATCTCTTTCACCTTCAATCCTGCAGTGGCGCTCTTTTGCCATGGCGAGCAAGGTACCTTATGTCCCGCAGGATGTGCAAGAAGTTCAGACTTTGCTTCGCAACCTCGAAGAAAGCACAAAGAAAAGCTCGAAGACAGGGAAAAAGACCTTCAGCTGCAAAAAGTCTGATTTTAACGTAGTTGGATCTCCAGAGAAACTTGTCGTCTCGTCATGGAGGTTTCAAGATTGGGACTACAAGCGTGACGACCTCCCAACCTACGCAAGAGGCCTTTTCACTGCGAAGAACGAGAAGGGCCAGCCCGAAATTGTTGTCCGAGGATACGACAAGTTCTTTAATGAGGGGGAGGTCAATGCTACCAAGTGGAGAAATATCGAGAGCAACACCAAAGGCCCATACGAACTGGGTCTTAAGGAAAACGGCTGCATCATATTTATCAGCGGACTCCACGATGGCACTTTGCTTGTTTGTAGTAAGCACTCAACTGGCCCAAGGGATGATGCCGACCTTAGCCACGCCGTGGCCGGAGAGAAATGGGTCGACAGACAGCTGAAGGCAGTCGGCAAGACCCGTCAAGATTTGGCAAGAGAGTTGAGAAGTAGGAATGCCACTGCTGTCGCCGAGCTCTGCGACGATGACTTCGAAGAGCATATTCTAGAGTACGGAAAGGAGAAAGCGGGGCTATACCTTCATGGCATCAACATCAATATCCCAGAGTTCATGACGTACTCTGGCCCTCAGGTTCAAGCTTTCGCCGCCGAATGGGGCTTTCGAAAGACAGACTTCTTGGTCATCGACGACGTCCAAGCAATGAAGACCTTCCTCGAGGGAGTTGCTGAGACTGGCTCATACAATGGTCGAGATATTGAAGGTTTTGTCATACGATGCAAATCTCGCATGAGTCCTTCGGGCTCCTACTCGGACTGGTTCTTCAAGTATAAGTTCGAGGAGCCTTATCTGATGTACCGACAGTGGCGTGAATGTACGAAGGCACTGATTGCAGGAAAACCACCAAGATACAAGAAGCATGTTAAGATTACCGAAGAATACTTGCTTTATGCACGCAGAAGGCTTGCTGAGAGTTCCGCTCTAGGAAAGCAGTACCAACAGAATCATGGCATCATCAAACTGCGCGACGACTTCCTCAAGGAAAAGAACATGAAGGGGTCAGATATCATTCGTTTAGAATACGCCACATTAGGAGGTGCGCCTGAAGATACCACTAAGGATATCATTCTGGTTCCTATTGCCACTCTCGGATGCGGCAAGACAACTGTCGCTGTCGCTCTTCAGCATCTTTTTGGTTGGGGCCATGTGCAGAATGATAACATCGTGGGCAAAAATCGACCGCCTCGGTTTACTAAGGAGGTTTTGACGCAGCTTGAGGAGAAGCCAGTCGTTTTTGCGGATCGAAATAATGCTCAAAGGCACGAACGACAGCAGATCCTTGATGACGTTCATTTAACCCATCCTCATGTTCGACTGGTCGCTTTGAACTATGTACATTCCCCGGAAGCCCTGAACAAAATCAAACAAGTCACACAGAATCGTGTATTCTCGCGCGGGGACAATCACCAAACAATCCAGGCAGCATCGGATCAGAAGAAGGTTATTGGAATTATGGAAGGTTTCATCCGCCGATTCGAGGCTGTAAATCCTCATGCACCGCCGGATGACGGATTTGACGCGGTCATCGACCTAGACCCTACCGTCGACTCCCGCGAAAACTTAGAGACTGTTGTAGGTCAACTGAGCAACCTTTATCCAAAGCTCTTCACAGACATGCCTACTAGCGAAGACCTGGACGAGGCTATAAAATTCGCTCTGAGCGAGTATAAACCAGACATCAAACATGAAATCGGAGGACGTGGACCAAAGAACCCTGGACCAAAAAGTCAGAAAAGCCAAGTAAGTTTCAGTCCCAGGATAACCGAAACCAGGCTTGATGTATTAATATTTCCCCTAGAACATACAAGTGCCAGTCATGAAGAAGAAACGCCCTTTGGAGTACGTTTCCGTTAATCTGCCCAAGAATGAAATTCTCAACATCCTCGAAACCGCATTTGCGTCTGTCTCCTCTAGTAAAGCCAAGTTCTTCAGACAGCTGAAGGAAACCAACCGCGTTCAGCCGGAATTCCACGTCACGCTCATACATCGTGCATCGGCAGCAGCACATCCAGAGCTTTGGCAGAGATACTCCGAGCTCCATGCAGAGGCAGACAGTGAGAATAAGCTAGGCGACTGCAAAGTTATGCTTGAGACAGTTGTATGGGACAATCGCATCATGGCAATTGTTGCCCGACTTGTGGATGGGGGCTGGGATTGCGTCAACGAGGTTGCACACGTCACTGTGGGAACAAGGTCTCCCGAGGTCAAGCCAAAGGAGAGTAACGATCTGCTCAAGAGATGGTTGGTAGAGGGAAGTGGTGATTCAAGTGGTATTGGAGAGGTAGCTATCGAGGACCGGCTTGTTATCGATGGCATTGTGAAGGGTACCTTGTCAAGGTGAGAGGGCACGTTAAGGGGTAAAGCATAAAAAAAGCATTGAAAAGGCATTATAAAGGCATTGAAAAGGCATTAAAAAGGCATGTCAGCGGAAAAGTTTGTCTAAGATATCCGAATACTACTCTTCAAACAATAAACTTGAAACAAAAAATTCTCTGCAGAAACAGGGAATTTGAATAGACGACCAGTTGTTTAACAACCTTAGATTGAGATCTGAGTATTTCAAGTTATGTACGAGATAAATCAAGTTCGGCTTTGCTCTAGTAGAGAGGGAGTTCGATGTACTTCTTTGGACAGAGATTTTAGACATCGCCTGTATCTGAGCAAGGCTGTTTGGTGTGTAAATAAACTGGAAGACATAACCTAGGCGTCCTTGAACCCAATTGCCTCCTCTTGATTAGAACATAAGCCCAACCAACCGATGCCTTCCTTTATGGATATATTCTAGGCTGCCTAGGCCTTCACTGTCTTTTCGAGTTGTGGGGTTAGTGGCTTGTAGAGCCTCAATCCTGTCCACTCGAGCTGCGAGCAGAATTGCCCGTTAAGCTCTATCTCAATCAAGACTCCTCACTCCTCCGCCACAAGCCTGCCAAAGTACAACACAACGCCACTTATATATCCTCAAACACCATAACCATGCCGATTCGTGATCATTCATTATAATGCTCAATCTCCCATATACCGTTTAATCACTTAAGTAAAGGATCCCCGTATTTGGCTATCCAACCCATCAGTCCCCAGCTCTTCCAAAAGGTGCGCGCGGGAGCTGAACTCACTGTTATCCCATGATTGGTCTATAACCTGAGCATATACCCTCTCGTACTCCTCATAGAACTTCTTGTTATTCCAGCTCGAGCCTGGTGCGCCATGGTTGAGCTTCGCTTCCGTGTTAGAGCGGCTGCCGCCTGATGACTGAGAGGTGGGTTGTTGAGCGGAGAAGGGCTGGCTGGAGGCTGAGACCGACTGGGTATCTGGAGGAGAATCGGGAGCCTCCATCATAGTATGGTCGTCCTGGTCATGCTCTGGGTTTTGATCTGGGGCTTGGTTTTCAGGAAGTGACGATTGCTGCGATGCTGGGATCTGTCAGCTCGGTTCACGAAGAGAATGCAATATCAGTAGAGCCGTTCTTCGCTTACAAGACATGTTCCTTTGTACTTTCTAGATTTCAAGATACTGATGTTGGGTTATGGCAGTCGGGATCAAGGCTCCAAATCAGAATGGATGATGTTTCCTTCCCCACCGCGGGAAACACCAGCCGAGAACGCGAACCAGACTGCACCAAAATCCTCACCCCTGCTTCAACCTGTGCACAATCTTCGAAACCACCAGACAAGATGAGCAAGAAGGCCACCATCCCAGATGCCTGGGATGACGATTGGGAAGCACAGGCAGATAAGGCAGATGTGGCAGAGACGTCGAAGGCCGAGGAACAAGCAAAGATCTCCAAGGCTGAGCGCTTAGCAAGGCACGCCGAAACGAACAAGAAGATTTGGGAATCTGCGTAAAACATCACCGTTTCTAAATCTAAGTTCTGATATACTAATCATAGATATAGGGAAGCACCAGAGACCTTCCACTTCCTAGCAGCGCGCGACAATGTGCCTCTTAAGCAAGAATTCAAGCCAGCGCTCAAAGTCCTGAGTCGCAAGCCCGTAGTCCAGCGCATTGATCCTGTTACTGGACTTGCTAAGATGACCTTAGATGATGATGACGATGAGGAGGAGCAGAAGAAGGACCAGCCTACGCCCGAAGAGCTGCGATTGAAGGCGCAACGCGAACGGGAGGAGAAACAGAGAAGGTATGATGAAGCTCGCGCAAGAATCTTGGGCTCTCCGTCAGGTAGTTCAACGCCTCGTACTGCTACACCACCAATGGAAGATGGGAGACCAAATAGGGGCAAGGGTCGAAGCAGAGGTGGCGACAGAGGAGGTGACAGACAAGAGAATCGGCGGCCAGCGAGTCAATCAGGTACCAAGGAGCTATTTGATCCCAATTATACCCCGAAGCCGGTTACACTACAAAGGCGCAATGGAGATTCTTCACATTCGGGACGATCAACATCACGGGACGAGGAGCAAGTCATTCGAGCACCCAGAGGACCCGATGGAAGCGGCAGGGGAGGGTTTGGATTCGCAAACAGGGGCGCCAGAAAGAGTTGATTTTCTGCTCTAGATTACCAACCTCCGCCGATTTTCCCGGCGATCTCTATGACCCTTTCCGTGTCTCCAGGTTTCTTACCAACATCACTGACTACCTCCCGATAGCTCGTGTATACCAATCTTCCCAAATCTATGCCTGTTGTGGCAGCCCAGTGCTCCAGGGTATCTTTTATATATGCCGGGGAAATTCCATCTACCATATCATCTCGATTATCTTGGATCTCGTCTTCTTTACCACTATCTTCTCCAGAGAAGTATGCCTCGTCGACTTGGGCCAACCATGCTTTCTGCTCAAGGGGTCCAGGCTTCACCTCGGAACCTTCACGGCCAGTTACCACGGGATCATCAACCTTAATCTGACCGCCACCGTTGGTACAACCACCTGGGCAGGCCATAACCTCGACATAGGCATAGTCTGGCCCGCTGGGTTTCCCTCCTGGCCTTCTGGCGCTGCCAATAGGCTTTCCACCAGGCATACGAGATGGTTTGACAGGCTTCAATTTACGGACAAGGTTCTGAATATTCCGGAACCCATAATATCGCGCAGTCTTGAGAAGAATCTCACCGGTTGAGGAAGTGACAGTATATTCCACAACATCGGCATTGCGTCCACGGGTCGTCTGAATAGATGCACCATCGTGTTGGGATGCAAAGTACTGGAGGATGTAATGAAGATTTCCTCCAGAGGAACCAGCTTCTGGCTTACCGTTGCCATGCCGCCGGGTTCGTGGAAAGAGGAATGAATCCAGCTTTGGATCTGGGAACGGTATCCGTGAGGAGAGCGGCGTTCGGGGTAAGGTGGAAAAATCGACACGTCTAGATTCAGCGAGCATAAGCAATTCTTTGCTGGTGATGACGGAGTCAACATCTCGAACACCACGAGTACCGGTTCCTTCCCAAACAGCATCTGTGAGTTCCTCACGACTCGCTTCTAGTTTCTTGTCAAAGCAAGGCATAATAGCAACGTGCCAGATTCTGTCCGGAGAAATTCCAAGTTTTCGACTAAGAGTCGTCTTTAATAACGTCCCCATCAATGCCTGTGGTGATTTCAGCCGTGATAGATGTGGTAAGACGTGAGGATGTGTCTTTTCAGCGTAGCAGATCCATCCAGGGCACGACGATGTGAGTATGGGCTTTTTGGGTTGCTTCATGGCAGCACCATCCTCCGCTTCGTTTGAAGGTTTTGGCCCATCCGTCATTGACTCCATCACTTCATCAGCCCCAAGTACTAAACATGCCTCCCGAGCAACATTTGTATCCACCACCCACTGGAAAGCGTTCCTGTATACCGCTCGATTCTTTATCCCTTTCGGCCCACTTAATAACTGCTCGATCATATATCCAGCCTCCCGTTCAGTAACTCCAAATGTAACTGCGATACTCGCTCTCGTTTGTGGACTAACACTTGCCACATATATACGCCCTCCGGTATCGAGGTTCTCGATGCCGATACCAGTCCCGGAAGGGTTGCCACGCAAGCGAAGACCCGGCGCAGAATCGAGCTCTTGTAGGACTTCGGCGTGTGATTGCAGAGATACGAGAACGGCTTCGGCGGACGTGACACAGCCTGAGCATGCTAAGCAGTCTGTGAGGGAGATTTGGGCGGGGGGCAGGTCGGAAGGGAGTGGTTGGTCGGTATTGAAGCTGACTTCGTAGGAATCCTAGATGATCGTTAGAAAAAGTCTTTTGTAAGAGAAAAGAGCGGTATTTACATTTTCGGCGGCGGGCTTTGCAGCAGGCAAGGTTTCCACTGGTTTGATACATGCTACGCCTGGAGATATGAAATCGTTCAAATCGTCTGCTGAAAGGATTGCGCTCATGATTGCCGATGCGGGCGCGCCACGCGCCGCTGAATCTGAAAACTTGTGGTTCTGGGTTTAAATATTGAATTCACTCCTTTAGAAGATAGGGTGAAGAAATGCTCAATGTGTTTATCATTTAAGAGGTCTGAAGATGGAGGGATGAAGCTGGAGTTGAGAAAAATTCAAGCACAAGCGTGTTGATAATCAGCATCGTCCGATTCGGAGATCCTCTGACCTGTGGCGTTATCAATAGCAGGGGTCGTTTGACCCCGCGCTAACTTGAGGGGTTCGTGCCTGAGGAATCCTCGATGACGTTGAACCAGATTCAAGCAGGAATGACCTATGTAGGTGAGGGACCTATATTAATGGGCTTTTGAGTCCCATTTCAATGTCGAGTCTTTTTCCTTTCAAACGTAAATAACAATTTCATATCTGAAATTTTAAAGATCAAGATTTAGTGACAATCATGGATGTATGTTTTTGAATCAAGTTTTCTTAGATTGGTACAAGCTAATATTTCCGTACCTAGGTATTCTACGCCTTCAGCTATGGGTCTGCCGGATGGCTTGCTCTTCAATCGGCTCCTTTGATTTGTTCACCTACAATTATACTCGCCCTTCTCTCACCTGAGGTCCGAGAGCCAACCGGTTAGTATTCATGGCAATGAATTGGGGTAATTCTAGCTCACGAGAGAGACAGTCCTCGAGACATACTTCTCGAGATCATTGGGAATGGCTCTGCTCACCTTGGCCATACTGGTTGTCCTTTTGACGGGTTCAGTGCCCTTAACATCCTCAATATCTGACAGTATGTCGTCCATTTCCCTGCTTTGAATGTGTAGGCTGTTGTTTCAAACTTACCAACCATTCTCAGCAACCAATGCGAGGGTCACTACTGAAGCCTCTGACCCGAAGGCCCCCTACGCCGTTCCAACTTTGACAATCAGCACTGTCTACCATGCAGCCTGCGCTTTCTACTGTTACACCAGATTCAGTACGAGCGGTCAGACAACCTTCGTTCTGGGAACAACAGGATCAGCTGCTCTGGCCGCCATAGGCCTCTGGTGTATCTTGTTTGCTACCAGCAGTGGCAGGATTAGTAGAAAGACTGGTGCGGATAAGAGGACGAGTGCCTTTCCTTTCGAGAACAAGGAAGCGGCTTCTGCGAAGAAAAGAGAGATGGAAAAGTCTACTTGAGAAGAAGCGATGAGTGTGAGGATTATACAATGCTGGAGAGAATGAGGAACGGTGAAGTAGAGAATGGGTTAGGAACATAACGATGGGCTTTGCTTTGCATATCCTGCCGGGAGCAGAGACCCCAGCATAATGGTACTAGTAAGATGCTGGGTTTTATTTTGTACTATTAGGACTGTAATAAGTCAGGTGGGAGATTCGGTTTGTGCCATAAGTTTGGCAAGACTGACGAAAGATACAAGACCGTGGATGGGTGGACCTTGCGAGGATCTGTTATCTGTCCGATGGGTAGCCTACCTTAAGTATAAGCGAATAAAACGCCCCTTAACGCCGAACTCAGGGCACCGAGTTCAGTACTGTATGTACAGCATGAGTGCCATAAACAGATAAGGTCTTAGGATATAAACGTAAAAACTCCGGGAGTTACGTTATCAAGATATGTGAATATTATCACATCAAATCTTGAGCTATCTTGAGCTTTGTAACCCTAGCCTCACCTAGGAGGCAACCCCTCCACGTACCCTTCGTCATCGGACTTTGCAGCGGGATAGACTCTTAACTCCCGAGGCGCAACTCCACAGCTTGCAAGTCCCTGAAGAGTTGAGACTGATAATTTCTATTTAACCCAGACGCTTGCCTGGCCTTTTCTTGAACCCACTCGACTCTTCCACATACCAAGATAGCAATCTCCAACATCTGCAACTGCAACTACACATACCAGACAACATGCCCGAAATCCTAGGAAAGCAAATCGGCTCCACCGGCTATGGGCTCATGGGTAAGTTTCTATCTAGATCTACGAAGAATGCCCCGCCGTAATTGAAGCAATGGCTAACAAGGAATGCAGGCCTGACCTGGCGCCCAACTCCCCAGCCCGAGGAAGAGTCCTTCAAGGCCATGAAAGCCTCCCTCGCTGCTGGCTGCAATTTCGTAAGGACTCCTCCTAGAGCGACCACGTGCTTGCTTGTTTTCAGACCGTTTCAGAAGCAATAGGACAATTTACTCTCCACGCTTTTCTTGGGAGTGAACTTGCCCTACAGCCTATGAATCATGACCTCAAACTCGTTTTTTGGTTTTGTTGAAGCATTTCACTAATGATCCATCTAGTGGAATGGAGGGGAGTTCTATGGGACCCCAGAAAACAACTCTCTTACGCTTCTGGAACACTACTTTACGAAGTATCCTGAAGATGCAGACAAGGTCGTTCTCAGTATCAAAGGAGGACTGAAAGATATGCACCCCGATGGAAGTCCAGAGAACGTCCGAAGATCGGTGGACACCTGCCTGAAGCTTCTGAATGGCAAAAAGAAGATTGACATCTTCGAATGCGCGAGAGGTATGGCAGTCAACCCTTATCTGATCTACTCATCACTTATCCCACCTTCTCTCCTGCTCACGAGACGGTCTCCAACCTGCTCACTCAAATCAATGGTGCGATATAGAGTCAGCGCTAACTTTGCGATTTCCCAGTGGACAAGAACACTCCAATCGAGACGACATTGAAGGTACTTGATGAGGAATATGTCAAGACGGGCAAGATTGGAGGTATTGCCCTGTCCGAGGTCTCGGCAGCTACGATTGAAAAGGCTGTGAAGGTCACCAAGATCGTGGCTGCTGAAGTGGAACTCTCACTGTGGGCAACGGACATTTTCTCCAATGGAGTGGCACAATCTTGTGCTCGTCACAATATCCCTGTTGTTGCGTATGTGCATTTGCTCATCTCCGAGTTTCCCAAATTCTGACGAGAAAACAGGTACTCACCTATTGGCCGTGGAATGTTGACAGGACAAATCACTAAGCCAGAAGATATCCCAGAAGGGGATTTCCGCAGGACGGTACCTAGATTCTCTCCAGAGAATTTCGGTAAGAATCTGGAGCTTGTCAACGAATTGGTGAAATTCGCGAAGCAGAAAAACTGCACCCCAGCTCAACTAGCCATTAGTTGGGTCAAGAGTCTTTCCAAGAAGGATGGAAACCCAGAAATCATCCCTATTCCAGGTGCGACAACTGTGGAACGGGTCGTTGAGAACTCGAAGGATGTCGCATTGAGTAAGGAGGAGCTTGCAGAAATCGACTCGATTCTGAAATCGTTCACAGTAGTCGGTGGCCGATACGGAGGCCCGGCAGCTCTGCATATTGAGGGCTGAATTAATTAGCATAGTTTCATGAATTAAAATGATGAATGCAGAAAGATGCTTATGTGCTCAGGAAGTTTGTAATGACTGAGAAGTCTTCAGTGGCAGAAGCCATCAGAATTGCAGAACTCTCTTGTTAATCATCATCGCACAGTGATGTCTGAGTTGACAATGAAAGTGAAGTGTACTTACGATAGAGCATGTAGCGGCCATTGATTCCTAATTATCAAATTTTTGGGTGATGCGTAGATCAGTATTGTGAGATGTACACCGTAAAACTCGTCAAGTGCGAGAGAGCCGTTTTGTGTTGAATCTCGGCATTTTCCGCGCGTCGCGACAACCTCACCTCCGTTCCGCGACAGAGCTGTGAAGCCGCTCCTGAAGCCGCTCCATTGCGCCTGGCAAACAATCAACCGGCATATAGTGAATCGAAGCCCTATACAGTGAATCGAAGCTCTACACTATGACCGACGAATCTCCAGTGGGGTCTCCTCTTTCTGACCTCTCTTCTGACGCCTTCGAGGGCGACGAAGAACACGACAGATTGGCAGCAGAAGCCCTAATGCCTCCAGCCAAGAGACAAAAGCTAGGAGATTCCTCCTCCATGCGCGCGACGCCTATACCACATGTCGATGATGATGCTGTCTCCATATCGACTGATACTTCCGGCGAAGTTCCCAACTCTCCAAGCAACCTCCGACCTGAAGACGAAGAAACGCATGAACAAGTGACGGTTTGCTCCTGGATGGGCTGTGACGCGGGAGATCTGGGGAATATGGATAGGCTGGTAGATCACATACATAATGAGCATATTGAGACGAGGCAAAAGAAGTACACTTGCGAGTGGATGGACTGCTCGAGGAGGAGTATGCCCCATGCAAGTGGATACGCCTTGAAAGCGCACATGCGAAGTCATACGAGAGAGAAGCCCTTCTACTGCGCATTACCTGGTAAGTCTCTTAATTCCAATATTTGAGTATCTGCTAATCTGCTGGCAATAGAATGCGACCGTGCTTTCACACGCTCTGATGCTCTGGCGAAACATATGCGTACTGTCCACGAAACCGAAGCTCTTCGCCCCTCGGACCCGATTCCCAAAGGGATGCAACCTTCAAGTAAAAACTCACGTCTGAAACTTGCCGCCAAAAATTCCCAAGCACCATCAAATGGACAGTACGAGTCGAATGGAATTACGAACGGGTCCGACACTTCAAGCTGGACGTCTTCCTATCCCCCCGAGCTTGGATTTACAGCAGAGGAAGAAGCCAGGGGTCCCCAGGAGTTGTGGCGATTATTACGAAGGCAAGTTCACTGGGCAGAGGAGGAGGGAGAGTTATTGAAGAGGCAATGCGAAGCCATGGAGGAGCTACGAAAGAAAGAATGGCTGGAGAAAGAAGTGTTGCTAGATCAGGTCATCAGAAATGAAGTCGACTGGCACGAAAGGAGAAAGGAGGTCTTAGCGGGGCTGGCGAAGCTACCAAGTGCTGAAGAGATCAGGGCCGCGGCGGCAGCTTTGTCTCCTCGGGGCCCTACCCAGTCACCAAACCCAACGTCTGCCAATGGTCAACCTGTCGCTCAGGACAGGGATGCGGCGGCGGTCCTGGCTTCTTTATCTCAGGCGTAATGAACGAACGGAAAGGCAAGGAAGGCGAATTTGGAGTTTTATTTGGGTTTCAGCGTTGCTATCATCCACTAACTGCACCAGGCAGTCTTATGAACGATATAATCAGTGGAAAGATCAGCTATATGTACTGTAATGTAACTGGATTGGCATTTTAGCTAAGGTTTCCTTCCTCTCAGGCTTTTAGACCAGAGCCCCTTTTCCCATGAAGTCAATCTCGACTTGCGAATGCATTCTTTTGAAATCTAGAAGATGCCCTCTGCCCAATAGAACAGATATGGCATTTAAGAACGCACTAAGGAGCAAGTAAGATGATTTCCCTTCCAATCACCATCTTCCAGATGAACTCAAACATCGACTAACTTTTCCTTCGCCATGCCACCAGTCTTCCTCTTAGCAACCTCTTCCGCACCAGCCTCAACAACACAACTCTCCTCCTCCCAATCCTTAGTATCCTTGACAGCAGCCCTCTCAAGCAGAACATTTCTACTAACAAGGTCGCGCCTCTCAGGGGTCCCTTTCCCCGTCTCCGCCCTCGGCATACTCCTCAACCTTCTCAAGACCTGCTCCCCCAGCTCCTCATCCGTCTCACGCCCCTCCATCCTCCCACCACCCGTTCTCCCCCACCCAATCCTAGTCCTCGCCAGCGCCGAATCCAAAGCTGGCCCACAGCATCCATTTCCCGCACATGCACTTGCTCTCTGCCGCCTACCGCCTTCTTGAGGACTAACACTTCCACCCGCAAAGTATCCAGGGTTGAGCGCGCGGTACCAGGCTGGCCAGTTGCTCAGCCCGACTTCTTGAAGGCCTGAGAGCGTCATCGGCATAAGATGGCGGTAGCGGCACTGCTGGCCCCATTTGCAGATGCCGTGCGTGCACCAGTAGCGACAGACCTGGGGCTCGGGTCTAGGACGCGCTGACAAGGTGTGAGGCGTAGATGAGCGCGTGTCGGTGTCGCTATCGGCAGTGGTGTGTGACGCAGCGCGGGGAGCGCTGGGTTGATGAATCTCGCTGGGCTTTGTGGGACGGGATGGTGATGTTGGTTTAGGTGTTCTTTGCGCAAGGGGATGTCAATTTTGGTCTTCTCCCGGTCAGGGGAGGACCTACTTCGAGCTGGGACTAGGATCCTTTGAGATGGTTTTGGTTTCTTTGGGCTCGGTGAGCTGATAGAAAGAGCCGCTGCTTTGCTGGAGACCGAGATTTAACATTCCGATGGTGGACTCGAGGTCGAGAGACCTTGGGACACCGATTAGATTGGTACCGGGAGGTAGCTCGTCGACGGCAATTAGGGGGACGATGTCACCGGTGGTGCGGACGAGGAAATATCCTGGCCATGGTTTGCTTTCTTTGGAAGCATTTTCGCAGGTAACAGGCATGCCTATGAGATATCTCTTGAAGATTCAACGCGGAAACAGCCTTCATGCACAGTGGATTGTGATAGACTTGGAAATATTACCCACCACAATGAGAAAGATAACCATGACGACAAGAGACAAGGGAAAAAAACCTGACTAGATATAGAGATTTCATGGCCTGAGAGTTTGCCTACTGACGTGTAAGTGAAAAAATCAAACTGACCTACTTTGCTTGCATGTGGGCAATCACTTTTTGATTGATATCTGGAAGATAGAGCACCTCGTATAAAGCTGTAGCATACAAATGGCAGTCAAACAAACAATCGGGTATATGGTATTGGTGCTACTCATCTCAGTTCAACTCGAACTCTCGCTTCCATCCCATCAATACAATTTCCGATATGTCGTGTGCTATCCTCAATCTCAACCTCTCTTTGCACAAATCTGCCCAGTTGCTTTACGGAGGACTCGTGCTTTCCTAGCGATGGAAACTCGCTTTCCGCTGGGAGGTCTTCGTCGAAATCATCATCCATAATATCATCGCTTCCTGCAACGGGATCCATTGCTCCAGTCTCCCATATCAATCTTAGACTCATTGGCTTTTCGTCAAACATCCTCCCCACAAGGCCCTTGACGCGGTAAACATCAAGCCCCTTTGGGATTTCTCGTTCTTTGGTGATGACTTCCTTCTGGCCAGACTGTGTGTTCCGGAGCATATAAAATGTGAACTTGATTAGGCGAGCTTCGAGGAAATCTGGATTGACCGTCTCAACCTGTTTTCGAATTACATCGGGAATTCCATGTTTCTTGCAAAGCTCAGCATATCGCTTGTGCTGTGACGATATTGTGTGCTCCAGACCCTCCGGTACTTCCGCCATTGCCTTAGCAATTTGAGAAAGATAATATGTCTCTGCTTCCGTCCTCTCTGTTGGTGAGATGGTGCTATAGTTCAAAGCATTCAGCTTTCCGAGTCGCGCCACAGTTATCATATGAGCCTCGTCAATGGTCCAAGATTTCATTTCCGCATTCGTACTTCTTTGGTTGATCGGGTTATGTGAAAGCCTTAGGGCTGTCATCCCCGGAAAGACATCGGCCAAGCCATCAACAAAACCCCAGCTCAGGATCGCATTGTAAGATAAGTCAACGTAGTGTAACCTTTGTGGAAACTTAAGAGACCTCTCTGAAGCTGGAATATCTCTATCCCATCCACTCTGAAAAATTTCGGAGATTTCATTCCCCTTGAGGGACAATTTTTCAAGAGCAGGAAGGTATTTGAGGTCGATTAAATCCGAAAGAGCGGTAAATTTGTTGTATTCCAGGGTCAACGAAGTAAGATTTAGTAGAGATAATTGTGGAAACGAGCCGCAGATGTAGGAATCAAGAACTGTGAGGTTGTTTAAGGAAGCACTGAGGGTTGTTAAAGACTCGAAGTGGTGCGATAGCGAGAGAATGTCTTCCCAGCCCAGAGACATATTATCCAGCTCCAACTCACGTATTCCTCGAAAAGCTTCTTTGGCACCTTCGAGATCTGCAGCACGTATATCCAGTCGATTTTCGCTGAGGAGGAGGTTGCATTAGCCAAGAACGAAATGTATAGTGTCCAGACCCCTCTTACTTGACTTTGAGGATTCGTAAATCTTGTAATTTCCCACATATGTTGACAATCTCCTCCCAGCTGTCAAAGAGATTTCGACTCAAGTCGAGCTCCACAATCTTTGGGCAATCCCGCTTGATGGAGTCTGCCGGAGTCTCTGCTTTGTTGATTCGCAGGCCATCCACCAAAACTATCTTCAATTCATGCAGTTGAGCCAGCACTGCCCTGATTTTGTCGAAACCGACCTCTTGAACCTCCTTAGTGGAGATTACTATTGGCTTATTGGAGAGTACAGATTCCACAGGGTTGGGCTGGGTCGGCAGCTCCAAAGCATATTTATTGCGAACGGCTTCGACGAAGCTCTGCTCAGGGTCCGCTCGAGCACTCTTCAGATTGACAAATGATGCTGCGGTTGGTGACGCGCTCTTGCCTATGACAATAGTTAGCATTTGAAACTACTGTTGCCCAATTATTTGAAGAACATACACTTAAAGTAACTCCGGCCAAGATACTCTCCATTGTGTTTGCCTCGTGCTGGGTCATCCCACTCAACTCCAAGCCATATCTTATTCTGGTCTGTTCCTTCGACGGCACCAATGTACCGAACGGTGCATCGATGACCTTTAAAGGAGACCCGCTGCCCTACACGGTATTCGACAGGCATTGCATGATGTGTTTTGCAGAGTGGTGAGTACCTGCAGTAGCCTTGGTCGAAGAGGCTGAAAGAACTCGGCTGCAGCCGAACATTTTTGGACCTTTGCCTTCCATCATACATCGTAACTCAGTACATACCTTACCTACGCAACTTCCAACAACAAGTCTTGCCACGCATATTGCGAATCCGAACATCTTGTCCATTATCTCCATCCCCCTCTCAAGATGGACTACCAAAACCGCGCGGGTTCGAAATTCGGCGGTGGAGGCGTAGCATCTACCTCAGCAACCAACGCCGATCGACGAGAGCGCCTGCGCAAACTCGCCCTCGAAACCATCGACCTCGACAAAGACCCATACTTCTTCAAGAACCACGTCGGTTCATTTGAGTGCCGTCTCTGCCTGACTGTCCACCAGAACGATGGCTCCTACCTCGCGCACACGCAGGGGCGAAAGCACCAGACCAACCTCGCGCGCCGCGCAGCACGAGAACAGAAGGAAGGGCGCGCGGGCACTGATCCTGTGACAGGCTTACCGATAGGCATGGTGGGCGCGCAGGTGAGCGTCCGCAAGAACGTTATAAAGATTGGACGCCCGGGTTACAAGATCACGAAGACGCGGGATCCGGTCACGAGGCAGCAGGGTCTGCTGTTCCAGCTGCAGTATCCTGAGATATCGCCCGATGTCGAGCCGAAGGTCAGATTCATGAGCGCGTATGAGCAGAAGGTGGATGATCCTCCGGACAAGAACTTTCAGTACATGTTGGTGGCGGCTGAGCCGTATGAGACGTGTGGGTTCAAGCTTCAGGCAAGAGAGATCGACCGCACGAATGACAGGTTCTGGACTTGGTGGGATGCAGATTTGAAGGAGTTCTGGGTACAAGTCATGTTTAAGACAGAGAGAGAGGAAAGATATAGCGGTGTGCCGGGTCTGGCTCCATCAGGGCTTGCTAGGAGATGAGCAGAGGTTTTGGATCATTAAATTGTACATTTGCTCCTGGACAGTGAGAACGGGGGCTTTGCCATAAGCATGGAGTTACTGGGAGTCACAAAGGTCAAGGGTTTCTGCAAAAAAATGGGGAAAATTCATATCATTCATGTCATTTGTGATTAAGATCTTGTCATGCCAGTAGCATACATCAATTCTAGGCCTTTGAAATTGCCGAGGAAAAGGTCCTTGCCATTGGCAAAAGAAGCCTGGTGAAACCTGTTGGAAAAGCAAAGCTGTCATTACTTGTACTCATGATAGGACCGAAAGCAATATCGCGCGATGCCTCGTGAGTAGCGACATTATGCTCCCAGCCCAAAGAGAAGACAAGGTAACGCAAGGTGACATCTCATGGATAACCTTCTCAAGCCATGCAATGACCCACACATCCGATGTATCCTACGCTGCGCAAACTGCGGTTGATGGTAATTGCGAGAATAGGAGCGAAGCAAAGACGCTCAGGTTCTGCTATTGTACGACGAAATGCATCCGAGCTGGGTGGCGTAGAGAATCATCTGAAGTAGTTGTTCTCAAAGCGCTTGAAGGTGTAGCCGATGAATGGCAAGCTCATTTCGGGTGCATCATCATTACGAGACTGACCATTTGCCGCAGCGGCCGCAGCTGCAGCCTTGAGGTGCGTAGCATTATCGGTCTGATCAATCTCATCAGTCGGAAAGTAGGTGGTGTCGACGTTAGAGCTGAGCTTGGGCTCGAATGGGGCTCGGATTCGGCGAAGAGTATCGAACTCAACTCCACGGAAGAATTTGTGGTTCTTAATCTCATCTGCACCTCCACGGCCAAGACGATTCTCGGTGTTGCAAACAAGACTAAAAGAGAGGATTAGTTCGGTTCCTTAAGAAATGGTTCACGGTCATACCTTCGGATCAAATTCTCAGCTTCGGGACCCAATTGAACATCTTCTGGGAAGTACAGAGTTTGGCGCCAGTTGACAATCTTTCGGTATGTGTCATGAGCATCCTCAGCACAGAACGGAGGCCAGCCGACCTGACACTCAAACATGATCGTACCAAGACTCCACCAGTCGCAATCCTGTCCGTAACCATGTCCGCTGAAGATCTCTGGTGCGATGTAGTCTGGAGTGCCAACCGTGGAGTATGCCATAACACGTCGAGACTTGCGCCAATCGTTAATTACAGCACGGTTACTAACAGTGAGATTGATCTGATCGAGATTGACGGAGTTGCGATCACGAGGTCGGCTGGATTTTCCTTGAAGAAGGTTTTGATAATATGAGTTGTCATGGAGCTTATGGAAACCAGTAGACAATCCGAAATCAGTCAACTTGACATGGCCGCCGCGGTCGAGCAAGATGTTGTCAGGCTTGATGTCGCTAAAATAGTAAAGCAGTAAGTAAAATGCTCAGCTCTCCGTTGAAAGGCCCACATGTCCATTCTAATGACCAAGAGCGATGCAACAAAGGCTTGAAAGACTTACCGATGGATGAAGCCCAACTTGTGGACAGCTTCAATAGCCAAGACGATCTCCGCAATGTAGAAACGAGTGATGTCCTCGGAAAAAATCTCATACTTGATGAGCATGGTCATGAGATCACCTCCTGGCAAGAACTCCATCAACATGTACAAGAAGTCTCTGTCCTGGAAGGTGGTGTAAAGCTTGACGACCCAGGGACTGTCTGACTCAGCCAAGATGTCGCGTTCAGCACGAACATGAGCCAACTGGTCCTTCTTGAACATCTCGCTCTTGATCAAGGATTTCATAGCGTAAACCTTGCCATCATTCTTCTTCTGAACAAGCTTGACCTCACCAAAAGCGCCCTTACCAATGATCTGCAAGGTGTTGTAGTTCTCTGGCTTGTCCTTGGTACGCAAGAATCGCAGATATTTACCTTCCTGCTTCCCCGAGTTGGACCAGGTCTGCTCGCGTCTGGCCTGAGACTGGTTAGGGTCCGCCAATCGTTGCTCCATCTCGCTCTGTCTACAAGAGATTGAATGTCAGTATGTTATAATGTGTGTTGATCTAGAGAAGATCAACTAACCTGAGGTTGCGTTCTCGAGCGCGCTTGACACTGTCCTTAAAGAAGTCGGAAGCCAGTCGCTCGCACTTCTTCTGGTTGTTCTGAGCAACAGGACCGTACTTGTCGGGGTTTCGCTCTGGAGCCAACTGAAACTCAGGCTGATGAGAAGCTTGAGTAGGCATAGGTGCATTTAGGTAGCTTCCGTAGCCAGCTTGTCCAGGTGCGCCAGCAGTGCGAGGACGTTGATAGGCAGGGGATGGTTGACGTGAGCCATAAGGTGTAGTACGAGCACCACCGAGGTTCTGGTGAGAGAATTGATGAACAAGCCCATTAGTAGGGTCATTGTTAGCTCGTTGCTGGTACGAAGCTTGGGGGGTTTGTGGTGCTTGCGCGTAGGCAGAGGGAGGTTGGCTGGGATAGGTAGGAGGGTATGGGTTGTTCATGAAGTAGCCTTGGGGCGCAAAGCCTGTAGCGTACTGCTGGTGCTGCTGCTGGCCATTCTGAAGATGAGCCTGCTGAGCGCCCTGGGGATGAGATTGGAAGACGGGGTTTGGGAAGGTAGAGGGGGTGGTGGGATAGGTGCGACTGTCGGCAACGAACTTGGTATCGTTGTTCCCGAAGTTGAGATAGAGACGGTTCTGGTTGTTGTTCTCCATCGCGAAGGCGGATGCCGATTCGATAGATATAGGTAGTGGCTTCTGGTATCGAGATGTTTTCGAACGAAAGACTGTGAAGGCGGTTTATTTTATACTCTCGTCGGGGGGGAGGCGGTGGTGGTCTGGGGAGGTCAGATCGAAATCCACTGTGGCGGGCTCCAAAAACAAAAGTGAGATGGATATTTACCTTTACCTTCCAGGCTTCCACAGTCCAGCGTCCACTTCTCCAACGCCGTGTACTCTGGGATCCCGACTCGGCTGCTCCCTACCCTGAGACTTGGAGTCTTGCAAGTAGGGCACACACGAGGCACACGATACAGTAGAGGGGTCTGCTCGCCGTCCTTTGTGCTTGTGTCTGGGGGAGGTTCGATCCTCGGCAGAAGAGGGACGAGGTCTTGGACTTCGGGTCTGTAGGAGTTTGGTTCTTGGATTGTACCGAGTAAGTAGCACGATCCGGAGTATGTACAGTAGTATGTTCTTAGACTCCTGTGTAGGTTGACCGTAGACGGCTGCAACCTTCTAGCGAGCGGCGGCGTTTGGATCAAACCGCAACGCTAAGACTGCGATTGGTTATCGCCCGCGCAGTCAGGGGCAGCGGTAAGGTAGATCAGGGGCTTGAAGGTTGTGCTCTGCTCAAGAGTCGAGAGTCAAAGAGTCAAGAGTCAAGAGTCGAGTCGAAAGTGAGGCAAAGCTGAATCTAGCCAACCCACATAGAGTCCAAGGTTTGTAGGAGGAATATCAATCTATCTTGTGCAATGTCTTGCCAGGGCTAAGGGCCACACGAGGGACAACACAAACGCCTCCCCGGCTCTTGTACGAAGCAATGGATACACATGTGCTCTTCCAATATTCCAAATCAACCAGTGCCAGTGTTTACTCTCTCCATAGCGCTTGTCTATACGATGAATGTTACATAAGCCACATTGGCTATCCGTGGTATCCTTGGATGTCAACGGCTGTGGAATGGAAGTCCTGCAACGTGCGCCCCCTCACATAAAGTAGGGGGAAGTCTCTAGAAGACCCCTTTTTTTAGGCACGGTGTAGATACGATGCCAATACACTATCAATGCAGTATCAATACACACTCAAGTAATCGGTTCAATTGTGGAATCAACTGCAACATCCTCTTGCTTCAACCCTTTTGAGCTGCAGAAGTGTCTTGTTAAGAGAATCTTCCGTTGGCGTTATACTAAGGTAGCAATACTGTACCCCGTTACCACCACAATTTGTTTTCTGCGGGGCGGCCAGGCCCGACTTTTAGTTTAGCGCCTCAGGCTCCCCAAGGCTGAGAGACACAAAAACAACCTAGCTCTTACACGTGAATCCGGCGCGGAATATCTCATTCTGCCGACGCCGGATATCAAAATTATTGGAATGCTTCCCTGTGAGCTACGCGCAAATGCCAGTAGCCATGGCATTTTGTTTCTTGTTTTTGTTCAACTTTGCTTCTTGAGTGAGCAGACTTGACCGAGCCAGGCTGAGCTTTATCCCTTGCCATCCAACTCTATATACACGAAGAGAATAGGTAGAATTCGAAGAGCAATGGCCGACTCCAAACCTCCAGGAGCAGCAGAGGTAAACATATCCTGAAATGTGGTATGCAAGGACTTCTACTAACAGTAGTGACAGAATGCTTCTTCTGCAGCTGCACCAGAGGTCAAGCCAGATGCGAAGGCAGCGAAGCCGTTAAAGCCACCCAATCCTATGTGGAAATATTTGGGCTTTGGAGAAAACTTTCGACCCAAGCTCCCATCTCGAAATTGGATGATATTTCTCTCCATTACTGGTTCATTTACTGCAGCTGTCATCTACGATAAACGAGAGAAGAAGCGCGCTCAACGAAAATGGTGCAAGCTGGTGGAGCACATTGCGAAAGAACCAATCGAGCCTCGTTCCATGCCGCGAACACTCACGGTCTTCTTAGAAGGACCACCAGGCGATGGGCTCCGGGTTTCACAGGACCATTTCAAAGAATATGTGAAGCCGATATTGGTGGCTTCAGGGCTGGATTGGGAATTCATACAAGGGAGAAAAGAGGGCGATATTCGAGCTGAAGTAGCAGAAAAGATCCGAAATTTGCGATTACCGCCAGACCAGAGGACAGAGGAGGACCCCATAGCTGAAATACGCCAGAAAAGTGGCATTAAGGAGTTTACAGGCCCGAGAGGAGATATCGTCATTGGCCGGCATACGTGGAAAGAATATGTCCGGGGTGTGCACGAGGGTTGGCTCGGGCCGTTGACAGAACCGCCAAAACCACAAGAGGAGAAATCCTCAGATGACGCACAAGGGAAAGAAGCAGAGCCTCCTATTGAAACTCTCCCAGGAATCTCTATAGACTCTACTCCAAGGCCCGCTGATGCTCCCTCCGAAAAAGCAGACTCGAAAGCCAGCGACAAGCCCACGAAGCCCCCGCAACCACCACCATTCATCTCAACGAAAGACTACGAATCCGCACCAACTCCTGCCGAGCTCCCCGCTGAGTTTGACCCCTCAACACCGATCCCCTTCCCCCACATCCTAGGCTTCCTCAACACGCCCAGACGCATCTACCGCTTCCTGAACCGACGAGTCCTAGCCGACTCCATCGGGCGTGAAACAGCCGCCGTAATCCTCTCTACCTACCGGCCCTACCACGCAACCGTCGCCACCCCTGAATCACTCTCCTCCACTGAGACCGACCAATCGCCTCTCGCACCTGAGCACGAAGGTCCCCCACAAGTAGCCGAGCAGCAGGTCGCGCTGGTAGAAGAAGAGAAAGAATGGCACAAGAGCGTCCGCGTGCGCAAGGATGATGAGCCCGAGCGGACGTGGCTCGAGCCCGTAGTCCTTGACCCGCGGATTGCTGCCCGCATGCGAAGATTTGAGTTGACTGCCGAGGACGAGGAGAGAGCGAAGGCTATTGTGGTCCCCGAAGAAGAGATCGAGGGCTGGATCAAGGGCGGTCTGAGGAAGCTGGCGAGGAGCGGCATGGAAACCATGGGGTTTGGAAAGAAGAAGACGCCGGCGGTGGTAGGAGACGATGAGGTTCAGGAATAAGTGGCTTGATGTAGAATTCGGTTCTTCTGTAGGATAGGCTTCTTGCTGTGGTATATCGAAGTTGGTCTAGTATGTACTATATGACAGAATCAGGAGGCAGTCTCGCAGGGAGAATTGCACGGATGGACAGGTCACACGAATGTATAATCTCAATCTCCTCTGTACTTTGCTTCTGGACCTAGAGTGTCAAAAGAGTCTTGGATTATGTATGATACACGTATGATGCCATGCCACGCAAGCTTTTGTCTATCTAACCCTTTCATGGACTCGTTAACACAATCTACACAATGAATTTCAAGGCATCCTCCATGCACACACATATCCCATGACCCAAATGCAGGGAAATTCCAGTTTCTTGCATGGCAGAATATCCAGCAATAACATTCATTCAGCAGAGAACTCAAGATGACTTCTTATATCGCTGGGGACATTCAACCTGATGCTGCAAATGCTGTAGCGTTGGGCCATTTCGCTGCAGCACTGGTTCGGAAGCCATCGGCTTCACTGCTGTTCCAGGAACGCAAAAGGTCTAAGGCTTCCTTCGCCTCATCCATAGTAATGGAAGGTAGTTTGATCACGTTTGCTGCATCTTTCTCGTAACGCGCTGCCGAATCAGGAGACAGCAATTTGTGAACTCTTGAGGCAGACAAGGTATGGCGTGCGCTGTCCTTATGCTTTGAGAGATATTCATCGTTGTATTGTGATAGACTTGTTGAGGCAGGTAGCAGCGTGAATTCTGATTTGATAATCTCCGCAGTTTGGGGGGCCAATGTTTCGGCATCTTTGTCGATGATTTGTTTGAATCGGATGATTTGTTCATGGACTTTGGGATGCTCTCGATCGAGAGCCGCCGCAGCTAATAAGCATTTAAGAGCGAGGAGGTACTTCTCTGCGTACTGTGTTAGCATAGATTACGGGTACAAATATAATAGAGTGAAGACTTACTCCTTCGAATGTACACCTCGAACCCAGCTAATTGGGCGTTGATGTTCTTGGGGCTGAATTGAAGAAGAGGTGTTACGAACTTCATCGCATCGGCCATAGGCTCAGTTGTAGCAGCAAGCTTGACTCCATCTGGATCATCGTCTTTCTTCTTAGCCTCTCCATCTAGGTCCTTTGGCTTGTTGGGCTCATTCTTCTTTGCGACTGCTTCCCGCTCAGCTTTTTGGGCCTCTTTCCGTGCCTTCTTAGCAGCCTTCTTTCGTTCCACAGCATCCACACTATCCTCCTCTCCAGTCCCATTCGTCCCATTCGACAGAGGCTTGTCATGGAGCTTGATATAAACGTCGACCGCATCAAGCGCTGCACGGCTAAAGAATGGATGTTCTCGCAAACGATCCTCCCACCTGATCATGTCAATATAAGCCCTGATCTGGCCTTTGCGTAATGAGAAGCTGTGGAAATCGAATTGATCTTCTTGCCAAACATCGAATATATTATATATCGAGGTAAATCGCTTGAGTGCAAGCCCAAACTTCCCTTGACGAGCGTATGCTTCTCCATCTTCTGTCAAGAACCACATGCACTGCATGTCGTGTAGATCGGCCAATGGCCCGCCTACAGTCTCGGCTCGCGTAAACAAGCCCATTGTCTTGAGTGCAGCTTCATTGTCATTGTTTCTGAGCTGATATTTTGCCGCTTTTGTGTTGATATGCCGATCCCTGGTATCAAGAGAACGTGCTTGCTCCATGATTTCGGCAGCCTTTTGAGTATTACCATAATGCTTCCATATCCGAGCTTTAGTCATGTGAAAATCAACACTCTGTGGTTCCAACTCGATGGCCTTATCGATGTACTCCAGGGCTTTGTCAAGGTCTCGACTCAAGTAGTAGTTATAGTGCTGAGCGAGGAAGTAAAATGCTGCAGAGGCTCCTCTCGATGTGTCTCCATTCTTTTTGGGTTCATCTCCAGAAGTACTGCTGACATGCTCGATATATTGTTGAACAACGGCCGGAAGGATTTCCTTCTTTGAATCGTTCGCATAAAGATGCTTCAAATTGGCGAATGTCGAAGGTACCCCCTTATCCAACATGCGATGAATATACTGTTCAGCAGCTTGTCGAAATTCATCACCTGTCCATTATCAGCAAAACCCTTGGTCCATAAAAACAGTAGTCCTATGTACCTTGTAAGAAATCTAAAGGTAATCGGCGGGCCGCGTCGCATCGAGGGAATTTTTCGGCATATTCATCATAAACAGCTTTCAGAGCTTTATGATCGGTAGGCGCAATATCCAGGGCGTTTACAAGACCATCATAGTAGAGCTTGTATTCCGGATTACGGTTGATCAGGGCCCGGTACGCTTTTGCAGCTTCCTCTTTGCGGTCTAGTTGTGCAAGATATTTGGCACGGAGTTCCAACACAGCGAGTCTGTCCAGATTGTGTTTTCCAGCAGTTTCGAGATGATCTAAAGCTTTTTGGATGTTTCCCTGCTCCGCAATCAAGGAGTTTTTGTACATGACCGCCTCGGAGTTTTCGAAATCTGTTTTCGGGGGCGGGTTCTTCAAGGTCTCTTCGTAAGTCGTCAAGACACCTTCTGCTTCTGAGAGATCACCAATCAGGTGAAGAGCAATCGCCAATGCCGTCCAGCTCTGTCGAATATGTGATCTTGACGTTAGCATCGCCTTGCGACTGGCAAGATATCCCTGATAATCTCGCATTTGTATTTGAAGCAAAGCCAGATCCCGTTGAATTTGTTGCGACTCCGGCTCCAACTTCAATGCAAACTTGTATGCCTTAATAGCCTCCTCGAAGTTCTTGACTGCCCGGTAGAGCAGACCATAGACGTGCCAGCATACATGGGACTTCATGTCACATTGAAGGGCCACTTTCGCAAGCGCAAAGGCTTCGTCCGTCTTCCCTTGTGAATTCAAGATAAGAGCTTTCATCGCCAAAGTATCTCCATGCTTGGGATTCTTCTTTAATATCTGTTCGGCAGCCTTGATACCTATAACTTGTAAGAAGCATGCCCGATTTCGGAGAGCTGTGAAGCGAACCTTTCTTGTACTGCTTGTCCTCATAGTTGCGTATGACTTGCCGAAAGAGTGAGGACTCTTTCGAATTCAAAGGTTGCGGCATGGTGTCCCACTTCTCTCTGCTGAACCTGATACCAGCTGTTGACGGAGGGGCTCTCACTCCTCTGCGGTGGGTGTTTCCAAAGGCTTTAAGCAAATATGAAAGAGTGGTGAGCTTCTACAAACTCCAGAAAGGTATGCGACACACCCCAATCTAGGTTGTCCTGGAGGAGGAGGGGCGAGGTGGTTGAAGGGCAGAGGCCGAAGTCGTGTGCAAGATGTGTTTTTGAGGTCGGCCCCGTATTTGGACAAGGCCGCTTTTGCTGCATCATTACGCTAGCGCCCATGCACTTCCGCCCCAGCTCCTCTGGTTATTAATATCTTATTAGTCGACATGGAGAACGATCAACTCAATTACACAAGACAGTATTACTTTACTGGGCCGAGTTCTACAGAACTGCACACGGTCGATGTTTGGAGGCCTGAATCGGTGCCAATTGGTCAAGAAGACAAGGAGAAGCTATGGCTGATGTTGGTCAATATGCCCCCCTTCCTCGAAACAGTCACTGAGTGATGATCAGTTATATTCATGGCGGGGCATGGAGAGACCCCGATATAGATTCAAAAAGCTTTGAGCCAGCTGTGTCCGAGCTCTGGAATTCTTCAATGAGAGGTTCAATCGCAGGCTTTGCATCCATCAACTATCGATTGTCACCCTACCCCTCTCATCCTGCGAATCCAAGTTCACCAGACGACCCATCCCGCAATGTGCGCTATCCGACCCATCTGTTGGATGTGGAACATGCTATCCTCTATCTTAGGGATCAATATAACATAGCGAATCGGTATATACTTGTGGGACATTCTGCCGGCGCAACGATGGCTTTCGAGTTGCGCAATTGGTATGTCCACAATAAGATACCAACCCCAGCCGCTGTGCTTGGTGTTGAGGGAATATATCATTTTGAAGCCTTTATCAAAGCACATAGTGAGGTACCAGCCTACCAAGAGTTTATGGAGAACGCCTTCCCCGATAAGACATTGTGGGAGAAAGCTGCTCCATATACAAATCGAGAATGCGATTTCGCCACCTGGGAACATGCCAAAGCGGTCATAATCGCCCATTCCGATCAAGATGAGCTGGTCGAAAAGGCGCAAGCCTTGTTCATGTTGGAGCGAGCCTCCATGACACCTCGCTTCAAAGAGAAGGTTCATTTCCTGGAGGCTAGTGGTTCTCACGATGAAATATGGCAAAGCGGACATATATTGGCCGACCTAATCACCAAGTCCATTAAAATACTGCAACAAACAGTATAGTGATAAGTAAGGTAGACAAATTGCCTGGACGAATTGCCTGGGTTGGGGAAAGCTCTAGAGCGTCGTCAGATATGCAGGCCTTCCCTGTGTCTGGACGGGGAGCCTTGAAATGCGTCATGCTCGATCATCCATGTCTCTGGGCAGACCTCTGGAGGCTTGCTTTGATATGGACTGTTAGTATACCGCTCAATAGGAGCTCAACCTACATAATTCAGCTATGATCCAGCAGTTTTCGTTGTTAGACCTGGCCTTTTCAATTCGCCGTATGATATTACAATCGATGCCTGCCGACATAGCCCGTCCTACTTCTACAGTTCACTCTTGTATTCTATATGCAATGATTCGGGTGATCCCTTCAGGACCAGCCATAACCCCCACAACGATATCCTTTACTGATATCAATGTGGCTTGTGGACAAATTATCTTGTCAAAAACTTATTGCCCCTTTTCCCTTCGCTTCCTCCATTCATTGAGAGCCTCGTCCCAATCCCTCCAGTCCTCACCACACCTTTCCTTTACTACACCCCAACTTCTTGCCCTTATAATATTCTCCACTCCCCTCTCTTGTCTAACGATGGCGGCTAACCTCTCCGTCCTCGGTTCCGTTGGAAAGAACCTCCCGGAATAGGGATCTAACCTCTCATCCACAACTCTTTCCCTATCCTTCTCGCTCTCCACCTGTCGTAAGACCGACTCGGGATCATCTGGATCGGGACTCGTAGCTACTGAAGCGCAGTAATTCAGGACATCAGACCTCGCTTGCCACGAGGGGAATAGAACCTGCTCCTTGAAATTCCGACACGGTCCCGGAGCTATCTGCCGCAAACTTGGAAGCCGGGAACTGCGGGTGGAAGTAGAGGATGGGTCGAAGCCTGCCGCTGCGGGTGTGACGAGCGCATTTAAGTTTTGGGTTATGCTGTCGTCAATGGAAGCGCGAGATAACCGGAGAAAGTCTGAGGAGGTGTCAAACGATGAAGAGTTGCATAGGATTGAATGGTAGCCAACCTCTTAAAGCGACTGTGGAGAAGCAGAATTGCGGAGAAAGCCCGGGAGAAGGTGAGGCCTGGGTCATCGTGTCTGGTGGAGAGCCGGATGCCTCTGCTTTAGAGGACTTTGACCAGAAGAAGCTCGCCAGTATGAAGGAGAATTCGAGAATTGACTGTAGTCTGATGACTAGTGTTGGTCAAATTCGAGCGAAGCTTCGAGGTGGAGGCGAGTTCTGTCAAGCTGTCGATCTGTCGAGCGAACTCTCTTTAGCGTCTGATAAAGCTCCCGATGACGAAGTTGCTGTGAAGCCCAGTTTGTTTCCCATTACACCTTCTTCAATCCTTTCTCTTTTCATTATGCTTTGTCAATGTCTAATACGCACACTGATGTGCTCCTGGTACGTTTGCTATAATTGTTTTGGTGTTGGATGTTGCCGATTTCATACCAGTTTCCGGTTCTTGCCACTTATTGTAACTACGCAGTGAGAACCTACTTTTGAAGTATTTTTCTTTCGATGATGTTCATACATCAAATTGATTGCCCTTTTTTCATTGTTTACGCATTCATCAAGAATGGACGTTTGCTTTGCAGCATTGTAGATGCTGACTTCAATAGGCTGGGGCCCTTGCGGCCGTCACAGTCGACCTGCTGGTGTACCCATTGGATACCCTGAAAACCCGATTCCAAAGTCGAGACTACCAGAAGACATATTACGATGCCTCCAAGCATGCTGTCAATAGAAAACTGCTTTTCCGAGGTCTGTACCAAGGAATGGGAAGTATTATTTTGGTCACAATACCCTCATGTAATTATCTATTCGATACCCAGTTCCCTATCCGAGCACTGACATTCATGCAGCGGGTGCATTCTTCACTACGTATGAGGCTGTGAAATCCGTGCTCACAAAGGCCAATTCCACTCTCAAAGGGTCGCCATCGCCTTCGGTGCCGCAACCATTCATTCATAGCGCGGCATCGGCAACCGCTGAGCTTGTTTCTTGTTTCATCCTCACCCCTGCAGAGGTCCTCAAGCAGAATGCTCAGATGATCCGTCGGCCAACTGAATCCTCAGCTTCCAAGTCCCTGACATTGTTTCAACGGTCAGTGACTCTGCAAGCACTCAAACAGTTTAAAAGACCATCGCAGTTGTGGAGTGGCTATACCGCTTTAGCAGCTCGTAATCTGCCCTTCACCGCTATGCAGTTCCCAATGTTTGAGCATCTAAAAGCAAGCATTAGAGAACATAGAAAGAGTAATGGAACATTCACGGGGGGTATATCAGAAACCGCTTTGATAACAGCAGTCAGTGCTGGAAGCGCTGGGTCCATTGCTGCACTGCTTACCACACCGGTCGACGTTGTGAAAACTCGAATCATGCTCTCTGCAGCTGGGGAGAGTTCCGAATATCAGACCAAGAACGATGTGGAAAGGGCCAAACGTCAAGGACAGTCGCTGGAGAAGCTGGCCAGTGAGAAGGGTATCACTAAGAAGGGCGGCCTTACTGTTGCCCGAGAGATCTTCCAAAAAGATGGAATCAAGGGTCTATTCAGGGGAGGGGTGTTGCGAGCAGCATGGACAGCACTTGGGAGCGGCCTTTATCTCGGTGCATATGAAAGTGGAAGGCTCTGGCTGGGAGATCGACATGAAGGAAACCACGAAATGTGATGGAATTGGCGGGCAATTTAGACCAAGACCAGTCGCGCATCTCCCAACAATCGTCCTCGAAGCATGTGTTGTCTGTGTTATCTGACCCTTACCTGGAGCAAGCATTTCATGCCTATCTTGTAGGTGGTTCTCGCCCAAGGGGACCACATCAGCCGATCGCGGAGGCAGGTTTGGAATCTTTGCTCTCAGATATCGAGTATTTCAAGAGCAGTGTTGTCAAGGCGCCGCATTGATTGGCACAGTAGGCATTCTGAGATAACGAAATGATTCGCGAGGATTCATCGCAGGCGCAACCTCGACTATCATAGATACCACAACGCCAGCGGCGCGGCCCAGCCAATGCGCATGTTCAAGCCGCGGCATCTGAAAGTACGTGTAGCACCGCAGCCGTGTATGCGAAGTAGGATGTGAATATGCGCAGGAGCAGTAATATCTTGACCACCCTCGGTTCGGTCCCGGGTGCCCTGTTGGCATGCTCCACAATTCCAGTCCACGGTACAGTCCAGCTGTCCAGGACCCTGCCACACCAGGAACTCCCGGGCCAGGCTGAGATGCAGCATCTCAAGCCGCAAATTGCGCGGTGAGAAGCAGCACTGCAGTACACAGGATCATCGACCACCGTTCGCGCTCTTGCTGGAATTCAATTGCTATTGCCACCTTGAAGACGCCATGTCTTACCCGATTTCGCCAACACTAACACTGATTGCGCAATACCGCAACCAGACATTGAAATTGAATTTTTCAGGGCATCTTATTATGGCCTCTGGCCCGCGTAGGATCAACTGAGGGCTCCGTAGGTAAAACTGTAAAATTCCTCCCATCCCTCCCACTCCTTCACCATTTCTCGCGGGCCTCCAAAGCAAACGGACGAAGGGAACTACTTCACTGCACAGAATCCCACGGCCTGTTTTCTGCAGTGACTCGTTCAACTGTGAAGCTGATCTCCCATACTCGAGAGAGATGGCTATCATTCCCTTCGCGCCCTTGGCTGCCGACCATCCCAAGCCCAGCGAGGCTGCGGTCACCAATCATGACTTTCTTCCGGGTGCCAATGCGAAGAATGATAACCTTCTCGTTGTATCCCCATACGACGAGGAGCCACATCTTCTTGACCTCCGCACTCTGGATACCGCAAACCAGCTACTTGCTAAGGCTCTTGTGGGATTGAAGTGTTTGAGGGATGATTACGCAACTGCTCCATATGTCGAAATTTTCAACGTGAGCCATCCCAGAAAAATTCTCCCAACTCGTTATATATTCATACGTTGGGAGGGCAGCGCCTTCTTCCATCTGCCTCCTCAACTCCGCTCATGATTCTGACAATAACTTAGTGGCCCGAAGTCATCGAGTCAGTCCGGCAGCTGGCTGCAGCCTCGGACTTCACGTGGAAGGAAAGCTCTTTCTACATCGTTGTCTTCAGATCTCGAATCCCACCGACTACAGTCTATGCCGATCTTGGTGTTCTTGACAAGGCTGCTCATCAAGAGGCAACTAAGAGCGGGGGATTTCTTAAGTAAGATAGATGGCTACTTTCCACCGATGCCAGTATTGACCAATTTACTCGCAGGTATTGGTTTGGAGAGCCTGACCAAGACGGAAGAAACCTCGCAACTTGCGTTTGGCGTAACCAGGAAGATGCCAAGATTGGAAGTGTCGGAGAGGCTCATCGCCGTGCTGCAGGTGCAACTCGACTTTTGTACACCGAATGGAGAATCGAGCGTCTGAGACTTCTCATCAAGGACAATGTTGATAGCTGGGAGATCATTCCATGGGTTGACTGAGGGAGGCTTTCGAGATTTCGGAGTTTTAGGCTGTGCTTGCGGAAAAGGAGTCATTGGTATTCGATTGTTTGCTTGCTCACGCATAGCTTGGCGTACTTGGAGTGAGAGACAGGAATCTTGATAGCACACCATAGAGCTAGATCAATAGAAGAGGTTCAGTCCCTGGCGATTAGTCTGTGGTTTCCATGTCGGTTGGAGCACTTTAAAAACATGCAATCTTGCTTGCTTATACTCTGGAAGACTATTTATGAAGGATTCAGAATGAAAAATCCCCAGGACATCAGTGAGGTGACGTTGAGAATACATCGTGGGGGACGTGGGGGGCAGCTTGCGGCTTTGACACTAGCGTATTTCTGTCGCGCACAAACGAGGCATCTTCGAAAAGTTCACGCTTGTATTGCCGCCCACCACATCAACCTTGAACCTTTCAAGCTCAACCCCCCGGAATCGATAGATCTTGCTGGAAGACTCTATTCCATCATGGCAGACGTCAAGGAAGTCCCCTTGAACTCGGTCCAGGTTGAGGCCTTGGTACGTTTGAGTCCCCACTCCCCGTTGCAAGATAATTGCGAGACTAATACAGCCTACAGGTGGTCATGAAAATTGTCAAGGCTTGCGCCGCGACTTTCCCCACGACCGCTACTGGATCCCTGGTCGGTATGGACGTTAATGGAACGCTGCAAATCACGAATTCTTTCCCATTCCCAACTGCGGATATCGCAGCCTCCGAGTCGCATCCGAATGATCATATGGCCGCTTCAAACATGGCAGCTGCGGCTCCCCGATCGAAGGCGAATATCGCATACCAAAATGAGATGATCAAGTATCTCCGAGAGGTTAACGTGGATGCGAATAATGTTGGGTGGTACACGAGTGCGAATATGGGCAACTTTATCAATACCAGCTTGATCGAGAACCAGTTCCACTACCAGAAGGAGATGAACGAGAGAACAGTTGCTTTGGTTCACGATGTCAGCAGAAGCTCCCAGGGTGCTCTGAGTCTACGAGCCTTCAGGTTATCTCCGAGCTTTATGGCGGCATACAAGGAGGGAAAGTTCACGACGGAGAAGTAAGTCATATAAATCATATAATTAGAATTCTACTAACACCTCAACAGCATGCAAAAGACGAAGCTTACATACAAGGACATTCTGGTTGAATTACCTATCATCGTCCACAACTCACACCTCCTTACATCGTTCTTGCATCAATTACCAACCCCAGTCCCTGAGGGGGAACTCGAATTCCCTGCCAGTCTTGCAGATCTCACAAGAGATACCCCTCAGATCCCACTCTATCCCAACCTCGAATCTCTCGACCTGTCCATCGACCCCTACCTTGAGAGGACGTGTGATATGCTGTTAGACAGTATCGAGACACATTATACCGAACTCAACAACTTCCAATATTACCAGCGACAGCTGGCCCGTGAGCAGGCTAAGATTGCGGCATGGAAGACCAAGCGTGTAGCGGAGAATGCCACAAGGGCCACGCAGAAGTTGGCGCCACTGCCGGAGGATGAATGGGAGAGACTATTCAAGCTTCCAGCGGAGCCAAGCAGACTGGAGGGTATGTTGAATGCCCGACAGGTGGATCAATACTCGAGACAAGTGGATGGCTTTACTGCTAGTGTCACTGGCAAGATGTTTGCGGTTAAGAGCAACTTGTTGCCAGATTCGCAATAAATATGGTCGGAGGGCGCGTTCATAGGAGGGGATGAAGGTCATAGCATCTTCTCTCACGAAAGGAATATGTAGCTGGGGTTTGCATTGGATGGCTGGCGTTCAGAGGGCATGTCAATAAGCGCGGTTACCTGACCAAAAAGGAGCGATAAGAAGTACAGTAGTTGTGGTCTCTGAGAACTTCTTATCGCTCAGTCAAATTGCAGTGACCTAGAGTCTTAAGTCAATGAAAAACGTGAAATGAATTCTGGCCGCTCAGGATCCGTCTTCTGCCCCTCCTTGTCCCAGGGGGTTTTCCTGCTGCACGTTTTTCCGAAGAGGACGCTAGTGGGCTAGTGGCACAGCAACATACTCCTGGTAGAAAAGCCCCTCCCTCCATCGAAAATTACTGACCAGATCCTCCCTCTCCATCCTCCTCCATTCACCTCGTCCTACCACTAAATATCAATGTAAGTAGCTCAGTTAGCAGCGAGATGAACTAGGTTGCCTCATACAATACCCCGAAACTGATCTCTTCTTCTCCGTCAAGTATTCATTCCCCACCTTCTCGATAAACCCCACACCGCAACAATGTCTGCTCCAGCTGCAAAGTTCAAGGTCGCGGATCTCTCACTTGCTGCCTTCGGCCGCAAGGAGATTGAACTCGCCGAGAATGAAATGCCTGGTTTGATGGCTACTCGTGCTAAGTATGCTGCCGATCAACCCCTCAAGGGCGCTCGCATTGCTGGGTGTCTCCACATGACCATTCAGACTGCTGTTCTCATCGAGACCCTCACACACCTTGGAGCTGAGGTTACCTGGACATCTTGCAACATCTTCAGCACCCAGGACCACGCTGCTGCTGCCATTGCTGCTGCTGGTAAGTCGCGCGCCTCTTGCTTCCTCGAAACCTAGCTAATCATATAGGTGTCCCCGTTTTCGCATGGAAGGGTGAGACTGAGGAGGAATACGAGTGGTGCTTAGAGCAACAACTTGTTGCATTCAAGGATGGCAAGAGCCTGAACTTGATTCTCGATGATGGTGGAGATCTCACTGCTCTCGTTCACAAGAAGTACCCAGAGATGCTGAAGGGCTGCTACGGTGTCTCAGAGGAGACCACCACTGGTGTTCACCACTTGTACAAGATGTTGAAGAACAAGACCCTCCTTGTGCCAGCTGTCAATGTTAACGACTCTGTCACCAAGTCCAAATTCGACAACCTGTACGGTTGCCGTGAGTCCTTGATCGATGGTATCAAGCGTGCCACTGATGTCATGATCGCTGGTAAGATCGCGGTTGTTGCCGGTTACGGTGATGTTGGTAAGGGCTGTGCCATGGCTCTTCACGGAATGGGAGCTCGTGTCATTGTTACCGAAGTCGACCCTATCAACGCTCTCCAGGCTGCTGTCTCCGGATACCAGGTTACAACTATGGAGAAGGCTGCTAGTATTGGCCAAATCTTTGTCACTACCACCGGATGCAGAGATATCTTGCGTGCAGAACACTTTGAGCAAATGCCCAATGACGCAATCGTCTGCAGTAAGTGCCATAATATTCGTTTTAAAAATCATAGCTAACGGTTTCCCAAAGACATTGGTCACTTTGATATCGAGATCGACGTCGCCTGGTTGAAGAAGAACGCTGCCAGCGTTCAAAACATCAAGCCCCAGGTTGACCGTTACCTCATGAAGAACGGTCGCCACATCATTCTCCTCGCTGAGGGTCGTCTCGTTAACTTGGGCTGCGCTACTGGCCACTCATCCTTCGTCATGTCCTGCTCTTTCACAAACCAAGTTCTTGCTCAAATCATGCTGTTTAAGTGCGAGGATGCGGCTTTTGGAAAGAAGTACGTCGAATTTGGCAAGACTCAGAAGCTCCCAGTTGGCGTCTACGTTCTGCCCAAGATCCTGGATGAGACTGTTGCTAAGCTCCACTTGGCTCACGTCAACGCTGAGTTGACCAAGCTCACTCCAACCCAAGCTGAGTATCTTGGTCTTGAGGTTGAGGGTCCATTCAAGAGCGAGTTGTAAGTTTTAACCATTTTTGTTTTCATCCATAAGACTAATTTCGTTCCAGGTACCGTTACTAGACTTTGTTCCTCTCGGAATTTCTTTAGCAAGATATGTGGGATCGACCTTTCAACACGATTAATGATGGCATGATCTGGGAAAAGCATTTGTCTTCAACGGCATATACAACAGTTCTCGGGAAAAGTTTCAACAATGGACAATGGGGTTTCATTTTTCTCAGCGAATGGCGTTACTTGGCTCTTCAACCACGGTCAAGTAGAAGTTCGGTCTTTTGCTTAGACACAAAGAAGTCCTTTGGCTTTGCAGTTACATAATGTTCATGCAAGATGATTCTGACTTTAAGTTGGCGTGATCCCAATAATATTGTTCTATGAGTGAAGTCTTCTATCGGGTATAATTGATCTGGGCCTATATACCAGAACTAATATACTTCTTTATGTTGAAGGGGATCATTCGTATGAGCGTATAGCAATGTTGACGAAGATTTGTGGAAGAGGGTGTGTTCACATTCCCGAATGTAGTTTCTAGGCCAAACTGCAATCATTGGCAAGTAGGGAGGGAATTGATCTCTTTATACGAGATGTCTGAATGCCAGGCCAGTTGCACCAAATCAACCATATCCTCCTTAGAGGTATTCTTGTACTATTCAAAAATACGCCATAGACGCCCCATAAACACCCCTCGCCGCAGATGTGGACCATAACAACGTCTATAGCTTCTCCCTACTGGCTATCCTCTCGAGCTCTCGTGTCACTTCCTCCCTTAACTTCCTGGACAGTTCGGCAGCTTCATCCTCGTCAAGCTCAGTCCTCTGGCCTCGGCCAAACATGGTAAATGATCGATTTCGCAACTCCGGCGTAAGCGGTGGACGGGGTATGATATGGAAATGTACATGTGGGACGACCTGGGCTGCGGCAGCACCTGCGACAGAAATGTCTATTAGCATTTTCCTTAAAAAACAATGATAGTATCGCGTGCCGTTATTCTGCACGATATTCCAATCGTGCACGCCAGTAACGTTCGCCAACACCCGACTCATCCTGGGTAGCCACAAGCCCAACTCCCTAGATTCCTCCTCGGTAACATCCGAGATCTTCTCGCGGTGCTGGCGCGTAGTAACAAGCAGATGGCCCGGGGATAAAGGCATGATGTCCAAAAAGGCCATGCATAACGGCGTGCTGAGGATAACGAACGCGGGCGGGGATACGAGGTCGTAATCGGGATCCGGGTTTGGGGATGCTGGGTAATGGGCTACAATATTGCAGAACGGACATGAGGAGCGGGACGCCATGGCGAGTGGTTTCCTGAGAGCGAGACGCCCAGTCCGGGGGCTCAAGGGCTGATTATAGAGCGCGATGCATGCTGGAGTCGACGGATGTGAGGATGGGTATTGGAATGGCAAAGGAGGCTCTCGTCACTGTACATGGGGGGGATACCTTTAGCGAGCCGAGGCGGGAGGGGCAGGGGTCGCTTTTCAGTGGGTCGCGGGGTAAAGTGCAGATTCAAAGATTCAGTCAGAAGCATCCGACATCCTTCTCATTATCAAACCCACGTACGGTAAGGTTTCAGCCTCATATCGATCTATTGACTCTTGTATACCGACGGTAGGTGTTATGACTGCCTCTGTTCCTTTGCAATAATCGTCGACTCCTTGAACGGCTTACATTCGGCCTCATGCACGACAGGATTACAGCAGCAATGCTTGCCATTACGAATACAAAATGGATTCAAGGCACCCAAGGTGACGCATTTAAATAAATGATATCAGTCGTTGCGGGGAACCTCCCGCCACAATTACGATCCAGGATCACGGAGCGTAGATATTGTAGACTTTTCTTTTTGTTTTTCTATAAGAGTCAAGCGGCTGTCAAAGTAGGGAGCCAAATCTCGACTCCATAGAACTCAGTTGAACAAGTCTTCCCCGCTTTCAACATCCAAGCAAGCTTCCGACCTCACTAGATACCTGTTTTACTCTCAACGACTCTCAAGATGAGCAACCCTGCAATCGAGAAGTACGGCTGGACATCTGTCCCCCGAAAAGTCGAAACCCTCCTCAAACAATCCCAAGCCTCGGGCCCCGCACCCTCCCTCTCCATCTCCTCAATCCCACTTCCCTACTCCACACTATCCAAAGCCGTCTACGAATACGCGCAGAAAGAGCTCCCCATCGAGACCTTCAACCACAGCCTCCGCGTCTTCTACTACGGAAGCGCCATCCTCTCGTACGCCTTCCCCAGCTGGTCAACGCCCTCCTTCAACGAGACCTATTTCCTAGCATGCCTACTACACGACATCGGCACCACCGACAAGAATATCCACGCCACGCTCCTCTCCTTTGAATTCTATGGCGGCTTCCTCGCCCTCGATCTCCTGAAGCTCCTCAACGCCCCGAGGGAGCAGGCCGAGAACGTCGCCGAGGCTATCATCCGTCATCAGGATCTGGGCGATGAGGGCACCATCACGCGCGTCGGCGCCTTGATACAGTTGGCTACGATCTTTGATAATATGGGAGGCCAGCCGCAGCTGGTGAGTAAGGATACGATTGAGAGTGTGACGAAGGCGTATCCGAGGAAGAAGTGGAGTTCTTGCTTTGCGGCTACGATTAGGAGGGAGAATGGGCTGAAGCCTTGGGCCCATACTACTGCCCTTGGGGAGAGGGCTTTCCCGGAGGGGGTTGAGTCGAATGAGTTGATGGCGCCGTATGACAACTCAGAATGAAGGGCATGGGGCGAATAAGGAGGTTGTTGGAGCAAAACCTATCACGGACAGTTGCAAGAAAGCGAGGCTGTGTGAACATACTCTAATTTGACATTTTTCTTTATGTGTACGTATTGAAACAGAAGTTACATGAACGCCCCCAAATGCGCAGAAACCTGACAAGCATGCTACCAAAGATAGGAAATCAAAATGATTGACATGATTCCGGGTCTCGTGGATCGCGTGGTGGGTGACATAGGAGAGAGTTGAACGAGCGTGAAAGGAACGAAGCAAACGCATATTCCATGACAACTCCAAAACTTCTTAATCAAGCCTTCAACTCCCTTTCCATGCATTTCGTACACATAACGACTGTCTCATTACCGACCTCCTTCGGAAAGAATGCGCTGTCCGGGAAATCACCGTTGCAGCTTACGCATCGGAAGCACTTGTCGTGCCACTCCCCGCCCATAGCCTGGACCACAGGACCGATGACTGGGAGTCTGCACTTGCGGCACTTTGGAGCTCGTCTCTCAGTGCGTTTTGTCTGGCAGTTTATACACCAGGCATATCCATCCTTCTCGATGTGGCTCATTCCCTGTTCGAAAGGATCACCACACTCGGCACAGAAGAAGTGCCCGAAATGCCAGTGTGCTCCGAGTGCGACAGTATGTTCGCCGATGATAGGAGTCTTGCAGTGCTTGCATTTGGGCGCATAAAGCTCATGCCAGTCGAGATGGCAAAAGTAACGAAGTCGAGAATCGCCATCATCTTCCGCTGTCTGGCCTTCAATCTCTGGGACCGATTCTCCTCGAGCGCGACGTTCAATTCGATCAAGACGCTGGTCACGCATCACCGAAGGCTCCTCGAAAACTTCGAGTGCTTCAAGCCCAGTTCCACATGTAAAACAGATGAAGCATTCAGGGTGGTATTTTTCTGTGGCGCCTCGAAGTCCTACTACACGTCCCTCGATTGGAAGTTGGCATTGATGGCAAGTAGCGGTTGCTCTTTTACCGGCTGGTGACCAATGGCTTCGAGGATTAGGTACAATTGCATGGTGACGTGGGGGAGGGCGCCCCGCAGCTGTTTTTGGGTCTGGGAGGGGTCTCCTCGAATTAGATTTGGTATCACTGGACTCGATGCTAATAGTTGGAACGTCGGCTGTCGAGACAGATATCTTTGGTATGTCCGGGACGTTAATTGTAGGGACAGATGGCGCTGTATCTGGAAGATTTATGGTTGGAACAGAGATGGCGGGGACGTCATTTACTTGGATTGAGGGTGCGTCAGGAAGCTGAATGGTCGGGATAGGGATCGAGACATCCTTCGAATCAGCTCGAGAAGGTATGGCCCTCCTCTGGATATGGGAACCTCGGCTCCCTGATTGGCTTTGCACTTCTGGCTTCACATCAGCCTCTTTCGGCTTCCAATTTGCTTCAAAGCTTACAATCGGGCGGCCCGGTTTATCACTGACAACAGTAGGGGTCGGTAGCTTAGGACTGCGATCCTTCAGACGCATACTAGTAGCCTGCCGGATCTCGTCGCTTCTGATTTCAAGGCCGTTCTTGGTAGGTGTCTCAGCTCGTTGTCCATTTGGGTTTTGGGGGGGTGGGGGTGGATTGGCAGTGTAGAGTGGATTTCTTGACTGAGAGGGTGGGTTTCGATGGATTTCGAACCTCGAGATCTTTTTAGTAGGCTCGGGAGGAGTGCTGTTTGACTGTATTACGTCCTGTGCAAACTGGACACGGTTCAGGGGATTTCGCGGCTTGAGGCGCAAAGGAGCTGGAGCGTCTTGTGAATCGATGGAGTGGCTGCGATCTGTATCCTCCTGCTCTGGTTCCTCCCAGATCTGCTCGCCCGTGAAGGTACCCGCAATCTCACCACTGATATTTCTTTTGGCACTGGTACTCCTGCGTGGGGCAGCCGATGGTCTGCTAGCATTGGTAATACTACCGTATGATTTCTTGGTTGAGGTAGTAGTTGCAATATCTCGGGAAGAATCCACCGACCTGCGAACTGTATGGTCTGGGCTTACATTGCGGTCCAACCGGGAATCATCAGAACCGCCACTTGATACACGGCTACGCTCTGAACGCGTTCCACCGCTGCTGCTTGATCTCCCAGAGATTGAGCATGGAATGTCTCGTGCAAGACCGGTAACCATGCCAACCCCCCCATAGCGACCAACGCTTTGAGTTCTTGCATGTTGGTAACTATTCTTTCTCAGGTGCTCTTTATATCGGTATGGCGCGCCTGGCTTGATAGCCGCTTCGGGATGCTGATGTTGCCAGACTAATTCCGAAGCTTCCGCTTGTGCTGCGGCGTGAATCCTCATTTCCTCTTCATCTACTTCATTCAAGTCCATATCTTCCATGGCCTCTCGCAGAGATACTGCTTCCTCTTTCTCCATCCATCTTTGGCCTCGTTCAATGTATGTGGCACTTGGGACAACCTCAGAAGGCTTCAGAGGTACAACAGGTGCTCCTGGTGAGCGTGGTTGCTGTACAAGCGGACGGCCAATTCTTGAGTTTGGTGAAGAGTATGTAGAGAGAGATGATCGAGCTCTTCGGTGAGACAACACGCTGCTAGAACGTTGTGCAAACTCGTTCGATGGCGAGGCTATTGGTTCATTCGGTTGTGGTGTCTTTGAAAGACCCCTATCTGACTCGTGCCTATTGCTGGGAGGCTGAGGTCTGGCACCGCTTGGACGAGCGACACGATTGTTCCTGAGATCTGCGAGATAGCTAGCTGCAGCAGGTCAGTATGAGGGGTATGGAATAATATAGAGTATATATGCTTCGGCATCCAAGCAGACAACATAGACAGCTACTGACCAAATTGCTCATTTGACATGTATACTGGTCCAGGAGGGCTGATTTTGCGAGTGCGGTCTCTGGATCTCCCTCGGAGCATCGTGATGGCTAATTTAGGCCACGTTTATTGCAGGATGGGTTGTTCGATGTACAGCTTGTTCCGATGTGTCGATATTGATACAGTCAGGAGTAGGAGAGGCGTTTGCGTCGTCGAAACAATTGGGAGCTGGGCAAAGCTTAAGAGGTATTAAAGGTCCTTAAATAGCGTTTGAAAGAAGGAAGAAAAAATATTATTTAAGTGCAATGGCGGTAAGATATTATGGATGAATAACAGATGGTCGTTATAGGTAACAATGCAGCCAGAATCTCCGTCACCGTATGCGTTGGTGAGGGCTTTCGCGAATGTAAACAGTGCATCCGCGCTAGCAAATCGCCAGAGCAACATACGGACTACTCCGTAGAACTTATAAATGTTGACGAGTGTTCTGCTGTTACATCATACACTTTGTGAACTCATTGCTTCTATCAGCATAATAAGTACAGAACCCCCAGGATGTACGAGATGTACCAACTGTGCGTATACTGTATAGCTACGTGTACTGCGGTGGTGACTCCGGTCCTCTTGACTCAAAAGTGGGGAGATTTGCCGAGATTTAAAGCAGTAGATCGTTCAACAAAAGCAACATGGGGTCTTGTCCAACTTCGCCTCTTTACCACTTCATCTTTTCTACTTGGAGCACTCCATCTTCTTCTCTGTTCAGGGCTGTACCTTCAACTGTCTGAGGACCCCTGAGCGCGAGATGTCATTACGTAGGTAGGTCAGTCGTATTGGCTCCTCAACCGGAAGACGGCACACTTGTTGGTCGGTGCTCGTGAGCTCGTCCCCGGCGCTTGTACCCTTCCGCGGGGTTGGTGGTGGAGTACCTAGTCAATTTGATAGGCCCTGGAGCCAAAATGAACCTCACTTGAAGAATTCTTCATCTCCTGGCTCAGTTCTTTGGAGTCCGGGAATAAAAGTCGGATTTATTTGTTCTTGCTATAAAGTTGTGACTCGATGTCTTAGCACTTTAATCCTAATTTTCCTCCTCTTCTTTTCATGTGAGGTGATTTTTCGACGTTGCAGCGGCCATATAAATAATATGACTGTCATGAACGCCGAAAGACCGGACCAGTATGATGAGATTAATCAGGTGCATGAGGTTACGACTGATGGCAGTGCATCAAGTGACCCGGAGAAGCTTGGTGCTCTAGGAGACATAAGACAAATACCGGAGGAAGAGACCAAGCCCGTCGATGTACCACCTGATGGAGGGTATGGCTGGGTCTGTGTTGTCTGTGTGGCTCTCATGAACGCTCATACATGGGGAGTTAATAGTGTATGAATCCCGCTTTTCAAAGTTTCAAGCCCTCTTTTTCAAATAACTTGAACCATGCTAATGATTTACAGTCATATGGTGTGTTCCTAAGCCATTACCTTTCTAATAACTCCTTCCCAGGAGCGACCTCTCTTGACTATGCCTTCATTGGAGGCTTGTCCATCTCAATGGCCTTAATCGTCTCGCCACTAGCAACTGTCAGCGCGCGAGTATTTGGGACTCAGATTACCCTCGGCTTCGGGATTCTCCTTGAATTTGCAGGGCTCCTGGGCGCATCATGGTCAAACCGGATTTGGCATCTCTTTCTTTCTCAAGGCCTTGCCTTCGGGTTCGGGATGGGTTTTCTATTTGTGGCCAGTGTCGGCATTGTCCCTCAATGGTTCTCCAAGAAACGATCCTTTGCAAATAGCATAGCCGCAGGTGGAAGTGGAATTGGTGGTATGGTATACTCACTTTCGACCAACGCAATGATTAAGTCCATTGGCCTGGGCTGGGCCTTCCGTGTTCTGGCCATCCTCGCAGTCGTGGTCAATACAATTTGCACCCTTTTGGTTCGAGACCGTAACAAGGCTATCGGGTCAGTTCAGATGGCCTTCGACGTCCGCTTATTCAAGCGTGTGGAATTCCTTTTCCTCCTTGGATGGGGCTTCTTCTCTATGCTGGGCTATATCGTTCTTCTTTTCTCACTCCCTAATTACGCTAGAAGCATTGGGTTATCACCACAGCAAGGCTCGGTAATTGGCGCACTGTTAAACTTGGGCCAAGGTATGATTGAATTATCAAGACTGGGGCGATCTTTAGCTAATATCAATAGGTATTGGCCGACCATTTGTAGGATACTTCAGCGATGCAGCAGGCCGGATTAATATGGCAGGATTCTGTACCTTCCTTGCAGGACTGTTCTGTCTCGTCATCTGGATTTTCGCAAAGAGCTATGGCGTCTTGATATTCTTCGCTATTATCACTGGCACCGTGTCTGGGACATTTTGGGCCACCGTCGCCCCGGTTGGAGCCGAAGTCGTTGGTATTCAAGTAGTTCCCTCGGCACTATCTATCTGTTGGGTTATCTTGGTCTTGCCCTGTACTTTTGCAGAGCCGATTGCTTTAGAACTGCGCACCACTTCGGTGAACATTTATCGTCATGCACAGCTCTTCACTGGATTCATGTATATTGGAGCAGCTATATGCATGTGGTTTTTGCGAGTGTGGAAGATCAACGATAATGAGAAGAAGGCGCAGGCAAAGGAGGAGAGAGAGCGAGAGACTCAAGCCAACAATACGGAGCTGAAGGGCAAATCTGATTTATCAAGGCATGCTAGCAGAACGGCGAGCGTGAAGAGTAAGGTTAAAGCAGCGAAGGGATTGTGGTCATGGCAACGTGTTTAATCAGATGTTCAATGCCCCTTGATCATAGGCGACTCTGGATAATACATTTTAATCATAAATAATTATCAAGATATCGACAAGTATTTTGGAATCGCGCTCGACGAGAAAATATACCACCAGTGACGATAAACACCCAGATGAGGGCTTTCGTGGATATGATGCGGCGAACAGGGGGGTCCTGATTTACGAATACCAATATTTTTCAAAGGGGGGGAGGGGGAGGGTTCCTCAACAAGCAGATAGCGATAGAAGAGTGAGTGCTCTCAAGCACAAATGCAGGCTACCTACACTCACAGTTCAGGCCTCCTCTCCTCTCAAATCCCAAAGTATCCCAATCTCACCCTCTTTCTTTCCACTCCGCACAAACTACTCATAAGCTCCAAGTCAAGTCCATATCTCAATCAATCAATTAATATATTTGCTCGTTTATATGGTGTCAGGCAGGCAAAATAAAGAGAGGTACAGGTTTTTTTTTTTTTTTTTTTTTTT